GAAGAAGAAGAAGAAGAAGAAGAAGAAGAAGAAGAAGAAGAAGAAGAAGAAGAAGAAGAAGAAGAAGAAGAAGAAGAAGAAGAAGAAGAAGAAGAAGAAGAAGAAGAAGAAGAAGAAGAAGAAGAAGAAGAAGAAGAAGAAGAAGGGTATATCGATGCGCATCCCGGGTTCGATCAGATCAAAGAATGGTGTCATCTCATTTGCCTCGAGGATTGCTCAGTGAATTATCATGCGTGCCGTAAAGCTGTGGCGGACGCAGCGCCAGGAAACCCAGAACCCATATGTCCTCTGCGGTATACAATCATCCCGCGTCCCCAACGCAAAAAAGACAAGGGGATATATGTGTGTATGCGTGTATGCATGCAATGTATGCCTGGTGGAAAAAAAAAGGAGCCGGACTCAGGGGCTCGTCAGCCTCGTGGTCGGGGTCCCGTACTTGCTTCGTGGTTCGTGCATTCTCCCAGATCTCTCCTTCCAGTGGCCCACTAGATTCGTCTTCCATGATGCTCCAATCAACGCCGTTCATCTGTACAGGGGAAAAATCTCCAGACAAAGACGTCTCTTTAATGAAATCAACTCAGGAGATGGCTGTCGCTGGACTCCCTCGCCTCATGGTAATGCTTCATCCGCCCTAACTCATTACAAGCCATGAATAAATCGCTGCCCTCTGCATTACACCGGGTGAAAGGTATCAAAAAGAGAGAACAAGAAACAAATGCGCTTAAATTTGAGGTGCGGCGTTATCTTGCTTGAGTACCTCGCGCTTGTGGTTGTGCCAATCTGCAACAAGAGCCGATGTAAATTCAAGTTCCGCCTCTTCATGGAAGACCCCAATCCAGAGCTTCATAAAGGGTTGTTGAGGCAAAGCTATCATTTCGCAGTGAGCTCCGTACATGATATCGAGATTGGAGGTTGACGTGCGTCTATCTCCTGGTCAGACCGCTCCGGAGGCGAACAGCTCGAGATTGTCGATCGGTAACGTCAATGAGATGGCCTGGGCTTCCGCGAGGATGAAATCTGCATCATGCCGTGGCGAGTCCAGATTAGTGGCCAGGAGTTGGTCCATGCCCGGTCGACTCCAGACAGATGGATAAGAACGTGCATCATGCGGTGTCTCCGGTGTTGCATATCCACTTGCTCCGGCATTGATGTCTGAACGATCCAGTGATGGCCGGCGGTCTAGTGATTCTGTCGGTAACAAACTAGACCTCGAGCAAGGGCACAGGCATTCGGTGCTGGCGACAATTCGGTCAACGTCGAATTGTACGGTGTGTGAGAGCTGTTTGATAACCATCTTTGGACAAGTCAGCTTCACCTGATTTATGGGATTTGAACCGGGGACTACCTTGATGATCCACAGACACCTGACGGCACCATTATCGTAACAGCGCATCGTCGCCAGGAGCCTAATGCCCAGTTCTCCCTTCTTCCATGCTTCACTAGGTCGGGACGTACCATTGTGTGTCGCTATCAGAAACAGGAGGCACATGACTGCCAGGAAGAGGGTGTAGATGACACTCCAAGATGCGGGAGCCAGCAAGCCGCGTTGAAGCATCACCTCGGCGCGGGTAATTGTTGTAGCCGCAATTTTGATGCAAGCCAGGGCGTGCTGCGATTGAGTCCTCGTAATCGGCGCGCCGTCCGCCATTTGAATGAGGTAATGTAGGAAAGGTTGGTAGAGGACGAACTGGCCGAAATAGAATGCCATTTCCAGTTCAAATTTCATGCTGTGACATTGTCAGTTGAATCCAAAAAGAAATGAAGAAGTCTGACAGAAGGGAAAAAGCGTACATAGCTGACACCTCGAGCTTTTCGGGAATCAGAGGCAAGCAAGGCAACGCTCTCGCCCATTTCCGGAATGCATCCTCCGCCCCTCTCATATTGACAGAATCAACATTGTCAAACACCAGGTCTTTTGTCCGTTTCTCCTTGTGGCTGCCATGGCTGAATATGCTTCGCATGCCGGTGGCTGTCAGGCTTAACAACTCCAAGTGTTTTGCTGAAGCTAGAAGCTTCGCATGCGTTTCAGAGACATCTTCACGGGCATTGGCCGACCGTTTAGCGAAGTCCGTCTTCAATGAGGCCATAACTCCCGGGTCGATGCTATCCGGATTGATGCGAGTCGGCAAATCTAGAACTATACTGACTAAAGTGTCAAATTGCAAGACGGCAAGCATAATTCTGAGTCTGGCGTCTTGTTGTACCTCAGATATCGAAATATCCTTGCCGATGTCTTTATGCAAGCCAAGCCTCAAAGCCGAAGTACAAGCAATGCCAAGGTATGTGTATGCGGAAGTCAGACGAGACGTTGTCACCAGAAAGTAAATGAGACACAATATGGTCTGCATTGATATGAGATCAGCACACTGGGCAACGTCGAGCTCCCTCCGAGCCAGAAGGAAATGCCTCGTACTAAAGTCTCCAAGTCAGCCGCCGCCATGATTCGCAGGAGGGACAACATACGCTTCGTTGACAATGTCTTCGCACCCATGCTTTTTGCGGGACCGAATGTCAAACAACAAGGCGATTGCAAGAACTCCGTGGAACAATGGCATGAAATTATGACTTGATGCACCAAATTGAAGCGCCGATTCGCTGTACAGACGATTGACCATGTCTCGAAAATCGGCCTCGTGGACGAACTGAATCAGTGGATTGCATCTGGTGAAGACGGTATCCAGAAGACTAAGCGTGATCGATAGACTCGGAAGACTCTGGAACTGCGATGAATACTGCATGCCAGCTTCAGCATCCGGCACCGGTGCATTGAACAGGGCTGTAGTGATAGTTTGAGTCTCGGTGGTCAAGGCTGCACTGTCGGGCATTCTCCGGAACAGCTCCAGTGTCTTGAAGACGAAAGAGTATCCGGAATAAGAGCCATAAAAGGTGGTTTGGGTGGGTGAGAGGGGAACGAACCGCCCAGCTCTACCCATCATGCTGCCTAGGCGGGTTGATCTGGCATTGTCCTCGTCGGCACTGGAGTCTCCCTCTTCCGAGGGCTCCGGGTACGAGTTGTCCAACGTGTTGAGCACCGAGTCGATATCGGTGTTGGCGAGAATTTGGTTCTGAGCCTTGAGCCGCACCAGCGACATACGTGCTGCCCGGAGACATGCTTCCAGCTTTCGAATTCTCTGGGTCGGGGTCTCCCGGGGTCGAGTCCCAGGGTCATAAGAACAGACTGATACCGTCAGTGCCGTGAACTTGGACCAGGCTGCGATAGGAGCAACCGCCTCTCACCATCGTCAGAAACGCTGCAGGGGCCACAAGGTAGGGATCCGTCGCATTTGATTTTCCTCAGGCGACACTCGTCACAGGCGCGAGGGGCTCTCCGGTGATAACCCTTACGAAAAGACCGGGAAGACTTTCCACTGTTCTGTCGGTGATCTCCAGCCATGAGGATTCACAAACTGGCATTTTGCCAGTTCTGCGACACCTGGGGAGATAGGAAAAAGAGAGTTCCGATCATGCGGACGGAAGGTGGGAGTCGCCACGAAGGTGGGTTTTTCGACGGCAGCGAACTTTAAGCGATTGGAATGCCGGGATTGTCAGGTGCTGGTCAGTTTGTCGGGGTGAAGTCATCAAAGCCAATTACAGGGCTTGGTGGATTTTCAGCTTTCGTTAGGTGCTTAGGTGGTTAGGTACAGTAGGATCGAGGATCGAGGAGGATGGGGAGGGAGAAGACGGCGAGGTCGGTGCCCAATCGTCGTTAGTGGAAGCAATCTCTGGCCGCTTTTATTTAGCTTACCGGCCCGACACGTGCCCCGATCATCAAATTGCGGGGGAGCATCACACTGCGGAAAACGGTCAAGATCCCCCATGTCCAAGCATCCAAGTGCTGCACCACATTCCAAGCCAAGATCTACACTGCTCCCCCCTGACCTCAGCTCGAGCCTCACCATGGCAGAGTCGGCAGAAAACAAATTCGCCATCCACGAAGCAGCCCGAGATGGCAAGACCCAAGTGGTCGAGTCCCTCCTAAATGCAAACCCCAAACTGGCCTCCCTCCGCGACCAGGATGAAAGACTTCCTCTCCACTGGGCCATAGCCTTCGCCCACCTCGATATTGTCAAACTCCTCGCAGCCACCCGCTCCTTTGACCCCGACGCCGAAGACGGTGCAGGCTGGACCCCTCTTGCCATCGCTGCCTCTCTCAAAGACAATTCCGGGCTGCCCATGATCGAGCTCCTCCTCTCCAAAGACGCCGACCCCAAGATTGCCACACACACAGGCGTCACGCCTTTACATCTGGCCGTGTCAAAGAATAACCTGGACGTCTGCAAAACTCTTTTGAAACACGGTGTGAGTGCGAGGGTCAAGGACAAGCGGGGCCAGTTACCCCTCCACCGCGCCGCCGCCGTGGGATCTGTCCCGCTTGTGAAACTGCTGCTGGAGAACAAGTCGCCCATCAACGCCACGGACATGGACGGGCACACGGCTCTACATCATGCAATCAGTGAAGGACATGGCGATGTGGCTGTAGAGCTGCTCAAAGCAGGAGCGGAGACGGATAAAAGGGACCATGAAGGGAGACTGGCCATTGACTGTGCACCGGATGGTAAGGTTAGGTCGCATATCTTGAAAGCAGCAGAGAGGGAAGGCATCGAATTCGCCTGAAGCAGGACTGCCTCGCGAAAGGATGTATTCGACATGGTCCGCTAAAATTCATCAGATCTGGCCTCATTTCATCGTATCCGCCAACTGTCGATACATCTGCTTGACATCCACGATATCGGCCTTCAGCTCTTCTACCTGCTCGCTCTTCTCCCCCAGCAACTCTAGTGTGGTCTGGTGTCTTGCACTGAGACTGGCATGCTCCTTCTCGAGCGCTTCCAGCCGTTCCTCGATCTTCCGCTTCGCCTCGACCTCGCGCATCAGGCTGACGACTTCCTGCCTGGCCTCGTCGCGCTGGGTGGTGAGGCGGGCCAGCTCGTCTTTCGAGGCGGCCTTTTCGCTCTCGAGTCGACGAACGTTGGCCGACATCCGTTCGACCAATTGCACAGAAGGGCCAGCGCCAACGGTTGAGGTCGAGATGAGGTCGTTCAAGCCTCCGCGCTGTGAGTGGTGGCTGGTGGTCATGGGCGTGGGTGGAACATTCGCAAAATACTCGTCTGCATCCATCGACGTCACCACCGACGGCGTCTCTACAACGGAGCCGTTTGCCAGACCACGGAAAGATGTCGTAGAGTGTTGACGAGGCGGAGTGTTCGCGTCGAAGGTGTTGGGCATGATGGAAGGTCGCCGACTGCTGCCCCGTTCATACTGAGTCGGGCTCATGAGATGATTGATGTCGAATCCCAGGCCCGAGTTTTTGCGGATTGACGCCGCTGGAGAATCGGTGCGTTGGATATGCAAAGCTGCGGTCCATTTCGCTTTCTCCTCGTCAATCCTCCGTTGCAGTTCCTTCTCCGAATTCGCCTTCTGCTCCTCAAGCTCGTTGGAAGCGTGGGCCAAGTCCGCCTCAAGCTGACTTACTTTTCGTTGCAGTCGCCGTGTTTCCTCGATTGCATCCGCCATTGACTTATCCATGTCCGCATAGTTGCTTTGAGTGCTAGCCAGCTCCCTCTCCGCATTTTTCAACTTCAGCGTCGCATCTCGTAATTTCTTCCGCAGCTCTGCCTCTCTTGCCACAACCTCATCACGCTCTTTTTCCAAGGCCGTGATCCGACCCACAAGGGAACTCTCGATCCCTTGCCAGTTCTGGCTCGCAGTGGTATATTGAGTCTGTAATATTTCGATTTGCCGGAGAAGTTTGGCTTGGGCATGGCCGTGGTCTGCTGAGGTTGCCTCTTCAGCTCGAACACGGAAAGCCTCGAGCTTGCTTTCCAGGGCGGCTTGCTCATTCAACATCTCGCTCTCCATGATGCGCGTTTGCTCTTTCTGCTTCTCCAGGTCGTGTCGTAAGGCTTGGATCTCCTTCCGTAGTTTCTCCTCCGATATTTCACGCTCGACTTTGGCAACAGTCAAATCGTCTTGCAGCTCGACGATTTTCCGCCTTTCCTTCTCCAACTGTTCGGATTGCACTTTGCTCTCGGCGGCCTCAGCCCGCGACGTGGCTTTGGACAGTTGTGATCTCATTTCCGCTACTGTGGCGTTCAATGCATCTCGCTCTTTCCGCATTGCTTCAAGGTCCTTTGCCGCGATCGCATGTGTAGCGAGAGTTTGCTCTACACGCTTGCTCGCAGCTTCAGCTTTTCTGGCTCGGTCCTCCATAGCTCTCAGCGCACGTTCAGCTCGGTCTGCGCGTAGTCTTGCAGCTTCTTGTTCTTTGGCATTGGTCAGCGCTTGAGATCGAACTTTCTTCAGCATGCTTCGAAGATCCATTTCCGTCTTTGACCATCTGGTGCCTTCTTCTATCAGGAGAGCTATCTCCTCATCCTTTCGAGAGATCTTCTGCTCAAGACTTCCTGCCTCTGCCGAAGAAGCTGCTTGTCTCGCAGAGTCGGCTGCCTTTTGAGCTGATTCGGCGACTTCTTGTCCTAATCTCTCAAGATTTCTTCGGAGTGCATCGACACGTTCGAGGTACGTATTCATTTCTTCCTGCATTTCCACCGCCTCGTCCTTAGCGGGCTTTGATCCATCGTCCTCACTGGTTCGCTGCACTTCTTCAGACATCCTGCTCGACACAGTCTGATCATCTCTCAGTATTTCTGCTGAAGGCCGTGCTGAATCCATATGTGGGTGTTCCACAAGCGCGGTAGCCATTCTATGTCGTTCTGGCTCGTCCGTGGGCGCGGTCACTGATATTGCTTTGTCACTCCCCGCTTCCTGCCTCATGTTCTCGCCCATATCACTAGAATTTCGTAGCTCATGATTTGTCTGGTCGCACTCCGACGGAGACGGATCTGCCACTTTTGCCATGTCTGACACCGAAGTCGGCGCATCACCTCCTCGCGAACCTGGCCTCGACGATTGTTCTTGGGAAGGAATTGGACTTTCCGTACGACTGAGACTTTTCTTCGCCATCGCCCGAGCGAGCCGTTCCTGGAGTCGATCATTGGAGGCGGAGGCAGTGCTGCTGCTTCTAGACAAATCGGAGGAAGCTACAAACACATTAGCCGTACGAAGGGGGAATTCGGCGACAAGTTCCTACGTTTCTTGGTGTGGGCTGGGGTGTGTGGTCGCTTTGGACGATCGCCCTCTTCGGCGAGGATGTCATCCAGTCTCGACTCGACTGAGGCGACGGCCTGCTGCAGGAAATTCCATCTCGAGCCCGGTTTGGAGGTCATGTTCCACAGCCGAACGCCAGGTGGAGGGCCGTAGTGACTAGAACGACTATAATGCAAGGTCCAAGAGCATTTGCAGCACCGAGGAAAAGCAACAATAGGACATGGCAGCTGAGTAGGAAATGTGGTTCAATCGCACCACTGTCGAATGTTGAACAACGTTGACGCGTCCACGCTTGGACAACGTCGTCGGACTGCGAGCCACGACCGGGGAAAGAAATAGGCGACGCAGCCCGCAGCGCGCGGCATGTCATGCCCCGTGCACAGTAGTCCCGCTAAGCAGCCCGAAGCAGAAAGAGCTTCCCGCAACCTGAAATCTAAGCTTCACCATGAGATTGACGCAATAGCTGGCACTATTCTTCACTTCTCCCAACGATCTATTCGAGATCAAGCAGTCGACATACGGAGATTCATGGACCTTGTTGATTGACCCGGAACTCACAGATTATCTCCCAGAAGACCCAATTACGCTGTGCCTGTCGGCAAGATGTCATTGAGTCCGCCCGCCTTTCTCAGCGAACTGCAGAGCAACATCAGAGCTCGCCCAGTAAGCGCATCGCCCTCTACCTTGGAGACCAAGTTCTAAAAGTATAACAGATACCCTGGGACGGTGCCGTTCGAGCGGGAAACTTGACAGAGGACCAGCTCAAGAGAATCAGATCGGTCGACAAGGTCAGGAAAGAGCAGCGGAAACAGACAATCGAGAAAGATGTGAAGAGCTACAGCACCTTGCTTGTGGGCGGCGCAGATGGCGGTAGTGTGCTCGAAAAGGCCTCGAAGCGTAGCGACATTATCCAATATAGTCTGGTGTTGGCCACAGACCTCATCAATGGTACGGTATCTCAGTCTCCATCAGGATGCGCAGCGACTTGGACTGACATCGACTAGATGCTCCAGATCTCGCGAAGGCTATCCTGGAGCATCCTGAGCCCTACAAGTACTTCCTGACCTTGCTCAACCAGGGAAATAGCCCAGACGACCCCATTCCACTGCTCTCGGCTACATTTCTTGTGAACCTTATCGCCATTTCCATAACGACCTCCTCACGCCCAGCCAGGCGAGACGACGAGGCTCTCCCACAGGTCTACTCGTATCTGGCCAAGCTGGTCAGAAATCAAGATGGTGGGCGACAGGACATCGGAGTACAACACATGTCACAATTACTGCGGACGAAACGGTCGAAAGAACTATTTTGGAGTCAAAGAAAGGATACAGTTGATCCATTGTTCGATATCTTGAGAAAAGCTGCTGGAGCTGCGAAAGATAACGACTCTACGCTATGGAATGGCAGCGCTAGTATACGAAGCAGTGACACGAGATTTGGCGAAGGGGTCGGGCTGCAGCTGATGTATCATGTTTTGCTGGTGATATGGCAGCTCAGCTTCGAGGGCGAGCTTGTGGGCGAAGGCCTTGAAAAGTGAGCATGAGCATTTCCCATCGAGTGGCCGTGGCAGGGGCCGGGCTAACTTTTACCCAGGGACCAGGAGATTGTGCCGTTGTACACACAGCTGCTGCGGATGTCACCAAAGGAGAAGACCACCCGACTCTTGTTGGCGACACTGAACAACCTTCTTGCGACCAATAAGGAGACGCTCATTGCGACTGCCACCACGGCCAGACTGCCTGCCCTGCTGAGCAATCTGAGCAGTCGTCACCTGACTGATACCGACTTATTGGAAGATTTGGAGGCCCTGAAGACAATGCTCGAAGAATACACCAAGAATCAGACAACCTTTGACGAATACGCCGACGAGGTAAATTCTGGCCATCTCCGCTGGTCACCACCTCACCGTAATCCGACTTTCTGGCGTGAGAACGCACGCAGGATCCTGGAAGACAAGAACGGCGAACTTCCGAAGAAACTGGCCGAGATCCTGTCCAAGAGTTGGGAGTCAGACAAGCAAGTGTTGGCGGTCGGGTGCAATGACGTGGGCAATCTGGTCAAGCAAGTGCCGGAGCAGCGGACGATGCTCGAGAAATTAGGTCTCAAAGCTCGGCTTCTGGAGTTGATGGGCGATCCCGACGAGAACGTGAGGTGGGAGAGTCTCAAGGCGGTAGGAGATTGGATGAGATACACGTTCGAGAAATGAGTGGTGGATGGGCTTTGGGCAGGAAGTTAGGCGCTGATTGAGGCCATGAAACTGGTTGATCGTGCCGGGACAGTGATACCTCTAGAATTGTGGTTCGCGGTGGCTACGACGCGTTGCTTTGGGTTGCTGTATAAAGAGAGTTACGAGTAGAAAGGACGCTCCACAGGACTCTTACCAGTATTCGAATGGCCCCTTAATTCTAATCCGGACTCGATACTTCATACTCACCTACTGCTTGAAGGGCGATCTTCCGCGCGTTGAAGCCCCGCTGGTATCATTCACGCGCTCCTATCCCATTTCCTGCCGTGTGATCGACTGCAACAAGCATTCCGACTCGATCACAGGCTGGACTTCCGACCACCGCAGCCGAAACCATATTTTGATGTCTCGCAGAAAGGGTCTGGGGAGAGCAGACAGGGACAGCGAGACAGGACCATGCCTAGGACAGCTAGCCTGGAATTGTCTGGGTACGGAAAAGGACAATTCCCCTGCCAAGGATCGCGCCCGTGGCCAGAAAAGTCTCCCACTGGTCGAGCTTCAGGATTTCCGGAGGGTGGATTGTCCCCAGTCATGCACGCGCTGCAAGATGTGATCGACAGATTTGCGGGCAGCTGGGCCGATGGATCGAATATCATGAGTTCGAAGTATATCATCCCCTTTACTCTATTCCCGAAGGAAGTTCCCAGCAAGCTCTGATGAGGAGAGGAAGACGAGGGAGTTGTGGCAGTATGTGGAGAGTAATCGCGCCATACTGGTCTCGGACCGAAGAAGCGGCAGCAGGATGGGATGGGAGTTGAGCTAGAGCTGGCGGAGGCTGAAAGCTGAAGCTGAAGCTGAGCGGTCCATTCATCAACGTTCGTCCTCTATACTGGAGAGGAGGGTGAATAGGGTGGCATGTTCCGGGGTGGGTGTTGGGAAATGCGAGAGCTTGGGAGCATCACCAATGCTGGACAGTCTCCTGGTACTCTGTACGAGGTACTCTGGTCTCTAGAGAAGATGCAGGCTCTGAGACGGCATGGAGGATAGAATTGTAGGTGCTTACCGAGCTGCAACTTGCCTCGCATACAGCCAATGCTCAGGGCACCTGGCCACTTGGTTCACCGCGCCAGTAGAAACCGAGAGTCAACAATCTCGCTTTGCTCGCCCTCATCAAGCACAGATCCAGGAGCTGGTCGAGACGGTGTGCCAGAGTGTAGCCGCTTGTCGAGAATTAGTTGAGGCAATCTGCGGCGGATCCAATGGGGAGGCGATCAGCAGCGCAGGGCTATTCCGCTTCTGCCAACACCTGCCAACACCATCCACCTCCTAGACCACACCCTCACTTCTTCTTCCTCTCCACCGGCGCGCTATCACTGCCCTTCTAGGATTGCTATTTGCATGTGGCTGATCTACATGCCCGCACGACGGACCTAACAATGTCACTACTCTAGACGGGCGTCAAAGCGTCAGAGAGTCCACCCTTCCTCTCTGTCTACCGCCCCCGTCCGCAACCGGCAGCTGGGAACATCCACCACCACCATCCCCCAATCACCTCCATGAAGACTATTGACCATGGACGACAATAATGCGCAAAGCTTCGCTTCAGCGTCTCCTCCTCCTCCGCCTCCAAAAGAATATCCTTCCCTTCAGCGTCTGCCCTCCCTTTCCACCTCCGTCTCGGCCGCTGTAAAACCTTTCTCTCCAGCCTCCTCCTCTTCCTCTGTCCGCCGAAAACCTCTACCGTCCAACGTCTCCCCTGTCCTCACATCGCCCGAAGCACAGACGACTCAGACGCGAGTAGAGTCACCCTCGAGGACCATACGGAGAAAGAGAGTCCCCTCTGACGTTGTTGTCCAGACGTATGTTAAGCGCCGTGCTTTGCTTGTGCTCAGGTTCCCCAGCTGACCCGAACAGAAATCCTCAGACAAGCTCGCCCATTCTCAATCGGAGTAATACGAGCGATAGCATCCCGAAGAAGACCATCATCGACACTCCCCTCCCTCTTCCTGCGAGTGACGGCGTATCAGCTTCTCCAGAGCGCAGCCACACCTCCAAGCGATCAAATGGTTACTCGGTAGACACCGTCATTGTAGAGGAGGATATGGGGTTGAAACCCGGGTCGAGGCCTCCGCCTCTGCGGACGGACTCGACCTCATCCACGAAATCTCTGACGGTGATTGACGCGAAGAAACCTCAGACCCCGGGGAGCAAGTTCACATCATTCTTCAGCCGTAAACCCGCAGCCTCGCCAAGCACAGAATCGTCCGTCACCGACATCTCCGATAGGAAATCTCCCCTACCATCACCCTATGGTCCTTCACCACACGCTTCGGCACATTCCTCGCAAGGGTATCCATTCCCGTCAGCGGTCCCGAGACCTCCGACATCACAACCCTCTCAGGACTCGATTGAGTTTGATGGGAGCACGTACGCTCAGACGCTGGTCAACAATGATGGCAATAGAATCTCCAAGCTCGAAGCCGAGCTCCGTGACATCAGCGCGGAACTCGCCAATTCTATCAAAAGAGAGATGGATTTGGAGGACCTCGTGGAACAGCTCCAGACTGAGGGCGCCAACGCGAACAGAGAGACGGACCGCACGAGTGATTATTTTTCGGATTCGGGCACGAGTTCCATCAGGCCGTCGACGAGTGAAGGGAATCCAAAAGAAGAAATCCAGAGGATCAAGAGAGAGTCGGAGCAGCTTCGAGCGCAGCTCAAGGTCGAGATGTCGCAGAAATGGCAAAGTGAAAGATCGAGCCGGCAGGCACTGGAATCTCACATTCAGATACTCGAGCAGAAGCTCTCGCTGTCCCGTCGAGACAATAATGAATCCGCGGATATCACTGCGAGGGCCAAGGAACTGGAAGTGGCCCTCGATGACGCCAAAAGAAGGCTGATGGAAGAGAGGCAGATCAAGGAGAACTTCGAAGATCTGCTGACGGCTCTCCGTGTCGACTTGGAGCACCATCGAAACGAAAGAGACAACTTGCGGGACGAAGTAGTACCTCAACTTCGTTCACAAATCGAAGGTCTTGAGACGAGCCTGTCCGAGTCACAGAAATCGGACTACGACTTTACACGGATGCAGCAAGAGCTGCAGAGTCTCCGAGACGAAAACAATGCCCTCCAGAGTGCTCGTGCGATGAACATGCAATTTCAGTCGATCGCGGAAGAAGGCGAGACCGTTGACTCCCCAAGAACTTCCACGATTCCCGGTCGTGGGAGCGGTCTACAAAGATCAAACACCATTTTGAACAGATCGAACTCGAGAGCTACACCAAACCGATCGAATTCCTTGTCGAGGTCGAACTCTGCGGTCAATCGCACTGTGCCGGAGAGTCAACAATCCCTAGCCGATCAGCTGAAGGACGTGACCGAACAAAGGAATGCTTTACACTCAACCGTGAAGTATCTGTTAAGAAGACAAGAGGCACAACGGCGACAGTTTGAGAAGCGCCTCAATCTCACCGAAGCCGAACGAGATCGAGCTGCTTCTTTACACGGACCCAAAAAGGGCGGCTACGAACGAGAGGTCCGGACGCTGCGTTCCGAGATCAATCTCCTTCGGAAGCGGGCAGACGAGGCTCTGGAACAAAAGTGGCAGTGTGAAAAAGGATTGTCCGGTTTGAAAATGGACCTGGACCGAAGCAAGCAGGAAACTGCTAGTCTACAAACACTGTTACAAGCTCGTGACGAGAGTGCCCCCGAAGTTCTCTCATCGACACTTGAGCAAGCCCTGCGTCAGCTGGAGCAACAGCGGGATCAGGCTCGACAGCAAGAGTCCCTTGGCTCATTGAATAAAGAACAAGACCTGGCTACCGAGTTGGAAATGTCTGCACAAAGGTCGGAGTCGTTGGCCGTCCAGGTCAGAAAGCAAATGCAAGCCAATGCCGCCTTGAGGAACCGACTCAAGAGCGCCGTGGAGATGGGTGAACAGAATCAACATGCATCGGCAGAACAGATCAACGAACTCCAGACCAAGCTTCGCAAATTGGAAGACACCATCACCGTCGCTCAAATGCAATCAGAGACCGCAGTCATGAAGCACGAGGAAGAAGTGCGCGTGTTGAGAGCGAGCCATAACATCCAGTTGATGCGTACGAAGTCTGGACACAAGACGCCGGGATACTTGACGCCGGTGCCTCGGTCTCCTATGTCGCCCATGTTTGCCAACTCCAAAAAGAGTCCCCGTATCAACCAGACGACTTCAGGCCCAGGCATTGCGTTGCAACAGGCTTTGAAGACGGAGTATCTGGAGAACAAGGTGGCCGAGCTTGAGAAAGCCCTCTCGGAAGCAGAAAAGGAGATGGGAGAGGTAGTTGGACGGATGAACACGGCTCAGATGGGCGTTGCTGAGCTAGAATCGGAGAGGTGAGACTCTTTCCATTATTGAGACATTGGGTGGTTTGCTAATTCGTACCAACAGAGACGAAGCTCTTCGCCAAACGCGGCGGCTTGAAGCTGCCATCGCTGCAGAACGTGAGAAAGTGCAGGCGCTTCTCAACGACGACTTTAACTACGCTTCAGATTATTAATGGCCTGTCTTCTTCCCACCCTCCTTGGATGAGTCCTACGGAGGAGGCTGAGCAGCCGCTGTCCTTTTTTGTTCCCCGTCGTGTGCATATTATTGAGACGGAACACATTTTGAGCGATGGATTGGAGGCCATGTGCATTATTATTCTCCTTTTGGTTTGATGAATCTGATGTCCTTTGGTCGCACAGTTAACATTTGGCCGGTTTGGAAGCTACAGTCATTAGATGTTGGGTTCTGGGCGCTGTTTGGAGTCGAGACGGCACTTGAAGTCGCTGCTGGGAAGGAGCCGCCTTGTACAAAACCACAAAAGTATACTAATTACAGCTCAGACGATTGGGGGAAGAGTATTGGGCTTGGATGGCGAGATCTTGGACCTTTGGTGCCCGAAGTCCCGTGGGATGGAGTGGTCCAAAGGTTGAAGAACACCACGAGACAAAGTGATATAGATGTAAGAACAAGACAGGTAGATGTCAATATCTTGTTCTGCCTAAAGCGTTCACTTGTCCCCTTAAACTGGATTGATTTCTACTTGTCATTGTAGGGGAAAGTAAAATGAACTTCCCCGCGGACCCTTCAAGCGTCGTGTCGTTCACATGCCGATGCTTTTGACCTCAGCTCAAACCACCTCCCTCTCCTCTCTCCACACGCCCTCGATATTCTGGCCGCGAACTAATTGACGTTTCCTACACGAACACATGAAGCTTGGCTGCATCCAGGACTTTGCGTAACACCTTGTGTCAGTCAGTGTATAAAGAGGAAAAAAGAAAAAGAAGAAAAACATGACAACTGGCGTCAAGTACCGACCATGAGCGGTGCAAGCAGAGACACGAACTTCGGCACCTGAGAGACATCACACACACACACACACACACATTTTCGAGACCGCCCCTCCGAATATCAGAAATCCACCCATCCGTCTTCCTCCTCTACTCCCCTTGGGAACATAAAGATCTACCGTTCCGTCCATCTTCTCTCCTCCTTGCACCCACGCATCTGCGCACTCGCCCAAAAATACCTGTCCCAGACATCAATCAATCGACCCAACCCAACCCGCACACCATGCCCTCGTCCTCCTCCTCTTCCTCATCACCACCTCCCACGCTACCCTCCTTCATATGGCACATCGCCGACCTGTACAGCGCCTACATCCTCCCCCGCCTGCCGGACCCGGTACAGACACTCTCCAACCACGTCTCGCCGGTGATCACGTCGGCCGTGTCGGCGGCGACGAGCGGCGACATCGTGTCGCTGGCCGCGTTCCTGCTCGCTGTCTACCTCACGCTCAAGATCGCCGATTACATTCGCCGCTCGGTCATCGGGTGGGTGGTCCTGCTGTTCAAGCTCGCCCTGGTCCTGGTCGCCGTCAACTGCGCCTTCTACGTCAATCGTTACGGCTGGCAGAAGGCCCTGCGCGACGCCGAGTGGATCGTCGGTCTGCTCTGGGGCTTCGTCGAGGAGAAGGTCATGAACGCCGCCGCGGGAGATGGGTCGGATAATCGCACCGGCTGGTACGGCGGTGGTCAGAATCGGAACTCGTGGGGCGGCGGCGGCGGCGTGTATGGAGGTGGACGACAACAAGTCCCCGTCGCGCGAGGCAGGTCTTCGAAGGGGAAGAGTGGGTACGGATGGACGTGAAAAGGCACACAAAACAATTAGCACAATGGATCGGGTCCGAATATTCCTTGCTGGGTTGTATTTGTTTTTCTTCGGAAAGAATCCTTTTTTTGTTGGAAACCAGCATCGGTGCTGTGTGAAGACATTCAAGCAAGTTTGCGATCAAGGGGAATTGATTCGTGGGGATTCGCTCTGGGTATCTTAGATATCTGTTCCTGCCAGTCTGTCCTGTCATGCCTTGAACCTTGCCACGGCGCATCAAAAGGGAACCCAGCCAACCAGCCAACGCCGACGCTGAAAATATGCTTTGTTTTCTTCGTTACATTTAACCCGCCTTTCCCCTTTCCATTCATGAGAAATCAACGCGAAGAGGAGTGCCTCCCTCGCCCTCTCCAACCCATTTTCAGGCGTAATCAATCCTCCCAGGGGGCGTCGTCCAATTCGGGCTCCTTGGGGTCTCTCGGTTCCTGCGCCTCGTGGAACTGGATGGCATCGTCAATGTAGCTGAGCACATCGCCGACGTTCTCCTCGTCGTTGACGTCCAGCTGTAAAAAGGACACCATGCTGAAATCATCGATCAGACGAGCCACGGCGCGGTTGAGCTGCTTGAACGACCCGCCTGACATGATGCTGTCGACCTCGTGCGCGTTGCGGACATCCAATGCGGTGTACTCTGGTGCTCCCTTGCTCATGCCCGGGCCAGCAATTCCGGAGCTGGAGGAGCTGGGCAGGAGTTCGCGGCCGGTGTCCTCCTGGTCGAGGAGGTTGGCGTCCGGGTCGATGAAGCGGCGCAGCTCGCGCTTGGGGACTTGGTCCTTGACCAGGTCCATCTTGGAGAGGATGTTGACGTGGGGCAGTTCGAGCATGATCATGGCGCTCATGGCGGAGAGCGTTCCGGCGAAGAACTTGGCCTTGTCCACCACGAAGGTCGCCTCGAGGAGGTAGGCGGCGCACAGGGAAATGTTCAGAGGGCCCATGCGCGAGAGGTACCGCACCAGCTCCGGCAGCAGGGGGATGTGGGTGTACAGTTCGATCTGGCCGGGGAGGTCGAAGATGATCAGGTACTCTTCCGTCAGAGGGTCGATGGCTTCGGCCAGCCAGTCCAGGTTCTGCAGGAGGAACTCAAAGCAGTAGATCAGCCCGCCGTTGGGCCCCAGGGACAGTGGCTCTTCCATGACGTCCTCAAGCGAGATCAGGTCCCGAATGTCCAGGTCCGGCGTGTAACTGAGGTCCGTGGCTGCCGGGTCCAGGTTCACGTAGAAGGCCGACCGGCGACTGTGGTGGAGATGGGTGATGAGGGCGGTGCAGAAGGTCGTTTTGCCGGCGCCGGCGGGGCCGGTGACGAGGACGCCGAATTTGGACATGTTTTTGTCGCCTCTTTCTTCGGGGGGTTTCGAGTCTGGTAGTTGGTGGCGGCGGTGGACTAGTTGATACTGCGGCACAGTCGACGCAGAAGATGAGATAGGTTCGCTGTCTGAGAAAGAGATAATTCACAACAATGGTAGTAGTAATTGCCGGCGTCTGTCCCGGATTCACAGTGTCCAGTCGAGCCTTTCGCTTTGATGAATACGTTGCTAGTGTATGTGTGTGTCGACGTTGACGAGGCTCTCTTCTCGATGCCTGCTGTCTTTCTCCTTTGTCTCCTCTGCTCGCTTCCCGCGTTGTAGCAGACCTACCAATTAAATCCGCAGTGACGTGGCAAGGTCAAGCAAGGACCAGGAATTCCTGTGCAGACTGTATCTCACTGAATGGCTTTTCTGTCGGACCTCATGCAACTTTGAGGCCACAGCTCTTTCTCAAAGGCGTTAGCGTCCTTTCAGCTAGAGCGACAAGTTTTTCGCCTTTGCAGTTGTCAAAGACACAAGACAGAAGTCAGAATTTGTTGTTTTGCATCTTCTTTTTCTGTGTTGTTGTTTCATCGTCGCTGTCGTCCACATATGCAAAAAAAGGGCTGCAAAAATATAGATGACGATCTTTCTGCCACCGCCTTCAGGGTTTGGATGGGCCCTTGCATTCGCCCAGTCGGATAATAATTATATCCATCCGCCGTCAGTTTAGTGAGGGGAAGATACTTGAGTTGACTGACCTCTGTCCGACGTTGTGAAGTCGGGGACTCTCTCCCCAAGTCCCCTCGAAGTCGCAGGAACGCAGAAGCAAATCAGATCAGGAAGAGAGCGTCACTCACCGCCATCATCTCCATGCCAGGCGTCCGAGGACAGAGCCAAAGGACGGCGCGCCTCTGCTGCTGTTGAGGGGAAGAAGACTGCCGGCATGGGGCCACCGGACCCTGCCGTTGGCTGTGGTGGTGCCTAGGTGTCTAGGTAGTGGGCTCTGTCCTGTGCCTAGTGCCTAAGGGACCAGCTATTGGGGCTGCCGGGGACATGACTTCCAGGCAACAAACTCTTGCCGATGCCGGGTCAAGGTGGGTGGCTTGTGGGTGGATTCCGCTTAGAGCTTGGTGTGATAACGACATCGCCCTGGTGGTTGATTTTTTTTCTCCTCACCGTGTGTCTCCGTCTCTCGCAAGTCCTCGTCGGAAACACCTCCATCCCCCACTCCCAGGCTATTTTCCCTTTTGCCAATGATTTAATACTGGCCTTCCTTCCACCATCAGCGTTCTCGTCTCCCTTTCATCCCAACACGCACACTCTCCATTAACCGGGCTGTCATCCTCCTTGCTCCCCAGAAGCACACATACACTTCCAAAAAGAAAAGGCTCGGCGTGGTGTCCTTCACCTCTGCATTCTTTTCGAGACAATCTCTTGCAACACACACCCTCTCTTTCTCTAATCTCTCCACAGTCACGACGACTACCGCTAACATGGCTGTCCTTGCCAACGGAGTGTCCTCCAAGGGCGACACCTTCCTCTTCACCTCCGAATCTGTCGGTGAGGGTCATCCTGACAAGATCGCGTACGTCCGCCTTGTTCTCGGTCCGCGCCTTGTCGAGACTGACAATACGTTTTAGCGACCAAGTTTCAGATGCCATCCTCGATGCTTGCCTGGCAGTCGATCCTCTGTCGAAAGTTGCTTGCGAAACTGCAACCAAGACTGGTACTCCATATTCTCCCACACCTTACGGCCGCCTCGCACATTCCCTGACACTTTCTAGGTATGATCATGGTCTTCGGTGAGATCACAAGCAAAGCCCACCTCGACTACCAAAAGATTGTCCGTAATGCTATCAAGGAGATTGGATACGACAGCTCAGACAAGGGATTCGATTACAAGACCTGCAACGTTCTCGTCGCCATTGAAGAGCAATCCCCCGATATTGCCCAGGGTCTGCACTACGATGAGGCACTCGAAAAGCTGGGCGCTGGTGACCAGGGGATCATGTTTGGTTATGCCACCGACGAGACCCCTGAGCTCTTGCCACTGACCATTCAACTTGCTCACAAACTCAACGCCGCCATGACCAATGCCCGCAAGTCCGGCGAACTCCCGTGGCTGCGACCCGACACCAAGACTCAAGTCACGGTGGAATATGCCCATGATGGAGGTGCTGTCAAGCCTTTGAGAGTTGACACCGTCGTGATCTCGGCCCAACACTCCGAGGACATCTCCACCGAGGACCTGCGAAAGGAGATTTTGGAAAAGATTATCAAGAAAGTCATCCCCGCCAAATACCTCGACGACAAGACCATCTATCATATCCAACCATCTGGCCTCTTCATTATCGGTGGCCCTCAGGGTGACGCTGGTCTTACCGGCCGCAAGATCATTGTCGACACCTACGGTGGCTGGGGTGCCCACGGCGGTGGTGCCTTTTCCGGCAAGGACTATAGCAAAGTTGACCGTTCAGCCGCCTACCTCGCCCGCTGGATTGCCAAATCACTCGTGAGCGCAGGTCTCGCTCGTCGTTGCCTGGTCCAACTCTCCTATGCCATCGGTGTTGCCGAACCACTCTCTCTCTTTGTTGAGACCTACGGTACCAGCACCAGATCCAGTGCCGAGCTTGTTGATATTATCCACAAGAACTTCGACCTCCGACCCGGTGTCATTGTCAAGGAGCTCAACCTTACCAACCCCATATACTTCCGAACCGCCAAGAACGGTCATTTCACCGACCAGACCTTCACCTGGGAACAGCCCAAGCCTCTGAAGTTCTAGATTTCTTTGTTTGTTTTCCGTGCCAACACTGGAAATCATGGCAAGAATCACGACTATCGGCGTTTCATATCATCCGTTGGGTTTTTCTTTCTGTTGGAGTACATATCCGTGGGAAAGCACGTGTCACAGTTTTTTCAAAGATAGAGGGATGGTGGAGAATTTCTTTCGATGTCCTGGTTTTCAACAGACTCAGGGTCGGAGATTTTCTTCAGCTGTCTTTGTTCTTGACTGCATGTGAAGAGGGTGGCACGTTATGGGGCACGGCCGATGGGCCCCAATTTGGCCAGCATTGGGTGCTCACAGAAAGAGAAAGACTTGTATGCTTTTCTTTACGCTTGTCCCTTACTAAAAAAAAGAATTCATGACGGCGCGGGTTACGTCTTGACGATATTCAACATGTTTCGATGATACCCCCTGCTGCGCGCTAGAGAGATTATGGTTTTTTGCGGGTTTTGATTAAAGTCTCTAATGGCACTTTTTGACGATGAGATCTGGCGTTCAACTCGCTAAATGGACACGACTAAGGGTGATGGTTGCGATGGGAAAGACCTCCAACGACGTGTCATGGCTTGGGCGGGCGAGGCTCAAGATGTGGAGACCTTGGGCACACGACTGTGTCATGCTCTTTCCTTCTCTCGAGGAACGAGAGAAGCTGACAAGACTCGCTTTGAGCGATGGGGTAGACGGAACCCGTCGATGGAGGACGGGGACATATTACTACTGCCACTGCTTCAGCCGGTCGGTTATTCAGTCTGCCAGGCTTAGGTACAGACAGGGACTAACGTTGCGTGGCCCTCGGTGTTGATAACAAGACAAGGCAAATCCAAAAAATGGCAGGCATCAACTAAACTGCCCACAAAAAATGGAAGAAGAATGCACCTACGAACTCTTTCTTTCCCCTTGCGCCCCCTTCGAATGTGCGTAGTAAGGGGTCTTCGTGTTGCGCTGAACGTCGTACTAAGAAATCCGCATATATATCCCTGAGAATATCGCAGCAGGAATGCGCGTAGTAAGAGATCCTCATATCCTAGTCAATACCGCACACATATGTAGTAAGGAAACCGACTTCCTTGAATGTCTTAGTAAGAAAGCTGTGGGGACGTTTCGCATTCTCGATCTCGTTCTCTCTGTGTGCTCCAGCTGACTACGGCTGCAGCTCTGTTCTGTTCTGTCTATGTTCTCCTCTCCTCCTCCGCGGCTGTTCACGGCCCACCTCCCTCGTGCTCGCTCTGACTCCACTGTTTCAATTCGGCCACGGAAGATCAATCGATCCGGGACAGAACAACAGCAAGTATAAAAAAGAAACATCTCCTGAGCTCATCATTATGTGTACATACCATATCGACAATTGGTTTATGTTGGTGACAGAGAGAGAGAGAGAGAGAGAGAGAGAGAGAGAGAGAGAGAGAGAGAGAGAGAGAGAGAGAGAGAGAGAGAGAGGGAGGGAGGGAGTAGGTAAAAGAAAAAGAATACAAAAAAAAGAACAAACAACATAATAAATCATAAGAAAAAGAAAAAAAAGACGAGGGAGAAAGAAAGAAAGAAAGAAAGAGAGAGAGAGAGAGAGAGAGAGAGAGAGAGAGAGAGAGAGAGATAGAGAGAGAGAGAGAGAGAGAGAGAGAGAGAGAGAGTGTGTGTGTGTGTGTGTGTGGGTGTGTTATAAAACAAAAAAAGGAAAACCAAGTCGAGTGGATGGCGCGGATGGCGTAGTATCTCTCTCCCAACAAACAAAACTCCTCATCCTTCTTTCATCTGTTGCCAGATATGTCTTTTGCAGTTCCAAATAGACTCCCAATGTGCGACCCAATTGAAACTCGCTTGTCTCAGATCGCTCGAGCATGTCGACCACCAAAAACAGGGTAAATAAGGGACAGTGTGCCTCGCGTAACGCATCAAACCTTCCTCCAAGGGAGCCTTCGTTTGGCCCAGTTTCGCCCAATTCAGAAAAATCCTCAAGGTGTATGGTGTCCCATCTAATGCGTCCCACGGCTTAGAAACAGTTCAACGAACTTCCTTTCCGTTTTTTCGTCTTTCCATCTTTGCCCACCGTCAACAGCCTCATTCTCTCCTCGAGTTGTGCCCTTGCCGCCTCAGCCTCTCTCCTCTTCTTGACTTCTTCCTCTACTGCCTGGACGCTTAGTCTCTCGGATCTTCTCTCCTTTTTGAGACCGACAAGTTCCTCTTCCATCGCCCACGCCTTCTTCTTCCAGGACTCCGCATCAACTCTTAGTTTGTTAGATTGCGTTTCAAGGTCCACAAGCGCTTCTTCCAGCGTTGCCGTGAGTTGTTTCTCGGCGTGGAGGTGTTTCTCAATAGTCCTCAACCGGTTCTCTTGTTCCTCAATCAGTGCAGACTGGCGTCGGTCCCGGGAAGTTGTGGAGACTACAGTCCCGGACACGGGGGTGACGGGAAGGGCAACCTCCTTTGACGCATGGCGAGATTGAGGTGGCGAAGGGTTGCTGTTAGCCGGCGTCGGCGATGTGACTTGAAGAGCGCCTGGAATGGCAGGCAGAGGGGGAAGAGGGATGGCCGGCGGCGGTGAAGGCAAGGATGCAATTGAAGCAGATTTCCTCAGGTTCGAAGAAGTCATCGAGTTGGAACGTGGGACTCCTTCACCGGGCGGCGATTGAGGACGGTGTTGGGACTTCATCGTGTTGGTGCGAGAGCCGCTGTCGGATCCTGCCTCGTTGACGGACGTCCGTTGGTTCAGATCCTTCTCCAGACTAGCAATGCGTTGCTGAGCTTCCATCAAAGCTTGGTTACCTTGGGCCTGGATGACCGAGAGTCGGTTGTGGTGCTGGTCAAAGCTGTTCTGCAGCTGCTGTTCAAGTTCTTCGATCATCACGAGCTTCTTTGCCTTCTCGGATTCGACCGCTTGGAGATTTGCTTCTGCCTTCTTGAGTAGTTCTTCTTTTTCGCGGATCGTTTCTTCGTGATTGCCGACTTCGTTCGCCAGGCTTCGGATGGTGTCCTGGTAATTGCTGATCTTGAGATTGGCTTTGGCGAGCTCTTCTTCCAATTCAAGCAAGCTCTGTCGGCCGTCAAGCTGCCGCTCAAGTTCTGCATTGGTACCAGTCAGTCGGATATTGGCCTCCGCCACATGGCGCTTCTCCTCCACGAGATCCTGAATATGGCTCGCGAGCATGTCTGCGGTGGTTGGATGGCCAAGTGCTGTTTGAGCGTTGGAGACAATTTTCTGCACAGTGGACAAGGCATGCTCAAGATCTGCCTTGTAAGTCGCCTCGAGCTTCGCGTTCTTTGCCGTTATTTCAGCGATTTGGTCATCGTATCCAGCCAATGCACCGGCATGAGCCAATTTCATCTCCTCGACTTCATTGGCATGAGCCTCGCGGAGGCTCTTCAGATTCTGCTTCGTCATTTCAACTTGTGCTTCCGCGAGTCTGACCGCTTGTTCCAGCCGCACAATCTCGGCCTTCAGCGCAGCGATCTCTTGCTGTTGAGATTTCACCGTCTCTGCATGGGCGTCGTAATCCTTGCTGAGAGCTGCATGGAGTTGACGAAGTTCGGAGTTCTTCGCTGAATAGTCAGCGTTGAGCATTTGTTGTTCCTCTAGTTGCTGTTTCAGGTTGGTGATGAGTTCTTCATAATTGTCACGCTCAGTCTGCATCGCGCTGGCAGCAGCAGCCCGGCCAGATGCATCGTCCCCTTCTCCGGCTGCTTGCTGCGCCTTCAAAGTTGCGATACTCGCCAAAGCCACCTCCAGCTCAGATTTCGTACGCATGTAGTTCTTTTCAGACTCCTCGACCGCTTGTTGCGCCGCTTCGAGTTTCGACTTCAACTCCTCTATTTGCTCATTCAAAGCATTGATCTTGTCCTCGTTGCCGGCCGTCGACGGAGCTGCCTGCAGGCTGACTTTTTCATCATGCAATCTCTGGATTTCCTCTTGCAGGTCTTGTTCACGACGAGCATAGCCTTCGTGTAGGGATTTCAACTCGGTCTCTTTTTGAATGATTTGGTCTCTCAATTGAGAGACCATATTAAGGTCGACTGGAGATCCCACCTTGATGCTGGTCCTTTCCCTTGTCAGGCCGGAAATTATCGTTGATTTCACTTCCATCTCCTTCTTTGCATTCTTGACCTCCGCTTCCAGAGCTTGGATTCGTTCCAAGCGGGTTTGGAGTTCGTTATTCGCAGCTGAGAGGTGTACTTCGGCGGTTTCCATGCGATCAGGTTTCGATTCCAACTCTTCAACGAGGAGGGTCCGCAGAGAGGTAACAGATCGCTGACCTCGATCAACTCCGGTTCCGCTCTGTGAGGTCATACGTCTCAGCATCCCTGGGGTACCAGGTGATGCAGGTCTAGGCTGCTTGATCTGTGATTTCAAGCGTTCCATGGTGGCCAAAGCTTCCTTGTGATCAGTCTGGAGCTGGTTATATTGTTCAGTAACGTCTTTCATGCTGCGCTCATGTTCGGCGAGAAGAGTTTGCAATCTTTCAATCTCTTGCGTTTGAACCTCCACGGACTGGGCGGTCTTGGAGACCGGCGTGATGTCGGTGTCGGTTGAGGTCGATGACTCCCCAGCCATGGACAATTCCGAGGAGAGCGATCGCGAGGATGGCACATGTTGACCATCCTCGTCTTCTCGCGCCTCCTCCGCCTCCTCCAAAAAGAAAGACTGATCTTGAGTACTTTCATTAGCTCCATCTTCCTGCGGAGACATCGTACTTTGGCGTTCCTGGTCCATTGATTCATGCATCTCGGCCAGAGTTCGAAGTGCTTCTTGGTATTTGGCCGAAAGTAGATCCAACTCATTGACTGTTGATTCGTGCTCTAGTCGGAGGTCAAACAACTCTTGACTGACTGATTCGAATTTCTCGGTAATGAACTTTGACTGTGCGGGACTTGGAAGAGCTTCCTGATCATGCTCCGCCTTGAGGCCTTCCTGCTGAGCGACGGCAGTCTCGAGCTTTTCAAGACCAGCTTGGTCGCTTTCCGCGGGCGTTTCTTGCGGCAGGTCCTCCACATGCTCATCAAGTTCTCCGTCTTCTTGTGCCGGTAATTCGGTTGCTTCAGCCGTTTGTAGATCCTTCTCATGCTCATCCTTCTCAGGCTCCTCAGCGACTCCATTTGTTTGAGGCGGGTTTGCAGCCTTCACTTTTCCGTCTTTGTCTTGGATGTGGTCGAGCTCATACAACAGATTGTCCAGTTTGCCGAGACTGCGTTGTCGCTCAACAAGATGCTGGAGTCTATCAATCTCGCGTTGCATTATCTCCATGTCTTGATCCGCCTCCGCCAGCCGCTCTTCCAGAGTACAGATGTAATCTTCAGCGTTGGTCTCACTTTCTCTGATCCGTGAAATCTCTTTGCGCAGATCTGTAATGATAGCATCGCTCTTTTCTCCCCCAGAACTTTGGTCATCGAGCCTTGCCTCCAGGTCATGGAGATATTGTTCCGTATTAGACTCTCGATCCATCAGTTTCTGAACTCTTGCATTTAGTTGCTGGTTGACTGTTTCAACGAAAGCGCATTTCGTCTCTTTTTCAAGGAGATTGCTTTCGGTGGTGGCGAGGGACGAGCGCGTGTTCGAAAGGTTGTCCTCGAGACTCTGGATTGTCTTCTCGTATTCCATGACCACTTGTTCAATCATTGCTTGATTTGCCTGTGAACGTTTCAGGCGATCCACCGCACTTTCTCCGACGATGTTGACTTGATCAATAGGTTCAGTGCTTTTGGTCAGCTCGGAGACCAATCTGGCATGTCTCTGACTGAGTGCGTTGTAGCTCTCCTGGATATCCAACAACTGATTTTGTAGTTCATTTTCTCGATCACTGGGTCGATCTCCTCGTTCAGACATCATACCAGGTCGGCGGTCGTTCGTTTCAGCGCTTCGGATTTGCTGTCTCAGAAAGGCGATTTCAGTGCGCAATCGTTCAATCACGGCTTGCTTGTCTGCTCCATCATCAACTTGTTGAATCTTGGGTTTGCTTTGGATGTTTCGAGCCCGCTGTGCATACTGCACCGTGTTGAGCGTCTCGCTGAGGTGGAATTCCGCCGGCGTGACGCATGCAATCATATATGTAATTGCGTTGCCACCTAGTGAGTCTTGAAGCATCCGTGTCAATTTGGAATCTCTGTACGACACATACGTCCCCGGTGTTCTTGATGACAGCTGAGAAATCACTTTGCCTAGACTTGCAAGTCCAGCATTGATCGAAATACCCTCCCGCGCACGATCGCCAGTAGCACCAGTGTTCTTCAATCGTTCACTACCTGCCAAATCGACAAAATGGAGCTTGCTCTCAACCGTCATGGGTGCATCGCCTCCGGCCATTTGATCGGCTAGCACTGATGATGCTCGCTTGTCTTTAGCTGGAAACCCTTGTGCTTTGGTTTGCCGCAGGTTGACTGTGAAGACGGCGTGAGAACGAGAAGACCGGGCGTTGATGGCCGTTGCATCGGTCTGTCGAATGGCAGATCCGTGATTCAATACACGCATGAGCTCCTCGATGGAGGACACGCGTACTGAATTGAGGCCTTCCACAAATATCCGGCCCCGAGGATCTTCACGAATCTGAACATTCGCTCTCTCTGTGAAAGGCGCGTCTTCTGGGAGCAGTAAATCTCTCGGCTGCTCGTTGTAGATCTCAACGTAGGTCACCGACATGTCCCATCCCCTGTCAATGAATGATTTGGATGTTTGCATAACCTGATTTAGACTGGTGACTGAATATCTGGTTGGGGTTTTGAGGCCGGAGTTGTGCCTACTGTGGGCAGGTCCGCCATTGAGACTTTCGAATAAGTGTTGCGCTGCTCGAGGAATAACACCTATCACTACAGGTTAAGCGTGTCCAGTGCTGGATAGAGATTTCTTACCTTTCAAAGAATTATCGAATTGTTCTGCGGGGCCTGATGTGCCCATGGTGTAACTTTTGCCGGCACCAGACTGGCCGTAGGCCAGTAAGGAAACGTTGTAGCCCTGCAGGAACGAATCGACACTGTCTTGCAAGTATTCCCACACTGCATTCTGAGTGGTATCTTCACCAAAGACACGGTCGAATATGAAAATCTTCCGCCCTTGGGGTGACTCAACGGCAAGACTGGTATTTGTGTTTACTTGGACCATCGACCGCTGGAACCTTTGTGGAATGAGGTCGAACCCGGGATCTGAAGGGCCTAGAGGAGGGCGAACTCGGACAACTTCGCAGCATTATTAGTCTTCTGCTCTCCGTTCAACCGCTGTCTGTAATTGACTTACCAACTTTGACCGAAGTTTTGACATCTTCATCAGAGGCTCTACTTCCAATGTGATTGCTGCTCTGGCTCATACGGCTCTGGCTTCTGGGAGGGCGACCAGCCGTGCTCTGCGGCCTGTTTTTCTGGAGAGGATCTGGTGACGATGCTGAGTACATGCTCTGATGTCGCATTTGGCGTGCGCCATCAGGGGAGGCTGGAGGGGAGGAGACCATCCTGGTATGCGCTTCTCTTGTAATATTGTCCAATGGAGCGGTCCCTCCTATCCCGTCGAGAGGGGCCGACCAACGTGTGTCAAAGAACCCAACACCTCGAGATTTCTGGCCGACGGGGACGCGTTGTTGTCACCATTAAGCTCCAATTTCCAAAGTTCGAGAACAAAACATTCCACAAAGGGTGGGAGGAGAAGGTGTGGGTGAAAGCTTAACAATCTTTCACTTCAGGACTCGATGATCCGTGGCAGGTACGGGTGGGCTCAAGGTTGGGCGGGTCAACGGTTCTGGTCGAAGGTGATCAGGGAGTGACAGTCGGAGAGGACCGGGCGGATAGATCCTGATAACCACAATTTTCCTGCTGTGGTTTCTGTTGGTCAACGAGGGTAGTCCGGCCGGAGAGTGTCAAGAGCAATCGCAGGGGCGATAGAGCTGGGAAGAGGAAACCATTCGAGTAAACACAGAGGGAAAAGGCCGCACTCGCGTGTGAAAAGAGCAGTCAGGAGTTGTCAAAAAAGTCGAGGCGAGGAGAGTTCATGCGCGGCCATCTCGCGTTGTGGGATCCCCTAATCAGTTAAGCCTGCTCCTACACAGGCAAGGCTTCAGGTACCTTGTTGACCAAAAAGTGGCAGCAATTGGCAGAATTAATCTCCGGCGGCCGCGGAAGCCAGCTAGAGGATCAAGCTAGAGGGGACGCGGTTGATTTAGTAACGGTCCTGGGACGGTGTGGGGGGTTGAGCTATGCCTATTGGGCAAGTGGCTGGTGGAAGCCCACCCCAGCTGATCATAGGCTGTCCCAACCCTGGAGCCGTGCCTGGGGCGATCCCCCTTTCCGCCTATAGGACGTGGGTGCTTTGGGGGCTTATTCTGATTAGGTAAAGTGTGTTCCTGCTGGTTTGTACTTCCGGGTCTGGCTTCAACGCCCCGACCGGGGCCAACTCTAGTCCTATCCCATTCACGCACCTTAGGCCGTCTTCCCGAGTAAGCCATGGGACCAGGGTATGCGTTTCACAAATGAGTTCTCCTATCCTAACTCAGGGGGGTTCAAGACGGTGCAGTCACTACTGCAGGGGACCTCTTGTTAACCAGGCTCGCTTAAAGCACATCTCTCGCTATCTTTCAGAACACCTTCGTGTCTGCCACTTGATGTTTGAATTCTGGAAGGGCCCAGCCCTCATGAAGCCACGATTGTTTTTTGACTAATCCGTTGATCCAATTGTCCTGCACTCTCTTCTCATGGTTTCATCGCAGAGAGCGCAACGGGGCAGGTTTTGGAGCCTCGTAATGAGCTCGACAGAACTGGGCTTGGCGTTGGGCTCAGGTGATGCCCTCAACCGTGTGGATGGCGGATATCGAGGTATAAACCGTTCTCGCGCCAAACATTCCTTCATCGGTGGGATCCTCCCAAGCAAGATAGCTCAGTGTAATAGTGAGCGGATGACAGTCCTCTGTCCTCAACCTCGTTTGTGGCAGAACTCCGTACATAGGATCCCAAGCAACCATAGCTTCATGCACTTGCCTACTACGAGCACCCACGGCACGTTAACACTGACACCGTAGCTGAACTTTGGCTCCGGCAAAGTTTACCGGGTCAACTACTCCGTACTCGTGCACTAGCAGGCGTCAACTCTCTGAGCAGTAAATTCAAGTGAAACAAGCGGCCTCGCACGTGGAGAAGTCCGACTTCAAGACTTGAATTTTGAGGGGGGATAGAGTTCGAAGCAGCTGCGGACTCTCGTCCACCATGGTGTGATTCGAACCAAAGATGGCCATCGAGAGAGAGGAGGGTGGCGAGGATGCAGCAAGGGGGCTCTCTTGTCACCAGCCTTAAAGGCGGCAACGTTTGGTTCGTGTGTTGTTTGTTGTTAATGATGATATGACTGAGGTCGTGATAAGATGCGGGGTCTAGGAAGTGAGCGCCTTCGCTTGCGATTGATGTTTCACTTTGCTGAGGGTGGTGACTTGAGTAGCACGCCCCGGTAGCCCTCTGTAAGTGTTCCAGCCTCCAGGGGAGCAGGCCTCTCTCCTCGAAACAGACTGGCGTGGGCGGGACGGACGGGGATGGCTGGTACGCCCAGCAGATCATTTTGTCGCCCTGGTCTTCAATCCTGGCGTGAATACTCCGGGCTCCGTTCTTGTTCTCCGAATCAACGCGGGGGAACCTGTATCATCGAGCGCATGATCTCGATAGCGTGGATCCATTCGATATCAAACTGTGTCGGAGACACCGTTGCCTGCGAGGTTCTCGCTATCATCGCCTTCATCATCATCGTGGTCTTCGTCATCGGAGCCGCTTGGATCAACTTCCTCTGGCTCATCTCCTTTGGCGTCCCCGTCCACGCCGTGTTCTTTCATGTAGGCCTCAAGTTCTTTGGCCATTTTCCGGGAGAACCCGGAAGCTTCAACTTCGACATCGACTCGTCTGACCCCATCTTTGCCAACCAATTGTCTGGCATCCTTGAACAGTGGACCGTCATCCGTGCTGATAAATCCAAATCGCCTTGCAAAGAACCGCTTGAGGCATTCCACATCCCTGTCGAAATAGAACTCTGCATTTGGGTGATCCACACTGACCATCTGGGGAAAGTCTATCAAGACCGGCACCAGCTTGATATCATCGCCCTGCTCTTCTTCTTTGATCAGAATGTTAAACTCATTGAAATCGCCATGTATCAGACCGAGCGAGCACAAGCGCACCACCATCTCGATCAGCTCCGCGTACAGTCCTGCCGGATCTGGTACGTTTTCGATCTGTCGCAGTGGAAATCCGTCAATCAATGACATGACCAGCTGGTGTCGATTCTGGCCCAGTGGGGTGGGGACACTCAGACCCGCGTTGTGTAGGGCTTGCAGAAAGGCAAACTCTTTGATGGCAGCCAGGCGTGACATATACATCCAACTGCCAGCACCTCTCTCCTTCTGAGCCTTGGTTTTGGCATAGTCCCGTTTGTTCCGCACCCCTTTCTTGAAGCTCACTCTGCCCAGGCGATGGATTTTTAGCACCCGCTGTTCACCCTTCTCGTCGCTGACGACGAATATGTCACTCTCTTTGCCAACCCCAATTTGATTACCCACACCATAAACAGTGCTACTCTTTTGCAAGGAGTGAAGCGCCAGATAGTCGAGCCCACCGTAGGTCAGTCTGTAACCGTCGTATTTTGCATTTTTGACCTTTGCAATCAGATTTGCTTTGGCAAGCAAGGAGATACTCCGTTGCACGTCGCCCAGACTGGATTTTGAAAGGTTTGCGATAAGTGGGGTGGGGACGACTTCATGATTTCGGCTTCCTGTCTCAACGGCAGTCAGAGTGCGCCAATCGGTAGGGTTGAGATATCGGAGGGACTTGGTATCTAGCTTCATTGTTTATTGGGAACAGGATGTCTCATCGCCATCATCGAAATATTGGAGGTGGACTGCGATCGCCAACAGTGTGGAAGAAGTCGCAGACAAAAATTGTGCGGAAGTTGAATTTCTGCATCTAATCTAATCTGGAGTGGGGGGAGGCTTTGGCCCCCACGAATACTCCATACAAGCAAGGAAAGTCACACAACCGACCCCACGCCTGAGGTGTCTCATTTTCACGCAAGCGACTGGTTGTGTAGCCCACATTCTGGGTGATCTGATTCTCTGCCAATGTTCCGTTGAATTGATGAAGGCACCAAGGTATTATGTGACCCCGGTAGGACTCCGCCTTCCAGCAAAAACGGACACGTCGGAGTGTTACCGGGCTGCTGCCACCCTCCTGGCGTTCGGCATCATCGGTTGATTCGACCGATGTTTTCCTGGAGGGCGTGCTCCTATAGATGGCCAGTCTTGGATGACTGGACACGAGACGGAAGCAAAGAAAATTCTGGCACGGAACAATCCATAAAGCATTCTGGACGCTTTCACGGGATGCCCAAAAGAAGGAACCCGAGGCAGGGGACTCAAACACCGCCCAGAGTGCCCTGCAATTTGCGATGTCGCAACATTAACAAAGGCGGTGATGGCGGCGGCACGAAGCGGCATCAGGCGGAGGAACCCAAAGAATGAACATTTCACCCGGACTGGCTTCCGTGGTATTATTCTAGGTCTTCTGCTACCCCTTCGCCCTTCGGGCCTACTCGCACCGAAGTGCATGTGTGGGAGGGGAGACGTCTCATCTCACCATGGCCCCTCGAGCGCAAGCGGCAAATGGCTGAATGGAAGACTAGTCAAGCCCAGTCTCTCCACGAGTTTGCCAGCTAGGCCCCACCTAAACAAAGCTTTCAGGACGGTCATTTCCCCGCATTGATTCTTGAGGAAGCGAGGAGAGAGGCACACGGGAGATACAAGGACTCCGCCGGGTCTTATATATCCCACTTTTCCCCTACCTCGCTGCTTCCTGATCGTCTGAGATCTCATATCCTGTCCAGACACTATACGAACAGCCTCCCAAAATGTCTGCAAAGCATTTCATCGATGATCCGACGCACCTCGTGCAGACTGCTCTCCATAGCTTGACCCTTATAAACCCGTCGGTCGCATTCGACGCACAAAACCGAATTGTGTATCGACGACCAACAAAGGAGTTGACAGACAACCCAAAGGTCTCCATTATCACTGGTGGAGGCTCTGGCCACGAACCAGTAAGTCTATAGCTGGGGCTGATGTGCAATCCTGGGCCTTGGAGTTTGGACCTTTGGCGGCTGCGACCGAGTTCTTTTTAGGACAATCATACTAACCGGGTGACTTTGCCTCCGGACAGGCATTCGCAGGCTTTGTAGGAAAGGGTTTCGTCACAGCCGCTGTTGCAGGCACGATTTTCGCGAGTCCCTCCGCCGAGCAAGTTCGTCGTGCCGCTCTTACAAGAGTACCCACCGAGAAAGGAGTTGCCATAGTCACGTTCAACTACACCGGGGATGTCTTGAACTTTGGTATGGCTGCCGAGAAGGCCAAGGCTGCGGGAGTCGACACCGAGTTCTATGCAATCGGTGACGATGTAGGTGTTGGCCGGGCAAAAGGAGGCAAAGTCGGCAGAAGAGGCATTGGTGGCTCCATTTTGGTTCTCAAGATAATAGGAGCTCTCGCCGAGGCTGGTGGAAGTTTGAAAGAAGTTTACAACCTTACCAAACAAGTTGCCGCAAACCTTGTGTCTGTCGGAGCGTCAATGGAACACGTCCACGTTCCCGGACGAGAGAAGCCTGATCCAAACTCCGACGAGTTCATACCGACGGAGGAGATTGAAATCGGCATGGGCATCCACAACGAGCCGGGCAGTCATCGTGTCTCCGCAACACTACCTGAACTCGTCAAGACCATGCTGGGGCAAATGCTGGATCCCAATGACAAGGACAGGCATTACGTTGACATCAAGAAAGGTGACAAGACAGTGCTGCTGATAAACAATCTAGGTGGTGTCAGTAATTTGGAAATAGGCGGCATCTTGGCTGAAGTGCACAAACAACTCAAAGAAGACTGGGGCATTGTTCCTGTTCGAGTGATCGCCGGTACCTTCATCACCTCGCTCAACGGCCTGGGATTTTCGGCATCTATACTGAAGCTGGAGGACACGGGCTTGGGACCAGGCAAATCGATGCTCGAACTTCTTGACGCCCCGGCGGAGGCCTTTGGATGGGCTGCCGCCACCCGGACGTCCACCTGGGAGGCTGACAACTCCGCGACCATGGAGGGTCATGCAGCGGTTACAGCAGAAGGCAAATCTTCTAATCTGAAACTCGACCCCGGTAAAGCGCATGCAGCCCTCAAAGCCGGCCTGGACAAGATGATCGCTGCAGAAGCAGAAGTGACCAAATACGACACGATCATTGGAGACGGTGACTGCGGAATTGGACTGAAGCGAGGAGCCGAAGCTGTCCTGAAGGAGCTTTCATCTGGCGAGCTTCCTGCCGACGCTGTTGCCTTTGTCAATAAAATCACACCCGTGGTTGAAAACACCATGGACGGCACGTCGGGTGCCATCTATGCCATCTTCCTCAATGCGCTGGCTCACGGACTGCGAGAACAAGATACTGAATCATCCACGACCGTGGACGCCAAAGTTTGGGCTGCAGCCCTCAAGTCCAGCCTTCAGGCGTTGGGTAAATATACGCCAGCTGTGCCTGGTGATAGGACGCTGATGGATGCGCTCGTCCCATTTGTTGAGACGCTGAGCAGCACAGGAGACGTGAAGAAGGCGGCAGAGGCGGCCAAAGAGGGCGCGGAGAAGACTAAAAGCATGAAGGCCAGCTTAGGAAGAGCTGTGTACGTCGGGGCGGAGGATGAGTGGATGGGCAAGATCCCCGATCCGGGGGCTTGGGGTTTGCAAGAGTTTTTGATCGGGCTGGCTGGTGCCTGTTGAATAGTGTACTGAATATACGCAGACGTGGTCGTCCGCGCATGGTTGGAGCGTTGATCTCCTCCCTTCTACCACGCTTTGCGATGGGAAAAGAACCAAACCGCAGCTTCCACCCAGGCAACAATTCAGGCACCAAGTGGCGCGAAGAAAACCACAATATTTTCTTGCTGGCCTGTTGCTGGCCTATCGATAATTTGCCACTCGCTCGCATGTTGCTCCGTCTGCTGCCTGCGCCGGGCAGTTGCATTCCTCCAATGTCGTACCAGTATCGGATTTTGATTGCGGTCCATTGCGACCGCCGTTTCCTACCCTATCCCAGAAATCGTGATTTGTGTCGAGCGACTGTCGTCCCAGCAAAACCTTTCCGTTATCGTGAATGAGGACGTGGAAGCCAAAACGGCCGTCCGCATGCGCCCTTCTGGTCAAGACGCACTCAACTCAACAAGACCAAAATAACGCTATCCCCCCTCAAAAACATTTTGCTGATGAATCGGTCCTTGTTGACACCTTTGGAGCCCCCTTTACCCTTTTCCGTCCACATCTCCTTGACGTTCTCTAGCACCATGTTGCAGTGGCGGTCAAAGGCTTTGACCCGCGCGAGCAGCTTTCGGTTGTTCCGACAGGAAATTAAGACTTGCGTGTGTGTGCGGGTGGCAGTCATAAGGATGGAAAGCGGCCCCGTTGAGAGTTCGTGGGCCTCGACGAGGGAGACTTCATATTCTCTAAAAAGGCGGTGTTAGCAATTGTCGAAGAGGATAAAATTAGCCCAGGATGCGCGTTGGCGCGTAACCAGGACACGTGATATCTGGGGGATAGAGATGATCGAATGCGTGTATCGAATTGATGATGCATCCGAGAGTGTGTGATGGATGGTGATACAGCAACCGACGACCAGTGGGAGAAGTGGAAACCGGAGGGCGGAGCGGAATCCACCTCGAAAGGGGAGGGCGGAGGAAGGGGGGGTAGGGAGAGGTAAATGACGGGTATACAGGGAGAAAGGGGGGTTAGCGGGACATTCCACGTACGTCAATTCACTCCTCGGCTTGTTCAGCAGATCCCTAAAGCAAAAAGAACACCAAAAGGTCAGTAGAAGTTCCTCCAGCCTCCAGCACGAAAACGCAGCCGGTCGCTGCGGAGATAAGCTTGGGCCAGGGACAGGGGTATGAGTCAGAAGGGGGCATACTGAATCTTGGAGGCGTCGGCCATGGTCGCGATGCTCTGAATACTTAAAGAGTCTCGATTCCCGTGCCATGTAGAACAAGGAAATTTCTTTACATCCTCTCGGGCAGAGGAATTATGCTCGGCTAAGTTGCCTTCTCTCGAGGGATTTCGGGAAGTGGTCGAAAGAGGCATAGTGAGGCTGGCCTCGGCCATCTTGGGCCTAGCTCCAATTGACATCATCCTCCTCCTGCATTGTTCCGAGCCCCGAAAGGCCAATGCAGGTCGCGCCCTCAGAGCTAAAAAGCCACCCGCAAACACGCGACCAATTCGCGCTACAGGCTTCTCGATAGTCGACGCTCAACCATACCTCCTGCACCTCCTCATCGAGCTCTCAATTGAGCCTCTCTTTCTTTTGTTCTTGTTGTAGCGATTCACCTGAATGACCCTCTTGTTTGTCTAATCCTTGGAACCATTGCTTCGGAGTTTGAACCAATATATTATCATCTTCATTCTCATCATCATCAACATCTTCTCCTACCAGTCCAATCCATCTTGTCAACCTGATCATATCAGGACCAACTCACATCCCCTCTCCGAATTACACCCTCCACGCGTTCCAATCCTCCACTTCACAGCTTCCCAGCTCGCACCAGCAGCTTCTCGAAGCGGGGAGAGGTGGCTCCTCCGTCGCGGTCTCTAGCACCATGGCCACTTCTCCCGCAGATGGCGTCTGCATACGGACGGTCAGACTCAAAGTTCTCTACACGTTTGATTCCGAGCAAAAAGACAACCACCTTGCACGGTGGCCTCAATCCTTAGAAGTGCAGACCGCCTTTATCGACGACATAAGTCAGATCGGCGTGATCGACCTGCGGACGTGTTTGGAAGCTGTCACGACTGCCAGTCCCGAGCTCACCGCGCTCCTCGATGGCGACTACACTATTTACGCCTACGATTACTCAGAACCTGATACACCGTTAGTTGGGCAAGGGATGTTGTCAAAAGCACTGGCTGGACAAGCTCAAAACACCGGCGCTGATGGCGAGGCCATGGTCACGGGCAAGATCTCCAAGAACATTATGGGTTTGTTTTCCAGGAACGCTCAAGAGACGCTGGAAGTGAAGCTTCGATTCACACCTGTCAACACGTTTGCACAGACCAGATATCGCTCGGGGAGTGTCAGCTCACAAGACGGGACGCGGCCTCAGTGGAATAACGGGCCTCCCATGCAGTCACTACATGGATCAGCATCCCCAATTGATACTTCGGGACTAGAAACAATGCAGCGAATGCTGAGCGGCGAGACTCTGCATGGATCAGGATCAGGCAGCAGACCTGGTACGCCGATAACAACACAGCACCTCGGTCAGCCGGTTCGGCAGCCTAGCCATCCATCGCGGCCAAATTCGCGAGCGGGAATGCGTCAGACTACGGAAGGGAGGCGTGAGTCGTTCCAGTCTGGATATTATAGTGGCGATGAGATCGGGGAAGAAGGTCCGGCAAGGAAGCGAGCGAAGACGACCAAGGTCGATTTGCCAACAAAGTCTAACTTCAATATTGAACGACAACCCGAGTCGCTCAGAGTCGTTGCAAGTACCGCATCAAGCCTCCGCCTTCATCGCCCCATCGCAATAAACCCTGCTGCGGCTGTCCAGGCAAATGCTCAGACTGAAGAAGCTGCAAGGCCGCCTACCCCGATCCCTGCGTCTAAAACAGGCAAGCCACGAGGAAGACCAGGACGACCACGAAAGAACCCTCCTAGCAGTTTAGCCCAGAGATCTCAGGTTAGGGAATCGTCTCCAGCAGCAGACGTGTGTCCTCAGCCTGAGCTCCTTGCTGTGCCTATTGCGTCGCCTGAGGACACTCGAGGTCAAAGTGTCAGCAGTACGCCTGCCAATATACCATCGTCACCACCTGTCATGCCAGAATTTCGACAGCCAGCGATTACTAGTCCTGTACTTCCGCCCGTGATCGATTCCTCCGGACATGACTCAGGGTTTATGAGTGGCAACCTTGAAGATTTCTTCGGAGACGATCAGTTGTTGCATTTTGATGACTTCATCGTGGACAAACCGGAAGATCAAGATCCGGACGGTTGTCAGGAAAAGCAACATCCGACCGATCAATATCCCCCAGTCTTTGACGAAGGCAACGAGCTCGAAGAAGGACAACCAGCGCAACCGGGGTATAACATCATGCCCCCGCCGCTTCCTGTCGCATTAAAACCACTGGCTAGAGCACAGTCTTACACTCCACTACCAGCACCACGGATTAGCATGTCGTCACCGCGACTGGCCCCAGCCCCCATTCCAAGAGCTCGGCAGATCATGGAAGAGCAACGTGAGCAACAGCGGAAAATAGCTCCTGCGCCTCTTATACCGAAGAGTGATCCCGCACCCAGAGCACTACACCGAGCGCAAACATGGGCGCCTGATAGCGATGTTCCTATGTCCGATGCTCCTGGAGGCGACGAGGCAAAGGCAAAAGCTGCATCCAAGAAGAAGGTTGGCAAGGAGCAGACCAAAGCAAGATTAGAAAATGCTATCGCAAATGGAGTCATGCCACCTTTCTGTGACAACTGCGGCGCAATAGAAACACCCGCGTGGAGAAGAGCCTATGTCAAAGTTTTTGATTGCGCTTGGAACGATGTTGAGACGTCTCTGAACCATGGTGAATGCTGCTTCAAGGAACCCATCGACCACAATCCTGACGGCACTGTGAAAACCTTCCGAGGCTACAAAGTGGACAAACGACAGGGTGACGAAGCTGATGATTGGGAGGCGATAACGTTGTGCAATCGTAAGTCGACTGGGAGTGCATGTGAGGCGTTGCTAACATTCTTCAGCGTGCGGCTTGTGGTTTCACAAGCAGAAATGCCCACGTCCTGCTTCAAAATGGCAGAAGAAAGATCCCAAGGAGAAGGGCAAGCGCAAACGAAACCTACCCAAACCCTTTGGGAAGAACAATCGAAATTCTGGCCTCAGGAGTGATGCCCAGAGTCCTGCTAGCGACGACTCTTCTCCAGCAGATTCAGCGACTGACGCGCCTGATGCGGAAGAAAACGACACTGAAATGTCTCAGAACGGCAATGCCGCCGCCGCCGACGATGGCGAACCACAACTGCCGCCGATCCCACGCTCATTACGCGCAAACAGCGTCGGTCCTGGAACTCGAGGTGTGCAAGCCAGGACCCGTTACCAGACCAGTGGCAGACAGGTGCAATCAAGTCCTCCACGTGCGCATGGATCAGAAGACATTCCCATCGAGATTGATCTGACTCCGAAGCCCCTGCGGAGACAGCTGTTCCCTTCTCCGGATAAACCGCAAATACGCTCGGATTCTGGGCCCGCAAATATAACGACTAACAGCTCACTGCCAGCCTTTGTGAGACGAAGTCCCAGACTCAATAAGACTAGGGATGCTTTTGCAGCACCGGCAGCAGCGGTTGAATTGGCAGTTGATGGAAAGGAAAATGTGGCTCCTGTCCCAGCAGTTGTTGACGATGGCCTGGCAGACTTGTTCGAGGAGACACCAGCCGATCTTCCGCTGCCGCCCATGACTCCCACGCCGAAGAGACGATCTGAGCGAATCCTGCTTAAGACGCCCTCGAAGACACCACAACGTCAGTTTGGTGCCCGTTTGTCTCCCAACGCTGAGCAAACTCCCCAGTTCCGGACACCCAAGGCCAGACAAGAACCTCACCCTGCTCTTGCTGCCTTGCTCGGCACTGTGCAGAGAGACTTGCTGCAGATGACACCTTTCTCGCGCTCAATTCATGAGGCCCTGACTAGTGATCGCCCTTTGGATCTGAATCTCACGGAGGAGGATAAAGCTCTCTTGCGGAACAGTGGGAAAAAGCCAACACCGAAGAAGGCCATATCATTTGACTTTCCTGATTTGCCATCTCTCAAAAATTCTTCCCCGTCATCAGGTGACCAGCTCATGAACTTCGCCTTCTCGGAGATGACAACGGATCAGCTGACCAGTGATCTACTTGATCCTTTCATCAACCCTGCGATGACGAGCTCACCGCCTACGGGATTCTTCGGATACTTTGACACCACGGACATGGACAACGGAGTCAACTCGATGTGGGAGAATCTAGTCGATGTGGATGCGGCTTACCATCCCGGGCAATCTACGTATCCTGACCCTGAGGCATTGACTGCTCCAGGAACGGTGGCTCAAGGAGTACGGAGAAGCCCAAGAAAACAGAACGCGAAATGAGACGTCGGCAGAACTTAATTTCTGTGGCGGCGACTGAGGAGGTTGTGTTTGCGAGACAGTGGCTACAAGCCCTGCATTTCCTCATCTGCCCAGGTTGGCTATTGTGCAGCAGGCGCTTATGACATGTATGATACTCAGGCAGGGTTTCATTGAGGATATCGTCGACGTTGTCGTGGTTGTCATCTCTCCGCATACAGAGTCCAAGGCCGGGATCGGCGGACTCAATACCTTGAGCAACGAGCAATACAGTGTTTTCAGGCACGCCCTGCTTAGATAGACTTGTCATCCCATACTCCTATTTACCACGGTTCCTCGTCTCCAGAAGTACCGCGTGCGACCAAAGCCGTAGTAGACCCCGTAGGCGATCAGTATTATCGTGACCAGTGCTCCTGTTCGTGGGAAGAAGTTATGACCCGTACAGCCAGCCGAACAAAATTCATCACTCCTAACAATCCAATGTTCGGTTCTCTTCTCATTTTCGTCAATATCCGGCATCCATCCCACCCTCGGGATCACCGTAGAAGATATTCTTGTAACGATGGGTCACATCCACCACTGCTTCGAACAGCTTTAAATCTGGCAGTTGTCCGTTCTCATTTCGAGGCCATTCCGTGCTGCTGAGTACTCGTAGACCCAGGCCGTGCCCGCCGTCCGTGTTGGTGACTTTGCCCACGATTTCGTACATTGAGCCAACCGAGAGGTGGGAATCTCTGCAGAGACTTGGTCAGCTTTTCGGTCGCTCGCTAGTTGAGGGTACATTCTTTGGGTGTGTAGCCCCATACCTCGCCAGCAGAATTGTCACAGCATCCGAGCCGCACGTCAATGTCGCTTGATCACCGTTGACGTGACTTATGATCCCTAGCATGCGAACTGTGTTGTGAGAGGTGGCATTGGGCGCAAATGCATGAAGGTGAGCAGGCAGGATTCGGGGCGTAGACATGGAATTCATGTTGGCTGAATTGTGGCTGCTGTCTGGCGTCTGCAGAGTGTGAGTTACAGTAGGTCTGTTCGAGTACCTCGTACTTGGTGGTGTTTGCCCCTCTTGGAATCACTTTACGCGATTGACGCGTCTGCGCTTCGCCTCCAGAAACTGCACCGTGCAATTCTTCGGTTGCGTACAGGTGCTGGCCGGGGTCGATCTCCGAGATTCTGCCCGCCGCTTAACCCCAAACTCTAGCAGTGCCGGCGGTCATCCAGCGGTGCCCCATCTCGCTGCTACTAAGTACAGACAGTCAGTATTTCAATCATCCCACTTTGGAATGTCATAAGGTAACTGAAACACAAGTTAGATGACTACGTCGCGCAAAGGGAAAGCTCCGGATCGAGGAACAGCGTCTGAACCCCGATATCACTCTTCCCCCAAACGACCAGCCGCCGCCGGTGAGGGCAGTCCCTCCGCAAGAGCCTCGAAGAGACACCGCATCTCCGTGCTCGATCTGCTTTCACCCCAGCAAGGCAGCAAGTCGAATGATAAGTCCCGAGACGAGCCTATCGAGGGAGAGGGCGAGATGGAAGTAGACAAGATGCAGTCCGCTAGCACTCGTCATGCCAAAGATGCTTTCGCCAACATGTACGAATTCAATTCGACGAGGCGGAAGAAAGATGACCTCAGCGACCCAAGTGCTGTGCCAGAGAATGGCCGACGCAGACCAGCGTTTGCAAACCAAATCGTCCCTTTCAATCCACAGACGGGCCCGAAGAAACTTGTGGTGAAGAACCTACGGGCCGCCACCCGCCTGGATACTCGGGCATACTTTGAGAAGACATGGAAAGAGAATGACAAAGCCCTCGATGCCATCTTCAGAAACGAGAAGGATCCATACTCCTTGGAAGAACTATACAAAGGTGCAGAACACACCTGTCGGCACGGCCACAGTGCGGACCTCTATGAGCACCTGTGCGCGAAGTGCGAGACTCATCTGAATGACAACGTCAGGGATCGCATCCGGCGGGAAGAGGCACAGTCCTCAGACGTCGACGTCGTCAGAGCTTTCGTCAATGCCTGGCAGACGTGGCAGAAACAGCTGCAGACCGTTCGCCAGATCTTCTTCTACATGGACCAGACCTATTGCCTCCGTACCCCACACAAGATGGGCGTGTTGCAGATGGGCTTGAGCAAGTTCAGGTCTTCCGTGTTTCATGACCCTTTCATAAAGTGTAAAACACTTCAAGGTGTCATAAGTTTGATCGATTCTGATCGGAGAGGTAACCTCAATGAGAGTGACGCTTTGCTCCTGCACCAGTCGGTCGACACTTTCCACGAGCTGAGCATTTACACCAGCGATCTTGAACCAACCATCTGCGTCACGACTGAGGAGTACTTCCGGGCATGGAGAGATACTGAGTCCAACAAGGACTCGCTGGGTGATTACGTCAACAACTGCACTGATCTTCTCTCCCGAGAGATGGCGAGATGCGATTCCTTGTCTCTAGACCGCAATACGAGGGTCCGAATATCGCGTCTCTTTGACAATATCTTTGTGGAAGAAGAGCTGGAAACTCTTACCAACGAGGACGGCATTTTGGATCTTCTCGAGGACAACAAGTCGACAGAACTAGAGCGCCTGTACACTTTGCTACAGCGTAAAGGACACGGGGAGTTGATCGCGCCAACCTTTAGTAAGTACGTGGAGACAGAGGGATCCTTGATCGTCTTCGACGAGAAGAGGGAATCCGAGATGGTAATCAGGCTGCTCGATTTCAAGCGGCGGCTGGATCATTACGAGAAATACTCTTTCCACGGCAATGAGGCACTGGGCAATACTCTTCACAAAGCCTTCGAGGCATTCATGAATAAAACCAAGAAATCCCAGTCGAATTGGGACACGGACAACGCTAAACCGGGAGAAATGATTGCGAAGCATGTCGACCTGCTACTTAAAGGTGGCGTCAAAGCCGTCCCCCAGCTCCAAACACATAAGCACGGTCCTTCCAAGCCCGAAGAAGAGCATGACTTCGATGATGGCGCTGCCGATGAAGACGCTGAGATCAACCAACACCTCTCTGATGCATTGGATCTCTTCCGTTTCGTCCACGGTAAAGCCGTCTTTGAAGCCTTCTACAAGAAAGATCTAGCTCGCCGTCTACTCTTAGGCCGCAGTGCCTCATTCGACGCTGAACGGAACATGCTCACCCGTCTGAAGAATGAATGCGGTGCTGCATTCACGCACAATCTGGAATCCATGTTCAAGGACATGGACCTGGCTCGCGAAGAGATGATGTCGTACAATCAGCTCTTGGACGATCGCGGAGGCAGGGCTCCCGGTCTGCCGGACTTGCATGTCAATGTGCTCTCCGCGGCAGCCTGGCCTACTTATCCAGACGTGGCGGTGAACATCCCCCCTCATATTGCCAAAGTCATGTCAGAATTTGAGACACACTACAAGGCGAAACATTCTGGCCGCAAGCTGACGTGGAAACATTCTCTGGCGCACTGTCAATTACGTGCCAAGTTCCCAAGGGGAAACAAGGAACTCATGGTGTCAGGATTCCAAGCCATCGTACTGCTACTTTTCAACGACATCCCAGCAGACAAGCACCTCACGTACGACGAGATCAAAGCTGCCTCAGGCTTGGTCGACGCCGAGCTCAAGAGAACACTCCAGTCCCTGGCGTGCGCTAAGTATCAAGTCCTCCGCAAAAACCCCAAGGGCCGCGAGGTCAACGAAACCGATACATTCATGTTCTCTCAGTCCTTCGCCGACCAGAAATTGCGCATCAAAATCAACCAGATCCAACTCAAGGAGACCAAGGAGGAGAACAAAGAAACGCATATCCGAGTGGCGGCGGACCGGCATTACGAGACGCAGGCGGCGATTGTGAGGATCATGAAAAGCCGGAAGAAGATCGGGCACAACGAGTTGATTGTCGAGGTCATTAAAGCCACGATGAGCCGGGGCGTGTTGGACCAAGCGGACATCAAGCGGAATATCGAGAAGTGAGTATCTTTGCCCCCTTTCCTCCTGACACACCTTTCATGGCTTCTCTCGCTTGAGGACCCCGACGGCCCGTGCTAATCTCCCACGTGACCAGACTGATAGAAAAGGACTACATGGAGAGAGAAGAGGGCAACACGTACTCCTACGTCGCGTGAGCTTGGCTTGTCCATTGGCCCCCCGCATGCCAGCTGCATGATCTCAGTCTGGCATCCAACGCACGCATAGTCCCCGCCCCAGAGCAAGCCCATTTACGATGGATCCAGGGATATGAAGTCCAACAGCAGTTAGTTACAAGACGTGTCGCAGAAGGAGGCCCTCTCGTTAGCTGCTGGTCATATTATAACTAACCTATGTACTGAGGTAAGTGGTTGGGATAATAGAAGGAAAGAGACACAACACGCTCACATTCCCTCTGTCTCTCGGTACATATATATAAATGTACCTACCTACATAGACAAGGGTTATGTATGTAACTGCAGAGGAAGAAAGGCCGGCCAACCCCTCCCCCCCTTCCCCCCGGGCCCCAAGGCACACATCAGTCAGTAATCCAGTGACAACAACTTCACCGTTTATTAATTAAATGACGATCTCGATTGCGATGATAGATGCCATGTCAGTAGAAACCATTGGAAACCAGAGTCTCGCTACATTCAATGGGGTCACGAGCTACCCGGGCTCCCTCACAGGAGGTGCCTTGAAAAGCAAATGGATCAACTCCCTCGGATGATACTGCGCGAAATATTGGACTTGATCATTGGAAACGTACAGATGGCCGACAATCCTAAATCTTCCACGAGATGGCTTGTATTATGCGACCTCCCTACTGCAGACAATCCCAAACGCGATCCCAATCCGGCGCACTCCGATTCAATCCCTCATCAGTTTCAACCTGTGTCTCTTGGCATATAACGGGCTAGACCGATGCGTGTCTGTGTACATTCCCTTGGGAGAAAACCCGAGTTGGACCCGCAGCCTTATATCTAGTATCGCTCGTCTGGACGTCCCGAAGAGCTTCGACCGTCACCGTAATGCTACACGCCTCGTTAGCCACACGTCAAACAGGTATGGCGGAAAAAGAAGTACCTTCTTCCTCAACGCAGCAAGTCGCTTCTTCTTCGTGTGAGTGTTAATGTACGTGCCGATGCAGAAAGCAACGACATTGAAAAATGGCACCCAAGTATGCTCAGGGAGGAATTTCTGAGCGAATGCCAACGCCAGCGGAGAGGTGATCCAGCTGACGCGCATGACGGGCCAGAAGCCAGCGCGGATGGTCGCGCGGACTTGGTGCCAGGTGCGGGCGCCGGCAATGATGGCCATGGAGGCGAGGTAGACGGTATTTTGGATGGGCGCAATCTAGATCAGAATCCGTCAGGCCCCGGAGCGTTGCGAGAAGGGGATATTTTGTTGTTGACGTACCACTAAGTTGCTGGTCAAGATCTGAAGGACTTTTGCCTTCAAGCTGGTGCGGCCAGCAAAAACCCATTGGAGCATTCCGATAAGAACGTGACCCATTGGAGCACTGATAAATGCGCCGTAGGCGGCCATCTTGGGGATTCTGGAGGAGAAATAATGACCGTGCTTGCTCTTATCGTGGGCGAGCCATGACGCCAGCAACTCTTGCAGTGCGGATAGTGTGCCGGAGGTCAGCATCTTTGTGCGCAGAGGGTTCGATTGAAGCTGTCTTAGGTATGCCTGGAGCGCAAGAATGAGTGTCGCATCCAACGGGGAAGGATGTGAGATGGAGTTCGGACCGCCAGATAACCTGTCTGTTGCTTTCCACCCGTCAAGGCCTCGCCAATCTTGTGCGCGGTGCTCTCATCGCGACCACCGGGCGCGAGAGGCGCCGACGTTGTTCGGACCTGCTCTTTCTCGAATTTGACCGACATGACGGCGCCCACCTGGAGAACAGGAAACTTGGGGAGGGGAAGAACGAAGCTGCAGCAGGTGGTGTCAGTATGACTTGTAGACTTGCGATCGAGGAGCAGTAAGATAACAGGCGGGACAAAGTAGACGCAATCAGTGCTGACAAGAAGTGCAGTGTTGTTGACAAAAACGTAACCCTGGGTGCCGAGGCCCTGCCACGGGTTACGGAGCGTGGTGGGGACTAGGAAGTAGGACTTGGACCTATGGAGACTGGGGGGGGAGAGGAAACGTGACACTTACTGAGATGATGATGGGAATGAAGATGAGCAATGACTGTGAGGGGGGAGTGAGTCGACAAGAGAAGGAATCGACGCGTCTCTCGAGTTACTCTAGGAAATGGAAATGGAATTGGGCGGGCCGATTGAGGAGGAAGTCAAAAGGGAGCAGGGAGCGGTAGGAGTACGAGGTACGGGGAGTAACAGTAGTGTCGGTGGTGCCCGTAGGCAACAGGGGGTCGTCGGAGGGAGACAGAGAGCTGAACTGGCAATCAATCTCGATGCACAAACGCGCCAACCGTATCGAGGGCCTCAGAGACTGCAAGTCCACCACTCAGCGTCGCCCATGCAGCCAAGAGATATTACATAATTACAGTAACTACATAAACACGGCAAGACGGCGACACTCACGCACTCATCCAACCCCAACACCACATTGTTCAGACACGATTGAGGGGTCCTGCTGCCTCTGTGAATTGTATCGGTGGTAATACGGATATTGTGGGCTTCGAGAAGAGACGAGAATCCAGGCATGCAAACAGAGGGACAGAAAGGGGGGGGAAGAGAGAGACAAGGGGTGAGAACCAAAAAGGGAGATCAGTGCACTGTAGATTTGCAAGATGATTTCTTCTCTACCTGCAGCTGCATTGATGGAAAAAGGTAAACGTGAAGAAGGGAGAGAAGGAGCATCTTGTCGAGAGAGTCAGGAGTCAAGAGATGAGATGAGAGGACGTGGTGCAAAGTCGATCATGAGGTGCTCCTTCCTTCCTTCCTTGCCATCGCCGTCTCTTGCGTTGACTGCAACCCAAACGAACGAAGCCTTCACTCCCTCATCTCCCTCCCTCCATTCACTTCTCTCTCTTGTATCCCTGTTTGTCTGTTGTTCCCAATGCAATGTGATGAATCCCAACGTCTCAATCGCCCTCCCACTCCTGTCACCATGCCTCTCCTGCGCAGGAACGTTCTCGGCCCTGAGAAACGCAACCCGTGCACCCACATGACTATGACTCGTCTCTATGATCCCTACGGCTCCTTCAAATGCTCACTGTGCCATAAACATCCCAACATCGGCTGGCTCTATCGCTGCACCCAAGACACTGGCGGCTTCCTACCCGAATCCGATTTCACAGATGAGCCAATGCCCCCAAGAGGTCGGGCACTCGGTCGGGATGTCGCTGCTCAATCTCTCAGCGCTTCCATCGTCAGGGCCATGGGAGAAGGGCAATATACCGGACAAGAGGTCAGGAAACTGATGGAGCCGAAGGAAAAGGTCAAGGATTCTCTCCTCTCCCAGCTTGAGCCAGATGAGCACAGACCTGCCACTGCCTCGACTTTCACCACCGCCTCGACCGTGTCCAGCGACGGTGACAGAACCTTGTCCACCTTGCCTCAGAGCACGACTTTCTCCACCAACTCCTCGGCCGAGCTCGACGAAGAGATTAAGGCGGCATATGATTGGAAAGAGTTGCAGAAAGTCTGGATGTCTGAGCCATCGATCCCCCCTCCTACTCCCCGGCCAAAGCCAGCCACACCAGCAAACGCCCTCCCACCGGCCCCCAGGCTGCCGTACATGCAAGCTTGTAACGTCAAGATCTGCCCGACATGCCGACCAACCTACCGTGAGCGCGCGTATCAGTCTCTGGATGAAGTTCTCAATGCTCCCACCCAACTCCCCCCGTTCTGGGAGTTGCAAAATCGCCGTGTGTCTGATGCCCGTCTCGTGGCTGGAATCGGATTGCCCAAGGTTGGGCGATCACGATTCTACGCTCAGACCGACCCCGCCATGCTGCAGTCCTTTCACAGCGTGCCTGACATGATGATGGATCATCCCGCAGCCGAGGAGGAGGAGTATCAAAACATACGAGAGTCGTACGTCGCGGGAGACACCACAGAAAGACACCACCCACGCTATGACTACACCGGCCCATCGAGCAGTACACGCACCGGCTTCCGACAAACTGTCCGCAAAGCCCTCGCTAGAGCCCGGCTCGAAGACTCGGCTTCCACGCATTCAAGCATCAACAATTCTGAGTCTGCCGAGTCTCGGGCCCCGCCTTCTCTCCCGCTGATTTTTCGACGCCGCAGATCCCGTGCTCACATATCTTCCTTTGCGGAGACACATGGTGGCCGGATTGTGGATACCAGCTCGCTCCAGGATTCCGTCATGTTGATGTTGGCCACGAATACGCCTTTGCCCCACACGCCAACCCTGGGTGGCTTTCAGTTCGGTCCGGGAGTCGGATGCCATCGAGGCTCAGCCCGTGTCAACGAGCGTGGGGATTCCTTGCAGAGCGTGGACATCATCAGCCAGATTTGAAGCATGGCGTGCCGTCGATGTCATGCCATGGGTGGGCATCCATCGGAAATTGTTCAGAGTTCAAACCTGTATCTTCTAATATCGGTGGTCCGGGAAATCATGAAACAAAGCAAATATGGTTATGGCCACCAAGCATCCCGAAAGGTGCTGGCAATGGTAGAGAACTGGGGCACAGTGATTCTGGGAGGAGGAGATAATCGACTATCTGGGGAATTGAGTTGCTGCACGAGTTCGATCGTTCATGTTGCCATGTTAGTTAGCAAGCAGCGCACCACACAGGACTTGAACTATGCTATTTCCGAGCTCGTACATTTGTGTCCCCTTCAACTCTGCTCGGCGATGTTGATACATGGTTTCTCTTCTCTCTGTGAAGAGGCCTAACAGCCCACGCATGCATGGTATTCCTCAGCCCAACGTCGATCTCGCGACCTGAACACTCGGCCCCAGGGACACCAACTCACTCATAGGCATCCTCTTTCCTTTCTTTCCTTTCTGATTGCCGTTGCCGTTGCCGTTGTTCGATTCTCCGCCCTGGTGACATCTTCTTTCAGTTCGATGCTGCGTCCTCGTGCTCACAGCCTCCTGTCATTCACTCACTCGCTCACTGAGCCACTAATTGACTTATTGCCTTTCTTTCTCACTCACTTGTCCACTCGCTCACTCACTTCCTCAGACACAGACCCGACCGGACCCAACCCATCCTATCAATCACAAGATCAAGAGGTCGAATCCAGAGAAATCAATCAATCACGCTGTCAACCACAGTGGATCACGGAACACGTCGACGATGACTCTGACTCCGACCGCGCACACGCCCGTGACCGGGACCGAGACTGCCGTTGCGCGCCGGCACGTACGAGTCGACTAGCCTGTTGCCGCCGTAGTTGCTGTAGTGGGCCGAGCTGTCGCCGCGGCCGAGCAGGGGGTTCTTGGGACGGCCACGATCGTCCATTTGCTCGTGGTCGTGATCGTCTGGGTGGTCGTGCTGGTGTTCTCGGTCTTGGTCGCGGTTGCGGGAGTATGCTCCTCGATCGATGTCGGAGTAGCCCCCCCATCCTCCTCCCCCTCCCCCCTTCCCCTCCTTCTCTATCGAGCGCGGGCGACCTCGAGCGGAGACGACGACGGCTTCGGTCGCGGGAGTATGCTCGGTCGACGTCGTAGTATCGTCTTCGTCCTGCTCCTCGGTAGTTATTCGCGGGAGACGTGAAGCGGTGGCGACGGCTTCGGTCGTCTCGTGCTATTGTTCGGTCTCGGTGACGTCGGCGGTCGCGCTTGGGGGAGGCTGGTGGTCGCGGCTCAGACGGACTGGGACTGTTCTCACGCTCGTGTTTGATGTTCTCTTGATATTCGGACACGGCTGGTGAACCGCGTTCGTCGAATGGAATTCTCGTGCGGGAGCCGCTCATGCCACGAGTCGGGAGAACACTGGAGACGGCGGCGTTGTATGGGCCAAGCCCCGAGCCATATTCTCCTTCGACATGGTCATAGCTGCGTTGATAATCTCGGCTCGGTGCGGCCGGAGCAGAAGGATATCCTAGAGGTGGCACGTCGAGGTCTTGGTATGGGTTGGTGTTGAAGTATCTGATCCGACGGGGGTGACCGTGTCCGCTGGGCGGAAGATCAGAGCTGGCCCATCCGTAGGACCTTGTCATCATCTCGCTGCCACCGCCGCCGCCGGCATAACCACTCGAGACATCTGGATGGAGTTGACGATGTTGATGATGCTTGTAAGCCCCTGCATCAGGGCGCCCTCCGCTCAAGCGATATTTATCTTTCCTGAACGGCAGGCTTGGCCCCAACGGCGTTCCCTTGACCTTGTTCATTTCCGACGGGTCGAACTTGCGCTTCTTGCCGCCCGACAGGCACACCGCCGTGTTCTTCGCGTGGTTGAATGTCCCTTCGAGCTCGGCGATCATCAAGGGGTCCGCGACCCGGTTCTCGAGGTAGAGGAGGATGTTTTCGGCCGTGTCGCGGAGGAATTTGGCGCGCTTGGCTGTCTGTTCATTATCGTCCTTGTCGATGACGGCGAGGTACTCTGCTCGAGCAGTTTCATACACGGTCCACAGAACTGCCAGTCGGGGCTCCATGTCCTTGCGCAGATTTGGGTCGACGGGTAACAATCGGGCACGCTTTTCCCCAGCGTCTTTCTGGGCCAGGCTGGTCTTACCCGCCGCCAATTCTGAGAAGCGGGTGGTTAACGAGCTTCATAGTCAGGCACGAAGATGAGATAAACCTACCCTGCCGCAAGTCCCCTGGCACTTGCGTAGTCTGCTGGAGTTTTGCTGTCCACTCCTGGGTTGCCTCACGAGTGCCGATTTCGATGTTCAGGTATTCTCGGCAGTAGAACCTGATGGCCGCCGGGTTGTTCAGGGAGTTTCCATTCTGGGTGAGAACCAGCAGCGCCTTGTCGTAGACGGTGACGTGGCCGTCTTCGAACGCCTGCGAACGCGATCTGATCAGGTCGACCTGGCGATCGAAGACGTCGAAAAACGCGTCATCGTGAGAAGCAAGGAAGCTGTCGAATGCCGGTTCCAGGGCTTCCACCTCCTGCGCTTCCTGCACCAAGACTGGGACTTCGTCGTCGGGGCTGCTTGTAAGATGAGGCAGCGGAGAGGAATGGAGGAAGAGAGGGCTGTCCTCTCCAGACATGGTCGCGACGACAAGTTGCCTGAGTCAACACTTATCGAATGGTGTGCTAAAGAGACGGGAGTTTCTCAGATGGAGAGCAAGTGACGGAGGCTGTGGGTAGTTTAGAGTGCTAAAACTCCTTTCATTTCGTGCCGTACCCTCAACATTGTTTTGCAGCCTTGCCGGTTCCCGGTCGTGAAGTGACGCTGCGCCATCTGGGAGTGAAAAACTTGGCGAGCAGTGAAGGTGCCTTTATCCCCTGCATCCTTTGTGGTGAAAGACACTTTGAGCTTCTCCTGTCCATACAGCCTGAGGCTATATTTTGAGCCTTGTTTCTTTGGAAGCTTTCGTCCAGCCCCAGAGCACGTCTGCCATTGATAGCAGGAGTGCAGTTCGCAACTCATGAAACATCATGGCAATCAACTCCTCTGGCCGTGCTGTGACGGAAGGCATCTTTGGTCAGGACTTTCTCTGTCCCCACAGATTTCATAAAGGAGACAAGACAGACAATAGCTGGCTGGCTGGCCACAATGAAGTGTTCGACAACAGGCCCATTGTGCCAGCAATTGGGGCCAGATCATTCACGGTACAGCCTTGATGTGAAAGAAGGCGGGTGCCATGTCTCGATTGTCAAATCAGCAAAATCTGGCGCCTCTCTGGCATGGCTCAACGGTAGGTGCTCGAACCGTGAGGTCGACCAGCAAGGTCTCTCCGACGTGGTTCAGAGCAAAGGCGTAATGATCGGAATGCAGACAGACACGACGTGTCCCCTTGCTCTTTGCTTTTGGAAGGTCCAAGCTGCCAGTGGGAGATCCTTGCCGCAGAACTGTTGTGATGGACGAAATCGAGTTTGTGGCGATTGATTCCACCGACAACATGAAGAAAGGCAGTTGGGAGATGGATGGAAAAGAGTCCGCTTGAGGAGGGCAGAATGATGGAAGGCGATCACGGCTGCGACTCAGAGAGTTATAAAACAAAGAGCAGATTCTCTCCGTGAACCGCGGGATAGACATGAACGATCCACAGCGCGAAGATGGACCACTGGTGCACATTGTCGACATCATTGGAAGGGCAGAAATGCATAATGGAGGAGCACAGCCGAAAGGTCGACGACCCTCAGATCTTCAGGGGCTACAGCCACTTCCCATGATTTTTGGCTGAGCCACAAGGATGTCACACTGTCTATCTACTCGGTACCTGTCAAACAAATAAAGACACAAAGACAAACAAAGACACTTTCGAACAAATGAGCCTTCTCATTAAGGGGGAATCTACCTATGCAGGGCACAAATGCAACCTATCTCCGGTTCCCCTAGGGACTCCGGGTACACACAAAGTACAAGCAAGTATCTAAGCAGATAGTCTCCTTGGACTTAAGTTGCATAGACCCTGGTAGACAAATGGGGGAAGCATATCGCCAGTCTATCATACACTCAAAACAAGACAAGCTCATAATCACCGAGCCACCTTGGGCACCACCGAGAGCCATCTGCCCGGGAGAAAAGGACGCCGTTCGCCTGCCACCCGCCAGCGCAATCAAGCCAGCGCCATGGTCCCGAAGCCCCCGTGGCAGAGCACTCAAGTAAGATGTTGCAGTATCAGAACTTTTGGTAAAGAGGCATCTTGCCCAGGTCGAGTACAGTGGTTGTTGCAATTTGGGTCAAAAAGTGGTGTTAACACAGTAGGTAGGAGTCGTCCAGGCAAGAATCGTCTAAGCCGTGGCTTCGGCGCCTTCAGTCTTGGACCCATCCTCCTCTTTCGTGCCGTTGGGACCACCTTCGCTGGTACTTTGACGACCCTTGACATACTCGTCGTAGACAGTGAGAGCCTCATCCACCTTGGAACGAAGTGCGTTGTCATCGTCAATCCTGGAGAACATGTTAGTCACCGACCAAAACAACGTGAGACTTCACTGGAGAACTTACAAAGCCAACAGTTCGGAGTTGTCCATTTCCAAAAGCATACCAGTAATCTTGCCAGCAAGTTCCGGTTGGATCTGTTGAATCTTGGGGTAAATGGCCTCACCGAGCATCTGTTTTTGTTGGTTGGGAGGCAAAGATGCAAGATTGCTCAGACCGCCGGCAGGGGCTTCTTCTCGGCCGGGCATCATCTGTCCACGGCCCTGTGGAGGCAACCGTGGGCCCGTTTGAGCGCCTCCCATGTTCTGCATACCACCTCCACCGCGACCGCCTTGCGGGAACGCTCCTCCACGAACGCCAGCCATGCCCTGCATGTTCGGAGGCATACCCTGCATGCCTTGCATCTGGCCGCCACGACCGCCAGCGCCACGGCCCATTTGGGCTTGCATTTGGGCCAAGGCCTGAGGGTTGTTGTACATACCGTTGACAAGTGCTGGATTTTGAATAAACGGCATTTGTCCGGGTAGACCAAAATTTGGAGGAAGTTGCTGGCCTTGCGGGATGCCACGGCCTTGTTGTGGGAAACCCCCCGGGAATTGTCCACGCCCGCCTTGCATGCCAGGGATGACCATACCAGGCTGGCCGGGGAAAGGCATGCCTCCGCGCTGAGCCCCAGGGGGGAGGAATTGCTGTCCCGCTGGACCATAGAAGACAGTGGGTTGGATGTAGCCCTGGGGCATACCAGCCGCCGCCGCCTGTTGTTGCTGACGAAGGGTGTTCCGGGCTTGGATACTAGCCTCGAGCTGACTTTTGCGAACATCCTTGCGCTGAGCGAGGGCAACATAGAGCGGCTTCCCATTAACCATCTTCTGGTTCATCTCCGAAACTGCCTTGGAAGCCTCGTCCGGGTTGCTGAAGCAGACGAAGCCGAAGCCCTTGCTCTTACCGAGCAGCTTCTGACCCGGCTTGGCCTCTCTCTTGCCTTCTTTGGCGTCATCACTGCCCTCTTCTTTCACTTCAGTCTCGGGCTTCGGCTCGTCTTCAGCCTTTTCACCATCTTCTTTTTTGTTCTCCTTGTCCTTGTCTGTTGCAGGAGACGCGGTGCGCTCGGCTGTGTCGCGCATGACCTTGGCAGAGGTGATGGTTCCGTAGCCACTGAACAGATCGCGAAGCTTGTCATCGTCCACGTCGTCGGTCAAGTTCTTGACATACAAGTTGACGCCTTGATACTTGGAGGCCTTCTCCATGCGGGCAGCTTCATACTGCTTGCGGAGCTCTTCCTCCCGTTCGTGTTTCTTCTGAGCGCGGCCGACATACAAGTTCTTGCCATGGAATTCCTTGTCGTTGAGTTCGTCGACCGCTCTGGCAGCGGACTCATGACTGGCAAAGTTGACAAAGCCAAAGCCACGGCTCTTGCCACTTTCGTCGCGAGTGATGGTAGCAGACACAACCTGGCCGTAATTCTCAAACAGCTTGGTGAACTCGTCGTCAGTCACCGACTCGTCAATGTTCTTGATGTAGACATTGGTGAAGTTGGCCTTCATTTCCTCAAACTTGCTCTGGCGATCCCGCTTAGCGATATGATGGCCAACAAAGACCTTCTTGTCGTTCAACAACATGCCGTTGACCGACTTGATGGCCTGATTGGCCGCTTCGGCAGTCTCGTAATGGACGAAACCGTATCCCTTTGAGTTTCCAAGCTCGTCCTGGGCGACTTTGCAGCTAAGAATATTCCCAAATTGGGAAAAGGTATCATGGAGCGCCTTGTTGTCGATCGCCGCATCCAAGTTCTTGATGAAGACATTACCTTGTCCAGTTTTGCGAAGGGCGGGATCGCGCTGAGACCACATGATACGGCATGGGCGACCTTTGATGCTAGTGTAGTTCAAATCTTCCAGTGCTCTTTCACCGTCAGCGGTATTGTTGTAGTTGACATAGGCATACCCAAGGGAGCGACGTGTGACAGCATCGCGGCAGACACGGATCGAAGCAACCTGGCCGATGGAGGAAAATAACTCGAAAAGCATGGCTTCAGTGACCGAAGGGTCCAGCTCGCCAACATAGAGAGAGGCAGAGTGCTGCGCGGTGTTGGGGTTCGCCGAGTAGGGGGTAGCATCATCACCAGCAGCACCAGACGCCGCAACATTGGTGTCGATGGCAGGTGCGCCGTTTTGGGAAGGAGCTTCGGGGGAGCCATTCTGGCCAGAGGCCGGAACAGCACCAGAGACATCCGCAGCAGACATTTTCGCTGTTATAAAGACCGTCAGAATATGCTCAGAAGAAGACAGACGGCAGCGTGGAGGGTTGTGTGGGCTGGGCGACAGCAGGGTAAAGAGAGCGCTCACTTTTTGATTTGACTTTTCGGGGTTGACTTTGACCGGGTAACAACAACGAGGGGATTGACACCTGTCTTGAGCAATGGAGACGAAGGCTTGATGATGCCTGGGTAAGGGATATGTCGTTAAAGTCGAGCACTGTTATGGCGGTCAGACGTGGTTCACATCACCTTCACCTCAGAGGTGCCGGACTGGGCAGGGTAAAAAAAAGGGTTGCGCAGGCAAGGGACATGGGGGGGATGACTTACCGCACGACTCTGGGTTTTTGAGGGGGGTTTTTCACTTTTTTTTGGTGGATTGCAAGTTTTTTATGGGGGAGAGAGGGAGAACAGCAATCGACTGCAACGAGAGCAGACGACGCAGAGGAGATGGCTGATGTAGAAAGGTTTGTAGGGGAAAAAAGTTGGTGGTGGTGGTCGAGGGAAGCGGTCGAAAATCAGACCAAAAAGTCAGGCAATCAAAAAGTTCGGCGGTAGCTACGCTAAGCCGGATGCGGTAAGCGCGACCACTGCCAACAGAATTCTGCATTCGGAGCCTTTGTGAACTGGCATCGTGGTTTCTTTGTAAACACAGTGGCGGTGGCCATCTCAGCCTATGCTTGGGATGCACTGGAAACTTCCATGTACTGTGTGTAATCACCCTCAATGCTACTGGAGCTGTTTTATTGGTCGTGATCGGGGTGGAGGCAGTTGGAAGACAGGTAACCCTCAAGGATACATATGCACAGGTACAACACGCCAGGCCTCTCAATGCTCTATACGCGTGATCCGTGTCGCTTGTTTCGCCTAGTCCTAATTGTAGGAAGTGCATACTTTGTGCTCCTGTTGCTGGTACTCATTGCGCACAAGGACCTTCGAACCCTCACCAAGGATGCTCCTATAGACATTGTCAGCTCAGCAAAATCTCACATGTCTGCAATCTTTCCGTCATACCCTTCCATCCCAGCACCAGAAGGTCCCGCTATCATCTTTCCCTTTCTCTGCTATCACCTGCAACATCTGTGTCACGCTCTCTTCAGGGGTAATGATTCCTTCTACTTCCCAGTCCACGTTGATGTTCGCCATGTCCCTGGCCATCATGTCAGCACCACCTCGTAAACAGACGTGAATGAGTGGTCGGCGCCTACGTCTGAACTTCACCGGGGTGCATGGCCAAGACGCAGACATCTTCGTACTTTCCCCCCTTTCTCTTGAGCTCGGCAGCCATATGTCTGAGCATCTGGTTCAATGCAGCCTTACTGGCCGAATACGCGCCAAATCCATCCTCGTGGTCCCGAAACAATGACGTGGATCCAGAGTCGGAGGAAATGAAAATCACCTTGGACGGGGGTACGGCGCTGTTCAGGTTAAGCAATTTCTGTGCAATGATAATAGGCCCAATAGTGTTCGTATGTAGATGCAGTGCAAAGTCGGTAAAGGATCTGTGCATAGCTGGAAATCAGCATCATCTCCTTCATACTTTAGGTGCAATAGGTGTTCTCGAGGCGTTCTGGGATCGTACATATCGGTCGCCCTCTTGAATATGTCATTAGCCGTTCTGCACAGACAAGTACGAATGCGTTCGTACATTGGGATATTTCAACATTCCAGCGTTCAAAACGATGTTGTCGAGCCTCATGCCCTTGGCGACCAGCCTCCCCATGGCACTCACAAATGCCTGTCGGTTGCGTCAGCATCGGGAGACGACATCACCGCCCCAGAGGGGTCACGAATTGATCCGACCGGTACTCACATCGATGCTCGACTCATCAGTGACGTCGCACTGTTCAATAAGACAGGCTGCGGGCCTGGTTTGTTTCGCGGCCAACTGCCAGATGTGGTTTGCCGTGGCCGGGCTGCGTACGGCCGCGATGACCTGATTTCCCTGATCGAGCAATTGACGGACGAGCTCGAGACCGATACCGCGAGAAGCTCCGATCACAACCCATGTGGAGGGAGCCATGTGTGGATTCACGGGGGAAATGGAGCAGAGGTGGCAAGAAGGGAGGGAAGGTCGTCGGTGACGATTCGAAGTCTCGTGGGCTGCTAGGTAGCTGTGATTGGCATCAAACAGGTCCGAGAAACGTGAATGCGTAGAACGAGGAATGAGTACTGTGAGGCCCTAGATGGAGTCGAGAGCTGCACATGCCGACAGCGGAGACAACAGACGTCAAACAAAAAGGGAAGGCAAGTCTCGAGAACTGAGGCTCTGGGACGTGGAAAGATAGTGGGAAGACCCCTCTGAACGGGAATTACGGGGACGCATGCGAGTGGAAACTAGTTCCCTGGACAGACAGAGGCAGCAGACAGTGGGTTACTGCAGAAGGAGTGCATCTATTCTCTTCCGTTATTCCCCCCAGGGACCGGTCAGTTCGTGGTTTGACAAGGCACATCAATCAAGAGATGGTGGAAAACACCACTCAGGGTGGAGGCCAGGCCACTGGTTCAAGGTGAAGTTCGAGCATCCAGGATCAGCGCCAACAGCGCCACCAGCGCCACCAGCGCGTAGAGTTGCTGTTACATCCTCGCAGGCAGAAATGCAAGGGCACCGTACACACCTACAGAGTACGAGTACCGCTATTGGAGGGAAGGGTTGGGAGCAAATCAAAGGGCAGATGGGGGCGGCCAGGACATTGCACGAATGAAAATATTTCCCGACCTCAGCCATCTCAGGAATAGGTTGGTACATGTTCAGCCTGTGGGTAGCTGCAAAGGTCAAAGTCCTGCAAGTCTGATTCAAACCAACTCGCTGCCTACGGTTGAATGGCGAACCTGGTCTCAGATATGACGCTGCATTCGTCTTTCTCGTCTCCATCCTTGTTATTCTATCTAGGCCGAATCATATTTATGCATTGGATCACCATACACATGGCCCTCGTGTCGACTTGAATGGTATAACTGGTCAACCCTAGCAAAGACAACGACTGGTATTGCCGTGTAGTCCAACCCGGCAGACTCGCACCCAGGTTTCTAGATAAGTTGCTGGAAAGCACGGTTGATGGGTGATCGAGGCTTCGTGCCCTTGTAGAACTCGACCGTGGCAACGGCACGCTTGGCAATGCCCTCGGGCGTGAACTCGAATTTCTACCAGCATGTCAGTTACAGTGACGCGATAGCAAACACAAGCCGGGAACACGTACCTTGTAGACTTCCTTGTATGGGCCGGAAGCGCCAAATCGGTTGAGCCCAAATTGCTCATGTGAATACTTCTCCCATCCGAGGGTGGACATGACTTCGACGGACAGGGCCGGGATGCCATCGGGAATGACCTTCAGCTGATAGTCCTTGGGCTGAGCGTCAAAGACTTCTGTGCACGGCATCGACACAACACGCGCAGTGAGTCCGTGCTGGTCCTTCAGGACTTTGATCGTATCGACACAGATACCCACCTCGGATCCAGTGGAGACAAGGGTGATGTCGGCATTCTGGGCCTCGACGGCCACGTAGCCGCCCTTGATCGCGTTCTCTATTGTTGAGTTCTCCAACTGGGGCAGGTTCTGTCGGGTCAAAGCCAGGATTGAGGGCGTAGATGTCGAGGTAAGAGCCATGTAGTATGCGGCTGACGTCTCGTTACCATCAGCTGGCCTCCACACCATCATATTGGGAAGGGCTCGGAAATGGACCAAGGTCTCAATAGGTTGATGAGTGGGGCCGTCTTCACCGAGGCCGATAGAGTCGTGAGTGGCGACATAGATTACTCGCTGGTGCGAGAGAGACGACAGACGGACAGCTCCTGCAGCATATGACACAAAGTTCAAGAAAGTACCACCGGCCGGGATGAGAGTGCCGTAGGCAGAGATACCGTTCATGATGGCAGCCATGCCATGCTCTCGAACACCGTACCGCAGGTAGCGACCGCTCCAGTCACCAATACCAAGGCTTGGGGGCTGGAAGTCGACAGCGTTCTTCCATCGGGTGTTGTTGCTGCCAGTCAGATCTGCAGATCCTGACAACAACTCCGGGACAGCTTCGTGGATGCTCTCCAGGACCTTCTCAGACGTCTTGCGGGTGGCCTCCGCAGGGTCTGTTGGCTTCCACACCGGCAGGGTCTTTTCCCATCCTTCAGGGAGCTTGCGGGAAAGACGGCGGCTAAAGTCTTTGGCCAGCTCTGGGAACTCGCTTGAATACCTCTTGAACAGGTCGTTCCAAGCCTGCTCGGCGGCGGCACCCTCGGCTGAGTGCTTGTGGTACAAATCGTACACTTCTTGGGGAACCACGAAGGATTCCTCCGGATTGAAGCCGAACTTTTGCTTGACTTGTTTGGCGTCATCCACCTTGAGAGGGTTGCCGTGCACGCCGCCTGTGCCCTGCAACTTGGAGCCGAAGCCGATAGTGGTAGTCAACTTGATCATGGATGGCTTGTCCTTCACCTCTTGGGCCTTCTTGATCGCGGCCTCGATACCCTCGAGGTCGTGATCGCCATCTTTGACATGCTGGACATGCCAGCCGTAGGCTTCGAATCGCTTGACAACGTCCTCGGTGAAAGCAACCTTTGTATCGCCATCTACTTTTGATCAGCAACGGCACTCACATATTGTAGGACGGAGTTTTCCTACCGATGGAAATATGGTTGTCATCATAAATGCAGATTAGGTTGCCTAGCTGCAGATGTCCGGCAGTCGAAGCAGCTTCACTGGCGACGCCTTCCATCGCGCAGCCATCACCAAAGAAACAGTAGGTATAGTTGTTGATGAGGTCATAACCAGGCTTGTTGAAAACAGCGCCGGTGTGAGCTTGAGCGATCGCCAGACCAACAGCATTGCTAAAACCCTGACCCAGAGGGCCAGTGGTCACTTCAATGCCAGGAGTGTCGTGAGCTTCAGGATGGCCGGGAGTGATGCTGTCAACTTGCTACTCCTTGTCAGCTTTGGTTAAAAGAGGGGGTTTCAGAACGGGACGGCATACTCGGAAGTGTTTTAGGTCGTCCATTGAGACGCCGTAGCCGAAAAGGTGGAGGAGAGCATATTGAAGCATACAACCGTGTCCATTCCTGGAGCAAGTCAGTAACGGCTTCACGATCTCATGATTTTTATGCCGGAAGAGATGGCTTTCCCACGAGACAGGGAAGTCATTGGCAACCTCAAGCCGCCGAATTGGCGACCTGCTCTTGACCATGTATACATTCTCTTCTTATATGATGTGACAGGATTGAATGTGGTCATACTCACGAGAGGACAAATCGGTCGCGGTTGATGTATTGAGGGTTCTTGGGGTTGAAGGTCATGAACTTGTTCCAAAGAACGTGGGCCACCGGGGCCATGCCTGGCAGACGGACTCGTCAGAAATAGTTCGGGCATCAGTTGATTGGGATTACCTACCCATGGGAGCGCCAGGGTGGCCACTGTTCGCCTTGATAGTGGCATCGACCTGGACGTGGAGCAGTCAGAAGATGTGCAAACCGTGAGGGAGGGGCAGAGAGCCAAACCGCAAGCAGTCGGATGGTGTTGATGGCCTTCCAATCGACGTCAGAGTAACCCATTGTGACAGACTGATATGAGATTGGTGAAAATCAAGGTAAATAGAGAAGAGAGAGAAGGTCTAGAGTCGTGCAGAGGCTGTTGAGAAAAAATTTAGTGACGAGCCCAAGCCGTTGACTTTGTCGGAACTGCTCAATTGAGGCTAATACTTACGTCTGTCGCCAGGAGCGATGGCGGGGCAATTTCGCGGTGTCCTCACTGACTTGTTGGTGGCGGCGCTGGTGGGCTGTCTGAAGTCACAGGGAGTGTTGGTTGGTGCTGGGTGGTCGGAGACCCTGAAATCGAAAGCTCTGACTGGCGGGGCTCAGAGAATCGGCTTCTGCTCCGGACGCTTCAGGCTGTGCTGTGCTGTCTTGTCTGCCCGTTGTTTGTGGAATTCCCAACGAAAAAGAAGATCCTCAAAAGTTTCCCGCTGCTGCAGAGGGGATCAGCCACTGTTAAATATTCTCGAACCGCAGCGTGGTACCGCCCAAACCACCTCCAACTGCATAAATGCTCCCTAAGAACAAAACAAGGAATCGACATGGGCGACAGCAACGGTTCATAGGCGGCAGTACGGAATGCATGTCCACCAGGGCCCGATTACGGCAGCAATCATTCCACTCTATGCTGACTACGTTTCAGAAAGCCCAGTCAGTAGGGCGTTTCCCACTTACCTGTTCAAGGCGGAACAAGGGCTTCTGCTTGAGGATGACTAATAAGATTGATTCCTGTTGCTGAGTCCCGAGACTGTCAAGATTCTCGAGCAAGTACGTGTAACTAAATCATGTCTGCAACTTTTCGGTCCTGCCACCTTCACCACAGTAACACCAAAAATGTCGGTTGAGTTAAAAAAGGAAAAAGGTCAACGGGGCTGGCCAGCTCCAGTACCGCCCAACCTGGGAGATTCAAGCCATTTTCTCTGCAACTGGGGTAGTACCTAGAACCATGTCATGCCTCTCGGAATAAAGTGAAACCATACTGACTAGACCCGATAGTTGCTCGCCTTGAGCAAAGTCAGCTTTGCCATCAAACCTCCAACGCCTCGCTATGCAAAAGCAGACGCAATCTTAGGCTAGTAGGATCCGTAACCACCGTTGCCGTAAGGAGTCACACCATAAGGTGTCGTGCCGCCTCTGAGGCCACCGTATGAACCGAATGCTCCACTTGGAGGAGCCGGCTCGTAGGCATCGGGACTTTGGAGCCCATTCATATTGTCAACACCAGCGGCCTCGGCGCCTCCCAGGACCTTGATGGTCTCTGCGAGCTTTTTCTGGATCACTTCAATTCCGCCGCGGACGATGTCGTCTGGTTCGAGGGTGCCGATGCCTTCGACATCGAAGAAGAACGCGCTCGGAACCGCATCAGGATCAAAGGTAGCGTCGGCAGCCGACTCATCTCCCTCCCACGTGGCGTTACGTTCGTCCACTGGCCATTCTTCTTTTGCGTCGGTCTCATACCAGTAGTCGACGTGGCGCAGCTTATTGTTCGGGTCGTACTCGAAGCCCACTGCCGAAGTGGGTGCCCATTTCGCGTGCTCCTTTGCAATACCCTTCTTTGCGATACATTCCAAGTGAATTTCTTGCCCCTGTCTCAATTTGGCGATGAGGGGTCCGTTGCCATTAACATCACGGATCACTGGCCGGCCAATACCATCTTGACGGGGATTCGCGACGATGAGGTCGTTCGCATGTACCAGCATCGTGCCAGCTTGAGAACATCGGACGTGGAGGCGAAGGACAACCGAGCAGTATTCGCAGTGGTCATCGCAGCGATCACAGTCTCTGCCAAAGTTCAGGTTTTCGTCCACACCCTTACTCATCAGAGGCACGAGACCCAGCCTGTGTGCAAGATATTCGTCGGGAAGAACTGAGGAATTCGTAGTAATGTCGACAAGGTCGATCGAGATGGTCGGAATTTCGGCGAGCATGGCTCGGCGCAGGGAGTTGGCAAGGGCAAGAGAGCATGACTGCAGGACAAAATCGCAGCGGTCGGGCTCGACCTGTCGACGAGTCAGTTTTGAAGCAGGAGAAGGTAAGGAAGGTCTCTTCTGGCTCACTTCTCTCACGGTGACCTTTGGACCAGAAGCCTCGACCCCGTCCATAACATCATCGTTGAAGCCGTTGTAGCCATTATAAGCCATGGCTCGTTCCCTCTACCTGAATCAAGACGACGAATAGCCTCTCTGCATAAGTGGATGATCAGGACGGTCTCACCATGGAGTTGTTGAATGGACAAAGGTTGAGGCAAAGGTGAGGACGCGAAGCAAGAAATCTTTCGGGGCTTTGCGCGCAGGGGGGATATTTGGAGTTGCACAGTAGGTCACGTGCATGATGTGCCGCGAATCACGTGAACAATCCTGCCTCTTCGTTGTAGGGCACTGCGCCCGTGCGTCTCGGGGGCTTCGGGTACCTGACGAGCTGGCGAGGCACGACGCGAGAAAGCTACCAGATCGGCGTATAGCCCACTTTGTCCTCGCCAAGAAACGTTCCTCTGCCGGCATGGCGTCAATGGCGCCTGCGGGGAGGAAAGCCTGGAAGCCTGGCACAGCCTGAGAACGTCAAAAAATATTCAGGCCATCATCCTCCGTTCTTGTCTCTTCCTTGCTCCGCTTTCATCCCAAGATCCTACACTCGTTCAGAAATCGCGACAAGTCGTCGTTGCTCACGTCAAGCATTGGTTTGTTTTACCATCTTGAGCTTGTGGAAATCCTGGTCTGACAGACTTAGCAAGATTCTTGCATTTCGTCTACTTAACCCCGTCGCAGCTTCGAGTGAAACGTCAATCTGTTCCTCCCATCGTTGTGGTTAGACACCCTTACCTCCTCTCGGTTATGAACTCCCATGCCTGGGACCTGGAACAAAGGCTAGCAGATGTGATCACACGGAACACAGGCTTAGCCGCAGAGTCCCTGGTAGAATTTCTCGCAGCGCATGGCACCATGGACGAGATGGCTGAACACTTTGCTTGTCGGCCTCTTCTCACGGACTTTTCTCGTCCTTGCTCAATTTCCACCCCTCCCGGCCAATGATTCCCTCATCATAAACCCCTCTCCAGTCAACCCGAACGTCTCAGTCGCCTACAAAAGCGTTCCTGCTGGGACTTGTACGACAGTCTTCGAAACTCAGCAACAATTCGCTGGCTACATTACTCTGCCGCCTAATGTTTTGGATCCCAGCCAAGGAAACTACACCATCAACACCTTTTTCTGGTTTATTGAAGCAAGGCAGTTACCAGAGTCTGCTCCATTGGCCATCTTCATCAATGGCGGTCCCGGGTCCAGCAGCATGGTCGGTCTATTTCAAGAAGTTGGCCCTTGTGAAGTTGTGGAAATTGCCAATGGACAGCTGGGCACAGTTGCGCGAGACTGGGGTTGGGATCGCAGTAGCAACATCGTCTTCATTGACCAGCCCGTTCAGGTGGGCTTCTCCTACGATGTTCTGACAAACTCATCTCTCAATCTGCTCGATGAAACCACTGCCGTTCCACCGACGACGGTACCCATCTCACAACCCAGCTACACTTTTCTCAATGGCACCTTCGGATCGGGAAATCCGTCATTTACAGCCAACACGTCGGAGATTGCTGCTCAATCGCTATGGCATTTCCTGCAGACATTTCTCACTTCTTTCCCGCAATATAATACTGCTCTTCGCACAGAAGCCACTGAGCCCACTGCAGAGGTCCACCTTTTTACCGAGTCCTACGGAGGCAAGTACGGGCCCGCGATTGGGGCTTTCTTCGGCGTCCAGAATGAGCGTCGTCAGACAGATCTTGGCTTTGCCAACACGACCATTGATATTACCTTAAAGTCTCTGGGTATCATCAATGGATGGATTGACCTTTTCACCCAGACTCCATATCACCCGAAATTCGCATACGAGAACACCTATGGCATTGAAGCCATCTCACAGCTTCAAGAGCTCAACGCCCTAAGTGCATACAACAGTGCAGATGGCTGCGAGCAGCAAACTGCCTTTTGCCGCTCAGAAGAAGCTGAGCTCGACCCAATGGGCTCCGGAGATGTGGATGCAGTCAATGAGGCATGCTCGCAAGCGCAATCGTACTGCGAATCCTATGTAGTTGGACCCTACACTACATCAGGACGATCCATCTACGATATTTCCCAAAGTGTGATCGATCCTTTTCCAGGCGCGCTCTACTTGGAGTATCTGAATCAGCTGTCGGTCCAGCAAGCGCTCGGTGTTCCAGTCAACTACAGCCAGGATTCAGTAGCTGTCTTCGCTGCCTTCGATGCCACAGGAGACTATGCGCGAGATGGCATCATCCAAGATCTTGTTGGTCTTCTCAATACCGGTGTCAGGGTCGCACTTATCTACGGCGACAGGGACTACATCTGCAACTGGATGGGAGGAGAAGCAGCTTCTTTCGCCGTAGCCGGCGCGGCCGGTCCATCGTATCTGCCGTGGTACGAAGCTGGATATGCTCCAATCGTGGCCAATAGCTCCTACATCGGCGGCGTTGTTCGAGAGTTTGGCAACCTAAGCTTCAGCCGAATCTACGATGCAGGTCACTTGGTGCCTGCCTATCAGCCCGAGACCGCTTTCACGATCTTCTCGCGTGTCATTGAAGGGACAGACATCAGTATGGGCATGCCCGCCGATTTATCTACGTATTCGTCGTCCGGGGAAGCAAACTCTTCGTACCAGAATGTCCCCCCTCCAATGGCGGAGCCAACCTGCTACCTGCGTGCCGTCAACACGACCTGTAATACAGACCAGAAGAACATGCTCGCGAACGATGCTGGCGTTATTATCAACGGAGTTCTCTACGATGATGTCGCAGATTGGCAACCACCAAGCCCAGGGGTTGCCACCATGGCCGGGATGCCTGGCACACCACCTGCCAGCATAGTGGCCAGCCCACCGATGCCAGAAACAAGCACGACGCAGGAAGTAACGCAGACAACAACCCTCGACACCACAGCCACAACAACAAATGCCCGAAACTCAACTTCGACCGCCAGTACCAGGGGATATACCACGCAGAAACCACCCGCAAGCAGTCTCCCAACGGGCGTATACACCGCAACGACTATCCCGCCAACATCAGCCGCCAGCAGAAGTACATCTGCCAGCGCGACTAACGCGGCGTCGTCCAGCATCCACAGCAATGTTTTTCGTTCTTTGTCACTTTCGCGAGATACCCGGCCCACAGTGGCAGCTTTTCTTTATTTAATCGGGATTCTGAGTCACGCGTTCGTTGTCTAAGGATTCTCCGAACGGAAGGCACATTTTGAAGTCGAAAACACGAGGAGGACGGTTCTCACGGAACTACGACAGTGGCGGAGAGGTGAATGAAGCCCCCTGGATGACAAGATGAAACAACCACGAAGCAACGAACATTTCCTTCCGATGGGAACGAGGCACGCTTAATGTTTTAGGAACAGAGCAATGAACTGGGAAAGGTAATGATTCGATGCAACATAAGGAAAGGTCTACGAAACTCGTCGTAATCCGCGATCTCCTTCAAAGACTGGGAATTTGTGCCTCGTCCCTCACGTGTGTAGCGCACGGCAGGTGCTGGGTCATAATGAGTTACAATAGCAATGTGTCACCGCGCCAGCAGCAGCCTGTATCAAAGTGAAAAGACGTTCTCTTTGTTCAATGCGGCTGAACTCCATACATTCCAGTGGTACCCTTGGGTCGTGCCGTTACTGTCACTGTTCCCTCGTGTCCTCCACTAAGGAGAAGGGAAGGGGGAGAGTGGACTGGTCTGGGCTGGCCCCCTTCGTAGTAGTGGAATCCAACGAGTGAAACACCCTGACACAGACCTCAGAAGAAATATGAGGATTGGACCGTAGGAGCTTCCTACCCGTGCATTCTCATCCGCACGGAAGGGAGGCCCAAGCCTCACTAACCCACCGTCTTTGTAAAAACAAGGAGTGGTAACGAAAGGAGGGAGGGGTTCGTCCCATCCAGACACACCCTCATTGCGGGATTGATCGTCACGGTGTGAATGTGAGACGTCGGGACATGAGGCTGCGTGGAGGGATCCCATGAGGAGCAGGAGGAGGACGATGATGATGGGACTGTGACTGAGACTGGGACAAGAAAGAGAGATGCCAGAAGTAAAATCTGGAGTCGCATTGATTGATGACACCCTACCTATCTACCTACCTACCTACCTACTTACTTACCTCCTTACCTACTTACCTAGTTAGCCAGCTGGCTAGCTAGCAATGTCCTGTATGTATGAATCGCCTCCTTTGTCACCATGCAGTTTGTCATGGAACGCAGGATAGACTGGTCTCGAGAATATCGTATGATCCGCATGCAACACTGGGGGTCGGCTTCAAGACCTGCTTACATACATGCCTGCATGCGTGGTATGATTCGGACACACACCACCTGCCCCGTCAGGACACGGTGGTGGTCACTGTGCTATACCGCTGTCGTCTGCTGCGATGCTGCGATGCTGCGGTATTATTGTTGTCACTGTCACCCACCCTGCCCAGACATCGTTAATGTCACCAGCACAGAGAAGACGGGCATTCAGGCAGGGCCAAACGCACATATATCCCAGACGGGCTTGGACGGAACTCCGCAGACACAGTCACTTGAGCCCGGCCTTCCGCTGGGAGATCTGTATCGCCGATGCAGGTTGGGTTTGGTATGTACGTTATGTATGCTTGATCCCTTCTTCGAGCATTGTGTGGTGGTGTAGGATTCGTGGCATGTGACGTGGTAATTGCTGCGCCTCCTTTCCTAGAAGACGTTTGCGCATCTCCTTTTTAGGATGACTTATCCTTTGTCTCCAGACGAGAGTCGACAAAGAGCACATGACTCTGCCGGCTTTGGATCACCGTCGGTTTGCAAGATGTAGGTAAATAGTGTGGAGATCAGAGAGACAAGAATGCCAGTCCCTGCTTCTGGCGCCGGTCTGCGGGTTTGCCGTCCCTGAGCAAGGGGGCCCTGGTGCGGTCGGGAAATCAAATATGCTTCTCGAGAGGTTGCCGGGTTGGACTGAAGTGCACAGTTGCCGATAATGAAGAGGGCGACTCTCGAAAGGGGATTAGACCTACTACTCAGCTTAGCGATGTATGCGGTCCCATTCCGGTCATGGGCGCAGATGCGGTTCCTGCACTATTATGTTATGATGCTGCATTGGCTGGGGCGTGTGCAAGCATTCAGATTCGTGGCCGGATTGGGTCGGAAGCCGTTACCTATATTGTATTGGTCCTGGCAGCCAGGCTATGAGTTAGTTCGTGGAAGGAGTGTTCCGAGGCGGGCGATGTGTCAGCTTCTGCATGGGCATCACTTCGAAGACAACGAAATGCTCTAGAAAAGGGGGCTGAGACGGAACTCATGGGTGTGTCACCTGGCAACAGACTCTGACGCTGGGTATCGGGGACCGTCGAGGTGGGTATGTAGGTAGCCTTGCACGCGAACACAATACCAACTGATACAGCCGCAGGCTTCATTGAAGACCTGTGCTCCGTTCGGGATATTGTCAATTTCCATGCTGGGGAGGGTGCAGAAACATCCACCGATGTCGAGGTTCCTTTTTCTTTTACTCGTCTGAGCCGGACGTTGGAGTGGTACCGGCGAAGGAGCTTCATTGGGGCATGCTGTATCGTCCTCGTGGCTTTAGCGGAGGACTGTTGGGGAAAATGACACGGCTGCCACACATACGGTAGGCTCATAGTGCCATCCGGTACGACTGATCATGGATCTACCAGAAGCAGAAACGTTTTGCCTCGCTGGCTCAAGCGACAGACACAACACGAGGATGACACGCTGTGCTCAAAGCGCGGCGCCATCTGACAAGGCCAACAAGTCCATGCGACTGCTTCTGCTAATCTCAGCACGCTGTTCGTGGTCTTTCAAAGAGCCCCGGGAAGGGTAGCCGGTGGTACCCAATCTTCGTGATGAGACGCGGAGTACCGCCGCGGAAAGTGTATTCGTTCGTCAACCTTACTGAACATTTCTTGGGAGCATAGGCACTGGGGTTGACTGCTGGAGAGGGTGGTCTCCGAGGATCTTTTCGCAGATGCTCTGGCTGCTAGGAAGATCAAGATGTCAGTGCACGACAATTCCACCACTTGATCTGGGAAGATAGTTCAGCACGTGGTCTGACTGTCGGGACGGTTCGTGAACCGGTATTGTGGCTCTTCATCTGGCCCCGGTCGAAGAGTCGTATACCGACGCAGTCTGAAGATGAGGTCCGGCAAACAACTGTGCCCCAGCAGAGCTCACATACCAGTTACGCTTGTTGGTAACATGGAAGGAATGCAGACGCATCATGGAATTCTTGTGAAAGGCGTGGCTGAACGGTCGTTGTGGTTGAAGCGACTTTGCTGGTGTGTGGTCTTGATAGCTCTTGTGATTGATTGACTGAGGGCAGAGGGTCGAGATGCCGGACGTATGTGACTGGCAGCTACCACACTGCCATTGCCTCCAGGATGATGGCATAGCCTTGGACTTAGACTATTCCAGCCTCATTGGTCCCTGCTCTGTGGTCGACGTCCATTTCAACGAGTGAACGAGTGTCCTTTGGGATCAGAAGGATTAGGGTATGAGCTAGTGACACGGTGTTGTCGCTTGTCCTTGGGATAATATGCTGGACAGTACGTCAAATCCTCCCCTCCGTATTTGTCCATACTCGACATGAGGCGAGGGCGTCTGCCACGAGATGGCTGACTGATGATACAGTGAGCCCAGCATCATCCATTTTGGGGACCGTCCCATTTCTCAACATGGATATGACGGCCGGCAGGCGACACGGACGTGTTTCGAAGCCCAATGACACATCATCGCGGAGTCGACAGAGTCGAGCATTCGACACACAAAAGCCATGGGAGCTGATGGGTGCAGTCGAAGGGTCTAGTCTTTTAGGACACCGCCAACAAGGAGACCTCTCCCATTCGGGAGATATGTGGCGTTTCAACATCCATTCCTGTTTGGGCTTCGACTGTTGGAGACTGGAAGCTGCATCTTGATCCCAGACAGGGAGCTCGGCTCGAGGATGGATGAATTGCAGCCAAACAGAGATCTCGAGCGCCGTCTAACAGTAATCACTCTTGGATGCTGCTGTCAGGGTGACAAAGGAGTTTCAGAAAGGATAGAACATGGTCGGGCAGCAGCTGGTGACGCAACGGATTGTCCCACAGCTTCCATTGTACTGAGATGTATCAGTTTCATCGAATTGGAAGCATACGAGACTATTATCGGGATGCGCGGAACAGACTGAAGCCGGCCACAGTCCCAGCAACTTCCGTCCAAACGAACTCATGGCCTGCAATGTCATCCGCCAACATTTGCCTCAGTTCACAGCCGCCAAAATCCTATCTTGCCCGCCGCCTCTTGAAGCGGTCGCAGCCGATTGACGACACGCCCGGCTGGCGATGCAACTACTCGGCGTCGGGGTGAGGACTTTACTCCGGCAAAAGGCCCCAATACCTCTGGTCGAGGTCAGCGATCCACACGAATTCATGCTGCACCCGACATCACCAAAACGGTATGGAAGTGATCGCGGACTTCGTGCGGCGACAGGAAGCCTCATGGCGTTAGCGGCGGTCTGAGGGCATGTCGCGGGGACCACAGCGACTTCCCACTGATCCCTAGGCCTTCGCCATCTAATTCTCCTTGGATACAGAGAGATCTGGATTTTCAACATGTCGATCAAATTGGACGATCCACAAAACAAATCACGCCCGGGAGAGCCGCATTTCCTCGTGGAACAGCTCAAGGCAAGCATTCAAATTCAGTCAAGTCATCACCGAAAGACGACGGTCGTCCAAACCTCGTCGAGGCGCGAATGATTACGCACCGCGAACGTCACCGTCGAAATGCTTACTGAATGATGTACGACAATCGGTTGCCCTATCGGTTAGTAGGTGGCAGCAAGTGCACGCCATCGTGCACCTTCAGGGGCAGGCATTGTATCCCTCGGTGGTGTATTACGGAATCTCCCCAGTTGAAGTAACATCAAGTATTAGCTAAATTCATGCCTAATTCCGCTGAGACAAAGGATGGCCCAGGCACCTCGACGGATAGGAGCCAGGATTTGGAGATGCGAAATGGATATCATTTCTGGTGTGGCATGACGCCCCCGACTACGATCGACGGCGATCCTTGGGGGGGGGCCAAGGCAGCCCTTATCCGATGCACAACTTGTGACAGGTACTATTTTTGTGGCTGGGAGGCGCTTCAGGAGGAAAGAGGCCGTCATGGGGGTTTCAATGTACTCTCGTAAAGAGGCAAGCAGCTGACGTTGACGGCATGCGAGCCGACGATCAGTGAGATAGAAGGAAGGGCAGGAAGGGCAGGAAGGGCAGGATGAGCAGGGAAGGCTTCGAGGAATGAGGGTCAGAAATCAAGTTTCGAAAATAGTCAAACTAATTGTTTTGTCTAGAGGACATATGGCCACCCAAAAGGAAGCAATGCGAGATCATCCGTCATACGACAGAGTGGCGGTGGCAATGGGCCAAGACGGAGAAGCAGCAGAAGCGCCGCAACAAGTAGTTGGCAGGAAATACGGGGTCCGGACGGTCATGTATGAATCCATGGGAAATCGCAAAATAGATACGGTATGAAGTGGTAACTCGATATTGTGGGACACGACACCGACCCGAACAGTCAGGGAACAGTCAGCAGGGGAGAAGGGAGATGAACGAAGAAGTCATGATGGCTGTGACCTGAAAGGGTAAATAGACCGGAGCCAACGGGAAGCTTAAGGACGACGCAAGGCGATGCCGTCAAAGGGGATAGTGGTGTTGGATGGCGGCGAGGGCTCAGGGCATACCGGAAACGGAATATGTAGTCAGCAAACCGGAACTGACGATTGGGCACAACATTTAAACGTGATCTGTGGTGGCCGAACAAACAGCGCTACCTAAAAGCAGCGTCCGGGACCAAGTTACTACCTCCTGTTTGGGACTAGTCGGCTTCCAAGCCACATGTGACGCGAGGGGGGTTTCTTCTGCATGACGCTAGTGATTGGCACCAGCCAGGTCGCCAGGAGCACGCTGCCCCACCCGAAGTCGTGTCGCACTTTGGTGGCACTCGCACCAAACACCGACCTCTCCATTAGGTAAGAAATTTCTAATCCACACAGGGCCTCCGTCACCAGTTTTCGTCCACCGTTTTCCGCGAACCTCCATCTTTTCCTCGATCTTTATTACTCATCAAACCCGGAGCCCTGACCACGATCACTCGCTCTCGCTCTCGCACTCGCACTTGCACTTGCACTTTCACCTAACAAAAGCCTCTCGGCCCTTTGCCCTTTGCCCCCTTGGCCGTACTCCCGTACTCCCTCTTTTCTCCTGCGGCCGTCGGCTCATCCCAACTGCTGCTGACTTTACATTTCGTCAATCCGCCCGGTTCTGTTGCTGTGTGCTGCGAGTCTGCAACTCACATAACAACCATCCTATCACCTTTTGGCCTCGATCAGATATCTCGTGGTGGCCCCTGTGGTTCCCTCGTACCATCCCTCCGGCTCCAGCGACTTGTAACCTGTTTCGTCCCTCGTTCCAATCATTCAGCAAACTCCACTGGCCTCCCCCCTTTCATCCCCCACGAAACAGAGTCCATTATCATCATCAGTCTAATCATCATCATCATCATCATCATCATCGATGCAACCGGCACTCGCTCCTCGCACGGCTAGCTCTTCTTCGATGATGCCTCAGGTAAGCAGCCAAGACCACCCTGGTCCTTACTCAGACTGCTGCTTTGCCCTCCAGTGGTCCCTCGTACCCAATTTCTAACCTGGGTGGCCGCCCAAACATGGGCTGCCCCAGGCCAGAATCTGGCATACCTGAACCGCCTGGATCCCCTTCCCCCTTGGGAACCCTCCCCCCTTCGATCCCTGGAGCTTCTGTGGATGGTGTCTATTATTTGCAATGGCTATCCCACCTCATACCGTCGCATGACCTACAACACCCCATGTACCCATGTTCTATCTTTCCCCTGTACCACCCAATCACCCTCTTCCCTTCGACTCGTCCGAAAGGCATCGGTGCCTGGCTCCATCTCTCTGCCTTCCACCACCCACCTCCCTCTCTGGATCTTGCATCGACCTTTTCCACGCTGCAAACCCCCCCCCAACCCCCAACCAACACTAAAAGTTTGACGGCAGACGTTTCTGACCCGTTTGAGCAATAGGACATGGTCAAATCCGAGCACCGTACGTATCGTAATCCTCGACCCACTCGACGCTCTTCTTCTGGGGCCTGAGACCCTCCGACCCTCACCCATCACCCGCTATCCCCTGTCCAGCCTTCTGCACCATTTGTTCGCCTCTTCCTTCTGCTTCCACACATTTGCCCTGGTCGAGCTTCCCTTGCAGCCTATCGCCGATGCCGTCCACAATACCCAAATACCGTATTGTAACTTTGGTTCGGTTTGCGGTTTTTTCTTACCGTCCACCGGACGACCCCTGCAAGAACAGCATCATTTATCCTGTCCCCAAAAGAAGCAAGGGTATCGAACTACCCACCCCCTCCCACCCCGGTATCCTCTCTCGTGGCATACATATACCTTGAGGGCCACCTCCTCTGTCCAGCCTCGTCTCCCCCGTACCTTGTTGGCATTGAGGACTTGTGATTGTTTTTTTTTTCTCTCTCAAGCACAAATCGACACACTCACACATTTTCTTCTTGCTGTACCACCACCCCCACCCACAACACCATGACATCTATTACTCAGCTACTTTCCCCGTGGCCGGTCTCTAAGCATTCAATAGTACTGCGCGAACAACACTATCCTCCACCACCTCAATCCGTGGTGCCGGACCATCTCGACAGCATGCCACAGCATCACCCGTCGCCGCCGCAAGATCCGGCGCACAACGACCACGTCACTGGCAGTGCAGAGAGCGATGGTGGTGAGAACAATGGCGATGGCCGCAAAGGCTACGGCAAGCGTGAGCTGAGTACCAGCAAGAGAGCTGCTCAAAATAGAGCCGCCCAAGTAAGCCTTCCCTTGAGAGCCTGGTCTGTGTGGCCGGTGGGTGCTAACACGGTCGACCTCTAGCGGGCCTTCCGACAACGAAAAGAGGGCTATATCAAGAAACTCGAAGAGCAAGTGCGAGACTACCAGGTCTTGAGCGAAAACTTCAAAGCAGTTCAAGCCGAAAACTACCAGCTCCGTGACTACATCATCAACCTCCAATCTCGATTATTAGAGTCGCAAGGCGAAGTACCTCCGCCCCCCAGCAACGTTGACGGGCTGCAACCGGGCAAGGCTGGCCCTCAACAACCGGGTACTCTCCCCCGTCTATCCGAACTGAATGCCGTGGGTCAACCACAGGATGTGCTCAGCAGCCTTCACGACCCTATTCGCAGCGGCTATCCTGATCCAACATATTCCGAGTCTCCTATCGCCAAGCGCCCGAGAACAGGATCGGCCGAAATGACTCCGTCTCAAGCAGCGCTGCAAGGCGCGGCCATTCTGTCGCAACAACCTGGTACGCGATAAGACGACGAGTATCTTTCCTTCATTTCTTCTCTCCCCCACCGGGTGGGAAGACCACTATCACGAGAGGGCGTTTTGCTCTACAGGGGGGTTCGGAACGGCATTTCTTCGCGGCGTTTGTCTCGAGCTTGGGGTCCCAATGGGGCGGACCATAGCTGTACTGAACATGAAGTGTAACGGCGTTCGGGAAACATAAAGCAAGGGCGATGATCCCGAGAGGTCAGGGACAACGGCGCTCCTGCAATTCAGACCGACTGTCTTGCCAGACCCGACAGTCCCCCAAGGGAACTGGCTGGCTGGCGGGACGATGATGATGACGATGAAGCAAAGAGGGGTAGAGGTGGGAAGCCACGGCAGAGGTGTGTATACCACGTCGTGGTCAGGCCAAGATCGTGTGGCGGAGTTCAACCTTTACACATGTACTACCGCTTTACATCTGGTAGCCAGCAATATGTACAAGAAAGAATTCAAAGCTGGCGCGTTAGACACCGTAACTGCGTACCTCGTAAAATGAACGAGCGTATTCCCCGTTCCCAATGGTCGACCAGGATATGAGTCAGCCAGCAGCACGCCCGAGCTTCAATGAGGCTTTCCATGACGCGAGAGGAACCGAGCTTGGTGTGCGGCACATGGGCCTTGACTTGCGGGCGGTTTGTGGTTCCTAACTCCGACCAAGACCCCAGACCGTGTCAGTATTAGTGATCCTGACCATGATTACACCAATGAGGGTCCCTGGCCATCGGCCAAGGGGGGATCGCTCTCAAGGCTATTCTCACGTCCCGCGTGTCATGCAACTCTGCTAGGCTGCAGAAGGACAAGGAGTCTAAGCCACGACCCAATCCACCCTTCCCCCCCCCTCTCGTCTCCTCTTTTCCCCCGCCAGAGATTCAGATGGTGATGGCGGGAAGGCGGCCGCGAACGAGAGAGGGCCAGGATGGGTCTCTGAAGGTAATCAAGCGACTCATATTACATTATCTCGGGGATTGAGGGCGGCAGTCACCATACCGGATCAGGACTGCGACCGGCCAGCGGGACTACCACGAACGGCGAAAAGCCAATACGAGAGTATGCACCGAGTAGTAATATGCCTTGACCCTCTTTGTTCTTTTCTTGTTCTCGCCTTCTTCTGCTCTTCCCCTCCACCCCCCCTCCTTCTCCTACGACGCAGGGACTCGCGAATGGTACGTCAGCAAAGGGTTTCGCAAGCAAATGGAAGGTCGGGACCCATGTCTGTAGAAGGAAAAAACTCAACAGAAACTCGCCCCAAATCTGGCACTCGTCCTTTTGGAATACGGCCGAGGGCGGAAAGAAGCCTAGGAGATATCGTTAGCACCTTAAAGTCAGTATGGGGAAAGGGGCCCTGCGGACAAGAGCGGGTAATGGTTGATCAAGTACTGTAGTACATCCCAAGACACACTCCCCAATCGCCACGGGAGGAGGGATGGGAGCGAGGGAGGGTAGGCAGGCAGGGGTAGTGTTGGAGTACCACCCATCATCATATCAGAATAATGAGATGGATGGTCTGAGTCAAGAGATGCAGCCTGGGGTCTTAGCAATGACCTCGTCTTTAGCTGCTGTCCAGAATCGGTAATACTAATTGACACATTTTACCTCGTACCATGACCGTCATACGAGTCATTACACAATCAGAGCCAAAGGGGCAGGCTGAAAATTACCCAAATACGCATCTTGCAGTGGGCCAAAGCCCGTCTGGGGCAAGACACAGCCTCTAGGCGCATGCGCACCAATCAGCAGAGGGGCTATCGTAACCTTTTCGGCATTAGTGTAGCACCCTTGACACTCCAACCCATTTGCCGTCTTGCCGCCTGTTCGCCGCTCGCCCTTCTTCATGATTACCATCAATCACCACGGCGAGTTTTTACGCGGATCGGCCCTGCCGAAACCTCAATTGCTACCGTCCTTCGTCCATCGTCCCGGCCCAGGGTCCAAAGGGGCCCCTGTCTCCATCTGCAAATGAACATTGAGCCAGGCGTCGGATGCAGTCTATGTACCGAGTACAGGAATGCGCCCTGGCCCTGGCACACCCTGCGTAAACCCGTTTCGATCAAGCCTCTGCTGCCCATGTACAGTATGTACTCCCCTCGTGGCCTGCCTGCAATGTTTAGCCTTTACTTGAAGACGTGCCTGACTTGGCCCTATGGAACACTGACGAAGCGACGCAGATCACCCTCCCCCCCAGCGGAAAAGCGTCCGATCTTTCACCTCCTCCTCTCCACCATGCCATAATACTGCTACTCGTAGCATAATACCTACGGCCCAAATGCTCGGCACTCTGATGGCGAACTTGTCGCCTCTCCCCCTGCCTCTCCCTTGCTCGTATAGCCGCCACGGGTCCCGATCGATAAGCCGCTTCCGCTTTCATTTGTAATCTTCGCCTCTCTGGAGCAAGCATAATATGGCTTCGTCTCCTTCTAGGTTGCTGAACAACGCCATTACAATCACCCGAGCGCCAAGGGCCCTTCTCGACGGTCACTGCGGCCGCTGGCCGGGACGATCGAGCCTCTGGCCATCAGGCTATGAGGGGTGGGTGATGCTTCTGGCCCATGACTAAGAAGGGAAACCGTGACGCTGGAAGATGACCAATGGATCGAAAATCCTGCGCCTTGGGCACTTTTTGGCCGTCGGGAAGATTCAGATATACGGGGAGCCTGCCTAGTCGCTTATCGGGCTGTGGTGGCTCGGTCAGGCAAAGGGTAGAGCCCACTACTATTCCTCCTCAATGCTTACGAGTAGGACATCATCGACAATCTGATGCAATATCGCCAAACAGGAACACAGGGTGAGGGATCGGAGCAGCGATGGTTTCCGACTCCAGCAGGACTCAGATGCCAGTGGCGGCATGATTGCGCTGCAACAGTGGCTGTTTCGCACTTCCGCTACCCATCGTCGTTCAATGGGAGCAACCCGTTAGACTTCCCTTTTTGGTAGGTCTACTTGACTGACCTAATACAAGATCCGTCACGGTGATCATTCCTTCTAGCTTCATGGGAGGCGGCCGCCGCCTACAGTCAGCCGACCTGCTTTAACGAACGCGCCTTGAAGACGCTTGGCATATTTTCATGACGTTGGGGGCCGACAGAACCGTCAAAGGATCAACCAACGAAGCTCCCAAGTAACGGCTATTGATACCCAAGCAGGCATGTGTATTGACCTCAGGGGGGTAAACGGCGAGGGCAGACAATTACCCAAAAGTGCAAGCAGTAAGTGGGGAGCGATCGACGACCAAAGGGTCTTGCATGTATCTACTTGCATATGAGCCTCCAACTCCACAGCTGGCCAAATCCCAAAGTCCTTAACCGAACCGTAATATGGCCCGACGCCGAAGGTCAGACCGAAAACCGGTATACAGCGCGCCAGACGGGCAGGTCTGAAAAGCTGCCGGCCGGGACAGGTATGTAATCATGGGATTCAAAAGAAAGTGTCTGGCATTAGCTCCCGATTCCTTCGGCAGCCTCCAAGCTGCGCCACAATCCAAACCAGCATGAGACCGAGTGGATCACTCTGTTAGAGAGGAAATGGACAGCAGGCACGCGGAAGTACATACCACCGCTGCTGTGGTTTGACAAGCTCCCCTGGAGATCCCCAACTGGGTATGACGACGTCGGCTTACGGAAACGCAGAGTCATCCTCGCGCTTGTCCATCGCAGGAACAACACCACATGCTGGGGTATGAGCAGAAAGCAGGGCGGACCCTCAAGAGACCCTGCTTCACGGCGGTACCGTTCATGCATCTTTAGTCGGGCTGCTCAAATCGAAGTTCAGACCGGGAATCGAGGGTCTCGAGGTTCATGATCAGACTACACGCGCAAAAATGGGCCACGCGTGATGGTTTAGCATTATTGTCCTGCCCTGAAGTCGGGGGAGCGATGGTTCAGGGGAGCTCAGCAGTGCTCCGCACCCCGTTCATTCATGCGACGATCTCACAAGAGCCGCAGGAACACGCAGGATGAGGGTCTGACGGGGCCTCTCCTAACTCCGAATCTATCGAACAACGTTGGTTCTGTTGATGTGCGCCGAGACTCATGTCATGGGCCACACGAATGGGCCACACCTTTACACGCCCCAAGACGGTCGATACCAAGTCTCGCCCGGCCTCGTCGGAGTCGACAATGTGGTCACTGTCAATGTCCCATGCTCTCGATCCTTCCTCTACATAGTCGGCCAAGACACATTGCCACTTGATGCCTTGGCTTTTATCCGCATTTTCCCAATGAGAAAAGCCACCGCCAACCGGGAGAAACACACCCGCCTCCAACTTGACTATACGATCCGCAACTGGCTGATTGAAGTGCAGTGCAGTACGAGTCTGCGATGGAGGTACCTAATCTCCGTGCCATGTGTACGAGCGCCTCACACCTAACCATGAGGGGCGGGTGGTCTGTGGTTCCTTTTTGTGGATCGAGCCGCCCGGTCTGGGGGTATGACTCGTTTCGGATGTCTGGGTGGATGGATTTAATATCCCCAAGTCGCGGCTGACATAAGAATCCGAGCCTTGCGAAAGGGAAATGCTTTATTTAATACTGCTATTACCGAGTGTGGACTTTTCCCGTCTTTACCTAACTTGGTGGCCCGCCTTTCTCAGAGTACAGCCCACACGTTCCGCTTCATATCTATACGTCCCTACAGAGTCCTTGGGCGTGTAGTGTGGCCCGAGGGGAATAGTTAGGGCGATAGGATCGAGGCGAAGCAAGCAAGCAAGCAAGCAAAAGCCAAATCAAGCCTAAAAGCAAGCCAAGAAAACCGGGGGGGCGAGGGGAGGGGGGCCGGAAAAGACTTGCGTTTGCCCGATTGGGAGAATGTAATAATGAATTAAGAAATCAATACCTCGTATTCGGTACCACCCATTCATTCATTCATGCATTCATCGATCGAAACTGTTTCAAGGGGAAGCCGAGCGAGCACGTTTACTGTTGTTCGGTGCGACATGCAATGCGAAGCGAAGCGATGCTATGCTATGCTATGCTATGCTGCTGTGGGCTGTGGTGTGATAATCAGCCGCCGAAAGCCCTATCTATCTACCTATCCATCTATCTCTGTATCGTTCAGCGTTCACATCGTTGGATCTTTCGCATCACTCTGCATCATCCCATGCCATACCGTTTGATTTGATTGACAACCTACCTACCTCTGTATACTCCAGTACTGTAGCTCCCTTGCCCTGGCCCTTGCCATTGAGCACACGCGCATGTCCTGTACATATACATAGGGCGCGCGGGCTCGCGTGGGAAGGGGGGAAGGGGGAGGAAAGAGGAAAGGCAACAACGAAATGAGAGCGGAACCGCATCTGGAAGAAAACACACGACGGAGCGAACGTGATGGGGGAAAAAGAGGGGAAGCAAGATCGATCGAAAGTCGAACAGCTAGGAGGAGGAGCAGCAGCAGCAGCATTGCTTACAGTACATACATACATACCGAGTACATAGGGAGAAACTCGTGGTTGGGGGGATAGTCTCCTCAAACTGATGGCGGCATTGCTTTGCTTTGGCTTGGCTTGGTTGCTTGACGTCTAGCTTCCTCGTGTGCTTGTCGAGACTAGGGGCGTGTGCCACGACTTGGGGAAAGGAATGAAACTCTCCGAAAAGGATGCATGTAGGTTCAATGTTTGGCCGCCAGTCCAGGCTGTCTGGGGTTGGGGGGATATATCGGGGACCAGGGGAACGGATACATGGCCACTGTACTGGGCTGATTGAGCACATTATTCTTCAGAACCCTTTCCCTTGCTCGCGCAAATGCCGGACTGCCACGCGCGCGGAGAAAGCTTTGAATGATGCTCGATTGGAGATCGGCCGCAACCGCAGCTGATCAGCCATCCTGCCTCTTCTTGCGCTAGGTATGTGAGTATAGGCGACAAGCCGAGAACCCAGGATCCACTTTCCAACCGCCCGAAGATTCGACTTAGCTGTTAGAAGATATAGCAAGGAAGCGTGGGCGCGGGCTTGTAACAATCGGGTATTCCGTAGGGCTTCTCCGTTGGGAGATCGTCTATTCCGTGTCCTTGCTCGACTTGGGGATTGCTTACCTACTGTATAAGGTAAGCGGCAAGCCACCTGTAGCATGAAGGCTTGCTGTTGCCTAACATAGATCCTCCAAGACGAACATTGAGCGCTCCAGAGATTGGCAAGGGTGTGGGGTGAGGAGGAGAATAGATCACAGATCACAAATGCTTTCCTGTCCTTGAGAAAGGACAGCAACATACCCTCCATCCACGAAGCTCTAGATTGACAGTTGCCGGAATAAAGGCACTTACCTCATCACATACCGTATCCATCCACTCAATCTAACCAAGGAAATGAGTTCCCACGCATGCAACCGATACGCATCGGTCATCTGTTCCATGCTGCCCAACAGAGTCTAGACCTTCTCCCGATCCGCAAGGTCTGACACCAAAACGCGAACATGAGGATCCATCATTGTTTCCAAGGGTAGGTGGTACGCTCTGCGGACAGTTCGAAAACAGAAAAAGGGAGCCACTCTCGCGATCCCAACTTGTAAGCTGGTAGTAAGCTTTCGTTCTATTTGCAGTTGACTGGGTGTTTCACCGGCCGTATCTCCGAATACTGGGGCTGTAGGCACAAAATCGGTTTGATAGATTGAACTGTTTGATTCTGTGCGTGGAAGCCATTGCCTTGGTTGATTTAGCTCTTGCATTTTCGGAAGTTCTTCTAACTGGAACTGGCATCTCCCCTCTCGATCGTGGTTGGTTGGGCTGCCTGCACAGAAGAAAGTCGTCCTGACAGGCCTCGGATCATCCGCACGCTTCCGATTTCAAAAGTTTGTATCGCATGACTGATTCATTATTAAGGCAGGGTCTTGGCACGAGGCGGCTGCAATCGTTGTTCTAGAACCTTTGGGTGACACCTGCTTCTGGAGGATCCTAAATCAGATTGTTGTAATGCGAGATTTCGCTCGACATTTCGTGTAATCACTTCGAGTCATGGTGGTGGTGTGACGGTCGGTTGTCATAAAGCGAGGGAAGGCTCCTGTGTTTCCACTACCAATCTCCAGTGTGGGAGCATTCACGGTCTTGGTGACAGCGGACCCCTAGTGGCCTGAGTAATCCTCGTCCCCTCCATTCAGCCATCTATTCCTGGCAGTCACAGTATGCCTCAACAGATACATGGTGGCCGGGCGCTCACATTTTCCGTCGGCTGCATCCCAGGTCGGAGTGTCTGGCAATTCTTCGGCCGCCGGGCGACGGTCCTAAGACTTGGCTTCCTGCTTCTAATGGAAGGATTGCTCACGAATGGGTGACAATGAGCCGAAGATATACCTTGGGATGTATTGCGCCCATTGTGGCATACAAGCCAGAGACGAACATTGCCCAAGTCCCAATCCGAGATGAAGAGGATCGGTGGCTCAGCCTCGCAGACGGGCGACAATCCTTTCTGATGTCAGACGGCAGTGATATGTGAGTCAAGGAGGGACAACAACGGCGGCAGTGTGTGCAGCCACGTCAGAATTCATCCGGCTCCTGCCCGAGGGTGGTGTCTAGGTCCCCTTGTGCCAGTCCTTCCGGCATTGTATTCTTTGGAGGTGCTACGATCGCGCCGTTTCTTTTGGGGTTGTGTGACAGGATGACCCCCCAGAGCAAATCGCCCTCCTCCTTTGAATTGCACGCCACGTGGAACACTCGAGCCCAGACCCATCGACGTATTCAACAAGTTCAACATTGGGAGGTTGAGAGCAGTCTTGAATCATCCTTGACGAAGCATTTGCCCTGCGGCCAAACATCTGATTGTGGCAATTTGTCAAGTTACCTGGAACAGTTGCCATTTAACAGAGGGAGAATGCGTGCCTTCAGAATCATTATCGAGTGAACCATGGAGGTTTTGCTCTGCTCGATCTTGCCCTGTCCATGGGGGGGTCAACGAAATGTAACCTGATAGTCCCTCCCCACGAAATAACAAGGTAAGTCAGCAGCGAAAGGCTTTGGATACCTCATGTAATTGAGTGGTTTGACCAGGGTGTGTTTGTGGACAACACGTCTTGATGAAGTTGCTGTATGGATGTCTGCTGTCATACGACGTCAAGGGGATCAAGGAATCGAAACCAGGGAGCCCTGGTACTCGACCGTTGACCGATTTGCAGTACCAGATTCGTCAAGTGTACCTTCCGGATGAGGGAGCAAGTCGCTCTGCAGCTTGGTGATAGCTCGAGATGTCTTAACCTCAGCACTCCAACACATCGCAGAGCGACTTTCGACCTCACCCTGCAATCCGGCTGTACCTTAGCGACACAATCAACGCGTTGTCGACCATCAATTGGAACCATGAAAGAAAAACTTTCTCCGGGCACTCATGCAGCTGGAATCAACAGTTGATGCTGAGGAGCAGACTATCCTCGAACGGGGAAACGGCGGCAACCATCGCATGTCACCGGAGGTTGGTGTCGCTTTCCCTTCTGATGCATTGTGCATGGACTGCAAGCCACCAGCATCCAAGCTTCCGCGTAAAGGCCTCGCGCCGTCTACCCGGGACCTTGACAACCAGCCAGACTTCCATCATGCAGGTGTCACATGTTGAATGATGCGCTCCCCAGCTCGTGCTTCAGAGAAGGCACAGTCATGAGCGAATGTCTGCTTCTCCATCTCCATATAGTTAGGCCTTGCGTGTTCATTGTCACTGATCTCCGATCCTCGATGAAACAAGGCTCACGGATTAGCCGTTATATGACACTACAGGTGCTGGTGCAGCAATTCCGTGACCCAAGGCTGGATAGACTAGTGCGCTGGTGGAAACCTGATCGTCGTTACGCTCCCTTCAAGGTGCCGCACAGTGATTTCCGCATTCAAGGTATCGTAGCCGTGGAGTAGCGGCCGTCGTGATTAGGTTCCCACACTAAAGGATCTTTGCAATGCAGGGTCCAGCGTCGCGACGTCTACCCGCCGGCCATGACTAGAAATGGGCACTGATGACTGTACGAGCCGGCATATAGTAAGTCAGCTCAGCAAACACTATTGGCGGCTGCCTAAGTGCTTCTGCCGCCCCTATTCTGGCGGATTCCAGCAGCGGCGAATTATGGCCGTAGTATCCCTAGCCCCAGCTCCTCCCGCATGCTAACCCCGACTGTCTGTCCGCGACCTGTTCGGGTGAACCAGGCATTGTGTGGCAGTACTACCTCTCGAATTTGTCACACGAAGCATGGACCTGGGACAAAGAAGTCGTCATCGCCTGGGTTGGCTGGGGTGACTTTTGATTCGGGACCGGATACCCGGCTTCTGGACAAGATCTTCGATGACCAGCGCACTCTGTGATTGTGGTATCTGTCTCGATTGTGAGACCTGCTGGATTTGGGCAAGGCCGCGGCCAGGAACCGTCGGCTCTTCCGACCAATATTTGGGCTGTGAAATATGCATGAACATTTTAGAAGATGTTTTTCTTGCGGTAAGATTCCTGGGTGTCCGTAATGACCTGGAAATGATCGAGAAACAAACTGCAATAGGCAGTTTGTGCTGGCTTGACTATCGTGGTACTCGTACGCGCGTTTCATCCTGCGGACATAGACAGTGCCCGCTGAAGCGGAAGTATAACGTAGGGTGTGGGTCTCTTGAGAGATGTTGGTTCGGAAACTTCATCTCCTCCCCTTCGACGTCGAAAACCGATGACAATCTCTTGGGTGCTCGAATCGTTATTCACACTCAGACAATTGTCGCGGAATATCCCTGGAGGTGCGGCGCGCAGCGGAGTGTATACCCGATTGGCACCAGCCAGCCAGCCAGATCATGACTACGCAGTAGACGTGCATTGCCATGCGGAGAGAAAGTCGCAGGTACCATTGACCCAGAGCGTCAATGGGCGAATTACCCGTTAGAGGGGTGTGTGTGGCTCCACCGAGCATCTTGAAAGCATAGAGCAGCGGCCGACTTACAACTCCCGGACGATCGACCACGGGAGCTAGATGGGACCTCCGGAGGGAGCTGCGGCTGCAGCATCGTCGTGCAGTAGTGGGGGTTTTCCAGCTTTGTCGAGGGAGAGCAACAGGGACTAGGCTGGCTCTGCACCGTGCTTTTTGGACGATTGACCACAATTGGAAAACCAGGTAAGCATGACAAGATGATGACGACTCTGTTCGTTAAGGGTTGGTTGAACGTCCAGCGAGATCGGGGAAGGCAGGACCGAGCTGGGGCTGGCAACTGAGAGAGGCAAGGGTGGTGAGCAGGTACCCTCGTACCCGTCGTACTCGGTCACATTATTATTATCTCATCCGGCCACCAGTGTGAACCATGGTGTTAGACGGATGGTGAAGGAGGATGGAGGCGAGAAAGTCACGAGTGCCAAGCGAGACCTTGAGACCAGTATTGGTACAGTATGTAATGACTTGGTTGGGGCGAGACGGGACTAACGATACAGTACAGTACCAGCCATCCCGTATCATTACGAGCCTCATACAACTCCCGTCGCAGCCTTGCGACAATAATAATGATTACGATTTCGCCTGTTGAGATCAGTTGCCACATGGCCCAAGGAACGACTGGAAGCCTCATGGCGCCCACACAACCCCCTGCTCCTTGGCAGACATTACGGGTTTCTCTCCTAGGTAAAGCGAAAACTGCTGGTCCTGGGGTGGGCACGGTGGGCTCTCGGGCTTTCGGGGACCAGTGTGGATAAGGATGACGAGAGACCTATATTCCCATTGGAGCGTCGGCGACCTCTGTCCCAAAAGATCCAAAAGCACACCACAAGGCTTACGGAAGGATTGAGTCAGCCTGGCACTGTTAGAAGATGTGCTCCCATGCTCGCTCGGCCTGACTTGGGTCCATTCACACCACATCTCCACCTCCTGTTTCTGGTCGACGGCCCAGGCGACCAGGCGGAAACAGGACGCGGTCAGCATCGAAGTGATGCCCGGAAACGGGTGCAACGCGCGCGAGATCGGTATTCGTTTTTCATGCGGCCGCCGATTGGTCCTTTCGAGTCAGCATTGCGCACGTCGTGGGCTCAAGGCATCCGAGGCCCAGCTCTCTTTCGTTCGGTTGCGGAAGTCGGCTGGCTTGGTGATGGAGTCCTTGGGAAATTGCGCCTGCTCCTGAATGTTGCTTACATAGCAGAAAGCTCTGTCCGGCGAGACGGAACTCAATATGCCATGGCCATCGCACCTATGGAAGAGGAGGTTGGGGAACCTCTGTACGGAGTAGAGGAAAGCTCATCCTCGGAATAGGAGCTTGTGAGAGGAACATACGAGGATTGCATGTTTCAAGTAAACCATGGCAATGAATTGATTGGACATTCTCACCAGGTGGCTCAACCATCCGACTCTTGCTGTGTGAACCAATCTATTCAGGAAAGTACAAGTATACTCCGTAGGGATTTCCAAATGGGGCCATCCATCTCAGGCCTGGACGAGTTTGACATCAAGAATAGGATATGTCTCGAAGGATTCAACCATGGCTTCTGTCGATCCGGCTTCCGAAGCCTTGCCTTAGATTTGTGCAGTGAGAATTACAGCACTAAAAGGCTTGCCATGTTGAGGTAAGATCTTAGTAAGGAATGCACAATCTCCCTAGAATGGAATTCCTGCTGAAGGCTACTGATTTGCTCGGTTACAACTGACAGGAGCGTCCCCATTGAGGGTACTGTACCAGGGTGTCACGTCACCTCATCGTTGATTGGCGTAACAATCGTGCACAGATTGCTGTGCACGTGCCGGCTGGGGCTTGCCATGGTATTCATCCTGGCATCGGTAGATTCGCGACGATCACAAGAAATGTGATGCTGAGTGACCATCATGTCGATAAATAGCATGTATGCCGAGCCAATGACCAGGATGGAGCTGTGGCCATGTAACGCTCCTTCGACGAGGAGGTACTCCGCAAAATAGTCACATAGTGGACCGGTTGAAGTTTCCATCAACGCTGGCTTTTTAAAGTCAAGCATCCTCATATTGTGCAACCAAGGATCACCTCCACGCCTCGCCACATTGGAGCCAAAACCGAGGCAGAGCGGACCTCAGACACCGGATGACAAGGCCGAACAAGCTCTGAGGCATCTCGTCATCCCAGAGCTTGCTGGGGCAGAGACGTGTAACTCGTTGACTGTTTTTCCATACCATGGGCGGCTTAGCGATCCTTGCCGCTTGATATTCTCGGTCCATTTTTCCGAAACAGTCCTTAAGCGCATATACGACGTCTAGTCGCCCCAGTGCACACTGTGGCGAGTATGTTCCTCTCACGGCCAGGAGAAGGAGGGGGGGGGGTAGCTGTCTGTCATCATTTCAAAATCTTGACCCCGGAAGGAATACTCAAGGATCAATGATCGACAGCCCGGACGGCCCCTCTACGACAGCGACGAGCACTCCAGTGAACATGGCGTTTCAACCTCCGAACGTGAAAGGCGGGGCGACGAAATTGCCCAGGTCATGCTCCTGCGACTTGTAAGCAATGGAAACTAAAATAGGATAGGCCCAAGGCTCAGGTTACCTTGATGTAGTCACTCCCTTTCTCCATGTACTCCGCACGCGTGACGGTGGCCGATTCACGCTCGATCCCATCTGAAGTGCTCCACCAGGAAGCGGCCCCTTTCCAGGCATCAAGGATCGGGTCGTTCGCCTTGCGGACATTGATTGTGAAATCACACGGTAATGCGGCAATCAGTTCCTGCCTGAGTCGTTCCTCGAATGTGGGAAACATGGTATTTCCGCCTGTCAGAAAGACATCCTTCAGGAGCGCTTGTTGTTGGTCAAAGTTCGAGAAACGACTCATGACGATACCTTCAATGATTTCGATGAGACCAGCCTGGTCTATTCCAGCAATGGCCGGCTGGAATACCACTTCAGGAACTCTGATGCGTTCGACATTGAGGTGAATCTGGTTCGCCTCTCGCTGACTTTCCGGGTCCGCTGGCCTTGCCCCTCGTAAGAAAGCGTGCAAAACGCTCTTTGTCCAGTCGTTCTGTGCCTCAATGGTGTCCTTTTCCGAGAACTCTGGGTCGAATTGCAGAAGCTCGCTTTCAAGGGCCTTCAAAGCGGTGACTGGGTCTTCTTCAGGCTCCTCGTCGTCGCTGGCAGGTTCCGTAGCCACGGTGCGGTATACGCCCCAGTCGTCGTCGTTGGCTCCAAAGTCATCGTCATAATCGCCTCCCCCCCTGCGCTTCCGCTTCGGTCCATCTGAAGCAAGGTTTGCCAATGTCTTCATACGCATTTGCGACGCAATGCCTTTGCGATTGCTGAAGTCCGCCTTTTGCCTGGCTTGCTCTTTGATTTTCGCCAGCAGTGCAAGGCGTTGTTGTCGCCGACCCGCAAGCCATTCGTTGAAGTGATTTTCACGCATTTCGCGGTCTTTCCTTTCTTCTTCTGCCATACGAGCTCTTTCACGTTCTTTCTCCGCTTTAGCCCTGATCCTGGCCTCGACACCAGATTTCATAAGCCTCTGATGTCGCTTCTCCTTGATGCCGTCCTCATCCAGCTGGTCGTCTGGGACATCAAGAAGAGGAAATCTGTTCAGCTGCTCTTCGAGGTTTTCTTCCTCCTCCGGAGCCCCCAGCTCCTTATTTCTGGATTTCTTGATCGATTTATCCAGGTCACGGATGATTCTCTCCAACGCCGCCTCGTCTTTGAGCTCTTCGTCATCCAAAATTCGACGCTGTTCTTTTTTGGTTGGTGCATTTACATAAGACTCATGCAGTTTCTGATAGTACTCCAATTCTTGCTCTTTTTTAATAAGCTTTTCCAGCCGCATCTTTGCTGCTTGTTCTTGGAGTCTTCGACCAGATTCCTTCTTGCGCTCGGCTATTCTGGCAAGGTCTTCGGCCGATTTCTCGACCACGACCTGTTCTGTGAAGGGGTACTGGATTATGATATCTCGCTTTTCTTCTAGGCCGGTCCAATCCAGATAGGTAGATAGTTCGGTTGGGAAGTCGGTTGAGAGATAGCAATATTGTTTGATGTACCACTCCATCTGCTCCAGGGTCAACTTCCCAGGAAATGTCGGGTATTTCAGGCGGATGAGCTTAAGCAGGTACTCCTGAGCCTGGGAGCCGCCCCAATTCAACCTCGCGCACATTTGCATCTGAGGTTTCCGATCCAACACAGGAATGATGTGAGTCGAGGTATGAGATGAAGACACGATCAGCCCAGATTGGCCCTTGTTTTGGCGGTAGGAAAACAGACTGTCGATTCCGTAGGTGACACTCGGCGCATTGTAGCATTCGAACAGCATTTCATTCATCATTCTTCTGCTGTGGCCCAGGTTTGCGACAGGCTCCGTGACGACCAGCGGTCTACCCACACCGCCTTCTCCATCCACCCCCAATTTGAGAAAAATGTAGTCGTACACCCCTTCCAAAATATCCCAATTTGTCGGAATGCTAGTATTTTGCTCGAAAGCCGCTCTGATTTGGCCACGAGTCGTGGCATCGGCGTAGGCATCGTATCCGACAAAGGCGCAGTATTTGTTAAACTTCCGATCCTTGAATTTCGCCATGATCGGGGGTACCAGGAATCGAGGGCTCTTGTCGAAAGAGAATCCAGCCTTGATGGTGCTGGCTCCTGTACCATCTCAATTTAGCCGACCCTGCATCCCTTCTGTGATTGCAATCAGATGTTTTCCTCTTACCATTGTCAATAACTATTGCGCTATCAGAAGGAGTGGCTGCGCTCTGTCGATAGCCATCTGGTCTTGGAGGCAGCCAGCCTTTGAAAGGGAACTCGGGGGCAGGATAGACTCGTGGGGTCGATTGCGACTGGCCGTCTGGGGGAGGCGTAGGAAACCGACGCTCTGTAGCGAGGCGGGTTGTTGATGTGATTGTCATTCTGTTGTTTTCATCCTAGAGTCACAAGCACTGCGTCCTTGTCTGCAGGTTGTTAGAAGACGGCACTTGGGTTCTGTAGAGATATGACAATTTGTTCTACTAGACTGAGGTTGCTGCAGTCAAGGTTCAGCAAGGATCAAATTCATGTTGGAGAGCGCGTCACGCTGCGGAGAAATTCTGCAGGGGAAGCCGCGTTTGGCAAGCGAACATTTGTTGGCGCAACGGAACACCTATAGACTTTCTAAACATCCAAAGGCGATGGATCCTCATGGATCATCTGTTACAATTTACGGAAAGACAGCATAACGAACTCTGAATATACTAACTTGGACATGAGGGGTCGATTACAATAGAACTATGGCCAATTGTAAGAAACTGTGTCTCCCAAACAGCTCATCGTGCCTGGTACTTGTTCGATATCCGCTGATGCCATCTTCCACTCGTATATCCTGGACGGAGCCGGGCACGTCGGGTTTCGATCTTGACGTTGATGCACTCAAGTTATAACCACACAGGAATGGTTGACTGCTCCATCCGGCGTCCTCTGAACTGCACTGTTCGAGTCTTCGATTGTGTCTCTATGCTGTGACTAAGCGGGTTGGGCACTCGTGACGCATCTTGTTGTCGTGTTATCGACCTTGTATCACCTTATGGTGGCGCCCTGCTATCGGCGCCCATCTCATACTGGGCCCTTCAGATTGTCCGTCGCTGGAAAAGCGTCACTTCAAGCTGGTCTCCATACTGTCGCAATGCTTCTCACCTTCGAGATGAAATAGGACGTTTGACTGATAATTCTTGAACATCTGCGCAACCAATTCAACATTCATATTTTGAACGTTGACATCCTGTGGTCCGTTTCTTAATGTCAAGCCTCCATATTTGTTCTTTAGGATGTGTATACCTGCAGATTCCTGTTCATCATCATCACCGCTTCATTCAATTTCTCCTGATCGCGGCCGTCAATCTCGATCCATGGGAATAGACATGGAAGAGCGTACAATGTTCGTTATGATCCTGGAGAGCAATAGGCTCTGTTGCTGCTCGTGTGGGCTCTCCTGAGGTATGATATTAGCATGTGTTGACACCGAAGGGTTTGGGAAGAGCGCACCATCTTGCTGATTCTGTAACCGATGTCACCAATGAAGAACACTCAGGCATAATGTTCAGATCGCTTCCGCCATAACACGCGGTGAACCGCAGGCGACGCGCCCGCACTTGAACCCGTATCGGGGCAATGGTGGCGCCGCCCTGTGGTCGATGGCAGTGCGGGGTGCGATGAGCTCCCAGCGGCAGTCAAGCGGCACGACTCATCCAGGAATGCTGGGGGATTCTGACTAAAGCAGCGCCACATTCAACTCAGTTACAAACTACACCCGGCTCACCTGGTCGGCGTCGTGAGTACCCAGCCTCGCCAGCTTCGCTCTATACCATAGAAGACACACGGAGACTCGCTTTCGAACTCTTGCATGTGTCGCGCAACGCGCCCGCGTACGCTATGCACCGACCCTTTTCCTTATTTCGCCATACGAAGACCTCATCAGGCCGAGGCCCCCGTCACCACTGCTGAATAAAGAGGGATATGAGTTTACGCAAATCCCCGCTCTCCACCCTGAAAATACAGGCACCTATAACAGATCTCCAAACGCTGTCCAGATTGGGGTGTTCGGAATTGCCCCCAACACTCTGATCTAACTGTCTCAAGGAACGCCATTGCCCGAGATCGCATATAAATTCAAACGTTGGAAGAGCTGAAGCATTCAAACTGCTTTCGAAGACGTCACAAACAGCTGTCGAAGTTTAATTGCTCTAATATGTCGTCTGCAGCGTCTCCAGCTTGCAAAAAGCTTCTGATCTTTGGGGCAACTGGACTTATCGGGAGCCGCATCACGAGTGAACTCGTCCGAAACAAGTCCAAATTCGAGCGTATCGCTGTATTCACGTCACCAGGTACCTACGAATCCAAGGCAGGCGTGATACAAGACTTGCAAAAGCAAGGGGTAGATATCATAGTAGGCGATATAAACAAATTAGACGATGTGGTCAGGGCGTACCAAGGTAAGGGTCACCATAGAGTCCTCGTCAACGATCTAACGTTGTGTGCGGCAGGCATCGACACTGTGATCTCTTGCGTCGGCAGAAATGTGATTGAACATCAGATCGAGCTGGTTCGCCTCGCCAACGACAGTCCTTCGGTTCACAGGTTCTTTCCGTCCGAATATGGAACTGATATCGAGCACAACCCAACTTCGGCTCACGAAAAACCACACCAAAAGAAGTTGCTGGTGAGAGCAGCGTTGCGGGCTTGTGACCGTCTGGACCATACCTATGTGGTTGTTGGCCCATACGCGGATGGAGAACCCGGTCTCTATTTTGGCAAAAACCCGGTTGTCAAGGAAGCCGGAACATTCGACGTCAAGAACAAAGAAGCCGTGTTGCTCGGTGATGGGAATCAAAAGATCAGCTTCACCACAATGAAAGAGTAAGCAGTCCCCCTTCTTGTTTAGAGTAGTTGGGTAACAATTTTTCTTTAGCGTCGGCAAACTTGTGACTCTTGCTGCCCTCCATCCTGACGCAAGTCGAAACAAAGCACTTCGAGTCAACTCCTTCACAGCGACCGACTCGGAGATCCTCAAAGAATTTGAGAAGCAAACAGGAGGACAGCCCTGGAAGGTGTTCTACACGAGCCTTGACACTTTGAAGAAACTTGAGAAGGAAGCTTGGGATGCCGAGAAGCCCTATGCCACCATCTTCACCCTGAAGCGGATCTGGGCCGAAGGTGGCACGTTGTACGATAAGCGAGACAATTATTTGATCGAGGCGGAGGGCGTGATGGAGACGTTGGCAGACGCTGTCGCGGAAGCCATCAAAGTCCAAACGAGTTAAGACTCAAGACATATGCACATCAGACATATACGATGAGTTTGAGAAGAACGGGTCCAGTTCCTCTCAGTGAAATATACATCTGAACCGCCATGACCTGGTGGTAGGTGTTCTTCAACCCACCACAGCAGACACTAGCCAGGATCTCTTCTAATTACATCAAGGTGCCTCTATATCGGCCGAGACAAGGACGACATAGATGTTTGTGTGGCTGTGTGGCCGTATGGCCATGGCTCATCGTCGCCGCATTAATCCGGCACCATTTGTTGCCCCACTCAAATATTGCTTGTGGTTCGGATGTGCTATATTACTACTTAATGTCGGGATCGACATATCGGAATCTAATTCTTGCTTCCAGTTTACCAATAGTCGCGTTCTCGTGTAACACAAACAGGAAATCGAGGCATGGGGAAAGGCCATTCAAGGGCAGATGACGGGGCGTGGTTTCGTGCAGTCAGCGATTTGTGCTGCCAACAGTGGGTTCAGTGCTTTTCTTACAAAATATTACAAAATGCAGCAAGCTTGTAGACGCGTTCCAATGGCCCTCTGGAGACTCAATCGAGGACCATTCCAACACGGTGAACTTGACTTTCGCCGTCAGAGCGTATTGGAATTGCTCCCTTAACTCGTTCATCTGCATATGATATGGGTCTAAAAGCCTCAAAGCCTGACCCCAATGTGAGGCTCCAGGTGATAGGCTGCGGCATGTAAGTCTTTCTCGAAAACCATCCTCTCTGCACCTTGGAGGGCCTCACATAGCTTTTCAATGCTTACCAATGACTAGGTCCCGCACCGGAACAGCATCTTTCAGCCAGGCGATGGAGATACTTCTCGGTGGACCGGTATACCATGGAGGAAGTCAGCTGGTGGGCGCAGGAGAAGACCACATACGTGCCTGGATTCGTCTGAGCAAGCACACACCCATCGAAAGCGAGTTGGACAGAAATACAGTTCTCCAAGAACTCAAGGCCCTCTTGTCAGGTTACACCGCAGTCACAGATATGCCGCCGATCCTCTTCACCCAGGAACTGGTCGAGTTGTTTCCGGAGGCCAAGGTCATCTGCACGACACGGGATCCGGAGGGCTGGTGGAAGAGCATGGAACCCATTGCGGCAAAGACAGATACTGAGGCAGAAAGGAATGAGAGAGTCCTGGCGTTCCTGCTCGCGCTGTTGCCGACCATGAGGTATTGGAAGGCGTTTTCGGACGCGCTGAGACACGGCCGGTTTGGAGAGCTGTTTTATCGGTCGGGACACAATCACCCACACCCAGGACAGTACCAGGAGCATATGGAATATGTGAAAAGGGTTGTCCCACCCGAGCGTCTGTGGTTTTACGACATCAAGGAGGGCTGGGGACCCTTGTGTAAAATCCTCGACTGCGACGTGCCAAACACGCCATTTCCACGTGTCAACGACGCCGAAGCAACGGATAGAATCATCAAGACACAGATCCAGCGAGGTATGCTGGCGTGGACTGGTGTAGGTGCGACTGTTGCAGTGGTGGGCTTCAGCTTCTGGCGAAAATGGACGGCGCGATAGGAGGACACCCTGATCTTTTGTCCATAGCTAATAATAACGATATTATATCCCCAAGGATGGCCTAATTTGACGAATGAAGATCTCCGTGTCTTCTCCTCGTGTTTTGACACGGTTAATATCTGTACATGAAGAGAAGAAAAAGCAGGAAAATCCCAGCCCATTTTTGCAGTGGTCTCGTATGCGGCACGCGATCCCTGTTCCCCGTCCCCAGAACCCCAAGATCCTGCCCGCATCTCAGTCTTTATTGTGTCTTGGTGGACACTGCTCCCTGCATATATCTCCTACCGTTCTCTTCAGTAACCAGCTCTGCAGTCTCTCTCAGTCAAAATGCCTCCCTCCACACCGCAGCCTCAAGACGATTCCCACCAACAACTGCTCGACCAGATGGACATCTATTACACGCCCAAGCCCTTTCGCAACCCGCACTGGAAACCCAGCACGCGGCGGAACAAGAACACCAAGCAGATCATATCGGAGTCGCAAAGGAAGGAGGCTTCTGTGCTTGCGACCCAGAACAACTCCGGCGCATCGACACCCTTACCCGCCACGGGCGCGAATTCAGATGGCGCATCCACGCCTGCCTATCCCCCCTCTTCCGCAGCGGCCTCCAAACCTCTGAACATGGCCCAGGCGACTCAAAGCTTGAGCACCCTGGTTCTGGAAAGGAATTTGCAGAGGGAGAGAGCGTCGAATATGGCACTTCTGGGAGTGAGTGGGATGGGAGGGCCCGCTGTCACCTACACCAACATCGAGAGCGCTCCGAGTCTACATCCTGCAAACCACAAGCACTATTGTGACATTACCGGCTTGCCGGCGAAGTACACGGATCCCAAGACAAAGCTGAGATACTACGATCAGGAGATCTTTGCCGTGGTGAGGAGTCTGCCACAGGGTGCGCCAGATCAATATCTTGCGGCCAGAGGAGCGAATGTTGTCCTCAAGTGAGTTAGGTTCACCAAGGGCGAAGAAGTCGGAGACGGAAATGGCAGTTGCCAATATATCAAGAGGCCTCTATCTTCTAGGAAGAGACGGAAACACACAAGTCATAACATTTGTCAGGCCATCCAAGTCAAACCCTTCCTACCCACCGCATACCTCTCGATACACGGTTCAAGGAAGCGCTCCGGCTTAATTGCGGACTGTGTATACTGGTCATTCTTCGCCATATTGACACGATACCGAAACCTCATCGACGAAGCAGGATCAGTTACAGCAATTTTGTGAGAGCTGTGGTCATGGCGGGAAGTTGGAAGTCACTGCCCATTGTGACATGCGGTCATTCCACCTCGGAGGACGTGCTTTGAGACTCTTGCTAGACCTTTGACCGTGCTGGAACTAAGGCATTAAAGAAAGCGCTTTGTGGGATAAAAAGACCCGCAGGTAGGATGGTGGAATGAAGGATAGCCTGGCATAAGAAACCAGGTGGCAGTGGTGATATGACTGCCACGATATACGAGACAACTTATTGAGACACTCATGAGACCAAGTAGTTATCTAATGTAAAGGTGACGACGAGATTTTGAGGATCGTTGTGTGCGTGAGATAATAAAGGATAGAAATTCTGGACCCGTCGCATGGACTTACACTTATTAGTTGTCATCTCCAACTTCTCTCCACAACAATTCTCGCCGACCCGCCAACGGCGACCAGATTGCAGATTGCGGAGTTCCGAGCCTCTGGCCGCATTGACTATTTGCAGTCGACGAAGTCAGAGTCTATGCCCGGTGTTTGCCATCACCGCAAAGCTGGAGATGTTTCAGGTATGTCCGCCCGGTGTATGACGAGAATCTATCAGTCTGATCGCACCCACAGCGCCTCAAGGGCGTCATAGACAGCCACATTGCAGAAGAGCAAGCGCGACAACGTCAGGCTGCCAACAGCGCCCAAGTGGCCAGGACTCCGCAGAAGCGGCGCCCTCAAGCTCAGAATGGCAGCCGCCAACGGGCTGGCTCCCGCCTGAGAGAAACACAACCCGATGCCTCGACCGACAAAGGGCCAGATCCCTCCGAGTTCGAACCGGAGTTCGCGATCGGAGACGATGACAGCGCGGTCCCAAGCAGGGCAGCCACCCCGAAGCCTGAAGGACCTGGCAAGGAGAAGGAGCAAGTCAAGGAGAGAGACATACCAGCCTCCGAAGATGGATTGGACACACAAAGTCTCGCCGAACCCGCTGACGGCAAAATGTCAGATGCCAATGGCACCGCGACGAACCCCTTACGTCCTCACGATCTCCCTACGGAAGTCCGGGTGAAGCTGCGCAGATTGGACCGGATGGAGTCGAAATATGCCGAATTGCTGAAAGCTTACAGAACGGCCCATGCGCGGGTCCAGGCCGTCGAGTCTTTTGAAGCCTCCCTGCGCGAGAACACTCCCCTGACGAGCATCAACGACCCCGGCGCATTGGTCGAGTACTTGAATCAGATCAACCTCAAGAGTGACATGGTTGTGGACGAGTTGAAACGGATAACATCTGACAGGGACGAGTACAAGAAGAAATTCCAGGCCGCCGAGGAAGAGTCAAAGGGACTACGAGAAGAAATAACGAGCATGAAGAGCAAGCTCGAGACACTGTCTCAACAGCAACCATCTGAGCACGAGAAGAACCTTTTGACCGGTAGTCCGCATATCACTGCAGCGGGTGACAACGCGTCTCTGAAGGACGCGGCGGACTCAGAACACACTGCCAAATCTCCCACGAGTGCCTCTTCCCGGATCGCGAGCTTCTCATTGTTCTCTCCCCGACACAAGGCGGTGGCTCCGCCGAAAGAAACCTCGGAGGAATTCTTCTCGTTCGAATCCGAACAGTCCAAGATGGAAAGTGAGTTACACGAGAGTCAAGCAGAGGTCGAAGAGTTGAAGAAGCAACTCACCAGTCTACAAGGAGATCTCAAGGTTGCTCGCGAGTCGACCGAAGGCATGGTGGAAAGCCTAGAGACGGCGACGCGAGAGCTACACAATCTCCGTGAGGCAAAGGACAAGTTTGACGGGACGAAGAACGAGTTGCAAAACCGTATTAGCGAATTAGAGGCCAGGGCTGCCTCAAATACTGCGCGGACGGATGAGCTTCAGAAGGAGATTGACGAGCTACAGGCGAGAAGGCTTGAGGCGGTCTCGCAGGTACAGTCGCTAGAGAATCAGATCAGAACGCTCGAATCGACAAACACCGAGCTTGAAGAACGAATCGTCTCCAGAACCAAGGATGCGGAATTGCTCAGTGAGAAGTTATCACAAAAAGACTCCATTGTGAAGGACCTGGAGGATACTCTGGCAATGTACAAATCCGCGGAGAGGCAGGAAGCCGTAAGGAGCCAAGACGAGAAGTCGAGCGAGAAGAAGCTCGCGACGATGCAAGGAATTATGGATACTCTACGAAATCAACTGGAAAAAGCCGAAACCACGGCTGCTGAGCTGAAGACCGAGATCCAAGCTACCAAAGAGGAGTATTCACACCGACCTTCCACCAAAGTCTTCGGTTTTCTCGACGAGGGGACAAGAACCAAGCTCGACACTCTGCAGACCCGCGACGATGTGGTGCAGTACCTGTCGGAAAACTTCGGCCTGCAAAAGGCTTCCTCAAACAAGGCCGTTGCAGAAGCAGCGACGGCGTCACCAGCACCGTCAGAAGCGGGCACCGGGGCATCCAAGAAGAAGAACAAGAAAAAGAAGAAGGGCAAAGGCCAGCCGCAGGCCGCTACAGATGATGCAGCAGAAACTGTCACACCAGTCAAAGTGTCTGAAAATTTGGCTGAAGTGGACGATGTTGATGCTAGCGTATCAGACAAACTACCCGCGGCTGATGTTTCCAAGCTCGAACAAGAGATCTCAGAGCTCAAGGCAGAGCTAGCGTCCAAAGTAGATGCTATTCAGCGTCTCTCCAACCAATTGAAAGATCAGGAAGAGCTGCAAGAAGAGATTGAAACATTACGAGACGACCTCCTACATCAAGGTGAAGAACACGTCGAAGCTCGTGATGCGTTGAAGAATGCCCAAGAGCAGAAGACCAATCTCCAAGATGCCGTGGACAAACTTGAAAAGGAGCTGCTGGAAGCTCGAGCAGCTATCGCGGGTGGTGCTGACAAGGAGAAGGCACACCAGGAAATACTCCAGCAATACGACGAACTCAAAGTCCGATGTTCCAAACTGGAGAACGATCTTTCTGCCTCTGAGCAACTCGCAGCTGGCCGGTTCAAGGACATCACTGATCTCAAGGAACTGCTCGCAAAATCACAACCTGAGCTCAGAAATCTCCGCAATGAGGTTGCAGAGCTCAAAGGTGCAAAGGAGGACCTCAAGAACAAGACTGGCGAGTTTAACAGGCTCGAAGCACGACACGAAGATATCAAAGCTGAGCTCAAGGGACTGAGCAAGAGACTCGGCGACAAGGACAATGAAATCAAAGAACTCCAACAAAAGATCGAGCAGGAGATCAGTGCGAGGACCCGGGTAGAAAGGGATCTCGACCGAGCACAGTCTGATCTCCAAATCACGGAGAGCCGCCATGAAAAAGCTAAGTCACAGTCAGACCAACTGGCCAAAGACCTTGTCAAAGCAAAGGAAGAATCGACCACACTGAAAACGAAGTTATCCGAGCTTGAGGAGCAAGTATCAGTTCAGGCCCGTCAAATTTCCGAACTGAAAGACGAAATTTCCCTCAAAACAGCCCTCCACACCTCAGCACAAGCCCTCGTCCAATCTCTCCGTGACCAGACCCATGAACTCAATCTGCAAGCCCGCGAAGCCAATACACGCGCCGAGAGTCTCGAAGAGGAGCTGAATGAAACACAGAGAATGCTCTCAGAACGCACGCGTGAGGGGCAGACCATGCGCATGCTGCTGGATCAATCCTCGGCAGGCACCGAATCCCGGATTCGAGAGATGAAGGAACGCATGGACGCGGCTATCGAAGAAAGAGACAGGGTAGAGGATGAGGCGAGCGTCAGCCAGCGACGCATGATGCGCGAGGTGGAAGAGGCGAGGAGCAAGGCCCGCGATGCACAACGATCGCTCAAGATTTTGGAAGATGAAAAGGAAGAGCTGGAGAATAGGCTGAAGGAGTGGAAGAGGAGGAGAGAAGAGCTGGAACAGAGTGCGACACGGGCGGCGAAGGAAGTCGAGGAGGTGAAAGCCGCCATGACTGGGTTGAGGGAGGCGTTGGATGACAGCGAACGTCAGGTGAGGGAACTTGATGTGCAGAAGGCCGAGTTGCGGAGGATCGGTGACGAAGCCAAAGAGAGGGTCGAGAAATTGACCAAAGCGAACAAGAATCTCACCGAGGAACTGAAGGCCGCTCAAGCCAACTCGAGAATACCGGGCAGACCTAACCTTGGTCGGGTGGATTCCAATGCGCCGAGTTCCAGGACGTCTATCGATTCTACCAATGCAAGGTCACCAGCGCCGAAAGAGCGACCTCTCTCCACGACGACCAGTCGCAGCGAAACCCCCAGTACGACGGCAGGAGCACCAACCGGTCTCAGTCAAGGAACGGTTGATTATGTATACCTGAAGAACGTGCTCCTCCAGTTCCTCGAGCAGAAGGACAAGGGGCACCAAAGGCAGTTGATCCCAGTGCTGGGCATGTTGTTACATTTCGACAGGTTTGTTTGTTCACTGGCGGCATTGTCACCATCCCTTTGTTATATTTGCTCGTGGAGGATTTGAATCTGACGGCTTCAACAGGAAGGACGAACAGAAATGGATCGCGGCGATCTCGACCCGGTGACGACTTGATATCACACGAACGAAGGCTATGTAACAATCCCAAACAGTCCGGCGTTCTATTGGTTAAACCGGTATGGGGGTTAGGAGGTCGATGTCGACGTCGACGTGAAGACCCTCAACCCTTCACCGTGGCGTTCTGCTGGGCGTCGATGGTGGGTTAAAATAAAGGGGGTTTCTGGCATCATCTTATCGGATACAATTAATGCGAAGACAATGGAACATTCTCAGCGAGCGGCGCCGGCGGCAGCTGCTCGAGACTGGATATTCCTGGACTGTTCCGAGAATCTTTGTGGTCGTCAGAGTGAGTCCGATACGTGTAGATTGTCGACGCAGATGTGTGGCGTTGGAAAAAAACAAAAATGCTCGGCTAAAATTCAACTTGTATTACTGCCAACGCGACGATTGATTCATGACATTCCTCGCACCCGAGTCTGTTCTCGTAGGATCTATCTCTTCTTCTTTTGTCTTCTTCTCCTTCTCCCCTTTCCCCTTTCTCTCTCTCTTTTTTCCACGACGCCGTTCTCTCTCCATCTATAGAGAGTCACCGTTACTGTCACCGACCCTCTTCGTTCGCTTGGTGGTGGAGGTGGTGCCCGGGCTTCTTCTGAGCTGATGCGTCTGCAGAATGTTGGCAGGGAGTTGGTGCAGGTTCTGCGATCCGACCGTGCCCCAGGGCGTCTTCACGGGACTGCACCGGCGACGGCGGTGGTGGAGGCGGCTGCTGGGAGGTCTGGTGGAGCTGGGCGCAAGGCCAACGTCAAGGTCAAGGTCGTCTTCCTCTTCACTGTTGCCGGCGGGAGGGAAGAAATCCAGGTCCTCGTCATCAGCTCTTTCACCTTCACCTTCACCTTCATGTCGACCGTCGTCGGTGTCTGTCCCCGTCCCCGTCCCAGCCTCAGCCTGAGCAGCAGCGGCGCGGTCAATGTCGTCCAGATTGCGTCCCGCCCACCGAGTGTCCCAAAATGTCAGCAGCGCCCAGAGTTTGATGAGGGAGTGGGCGTAAGCAAACACGAAATAACCAGGGAGATAGATGAGATCTGCGGGATGGCGGAGGAAATACGGTGCCAACTTGGGCAGCTTGGAGAGCAAGATCCAGGCGACCAGCAGCTTCAGCTTCAGGGTCGTCGTCGCCGCCCCCCACCCCTGGCTCCTCACCAGTGCCCACACCAGCGCGGCGTCGTAGAACAGCGCAAAGTTGAGCATCAGGCTGAGCTGCAACGCGTACACACCCCAAGGCTGCGCCCGGTACACCACCGCGCGGTCCGTCACCAGCGAGCACATGTTGCTGCGGAACGTGGTGCGGGCCCAGCGCAGGCACTGGTGCAGGAACCGGGGGAACTCCCCGACGTCGCACAGGATCAGGGCCTCGGGCGTGTTCTGGAACTTGATAGTCCAGCCGCGCTTGACCAGCGCCCGCGTCAGGTAGTTGTCGTCGTCGGCGTTCAAGGGCCCGCAGAGACCCCACAGGAAGCGCTCGTTCAGGAACCCGGCCAGCAGCGCGGGTTCTTGGAGGATGTGTGTGCGGTAGAGACAGGTGCGGCCACTGATCACGGCGACGCCGCCGTCCACCGCGTTGGAGGCCGTGTGCTCAAAGTTGTGCCGCTCCAGGTACAGGGCGCCCATGACGTTCCAGAACCCGGCCCACAGGCCCTTGTCTGCGTGGCGGATCACGCGTTTGTTGGTGCCCACGCCACCGACCCGTTCATTTTCTTCAAACGGGGCCACGGCAGCCCGCAGCATGTGTGCCGAAGGCCATGTCACATGGTCGTCGCAGAGGACCGTGATGGAGGTGCGGACGGCGGGTAAGGCGGCAGCGATCTGCTGGCGCTTGTTTGCCTGGATGGTAGACGAGACCTTGAAGCAAACGCTGGGGAAGTCAGCGACGTGCGGCAAGATGGTGGAACGTACCTGGTTTTCCTGCTCCTTGCCCACGGCCACAATGTGGATGACTGAAGGCGACGCCCTCGCGACGGACTCGACGCATCGCAGAAAGGCTCGGTCCTTCGGATCGCAAGTTGGGATAATCACCGTGCAGTCTCTTGCTGTTAGCGAGGGAGATCGTGGAGCCGGGGACGGGCGATAGAGGAAGAAGAAACTTACCAGGTGGACAACAAACCTCAGGTACCTAAACACGAACAGGAACACAAAGAGGAAATTCTTGTCTAGTGCCACGGCCCAGAGGTGCCTCCAATATGCTTGAGCAGCCATGCTGTGTCCCGTTTGGAACATTGATTGAGTTGGGAATTTCGCCGTAATCAGCATGAGCAGGGAGCGTGATGAGTATATTCGTTGGAAGACAGAACAGGGCCGAGGCAGGAATGTGCTCTTATAATACCATTGTGTACCAGAGAACACGGCAAGGCTGTTGATGGCAGGGGAGAGCTCATTCATGTTTCCTGCTTCTCCTCATAGGAAACAATGGACCAATTGGCAATGTCTTACCTGCACACAAAGACTCAACAGATGACAATGGGTCCAACACGTGGCAGCGTGAGGCGGTGCTTTGATGTGTTTCGTCTCAAACAAAGGGAACAAAGAGATCGGCCGCAAGGGAGAGTGGGCAGATGTGCGTGGGACATCTTCGGAGTGTGAAAGGGAGAAGAGAGAGAGAGAGAGAGAGAGAGAAGTTAACATATGAGCATTCTGCCAAAAGCCAGATAGGTGCTGCATCAATACAATGCGTGCTGTTGCTCCCTTCCCTGGGTCCTATACCTGGGGATATGTGAACCAAAGCATCCGGTACCCCTGTCTTCCCCAGCGCCACGCTGTACAACAAAAGCCGTTCCTTGACTGCGAGGTGGTCGAAGTCTGTTGGATCTTCATTCAAAGGTCATACTTATCTCGCCACGACCCTGTCCAAATTCATCCTCATCATCAGCCCAGGCGTTGCGTTCCAAATCGAGCCTCGGCACTGGAGGGGCGACTGCATCGTCGTATGCTGGCGAGGGCCGCCCCCAGCTCGGGACGGAGGGCTCTGTCGTATGTGGTTTGAATTCCGGTCGGACGGGATCCACAAGTGGTGCATGGTAACTTTCCGGTCTGGGGGATGCAGAAGGCGTTGCTCGGAGAACTGGCAGCGTGCTTGCTGACCCCATTGGCTCCGAAGGGGCGTAGGATAACCGCCTGCTTGGTTCCGGAGATCGTTGGGGAGATCTTTGAGGGCTGACACGTGGAGACAGTTGAGGGCTTGCTATAGAGGCGGGCCTCAAAGATGACGATCTTGCAGGCCGGATTGGGGTAGGTTGTTGTATAGGGGCGAAAGACACATCAATCTCGTCAGGGCGCGGCGGGAGATTCAATCTCTCCAGCTCCTCGGGCTTCATCCCGGGTGGAAGTCGTAGATATTCGACGTGCTTTTCCCCGTCCTTGACTGACATTATTTGCATTGGAGGCAGGGTGCTGTCCAACTCTCTGACTTCGATCATTTCGCCTGCCAATTCCCTTCGAATTGCATCAACGTCAAACAAAACGTTGGCATCACCGTTAACACTGGGTTCTGCACTGGTACTGGCGTTCCGCTTGTGGTTGGCGTCGTTTGGATTATATCGCTCCCATCCCTTCTTCTCGGCGAGTTTGCCTCGCTTGAAAATGCCGAACCGTTTCTTGTCGGGTTTCTCTTCGGCTTTCCTTCTAGCCGCATCGATTTCCAAAATAAGTTCTCGCTGTCGTTGCGCGTGGTTTTCAGGATCCGGATCTTCGATCTCAGTGAATTCGTCGCTTTCAACTTCCCACCCAACTTCTCTCAACAGTCGCGGCATGGCGGCACGGTAAGCCATGTGGCCCTTAACCCATGTGCTAACGTTGACGTTTTCCACGCCTGGAATGCCTTCGACGGGTGCGAGCCCAGCCACCCGCATGATACCACCGGACGTCATCCGAAATAAGTATCCGAGAATCCAGTCGTTGGAGGCATACCCGTTCAGAAACCTCCCCGAAACCACGGACCGAGCTCGCAAGTAGTCGTCCTTGCTGACAACCACAGGTGAGCCGAACATATAAACATTCTGGACCAAGCCGTATGCTCCACGGTTTGACAACTCTTTCAGGCACGAGAAGATGACCCTGGAGCCGAGGGAGAAGCCTAGCAGAGTGATTGGTCTCTGTCCAAGGTGTCTGTCAATCAACGAGTCGGCCAAGATAAGACCGGCAGCTGTCGCTCGGTCGAGTGACACACTCCATGGATTGTCGATGAGGTAAGCTAGTTTGGAAAGCACAATCGGCAGCTGTATTGACGCCATGAGAGTGATTAATATCGTGCTTCCAAGGACTTGCTGAACAGTTTGGGTCAGCGCTTCGGTGGCGAGGATATTGATAGTGTCACCCATCGACTGAAGCATTTCTGGTTCCCAAAGCAGGGAGTAGATGTCGCCCATGATGGGATCAACGGTGCTGTAAGGCAAGCGGACATCGTCCACCTTGCCCGTCATCCAGCCCGAGATCGTCAAGATGAGGTTCAGCCTCTTATTGTTGTGCAGCGGTCGATATTCAAACGTCTTCACGCTGCCTGTGCGTCGATCTGCAGCTCGAACGGCAATCGTCCCACCGGCGGCTGTGGCAGCAGAAGTGATCAGAGCAGCTCCACCCACTCCTCCCAAAAACCCTGCGGTACCGGTGACACCAATTGTTGTGAAACCAGCAGCCAGACCCGCGCCAATGAAGGGTGCAAGGAGGCCGGCCGACAAGCCAATGACAAGACCGCCACCAACCGTCGCAAGACCCATGACCATGTATTTCTTTTTAAGGGCGCGTTTACGGCGTTTCTCCATATGTTCGGATTCGTCCCAGTTCTCCCTGGCTTCTTCATCTTGCATTTCTAGGGCGTCGATAACCCTCTTTTCAAATCGACATATCTGAGTCCAGCTAATGTCCATTGTCGAACCGACTCGTTCAAGTAGTCGTCTCGATCGAGAGTCATACTGACCATCCGAGATCAGCACCAGGAACAAGTCACATAGGACGGTCCACCGCAGATCCAGCTCAATCTCCTTGGTGTGAGGCATGTCTTCCACGTCGTGGACTTCGGGAACTTCTTCGCCCTCCTTGACCTCTTTCGAAGGGCCATCATCCACTTTCGAGGATACAGAAGTTGTTGAATCTCGGTTCCGCGGGGCGTCGGGCCCGGACGTTTCGGTCGCTGTCTCATCCGCCAACGGATTCTTTACCTTCGCATTCAGCATGAGGGGAGCGACGAGGTCAGAGGGCTGCACCCCGTGCTCGGCAAGTTGTTCAATCATAATCTGCTCGGCCTGGTTGATGTCCATGTGGGTATATAGGCGAACCATCATCTTCTGTCCCCACATATCCATGCTCTCCAAAGCCCTGATCAATTCCTTCCGGACGGCCTTTGTTTTCTCCATGTCGCCTAATGCTGAAAACATTTTGTGGATTGTCAACCGGACCACACCGACGTAGGCGATCCGCTGGCCCTCTGTAAGAAGATCTTTGGTCGCCTGCAGCTGGGTAAGAGGGTCCCGCTGCTCATCGTCCTGGTCTAACATGGTTTCCACGTCCTCTGTTTTCTGGCCATTCCGGAATAGATAGTTTGTGTCTTCGTCGAGACTTGTAGCAGATTGCGCATCTTCATCAAGCTGTACTCTTGTGTACCCTTTCCCAGCGCCCCCAATGCCCACGTAGGGATTTGCATCGGCTTCGCTTTCTTTGTGACCTTTCGCTACCAGATGTCCATTATCATCAAAGATATCAAACTCGTCAATGGCCGGCATTGGCTGCCATTCCTCCTCCTCGTCTTCGTCATCCGACCGATTTGCGGTTGCAATTTGTCTTTGGTGGGACCATTCGGAAGCTGTTGCAGGATTAGATCGTGAATTCCGTTTCGGAATGGTTGTGCCAGATATCCGAGATGCTGTTGGGGATAATGCACTATCATCTGTTGGCTCATCCTGCCTCGCCTCGGACTTCAATGCCGTGTCTAAAGGTGGAACAGTGTCTGCGGCTTTGGTCTCGAGATTGGGTGCTTCGCCAATGACCTGATCCTTTTGGTTTTCCTTCATCTCCGTGCCTTTGAGACCCCCGTCTGATGTGGTAGGTGCAACCTCTGGAGACGGTTGTTTGTTGGTTTTGTCAACCAATTCCGCATGTTCCTTCGCCGGGTGCTGTGGCTCGCAGGGACCGTCTTTGGCGTCCCTCTCACTTCCGTCGTCTTTATCCGTAGACGCTTCAGCATCATGGAATGTGTCGTGGTCATCATCACTCTCGTCCAACTCCGCCGGTCGGTTTGCTTTCACCGGTCTTCTGGGCAAGCCGAAATCATCGAGCTCGGGTTCGACAGAAGCCGCTGGGAGGGTGGGCTTCCCATCTGACAGCTGTTCCGCAGGCGAATGTTTCAGGGTATTTTCTTCCTTATTATCTTCTCCGCTCGTCATAATGCCACATTTGCGGAACGGTAAGCCTGAGACATGTGTCTCGAAGCCACCTGCGGGAGAGACTCGATTTAGACTATTTTCGAGGAGGAACAAAGGACGTGTGAGATGCGAGTCAAACTGAGCTAGTATAGACGGGGATTGCTAGCATGTATATACAGAGAGTGTCGATGTGCCAGAAGTTCAAGCATTCAAGAGTAGGTGCAGGCACATCGCTTTGTTCGGTGTACGGAGTCAATGTCAAGACATTGCACGGATACCGCATTGTGGAGTCCGCAGTCTCACCATTTCACCTTGGGATCACGTGAGCGAGGAGAGGTACCCTCCGCTGCGCCACTGGGGTTTACGATGCCCTCAATGGCATATATCTTTCAAGAGTACAGCAGTGCGAATGAGTAGGTAGATGTGCTCAGATGATCCGATTGTCGCAACCCACAGGAGCGCGACAGGGAGACTGGATCCCGCCATCTAGAAAGGGTACCACATCAAACATGATCCTCACATTTACTTCTAGCCGGGCGTCTCGATCCAGTGCGTCGGACCCTTGGAAAGATAGTCGACTCCGATGGGATGCGGATTTCCCTATAGAAAGAAAGGTGGAAGCGAAGTATAGTCCCGAAATCTCCTGACCACTCGCAGTCGATTGCATTTGAGATCAGAAGAACGAGTTGGAGTCGAAGTAAGGGAGCGATCATCCACACAGTGAGCATCCTCGACGGTGATGCCAATTGGAATAAACAAGTCTGTTAGGCGTTGATCGGGTAAAGGGCCTTGTTGATAAACGTTGCAATTAAGCAGAGTGAGCTGGGATATGATGCAAGGAGTAGAGAGAAATATCCACCATGCACCTCAAATGCGTGTAATATCACAGAGCAACCTTTTTCGAGTTTGACAAGACGAACGCCGTAGCATGTCCCCTTTTACAATCGCCCAGAATGCGAACAATAGGCCGACATCCCAGTCGACTTATTTCGGTTTCGTGAATTGTTCCAGTGCTGAGTAGTCGCCCTCGTCGAACTTGGCCCAGACAGCTTCTATCCTCGCCCGTCGCTCGAGGGCGGTCTCTCGGTTCTTCCGACTCTTCTTCGTCCGTTCCCCTGACAGACATTTGTTCACCTCTCGTTTGATGTCGTTGCAGCCACCGATGGCCTTGTAGAGGAAGCCACGGGCGTGGCACTCGTCAAGGGCGTTCATGATCTCCTCGCACCCTGCAGACAGTCAGGATACCTCTCAAGGTCTTACGACGTTGGACTGTAAAAGACATATGGTACGGTGCAAGAAGGAGTAGCAAGGGAGACTGCTGTGACAGCGATCGCCACAGCTCAAAGAAGGATCATGCGACTCGAAGTCAGCTCAAACTGAGACGTACCAATGTTATCTTTTGTATGCAGATGAGAATGCATTTTGGTAGAGACTCGTCTCCAGTATTGATCATGCGGTTCGAGCCACGCCCACATCTGCCTTGCGACGACCAAAGCGAGTCTCAGTCAAGTTGCAGCTAGAAGAGCAAAAGGATCATGGGGTGATGTTCCGCAACTGAATCCAGATCTCGCCAAGCTGCAGAACGCAGCCTCGCAGGAAGAGACTAGCTTCACCGCCCAAAAGTTCGTGGATTCTGCCGCTCTTTTTCTGCATGCGGCCCAAAAAATTATATTGCAGAATACAACCTCTAGAGCCAACGCAAGTCGCTTTACGGACCGACAAACGGGCTGCACCATGTCGATGACCCTGGCGACCACATGGGTGAGGAGAGGAGTTGCCGCTCAATTTCCTACCAAATACAAAGTCGACGAAGCAGAACTGAGCCGAATCTCCAAACTAGCACGTCTACAACTGGAAGATGCACAGCAGGATCTCCTAGACGCAAAATTCCAAAACGCGAGATGTATCAGAGGACGATGATTCCGATGCCGGAGTGCCCACCGAAGAAGCCACAGACACGGCTGCACAACCTGCGGCCGACACCGATGACCTGAAAGAATACAACCTTGACGACTATGACAAGGACCCTGTGGACGAGGAGGGCCAGAAATTCTCCATGTTTGGCAACGTCGGCTCATTAGCCTACCATGCACCACATGAGGAGGATCCCTATATTGTATTGCCGGAAGGGGAAGAAGAGTCCGAAGACGAAAGAGAAGAGCTGCAGATATTGCCTTCGGATAATCTGATACTGGCGGCCAAGGTGGAAGACGAGGTTGCCCAACTCGAAGTCTTCGTGTATGAAGATGAAGCTGACAACCTCTATGTCCATCATGATATTATGCTGCCTGCTGTTCCCCTGTGTGTTGAGTGGATCAACGTCCCAGTCGGTAAAGACGCTGAGTCGAGGTCAGATGGAAACTTTGTGGCGATCGGGACTATGAACCCGGAGATAGAGATTTGGGATTTGGATGTTGTCGATAGTATGTATCCTAATGCCATTCTAGGTCAAGAGCCACAAGAGCACCCAGATGAGCCAGAGCAGAACGGAGAAAGCTCAAAACCCAAGAAGAAATCGAAAAAGAAGAAAAAGAAGGCGAGGGCCAACGATAACTACCACGTCGATGCAGTTCTGGCCTTGGCTGCAAATCGACACCACCGGAATCTGCTTGCCTCAGCGTCGGCAGACAAGACGGTGAAATTGTGGGACTTGAAGACTGGCAAGTGCGCAAAATCATACACCATGCACAGCGGCAAAGTTTGCGCCTTGGATTGGCATCCGACCGAGTCAACTATCCTCTTGAGCGGGAGCTACGATCGGACCGTCATCGCCACGGATATGCGAGCCCCTGATGCAGTAGCACCGAAATGGGTTGTCGAGGCAGACGTTGAGAAAGTGAGATGGGATGTCCATGATCCCAATTTCTTCTTCGTCACCACGGAAGCCGGCACCGTCCATTACTTTGATGCCCGGAGCATTCCCACCTCTCACGACGAGCCGAGCAAGCCTGTATGGACGTTGCAGGCCCACGATGGGCCGGTCAGTGCATTCGATATCAGTCCGTCGGTACCGGGTCTTCTGGTTACAGGGTCAGAGGACAAAAGGGTCAAGATATGGAACGTCGAGCACAATAAACCCGCCATGGTCATTTCGAGGAACCTTGAGGTTGGCCGGATATTCTCGGCCCAGTTTGCCCCAGATCCAGAGGTTGCCTTCCGGCTGTCAGTGGCGGGAAGCAAGGGGCGGTTGCAAGTATGGGACATCAGCACCAACCCGAGCGTGAGAAAAGTATTCGCAGGCAGAGTCCAGTTGCCGGAGACGGATGGGAAAGAGAGATTAGTCGGCGCCAGCCTGAGTGACCACGAGAGCGAAGATGAGGAAGACGAGGCTGGAGAAGGGGCACAAGATGGTTGGGAATCCATGGATGAAGATTAAGCAAAAGAGCAGTCTAGGATCCCAGAGGACCTAGTATGATTGTACGACACAGGATGAACAATGTCAAAGGCACAAATGGGAGTGCCCTGGTGAACGATAGGATTTTATGTATCTGATGTCCATGGAACCGTCAAGTGTAAGGCTCGTAGCCCTTGAAGCTACTTATCCAGTCCTAAAAAAAACTGGGATCCTACCTGGATTTTAGTCCCCAGGTGTTGTACGTAGTGACCTAATGGGTGCCTTCGGGGTTACCTCTGCGCAGTTGGACGGCAAGTGCCCCCTCCAGGCGGCAAAATCCAAGGCGCTGCCGCCTATTCAAGCCAAGAATCGGCTCCAAGATTGTCCCCCGAACTTCACCTACAGCCGCCTACGAAGAAGTCGCCATAAGATATTTCTCATCCTCACACCATCAAACCATCATCAACACGCATTTCCTTCGATACAAATTGTCGCACCATCCGTACGATCACTATGGCCGGCGGAGATGGCAGTCAGGACTCTATCAGCACGCCTGAGCCCGTAGAGAAAGGCTTCGCGACGCTCACCCAATTGCAGTAAGTCCCCGGAAAGGTCAGAGTTGATGAATTTGACTCCCTTCAGATCTGGAAGTGATACTGAAATTCGTTTTACAGGATTGGCGTGAAGGCATTTGTCGAAAAGGTGAGTTTTTCCTTCAAACTCCCTCGAAATGACCACGTGACCTCGATATATCAGCGGACAGAATGTGCCACTGACCAGGAAACAGAATGGAGAACCTCGAAAAGCAGAAATTCTATCCATCAAACAGAGAAATGGTGCCCTGACTTTCTAGTATGCCTGCCCCGAGTCTGAAGCATTTACTCGGCCTCAAAACTAACCTTACGGCAGCGTACATTATGTCGAGTTCAACAAGCGTCTGGACGGTAGGCATTGCTGAGGTTCACACCTTGAGGTACCCGCTAATAGGTCGCAGAATGGGTCACAGCCGACCGCATCGATCTCTCTCAGGAGGTCGAGTGGCCCGTCCCCGAGAAGCCCGAAAAGAAGAAGACCACCGTAACCACGAAAGGGCCACCGTCAAAAGCTGCCGCGGCCAAATCCATCACCACTAAAGCCGGTCGTCCCAGGACAGATTCCCGCGCCAGTTCTGCGACACCTGATCTCCTCAGCTCCAAGGCAGGCAATGACCGAAAGCTTCCCGTGCCCTCCAAAGCAGGTGGAAAGGAGAATCGCGAGGAAGGGCTCGTGCCCGACGGGGATGCCTCACTCGCGATTACCCAAGCAGGCACTCCCTTGCCAGCGATCGGAATTGAAGACGGTGCAGGAAGCAGCGTGGACGTGGAAATGCCCGACGTGACCAAGACCGAGGAGAAGGTAGCTCCCATCATGGAGCCAGAGGAGGAAATCGAGAAGCTGCGCACTGGTGGCTCCATGGTGCAAAATCATGCCCAATTGCATCTTGTACGCAACCTGAACAAGATTCAGATGGGCAAACACATTATCGAACCGTGGTACTTCTCTCCCTATCCCCAAGAATTCGGTGACGTGGACATGGTCTATATCGATGAATTCTGCCTGTCCTACTTCTCCTCCAAGAAGGCATTCGAGAGACACCGCACCAAGTGCGAGTTGCGTCATCCGCCGGGCAACGAGATCTACCGCGACGACTTTGTGAGTTTTTTCGAGGTCGATGGTCGACGGCAGCGTACTTGGTGCAGAAACCTGTGCCTGCTGTCCAAATTGTTCTTGGATCACAAGACGCTGTACTACGACGTCGACCCCTTCTTATTTTACTGCATGGTCACTCGGGACGAATACGGCTGTCATCTTGTCGGATATTTCAGTAAGGAGAAGGAGTCGGCGGAAGGTTATAACGTCGCTTGTATTCTGACCTTGCCGCAGTATCAGCGACAAGGTCTCGGGAGATTGCTTATTGCTTTTTCCTATGAGCTAAGCAAACGAGAGGGTAAGCTGGGGTCCCCTGAGAAACCTCTTTCGGACCTAGGCCTGTTGGGTTACAGGCAGTATTGGAAAGAAGTGCTGATCGAGCTTCTTTCTGATCCTGCACGGCTGCCTCCGCCGGGATCAGCCTCCCATACACCAACTTCGGAACATCTTCATCCACACGCATCTCTAGGCTTCACGGGTCCATCGTCACAATATTCCACGAGCATTGCCGAGATAGCGAGTCTGACAGCCATGACTGAGAAGGACGTGCATGAACAGCTCGAGGTGCTGAAGCTCCTGCGTTATCACAAAGGTGCGTGGATCATCGTCGTGCGAGACGAGCTGCTCGAGTGGCAGGAAAAGCGGAGGGAGAAAGAGAAAGTCAAAGGGAGCAGGCGGATTGATCCCAGCAGACTCAACTGGAAACCGCCTGTCTTTACCGCTAGTAGCCGGACGTGGAATTGGTAGTGGAGCCGGCCTCTGTGACTGTATATTAGCATGGCGCTCGAGGTGCTCTGCCGGGCTGGGAGACATACAACATCGATTGAGCCGGCAGCGCTTTGGACTCTCATGGGTGGATGGCACGAGTTTGATGATTTCCGTTGTATGATGCTCTTAATGTCATCGTTTCTCATGACGCAGCTCTGAGACAGTTTTCTTCTTGAAATACTTCGGAGGCTTCGTATAGATGTCGGTCGCTGTACTCTCGAGAGCGATGTTCAAGAGGGTATGTTCGTGTACCGGGACAGATCTGCGTCGCTACTGGCGGCATTGTCTTCAGACCCATTTTCTGTCATCTCGGTGTCACCGTTGTGGCCGTTCCGACCACGAGCGGAAGATCCTTCATCGTCAAGACCCAGTGTAAGATTTTTGGGCAGGTCTATTTTCTTCTCGCGAGCGAGTTGTTCGGCCCATGCACGTGCTCTGACAAGATATCTGATATTGGCTTCTCTTCTTTGTTCTTGAGACTGCAGAATTGCCTCATTGACGTCTTTTGCAACCTTCTGTCGTAACGAAGGATCGACGAGTTCTGCCAAAGCGCCGAAATCATTTTGAATCTGTGAAGCCGCTGGGCCAGACGAACCCGATGCCGCTGCCTGAGTCCATGATTCCTTGGGGACGATCAGGAGTGCCATAGCCCTTTCTAGGTCGGCCTTATATTGTGCATCTAAGGGAGCGTAGGGCGCAAGGTTGTTTTGAGCGAATTCTATAGCTTTGCCCACCAAGCTTGAGTCTGAGGACGTGAAACTTTGGCGAATTAACTCGACCAGTTGAAGCCGGAGAAGAGAGAAGTGTAGTCTTTTATCTCTATCCAATAGCTGGTTCGAACAGATTAGAATGGAGATAGATGCAGTCGTGTGTACAGGATGTGAGGAGGTATCTGATAAATCATACTGAGGACTGAAGGTGTTTTTGCTCTCATCTTTGCCCGAAAGCTATGAGTGGTGCATGAAAACAAATATAATCATGAAAACTGGGTGCAGGAAGGTTGGGACAAGACTCACTTCTGGGTTGAGATCGTTTATAAGCTCGATGGCTGCTTGCAGATCGCCACGGTGTATCGATTCTCGAATTTGCACCCTTTCTTGAATGTCACTGAAATCAGCCTTAGGCTGGATATTGGCTTCCGCCGCAAATTTTTCCGCTGCTGATGGGTAGCCTTCGGTGATCAGATAGTCCATGATCAAGTTGTTGACATCTCTGCAAAATGACCGTGGTCAGCGAATATCACCCCAGTATATCTGTGCACCCATATATCAAAACTCAGCAATTTTTCAGAAAGCAAAATATTTGCAGTCTCTTCAAGGTGTTTCAGAGAGATTCCCATTTTGTCAAAAATACATCCTATAGGAGAAAATGCATCATCGATTGGAAGAAGACGTACGACTTGGATATCTGGGCGTCGGCCACCTGTCGCTCGAAGTAGTGGGCTGTAGTAGCAGCCTTGACGGAGAGGATCAGCAATCTGGCCAGGGAGGAGGAGGTCTGATGGCTCACCATGGTGACGGTTTCTGAGATAGCTCAGCGAATGGATGGATCCGCAGGACGGATTGTCCTTGCTCTCTCAGTGATTAAAGCATAATCATTTGAGGTCGGGAATGAAACAAGTGATGGTAGGCACTGCTGGTAAAACGCAAGCAAATCGGTGTCTGAAGGTCAGAGAAGATTGCACGTGACCTATCTGCCAAGCCTTGTTCGCTTACTGGTCTCCACCGGTATTCTCACCCAGAATAGAAGCGTCTGCGTTGAACGAGAAACCACTACGAAGGTGCCGAGTACTTGGTACCAAGTCCAGTGGAAGCCAGAATAAAGCAGATTCGTCTGGAGTCTTTCCCAGGCAATCCCAAAACACCGGCCGGAGGCATCCTGCACAAAGTAAAGCAGCATAGGGTTCTATATCTAAGTCTACTGTCAAGACGATTCTGGTCCTTGGTCTTCAATGGTATGAATTAACATCGTCAGCCTTTGTGGCATCACCAGGCTGCTCGATCGCCATCCGAAGCCTCATCAGATCCCGATCCCGGGCCAGGAGCGGCCAGGGGCGGCAACCTACATAGGATGGCTGGTCAAGATCTTCTTCTCACCCAAGCAATAGTGCTGGGTGTCGGTCATTCTAGCTTTACGCTTATGGTGATTCATCTGCCAAGTTTTCGGTATTTCGTCATCTACGGTAGGGTAGACGAGGATAGAATACTCCGAATGGAAGTATTTGCTAGACAAGCAAAAGTTCGAACTTCGGAAGTTGCCTACGCATGAGGGTGGCAGGAATATTGCTCCACCGAGACGCCACGTGATCAGGTGAAATAATTAGATCAGTGGCTCTGGAGATCCCAAGTCAGCCGCAGCTGAAGAGACGGCGACGGCGCATAAGTCTCGAACACAGCCTCCCAAACAAACGATTCTTCTTCCAACAGACCTCGTACTATTTCCCGCTGCCACTTACCTTCCTTCCCACTTCACCACCTTTTGTACTCTGATCTCATCGACCTAACCTCGCCGTAGTCGCTCAGACTTACTCCCAAAAACAGAAGAGCCGCAGCAACATCGTACGGCCGGAACCATGGTCATTCTAGGCGGCCTCGAGCTGGTCGCAGCTGGGTATCTCCTCAAGGAGATGCACAACGATAGCAAAGAGGAGCAAGAGAGGGATCGCGAGAAAAGAAGGAGACGGCGGCGTCATTCTCGTGAAGACCATCATCGCCCCCATCACTACGATGACCCGAGCCCGCACCGTCCGTCTCGTCCACCCCAGCAACAACAACAACTGCGTCCACCCCAGCAGCCTGGTGGTCCGCCTCGACCATACAGTGCACCCCCTCCGCAGAATCGACCACCTGTGTTTCCGATGGCAGCAGTCGCAACTGCGCCTATGTGGCACCCCCCACAGCAACAGGGCCCGCCGCCTCAACCAGGTCACCCACAGAGTTATGGGACATGGCCGCAGGGACCACCACCGCAACAGCAGCGACCTACTCAATCTCAGGCTCCGTGGCCGGGCAGCCCACCTCCCCCGAACAACGCCAACCACAACAATTTCGTGCCTCCGCCGCTTCAGCGTCCCGCCACGATATATCCGCCACCAGGGGTGCACATCGACCTGAAGACAGGCAAGGTCCAGCATGATATGTATCCGCCGGAGATGCCTCGCGACCAGAAAAGGTCCGGAGAAGCCAGAGAATACTACGATGGGGGCCGGAAAGAATATGAGCGCATACGCGAGAATTCGATGCCCACGCAGCAACGACTGCAACATTACCAGCCTATGCCCGGAGACAACGCTCCGCAGCACAGTTACTCCCAGCCCCAAATCAACTCCACCACGCACACACCTACCCCTCCACCGCCACAGGGATACGTCGAACTCGATGCGGAGACTCCGGGTAGGTACCGCCCCCCGAACAACGAGAAGTCTGGGAGAGGCAAATCAAGTTCGTTCTCCAGCCGGTATCGAGATAACGATATGGATATGCGGGACCCGCCGCCTGCCTACCGCGAGTGACGAAGGAATAATATATGTTTTATGGGATGAAGGATCGATAAGGAACTGGGGTAATATGGGGCCAAGGATTGACCAAGTGATTCTAACCAAAAACCGATGACCACTTACGAACTGTTATACGGGAGCGAAACCCGCCTGGAAAGTACAACAGACTTTGGTAGCTTGACAATTAGCATGAATACATGTGGCTCACTAGCTGGCCTAGTGAGTCCCCAACAAATACGTGTCTTCCTGACCAAACTGTTGGATCTCGATCGAAGACCGTGATAATAGGGCTCTGGAACAGCGGGCTCTGCTCCTGTCAACCACCTAATATAGAGTACATGTCCGGGAACCCGACGAGCTGCGTGGTGTTTATTTATTGCATATAGTCTGAAAGAGCTGGCTTTATTGTCATTTTTTTTTTTTGATTTGACCAGGCCAACTATCCATCAGTGCGGACACGTCTCCTGATCTTTCAAAAGGTGGGCCAGACAGTAGGACATTTATCTCACACCATTAAACCACGATGGATTGACACCGTTCATGTGCCACACACACACACACACACACACACATTGAATTACGCTCCATTCCTCCTTTAGTGTCCCAATCGACACAGCCAACCAACTAATGCAATGCTTTCGCTTACAGCGCGAGCACAGCAACAGCACCGGCAATCACCAGGCCCGCGGCGCTGTAGCCAACCTGGCTTGCGCCGCCACCGAAGGGAGACGCGCTGGCCGCAGGTCCGGAGGCGGTGCCTGTGCTCTGCGTTGAGACTGTTGCGCCGGCTGCGGTGGTCAGGGTGCTGCCGATGACGGTGGTGCCGGGGAGGGTGCTGTAGTAGCCGCTGCTGTAGCTAGTCATGACGGCGGTGGCGGTGGCGGTCGAGGCGCCGGAAGCCCAGCTGCTGCCTGTGCCGGCCACGACCGCTGTGGTGGCCCAGGTCGAGTTGCCCGACCCGCCATACGTGTTGGATCCGGTCTGGTATGCTGGGGGCCCGATGATGATGGACGAGCCGCCGGTGGTGCTGGTGGCGGTGGCGGAGATGGAGACGATGGGAGACGATGACGAGCTGGACCCGGAACTGGAGCTCGAGCTGGAGCAGCTCTTGTTCTCGAGGCAGGAGAATTGAGTCGAGTCTGTTTCAATCAAAGGATGTCAGTTTCGCTTTATATTGTTTGACAATGCCAAGGGGAGAGAGGGGGGAGGAGGGGGGAGCCGTGGTGTGTTCTTTTTTTTGGACGTACATTGGAACTCGCCAGTGCCGTCGACGATGATCAGCATTCCATAGCCGGTCTCAGTGCCTTCGGTGCCTGGGGCCAAGTCGCAAGGAACCTGCCAGTCGAATGATTTCTGTGCGGCAGGGATTCCCTCCGCGATGGCCGTGTCGGAGAGCACGCAGTTGGTGCTGGGTCCGTGGCAGAGCACGAGACTGACGGTGACGCCGTCGGTCGGATGGTCTTCAGGATCCCAGGTCACGGTGAATGCTTTGCCTTGAGTGACAGCCTGCATACATATCCCGTCAGGTTTTCCAATTCCCATGAAAACAAAAGTTCATGGGGACAGGATCAAGAGACGTACGTCTGTGGTATCTGGGGTGAGCAGAGGACCCCACGTCTGTGCACCCGGCGCGGTGAATGCTTGGGCCAAAGTCGCCAGGCCGGCGGCGAGGAGGGAAGAAGCGGCGAGCGAAGGCATATTTGGTTTTGGGTCTGACTCTTTCCCTCAAAAGATACTGGGAATTTGGTGTCTGTAGGCGCGCAAAGTCCTTCAAATGGCCGTAAAGAGTGACTGTGGGTGAGCAAGGGGGCGAACACTCGGAGTCAAGTAGTAAGTAGTGAGCGACTGAGGAATTGATAAAAGATCCCAAACAACAGGCCAGCTGGAGGTGGTGCGAGAAGAAACTACTACCAAAACGAGTGCAAGGAAGAGAGGAGAGAAAACCTTCCCATGTCCAGAGAGGCGGAGCTGAGCTGAATATTAAAAGAAAGGGAGCGGGAGTGATCTAGAGTCAGCGGTTCATAGTAGTAGTACGGAGTACTCCATATTATGTCTTGTCACTTATCACCTTGTCCGTCGTAGTTCGAGGCGGTTGACTTTTTTTTTACTCAGCCTCCGCTTCCACCCCGTGTTTCATCGGTTTCGGAAATTGGCTGGGCGACACATACGAGTTTTTCCCCTGGATCGACTGGTCCAGTGGGCGGCCATGATGGCATATTGGACCCCATTATTAGCATCAGTCAGTGGTCAGTGGTCAGTGGTCAGTGGTCAGTGGTCAGTGGTCACCGCTCGATAACCGACTTGGCCTGGTAAGGAGTTGGCGCGAGGGTGACATTCGCGTGTAGGTCACCCAGTGGGAGGCTTGCCCGGGAAGAGAGAACGCAGCCGGTGCTGGAACAGGAGCTGAAACCAGGAGCAGGAGAGTCACTGTCGGCTTCCGAAGAAGCTGAGCCATCAGTGAAGGTCTCCTTTCCTGCCAGCAGTATGAGGACCAGTAGTCAAAAGAGACAACTGTGGTATGTATGTGATGGCCATGAGAAGCTGGTTGAGCATGGGATTGGCACATTTGGATTCCCTGTTCATCTCCTGACAAGATCATCTCGCAATTGTGGAGAATGGAAGCCGGCCGATGTTTTGTTCCGAGATTCAACAAAGTCCCACTGGCTCTTGGGCAGTTGGCCTGACGTGACTCCTTTCCCCTGTCTCGTATTAGTAGCCGACTACAAGTTGGTTCCCTGGTCAGACAGCTTGTTGCGTTGGATGTCATGTCTCTCAGGTACAGGTATGCTATATTCGCAGCTGCATTATCTCCCAGACACCTGAGGCTGAAGGAGACTACCTCCATCAGCTCCTCTGGACCATGACTTGGTATGACTCTCGAGTAAGGCACGTCGAATGCTTCAGCCACGATAGGAAATGCAACAGAGTCGTCCACTAGGACCATATTCCGTTGGCGTCTAGGCTTACATTTGGCCAGGAGTCCCTCGTACTCGATTTCGTGCACAGCACTCGGTTACTACCAATCATAATCAGCGTATCACATACACAGCATGACGCATATTGAGGAAGTGCATTATTGCCTCAGTGCCTAGGCCCCAACCAGTAAATCCTCACAAGGCTGGCGCAATAAGGAGCAGCTTACCTGGTCAGCCTCCTCCCCCCTCCCTTGCCCCCCTCTCTTCTCCCCCCACGGGAGTCTTCTTTCTGCTGGTTGGCTTTCTCTAGGGGTGGGTTCCCGGCTGATGGCCGGCGATCTCCATCCCCCACAGCTGTGATCCTTCACCGATATTCTGCCACCCTTCAGACCTCTACAAACTCCCCAGCTCAATGCCGTAAGATCAGTCAACAGCGGGCAGCCCATCATCCCCTTGATCAACAAGCCGTCATGTTCCGTGCCAGGCGTCCTGGAGCTCAGGAGGCCTGATTCAACCTGCCTCAACTTGTCCAAATCCGATGGAGACTCCCAAGCACACAACCGAGAGCCGGCCAAGTGCGTAGCGCCGCAGCCATGTCCTCGTCGACGTCCCAACCCACCGAGCACCCCTCGAGCTCAACATATACCCCAGCTTCCACGATCCGCACCCCCGAGTTCGACAGCGACGACTCCCCCATTGTGCAGACTCAGACGTCTCGCGAAACCGAGTCCCAGAGCGTCGAGCTGCGGAAACTGCACCACGTTCCTCCACCGGCGGAACACACCGACACAGAAGATGAGTTCTCGGAAAGCGACAGCGATCCGGGGGAGGGGGATGATGATGAAGGATATGGGAAACGACGCCTGCGGAGGACCGCAACACACTCCAAAGACTTCACGGATGAGGAAGAGACCGCTCTGGTGCGCAAGCTGGACCGCAGACTGGTCGTCTTCTTGGGCTTTCTCTACATGCTGAGCTTCCTCGACCGCTCGAACATTGGCAACGCTCGTATCGCCGGGCTGGAACAAGACCTCGCTCTCTCGTCGGCGCAGTACGATTGGCTCCTCACGGCTTTCTACATCACCTATATCGGCTTTGAGTGGATGATCTTGCTGTACCGCATCCTCCCTGCGCACATATACATACCCCTGTGTGTCTTGTCGTGGGGTCTCGTGGCGAGTCTGCAAAGTCTGACTACATCTTTCGGCCAACTGCTCATCCTCCGTGGCATCTTGGGCATCACCGAGGCCGCGTTTGGACCCGGCGTGCCGTTCTACATGACATACTTCTACAAGCGCTCCGAGCTAGCCTATAGAGTGGGCTTACAGATCTCCGCTGCGCCGCTGGCGACGAGCTTCGCCGGCACCCTGGCCTGGGTGATTGTCAAGCTGAGCCAGAATGGGCCCATCGCTCCCTGGAGAGCATTGTTTTTGGTGGAAGGGTTTCCCTCCATCGTCACAGCTGTGGCCGCATGGTATTGGATTCCCGATTCGCCGTCGAAGGCGCGGTATCTGACTGCCCGGGAGAGAAAAGTTGCGGTTATGAGACTGCGGGCGGAAGAAAACCAGAGTTCTCAATCTCGCGAGTCCCCACACGCCTCAAGTGCAACATCGTTAGCCCAACGGCTCAACGTCAAAGAAATCCTGGCCACGATCCTCGATCCGAAATCGTACCTGACGGCCCTCATGTTCCTCAGCGTTAACGTCTCATTCAGCTCGCTCCCCGTCTTCCTCCCCACCATCATAAACAGCATGTCCTTCACCCCTTTAGCGTCCCAGGCCCTAGCAGCTCCACCCTACCTCTTCGCATTCTTTTTCGTGCTCATGGTGGGTCGGTACAGTGATAAAGTCCCGGACTCGCGATCTTTGTTTCTGATGGGTGTGGCTCTACTCAGCGCCATATCATACGCCGGGATCGCCGTCGCGGGCTACTTACACGAGTCCCTGGGCGAGGCTGGGAGCATCACGATCCGCTACGTCGGCGTTTACGGGGCGGCGATGGGCCTCTTCTCCTCGGTTACGCTCATCATCACGTGGACGCTGAACAACCAAGCCACTGCGACGGGCAAGGGCACCGGCTTGACCATCCTGAACGTCATAGGCCAGTGCGGTCCGCTGATCGGGGTGCATTTGTTTCCCCGCAGCCAGGGCCCTTTGTACGTCCAAGGCATGGCCGTGTGTGCCGCGTTCATGGCGGTCGGCGTCGCTGGCTTGGCTGGTGTGCTGAGACTGGTCCTGCAGCGTGAGAACCGGAGGAACGGATTCGGGGAGAAGGATCCCGGGCTGGGCGGCGAATATGAAATGGTAAGTAAAGAGGACGAAGATGGCGAGGGGGGAGCGGCAGGTGACGAGGACGCCCAAGAGACTTTGATCGGCGGAGCGAGGAAGATTGGAGCTGAGAGTTCGGGATTCAGGTATATGTTGTGACCACGATTGATGAAGTAGGCTGGCTAGATGGGGGAGTAATTTTTCCTCCTGGCTCACCACTGGGTATACACGGAAGCTAGACAATGGGATTCGGTATAACGACGGAAGAGCCCTTGAGATTTCGGTAATTGTATCACGGACCATCATGGGTCACTGTGCCATTTGGCCTTAGAAAAGCATAACAACCCAAGTCAAGAAGCTCGAGGTTCGGTGTGGTGTTCAAGAGGATTGAGAAACTTCTCAGTCCTCGAACAGTGCTAAAAGCCGGTATGTACAAATTATGAACGCCATTGCGCTCGTCTGTCTGTTGGATTTGATGATGATGTGGTGAACTACCCTTCCTCTCCAAGATTCATTCTCGCTTTTCTTTTTTGGATGTCGGTGTTCAGCCCCTACTTGGGGCAAGCAATTGACAACCAGTATTCCCTACTCTGCAAAACATCGAACTCGTAAATCTCGGTACCACCTGCGTTCGATCATTGTAGCAGCCCATCTACCGTTTCTTACTTTTGCTTCCCGTCCTGCTCGGCCTTCTCCTTGGTCATCTTCTGCATCTGTTCCATCGTCATGTTGTGTTTGTCACCGCGGGTGGCTTGCTCGCTCTGCGAGGCGAGCTCGGGCTTCCATTCTCCTCGACCGGTCTTGGCTTTCTCGACGCTGTCAGACTTGTGGCGTTCAATGTCGGCAGCTCGGTTTTCGTTGTCTGTTTGGTTGTTGACACATCCACCGGTTAGCAACCACATTTTTCATTTCTGTCGGATCAGGGGAGCTTATGTTTGTTTGACTGCAGCACGGTGGGGAGGAAGTCTTGGTCGAGGATGGGTGGGAAAGAAAGGTCTGTTGTGGACCGGGCGCTGCAACATACGAGCATGGTCTTCACTCAACGCCAGGCGTGCTGACGAGGTGTGGATGGCTGCACTTGACCTAACACAAACAGCTCTTCCAGCAGTCCGCAGAGAAGCTGATGACCGGGTGAGGTATGACATGTTGAAGGGAATGTTGCTCTGGAACAAATGGACGGGTATGCAAAGAGATCTGTGAGCCGACCTGGAGTCAAGTCTGAACGAAGGTCGTAAACGTGAGGCGTGGAATCTCCAGCAAAAGGTAGGCAGAGGGATGTCTAACGAAGCTTTATTGGGGAGGGCTTCGGTGAAGACTTCCATCTGCGTTGCCAATTGAACTCTTGCCGAGCTGCAACATACCGTTCGCCATCATGACGTAGTGGAAGGACAATCACTAAGAACGTGACCTTCCGTCATCCATCACAGTGCGCCAGTGGCAGGCACGGCTATCATCGCCGAATGATGGAAAGAGCGAAGATCCCCAAATGAGAATCGGATCAATCGTCATTGGTGGGCGCCCGCGAGAGCCCCCTTCGGGCCTAACTCTGTCGCCGCTTTTGCCTCAATCTCCACCAGTGCCATCCTGAAGAGTTATCACAGCTGCTCGACATTGGTCATTCCCTGCCAATGATACCGCCTTGTCCTTTCAAGCCTGTCAGGGGTATTTGCTGTCGAATGGCAATCAATGGAGTCGGATGTCTGTCTGGCTCATGTCAGGGAACGCCCAACCGTGATGAGGACTAAGCGGCGAGAGCGGATGGACACTGATTGATGAGAAGGAATGGACTATGATCAAGAATCGTGGGCGAAAAGGCAAGAGGGTGAGCTGCCAATGGCAACCCCGACATTTTGTACGGCTTTGTTATCTAATTACATGGCTGCGTTATCTCTGAACTTGTAAACCATATCAAGAACAGCCTGGGACTGCCCACCCGATTACCCGACTATCATCCAAAATACAGTTCCCAGGAACCGGCATACCTCTCTGTATCTGGCCTTGCCATTATGCTACAAGTTGCCAGCAAGACTGGATCTGTAGGGAAAGGGCCTTTCGCCTCTCCATTAGTGGCTGCAAAAGGGTACGATGCTTTCGCACAGCCCTTACGAGAAGATGGAGCCAAAGTAAGATCTGTGCTAGTGACGCGAGAAATAGTGAGTCAGCGAGTCCTGTAGTCCCTTTTAAAAACAAAAGCCCATGCAGTGTTTTCCAGGTTTCCCATTGCATGAGGCTTAAACATTGCAGGCTGCGGCATGTTCAACCACTCCAAACGTTGCCAAGCTTGGCGCCAGAGAAGTTTTCAGCCCTTTGGGAACTCCACTTGGAGTTTTCTGGGGGAAGAACTAGCGAAGACCAACCAAATCGGTCGACAAGCTCTTGCCAAGGTCGGCTGCCCCACTTGCTTCGTCGGTTCCGCCAGGAGTGGGAGGCTCTGATGCCCCGCCAGGAAGTCCTACTAGCCAATCATAGCAAGCTGTTGTGGGCCTTCAGCTCGGAAGATTGCTTGGCAAGGGGCAGGTTCCAAAAAGAAACTCCCTCCGCAAATGTTCGGGTTTCACTCCAGACTAGGCGTCACGACCTTGGCACCGCTGCCCATGGCGGCTTCAAACCACAGGAAAACCAGGCTTCGGCCTGCTTCGCCTGGCGTGAGGGGTGGCATCCATCATATCCAGCCTACTGTCGTCCTGGCATGCATATCCAAAGATAGCAGCAGCAGATGCGCGCAAGGCCTTACTCGAACGTGAGAGCCCTCCTCTGTTGTAAAGAACTCTGCTTCTCTGCTCCTCATATGGACTCTTGCGAATGGCAGCCCACGCAGACCGCCAAACAACATCCTTCATCCATAGTGCTGGCAACCCCTCGGAGTGGAAGAAGAAGGAGCAGGTGCGCCGCCAACATCAGCATGCTGCCAGTGTAGCACACCAGAGGGGGCAGAGGAAGAGATTGCCACGGTCGCAAACTCATCCTGGGCCTGGCACCAGCTCTACCGCTCTGACAACCCCCGCCCCTCGACCAGATCCCGGTGGCAGTAGATTCGATCCCTTTGATGCCTTCTTTGTCAACAATCTGTCTGTACACGCGCAGATGATGTTTAAATCCGGTATGTTTGTGGTCTTCTCTATCCGCATTCTCAATCTGATCTGCAGCCATCATCGATCAATGGCCGTCCTTCGCACTGTCAAGCAGGAAACAAGACATCGACAGATGGCGGACCGTCACAATACAATATGCACTTGAGTCTCCCTATCTGGTGCCAGCAATCACCTACGCAGGGTCTTCCTATCGCTATTTCTTTGGCTCACGGGACTCGTCTGCCAAATTTCATCGCATCAGTTTCTACCATGAAACATTGAGACAGCTTCGGGAGGCAATGCTGAGCCCCGACAGTCAATGTGGGGATGCAATGCTCCTGGCGATCGCCATCTTGACCATCCACGGCCCTCCTAACGACATGCAAGGGCGGACTATCGTAGGCTCTCAGCAATTAAGAGATTACGAGTACTACGGCAGCAAAACATGGGAACCAACTCACTTTCAGGCGTTGTTCTCCCTGGTAAAGCAAAGAGGTGGACTGCACAAAATCGGCATCGACTCTCTAGCCGGCATTATCATGACGTGCGTATTAATCCAGCTTCGCTCCAGTCCTTGCTGACTGCTTAGGATTGATATTGTTGAGTCAATTTCGGTTCTGAGGACCCCTGCTTTTCCTCTCTTCTTCCCTCCGAGCCCCATCCTCCAGGCGCTCCGTCGGTGCCGCAAGCCGGACAAGAGCAATTCATGCGACGGTTTTCGGTTTTTAAGGAACAAACACCTTGGTCGACGGCTTCTATCCATCATTGAGGACGCTGACGCTTTACTCGACGCCTACGACACATTTCTAAATGACTCTGGTTCTAGTATAGATTTTGGGCAGTTAGTCGCGGCGTGGCGCATTTTGCAACACCAAGCACTGTCACTGCCAAGCGGCGAGGATCTCCTGTTCAACCTATGTCGGGTCGCTGTCATAGTTTTTCTAGTCGAATGCCTCGAACCTTTGCCAGTCACTGGAGCTTTCCACCGGAACGGTTCACGAGGACTGATGATGTTAATTGACGAGTGTGATAAGCGGGACTTTTGGCAGACGTCTCCTAACACAATGCTCTGGGCAACTGTTGTCGGTGGTTTCATCAGCCGCGAGACATCTCTGCGCTTGTGGTACATCGAACAGCTTCGTGGAAGTCCAGTACCGACGACTGCAGAGCATTGGGACAAGGTTTTGCACTTGGGGGCGGCATATCTTCCGTTCAGACATCGACAAGCACAAGGTTGTCAACAGTTCTGGACCGAAGGATGCAGTTGGCTGGCACTTGCCAATCCATATGTGAGAACAAGCTAGGAACACGAGCGAATCTACCAAGACACAGGGTACGAGCTGCGTGCATACACGAATACTACGGGTCCGGAGTCTAGTTCGAAGATAACGTGTTGGTACTCGATCTGTACCTACTGCCTGTGCACTCGTGCACCAGCTGGCGATATTCACTGCAGCGAGATCGTGACGTCCAGGGTCGACTCGGCGGCGATACACCAGAATAGCCCGTCCTACCTACAGAGCAAGAAACACATCAATGAGCCTGGGAAGAGACTTCCTCGATAGCGGTGGTGGCAGGGCGACGACAGATATTATTGGTAGATTTTGGACCACGGTATCCGCCCCCATTGCAAGGGCTAAGTGTATTCAGCGTAAGGCAGACTCCATGTCTCGTGATAATAGTTCTTTGACTGAGCTTGTACAGGACAAGAGGCGAGACCAACTCGGCCTGTCGCCTTGGCGACGGAGAAATGCCGTGATTCAGCTCTAGTGTAGGAGGCATGCTTGCAAACTACGAATCACGACCCAGAACATATGTATTACATCGCCCACCTCGACTATTATGGGGGCGGAGCACCTTTGGACTTGAAGACTCATGTTCGCTAGTTGACTTTCATGCACCTTGTCAAGCCGTCAATGCACCACGGCACAGGTGTCTCCGTCAAGTCCTAAGAGAAGCCGAAGAAGTGCGGCCGTGCGTACGGCTTAAGCATTGGCAGAGTGCCTGACATTCTTAAGATGGTCAACTCCTCGTCCAAGGCAAATGTGCTGCGCAGTCGATATGTTTACACACCGTAGCCGCCATGTTCGAGCATGAGCAGCGCCAGGGAAAGTATGCGGCGGTATCAAAGGCTACGTGGAGTAAGTCTGGCCGGTCAACTCACGGAACAAGGCTGATGAGAGAAAGGCCCTCCACCAAAAAGACAGGCGAGGCCCGCCAAATACTATGCACCATTCTCGACCAGGTGGCCTGCTTTGACTCTGATCGTGCTGGTCATATTGGCCTGTATTGCCCTACTGGAGTATGGTATTCGTTCGGGCCTGACGCTGGAAGAGAAGGATCAGCAACAAAATCACAGCAGGCTGAAGAGGCAAGACGTAAGCTCGCCAGTAGCCGTGGTTACAACATCAGCAACGACAACTCTAAGTGTTGAAGATGCGACAACTGTTACGCCGGCTGCTGAGACCAGTAGCGCTCCAGACAATGAATACATTGACCCCGCTTCGACATCACCTTCAATCAAACCTACCACAGCACCCCCGTCCACGGTGATGCCAGTTTCGTCTTCGACGACAGCGTACATCGCCCCGATCACGAGCGAGTCGACAACAATGACAGTGGCGAGCAGTACCGCTGTATATATTGTGCCGTCTACGACCACGCCGGGGACTTCTGCCACACCCGTCATGAACAGTGGCACTACTCCATATATTGTTCAGATCAGCAGCACTACCACTACGGCATACGTACAACCACCGTCCTCGACAACGCCGGCTAATCCATACACCGTCCCTTCTAGCAGCAGCTCCTCACGTACGCGTACCACAACGCCCATAGCATCAACTAGCTCGGGAGTCATAAGGACTACGGAGCTTAATTCTGCCTATGTGTACACTCAAACAACATCTGCTCCAACATCATGGACCAAATCAAGCACTGAACAATTCACCACATTGATCACTTATACCACGGAGGATGCATCAGGAAAGCCATTGACAACTGTGGCAACGGCGACGTACGCCGTTGCAGTAATGACGGAGACAGTCCACGACTCAAACGGCGGTGTATCAACTATGATCACAACGTTAACGTCCTACAGTGGTAGCATAACTCCTACAATCCTCGCTGCAAGCACATCTCTCCCCACGACCCCTCCAGATCATCAGAGGGCAGGTGAAGTGGAGCTTGGCTTGGCCGTGGGCAACCTTCAATACTTCCGCGCCATATACCTACCTGTACTGATTGCAGTCCTCCTCAAACTGATATGGGCGGTTGTATTCACTTCTACCAAGATGATGGAGCCTTTTTATCTCCTTTCCAGAGAAAAAGGTGCATCTGCCACAGAATCACTTTTGGCAAACTATTTGGCCACCAGTCTGTCGGTTGAGGACTCCAAGAACATGTTTCTCAGCCACCCTGTCGTCACCCTGGTGAGCATCGTCTCTATTTGCCTGAGCGCTCTCCCATCGATAGCCACACAGTCGACCACTGTGAGGGCAATTGCATGGTGCAGGAGCCCTTCCCTCATAGTGGAACGGTGCAATCCAATGTGGTACCTCAAAGTCGACTACGCCCGAGCCATTCAAGCCGTCCTTTCTCTTATTGTCGTCATCATTTTCGTGGTGATCATTCTGTCTAGTAACCGCCGCAGTGGGGTATTCTCTAACCCATCCTCCATCGCCACGATGGCTTCACTTCTCAGCAGCGAGAATTTTGCACGGTATCTGCAAAGAATTGACCAGAATTCAAGACCTTCGTCATTGAAAAGACTGCTCAGTCCTTACCGGTACATGTTGCGCCAACATCAGACCCCGACAGGTCATGTGAGGTATGGGATTGTAAGGGAATCTGGACAACCGGTGGAGCGCAGACAGCCGAACTATACTGCACTGGAGCATCCACGTGCGAGTGGGAGCAATGCAAAGCACCCCCGAAGTACGCTATTGAAGCCATTCCTGATCGACACCCTCTTCCTCCTTTGCATTCTAGCACTTCTCGGCGTGCTCGTTGGGTACTACATGGATGGAAAGAAGGATCCTTTCAACAACTATTTCAACCACAACCGAACAAGTCAACTTGTCCTCACAGCCGCTGCCAGTCTACTCGATATTCGGTGGAAACAGCTAGAGCGAGAAGTCCGACTCTTGACACCGTATCGCCGATTATTCCGCGGGTCTGCAAAGCCCGAGTCAACGATACTGGTGTCACAGAACTCCACGCCTCTGACAAGTATTTTCCAGGCGCTCGGGAGACGAAACTTCTTCCACGCCTTTGTGGCATTTGTGGCCATTCTGTCTGACGTTTTGATAATCGCCATTGGCGGCGTGCCATTCAACTCTGCACAGATCTGGCTGGATTTTCTTGTCAGTATATACACCAGTTGGGCTATACTGGCCTTGATGATACTTACCGTGATCGCGATCTTCCGCTGGCGCGCCTTAAACGCGAAAATGATGATGCCAAGTGAACCTACCCGACCCCTTACGGTGTGGCTTATGCTCTGCAACGAGGGCAATCAGCTTTGTGAAGAAATGAAAGGATATGAGACCATGGCTCCAAGGGAAAGGGATGAAAAGGTCAAGCTGAGAGGCGGACTGTATTGGGCTGGATGGCTCACACAGCCAGACGGCTCCCAGCGATGGTGTTTGGAGAAAGAGAGTGGCCAGGCGTCAGGGATGAACATGATGCATGGACATAACTAGTGATAATGACTAATTGTAATACCAGATGCTCTGGAATTCTGAGTCTCAATCTTGAGACCCCTCAGTCTTCGTTGAGTCAGCAGTTCACTATAGACCAGAAAATGTTGAGTCTGAGTGGTATCTGACGGAGGTTGTAGAGGGTAAATATACAGCTGCGAGAAATACGCTTGACACCGTGCCATCGGCTGTGAACGGCATAGAAACGAAGTATGCCTCGTACCTGCTCGCTGGCAAGTACTCAGCGTGTAGAATCCAAATCGGGTTAGACGAATCGGAGAATCAAAAGGGCGGCACTACATTCTTCCAAAATAGGACAAGTCGCTCGTCGCGTCCAGCGACGCGCCCTTGCTCTCACCCCCTCGACGAGAAAGAGCCTCAAGCGGGCACCATTATCGACGACGGCAACCACAGTCCACGATGCTGCAATCCCCGCCAAAGAGGCGAAAGCTCGATCCAAGTCTGTCACAAGGACACAGTGGCACCACCAATGTCGAGACCGGACAACCGACGACTCCCACCAGAGCATCCTACCTCTCCCCCACAAAAAGTTCCCTGGCACGCTCCCATCCCCATCTCATCAGGCGATCTACCCGTCGGCCAGTCACCGAACCGAGAGGAAGGCTCTTGAGAGACGAGATCTTAGGAAGACATGATCGCCTTCCCGAAATGCCCAAGACGGTATCCCAGGCTGATCGCCGGCAAAATCTCGACGCTCCCCTCGACCTGTTCCCCCTCAAGGGAAACGAAGCCCCATCGAATGAAGAACCAGCTGCGTTATCAAAGGAGTCTACAACCATAAAAGCTGAGCAGGTTACTGGAAACGAGCGTCCGGCGTTGAAGGAGCGCCAACCTACAGAACGCACATCGTGGGAAAGAACTGGTTCGAGCGAAGAGCCTGCTACGCCAGCAATCCTGCCCAAGCTGGTGACTAGGAAAGAAACGGATGCAAGGCCTGTTTTGCGAGGCGCTAGTGGGGAGCCTGAGTTACCTCCCACGCCTGTTGAACTGGGTCTCAGCCCTGCACCTGAACGGCCTCGTGGTCTGGCGTCGAGCAGTAGCCCAGGAGTTCAAAAATGAGCGGCAGATCGGGAGACTGAGAGCTGAATCGCGGGGACCCGTCACGAGCAGCCCCCTTAAACCCCGAGCCCCCCCAGCTGCCGACCCCTACGATGATGAAGATGGTGATGATGATGATGATGACGAGGACGAGGACATGTCTGATGACGTTCAAGAAGCTGCGGAGAGTGAGCTCGATGAGGCACACGGACACAACGAGGAAATTCCTAAACAGAGTGGAGAGCAAGTATCAACTCTGGAGTCGTTGAAAAGAACATTACAACAATTACAGAAAGAGAACGAGCGACTACAAGCAGCCGTTGATGACGATAATAATTTGAACGAGGAGACCGTTTCTATTCTACAGTCACTCCTCAAGGATGAGGCTACCCGAAGCTTGGGATACCCCGATGATGGCAGCGACATGTCCTCTCACTTAACGTTGTTCGCACCTGGTAACCTACAACTGACTGCTCGAACGGAAACCAAAGTAATCAAGGCCCGGACGAAGATTATCCACTTGCTAATTCTCGAAGCACCGTCTCCATGGCTTCCGGATGCTTTTTCTTGCGCCTTCGAAGTGGTTGTTGATGCCGAAAATGCCCAAGTCGAACATGTTGAGTTGAAGGAGGTAATGAGCAGAGCACGCCGTACGAAGAAGACGAAAATCGAGATCTTCAAGTGGGTTAATGATCGTTTGGAAAATCCTCTGCATCGACTTGATGTAGGTGGTCTGATCTGGGGAATAGGACGCTGGTTCAATGCTGCAGTGGAACGTGCTCGAGTATTCCAGTGGCTGGACATCAAGTACAACCGGCCCTCGTCCGACGAGGGACATCAGAACGAAGATGATCGAGACCAACAGTTGACTCGGGACAGAGCCATTGAACTAGCACGATACCTGGATATGACCCAGAATGCGGCAGTCGACGCTGAAATGACTGTTACCGCTGGCGGCAGGAACTTCCGAAAGAAAGTCATGCTCTCGTGGACGATTGATCTCGACTGGGCAGGTGGATCTGTTTCCTCAATCCAGGTTTCTGTCAGTGGAGTTCCGCAGAAAGCAGAGCCTGGATTGAGGACAATCTTCTCCAGCTTGATCCCAACTTTGGGCGTCAAGGGAGCATTTGAGAACATTTGGACGCTGATCCACGGCGACAGTGATGAGTTCAAATATGTTAGCGCGTTGAAGGGCAAGAAAAAGGGATGACGGATGGTGCCAGATGTGTCGAATCACGAATACACGAATTGATGAATGTTGCGAGATACCCTCTCCAGTACCCAGCAGGAGGCCCATTCTTGGTCAAGTGGTGGCATGGTTAGTAGTGTATATCAGAAGGACGAGACACACTAATCGAATGATTGAGATGAACCGCGCAGGGCCAGGAGCCGATGCCTGTTTGATTAGGGAGGCTTCATTGCATTTTTCTTTTTTTGGTTGATTTTCTATGCTGCTGTGCGCAGCCCTCCCTTCCCCCCCCTCCTTGGACCTGCAAGCCATGCAAAGGTTTTTCAGGAAAGGGTAGGAAAGAAAGACCTCGAACGTTTTGCTCCCGAATACTTCGACGCGCAGATAATGGGGGGAAAAAAAGGAGGAGGAGGACATGCTCTGCTCTGGTTTCACACACATATTTTTTTCTCCCCCTTGTCAGATGCCAGCCTCGCGGATGAATATCATGCTCTCTCTCTCTCTCTCTCTTTCTCCCCCTCCCGTTCCACTCACAATCTCTCTCCCCCACTACTGGCCCCCCCTTCAACAGTAAGCCCCATATCAAAAAGACCAGACCAAGTTTGCTCCCTATCCCCTGGTTGGAGAATTGATGCCCCTTGGCCGGCTCTCAACATTTGTGCGTATTCGTCATGTGGTCAACGGCGAGGAGGAGTGCACATGTCTCATAGTGTCATTGTCGTTGTGTGCGTGTGCATGTCGAGCATGTGTACGTGTGGTGACTTGTTTATTTCTTCTTGGCCTCCTCAGCCTCCTCCTTGGCCTTGGCTCGCTTCTCGCGCGCGCCGACGAAGCGGGCCTCGCTGCGCGCCTGTCTCAACTTCCGGTACGCGTCCTCCTCGCCCGCGGGCAGGTCACCCTTCTTGATCTCGTGGAAGCCGTACTTGAGGCCGACCCCGGAGTCGATGGCCATGACCGCCGCCACCGACGTCGCGATCTTGCCGTCCTTCTTCTCCGCCGACTCGCTCGCCATCTTCACGTCACTCTCGGCCGCGTCGAGCTTCTTGTGCTGGCCCGACTTGCGCGGGAACAGGATCAGTCGGGCCTTGTACGCCTTCAAGCGCGACACGTTGAGCGTGAGCGTCTCTTGGTTGGTGTCCGCGCGGCGGGCGTCGACGGCGATGCCGATCGTCGGGGCGAGCTTGCGGGGGATACCGGCTTCCTGTGACGGGTGCATGAAGTGTTAGTGAGATTCCTCCCGGTTGTAAGGCGTTTTGGGGGGTGTATAGGGATTGATGACAATTCAAGGGAGTTTTGGGGTTTCTCGCAGGACCACATTCGGTCAATCTGGCGTATGAGATATATGTCACTCCGTCCATCTCTTTCTCGCATTCCCTTATCTTTCATATTCATCTCCCCCGCATCTCCATGAACAGGCCCCAATTGGCATCCCAGTGGAAAAGGACAGGTGAGATGGACATAAAAATCGTACCTTCAATTCCATCAAGGTGAAACCCCGACCGGCCCTGGCGCGGCGGTTGTACTTGATCGTAGGACACCTCACGACAGGTCGGAGCTTGTCGACGGGTCTCGGGGCGACGGCAGCGGCTTTGGCCAGACGGTTGGCGCGGCGTCGAGACTTGCGGCCGGGCTGGTCAAAGTGCACGCGGACACGGCGCTGCCAGTCCTTGTGGAAGTGGTTGTTGGGTAGCTGCTGGTTGTGCTTGATCGCCATTGCTGCTGCGAGGGAATCACGACAGAACAAACGATTGAGGGATAAGAAAAGAAGAAGATTGAAAAGAGTAGGTCCCGGCACCGCACAAATCTGAGGTCGAACTTTTGGTGGAGTGTGAGACTGCAATTTCGAGGCTTGGCAGACACACATTTGGGCCAAGATTTGTGTAGTCATGTGACTTTTGCTGGCTGTCTTGAGATTAGCGCCATTCCATTCTCGCCTTTTGCCAGCCTCGCAGGACAACTCAGGTCCAAGTCACTAGGAATCATTACGACTTCGTACGGTTTGTGCAATTCATTCGGTTGGGCCCAAACGCTATGTGCCGAGGTTGGTACAGAAACCCTGATAAAGCTGAGCATATTCTGCATTGATAAGACTGAGCATGAGCTAGCTACCAGGCAAGAGGGTAGAGACATCCATCCGCCCGTCCTACTGTAACACTTCATTTCCAAGCCTCCAATCTCAACGCCAGATCCAAGAGGGTATCAGTACAAGCACGTCTCCAATCATCATTCATCCCGTCATCTGCTATCTTCCCCCTCAGTTTTGACTCCAAGATTCAATACCAAGCCCAACTCCTTGAGAAAGTTTTGCCTTCTTTGCCTTGATGTCAGTCTCTCCAAAACTCGCTCCCCGCTTCCTAAGCTGACCGGCTTTCTTAACGGGACCAAAGATCTTGCTTTGAAGTAGATTGCTTGAGCGTTCTGCGCCTTGAGACAGTCTCAAGCTCTCCTGGGAGCCCGGATTCCGTCGTAACATGTCGCTCGCCAATGAACTGGCCTGGGACTCGGGAATGCTATCATCGTTGTGGCCTTCTTCGGCATCAGATATGGAAATGGTGCTATCCCGGTCATGGCGTTCTCTTTCTGCTGACTCCATTACTAATTGAGAAGAGGGTGCGGAAAAGGGAACCATGGATGTTGGGTAGCCGTCGTGGGTCACAGGTCTCACGTGGACTGGCGTAGTCTGCAGTGAGGAGAGTGAATGAGCTCCGCGAGTGTGGCCATGCTTGAACTTGGAGGTGTGGGTTCTGGTGGGCGTCGAAGGGACGCTGGCACTCTGCTCACTAAGCACTTCACCAGCGGCAAGCAGGGCTGCAATGTTTGAATGGTTCGGTGCAGGTGCAGACTCCGGGAAGCGAGGCACGGGCTTCCGGTGAGGCGTGGTGAAGGTGTCGCGGGGCGTGGTATACGATGGCGACATACTTTTGAACCTGGTGAAGTGCTCTCTGTTCTCGCGAATACGCCTTTTAAGTAGAGCATTTTCCTCTTCGAGCAACTCATTCCGATCATTCTGCAACTCGACCAGCTTCTTCGCTCGTGCCAGTCGTTTCTCCACCTCATCACGCTCCTCTTCCATGGCCCGGCATGTTTTGGTCAACGCCTCGATCTGAGGTTGGGGTGGAGGGACTGAGTTTCGGGACTGCATTGAAACGCGCAGCCTGTATTCAGCGGTTTGAAGGACCTCAATTTCCCGGCGACTCATCTGTTGTTCAACCTCAGCCCGTTGCGCCGCCTGATCCGCCTCCATGGCTAGAAGACTGTGCTGCAATTTGAAATGAGCGGCCGAGGTTCGCGCTTCCCGAACTGCTGCGACTAATTCGGTGGCCATGCTTCGCAGTTCTTCGATGTCCGCCTTTGCGATCGCATCTGGGGTTGGCAAGGCGCCAAGCACATTGGATCTGAACGCAGTTGGTGGAGGTGAGGCAAGCAAGGCGTCGATGGGAGCAGCGCTGACGCGATTAATAGGAGACTGAAACCGAGGAGGCTGCGTCGATGGTGGTGGGGTCATCGAGGCTGACATTGGTGGAGGAGATGCATAGGAGGATTTGTTCATGCTGTCTGCTGAGCGAGTGCGCACGTAGGGAGGAGTGGCAGGAACCGTCGACTCATCCGCCGGGGACTGTGAATTCGCCATGTCGCTATCGATCTCAAATGGACGGCCAAAGTCTGGTGGCAGTGGGTTCCAAGTGTCCAAAATGCGCGATTGATGCGTTTCGCAGTCGTCGCCGTGCAAAAAGCCGTCAATTGGCAGCGATTATGGTAGCGACGAAGGTGGAGTACAGTTGAGCGGCCAAGCTCTTCCTCACTGTGCGCTCACTGTCAGATTGTCGGAGTGAGATATTGGATAAATGAAGGTCTGGATGAGAGAGTGAGACTGGGACTCAAAGCTGGGAGTTTGGGTAAAGACAGGAAGCTGCACAAGATGCAAGATGGTATTTGACAGAATTGAGAGAGATGGGGAGGGGAGGGCAAAGGGAAGAGAGGGACAGCAAGGGACGAGGCCAGAGGGGAGGCTGGGAAGAGGTTGAGGTTGAAGTTGGCGGTGGTGGTGGTGCTGGTGGTGGTGGTGACGGTGGAGTGGAGTTGGTGCCCGGAGGGCGCTGGAGCACGCTGGAGATGGTACAGTGCGCGTAAGAGGGTGGGTGGAGCGGAGCCCGTTCCAGGCTAGGCCCCTACCGTTTAGGCAGCACGGGCGCCGGGGTGTCACCTGGAGGCTTGAAAGTCGCGCCCACTACGGCTCAGACTCTAAATCGAGGCGCCTCACGCGTCAAATTGGCGTCGCCATGGCTTGGCACTAGCGCGGTCGTGTAGGACAACCACAAGCCAGCTTTTTCCTACTCCCCCCTGAGCCCATGTCAACATCCCAGAGTCCTTTTCTACAGGGTTCAGCACCCTCGAGCTGGCATTCACAGCTTCTGAGCTCTTCAGTATACCCAGCATTTGTCCCGGAGCAGAGGCAGATGATATTCCCGTTCGAATCCATGCCACAAGCAAAGCTCAAGTCACCGGTATCTCGTGTTTGAGAAAGCATGGACCACCACCACCCCCATGAGCATGGGTCCCATCTCCCCGTCCGTGGTACCATTCCACGGCTGTCCAAACTACCAATGCCACGTGCAGTGGCCTCAAGTGATAACCTGAAACTGTCTGCTCGCTCGTCGATGGTAGGAAACATTCACCACGATGAGTTGCGCAAGACGTCACATATTCCGCGTCCTCTCGGGGAGAATGTCAACCAGTCAATTCGCTCTCGATATGGTTGGCTGGATAGACCTGTCAACCCTAGGAGCGAGTCTCCCGTGAGAGACGCTCTTCACGATGTGCAAGTCACGGCCTTGGACACCACTCCCCCTGGATCCAACCACGATTCCCCGGTGTTCGAGACTGGTAACGAGAACTCAACTGCCTCAATGGCCGGCACAAAGGAAAAACACCGGACTCAGCAGATTTCCCCAACTCCTTCATCCATGGCACTTCGCCCAGATTCACCGACCAAAAGACCGTTTCGACCGCCGGGGAGGAACTCGCCAGCGAAGGACATGATGGCGCTTCCATCGGTCGTCTCGCCGGGCGAAATCTACACGCCTCCCAAAGCTTTTGTCAAAGGTCAGCGCTCGCGGATTGCAAAACCACTTCGGGATTCCAGGAGATCCGCTAGTTCAGCCTTTGATGTGACGTACAAGGAGTCTACTGGAGGACCGCCATCAAACCTTAAAGCGCAAACCCTGAAGCATAGGCCAACCTATGGCGACAGGGGAGCGATGTCGCCCACTCCAGCTTCAAAACAGTCTCTTTCGTCCCTTTTCAGGGACCCTTCTCCTACGCCCCGACCCTGTGGCAAGCTCGCGGTCTCCAACGTTGAGTCGCCGGCAGCACTTCTGAAGCCCCGGTCAAGAGGCGAGAACAGCCTCGCCCCGTCAACCCCTCCCTCCAAATCAGCAACCAAAGCGAAGAAGAAGGCTTCAGTTCAGCCAGATATTAGTGTTGTTGCGGCAGAAGAAGCTCAAGCAGCAAATACTGCCAAGTCTTCAGCGGCTCTACGAGAAACAATTGCAAAAGCAAAGGCTGCGAAAAGAAAAGCTCGTGAAAGCGCCGGGACAGCAAATGCACCGCTAGCTGGACCGCCTGGCTGGCCGTCGGATTTTGCAGAAGACGCCGTTTCTCTCGACGGCGACAACAAAGGACTCTTGCGGAAGCGTATCCAACAGGCCGTGACGTCAGGCCATCTGAATATCGCTGCAATGAAGTTGAAGCAGATACCTTCAGAAGTGATGAAGATGTATGAGCCGGAGAACAGCACGACAAATTGGGCGGAGATGGTGGACCTAATAAAAATCAACGCAGCAGACAACGAGTTAACGGATTTGGAGGACGAGATGTTTCCCGATTTTGCGGAATCGGACCTAACCGACGACGACGAGAGGAGATGTCAATTCGGTGGCCTCGAAACACTGGACTTGCGCCGAAATCGATTGCAGCAAATACCGACAGGGTTGCGACGGCTAGAAAGACTTCAGGTGTTGAATCTGAGCGGCAATAAACTTGACAACAAGGCTTTTGAGGTCATCGGCCAGATTCCTTACCTGAAGGAGCTTATTCTCGCAGACAATCTCGTCGAAGGCACGTTGGAACTGGGCGACTGCAAGCTCGAACATCTTCAAGTTTTAGACTTACACGGCAATAAAGTTGAGAGCTTTGGTGTAGCAGGTCTGTCCGTGCTCCAAAACTTGAAGGTCTTGAATATTGCTGGCAACAAGTTTTCAACACTCCCCTGGGACACTGTACCTACCTCAACTCTGACCGAACTCAATATCTCGCGAAACCGCGTTTCGGGCGTCCTCCTGTCAGACGCGCTCGCTTTCCCTGAGCTGCGTACCTTGGATGCATCGTTCAATGAGCTCCAGAGGCTTTTCAACAATGAAAGTGTCCCAGAGTTCCCCAACCTGCGGTCTCTTATTCTAAGTGGTAACAAGTTGATCGGCGTACCATCCTTGACGAAGTGCAAGCAGCTCTATACCTTGGACGTATCGGAGAATCAGGTGGAAGAGATTCCCTCGGAGTTTGCGCAGCTGGAGAATTTGAAGACTGCAGATTTTGGAAACAACAACATCCGACTCGTTGTGCCCGAGATCGCGATGATGATCAACTTGTCGAGCTTCAACGTTGTTGGAAACCCACTTCGCGAGAAGAAGTACCTCACGATGAACACTTCTGAGCTCAAGGCAGATCTCGAGAAGAAGCTTGAAATAGAGCAGTCTGAGAAATCTCCGCAAGAGCCGAGCGACAACCTCACCAACTCGGTTTCCAAAGGGGAGTACCGCTATACCCCTTCCAATGGGACCCTCGACCTCTCCTCACAGTCTATTGCTAGCCTCTCTGTGGGTGAGATCGACTTGTCTTCACCAATCCACACCCTCAAACTCTCCAACAACGAGCTTACATGCTTTCCGGTTGACCTCCTTTCACACCCGTCCCTCAAATACAGCCTCCAGTCCCTCGACCTCTCTCACAACCCTCAACTCCATCCCACAGAGTACCTGGCCAGCGAGCTCTTCCTCCCGAACCTGAAATCTCTCTACATCGTTTCCACGGGGCTCACTTCTCTCGACTCGCTCACCTCAAACCTCAAAGCCCCGGCGCTCACAGAGTTGAACATCTCGTGCCATCGTCTCGCTGGCCACGTGCCGTGGGTTCGCGCCTGGTGGCCGAACGTAAACACGCTGCTGGCGACAGATAACTGGTTCTCGTCTGTCGACGTCGAGGGCGTCCGTGGGTTAGAGGTGCTTGACATCAGAAATAACGAGATCGAGACTCTCCCACCAAAGCTGGGACTGTTGGGCAATCTCCCAGGCTCCAAGGAAAAGACCCCGGGGAGACTGAGGGTCCTGGAGGTCAGTGGAAACAGATTCCGCGTCCCGAGAATCACTGTGGTGGAGAAGGGCACGGAGGCTGTCCTGAAAGATCTGAGGAGGATGGTCAGGGAGGAGGAGCTGACCGACGAATGGAGAGATGTGATATGATCTTGGCTTGGATCTCGTTTACTGCTGTTCAGCGTGTGCGCGTCTCCTTCCTGGCCCTTCCCTTTCATCGTCGATGTCCCCGTCAACTCTCGAATCCCCTTGTTTCCCGCGTTCAAGCCTTGCAGTGTCTCACGCATACACACATACACGGCACGTTTTTGTTTTTTTTAATGGTCACGGTACGATGGATGGGTTTGCGCCACATGTTCGCTGAAAAGGAGAGAGAGTTGTTGTATATTCATTTATTCTTACCCCACCCCCCCCCCTCTCCTTGCACAGCCACGTTCTCAAAAATTCATTCTGGTTTTCGTCTTCTTGGACAGCGTCGGACTCGGGCGAAGGAGATGGTTGTGTGCCCCTCTGACGGTCCGGTCTGGTCGGTCGTGTCACCACCGCCATGTGCTACGTGGACATGTTTGGACACGGACACGGACACGGAGATGGACCGATGCACATTGGGACATGTTGATGTATATATGTATGTGTGTATGTATCTTCCTTCTCCCACCTTCTTCTTGTACATAGATAGATAGACAGACAGACCGGCATCATTCGGCCTTTTGGGGCGGGGGGTGGAGTGGCAGGCATTGCATGGCATGAGATGGCATAGCGGAGCAGACAGGGACCGGGGTAATTTAATTGTTGCGAATTCCAATTGCACATATTATTTATTCATCGCTTCATCGATTCGTCGAGTCCAACTCTTGTCGTCGTCCTACCGTTCTAATTAGAGATCTCTCCCAACGATATTCCTTCTTCTCCGTTTTGAGGGAGCGGATGGATGGATCGATGGAGTTCGGTTGGTTGAACAGACAGACAGACAGACAGACAGACAGACAGACTTCAGTTCATGCATGTATGCATGCGTTTATGTGCCTTGCTTTTCCCTGCGGCAGATAGAGCATTGTCACAGGAGATAGACAGACGGAAGTCAACAGCAGTGACTCTCCCCCACAGGCTGGCTGGCTGGCTGTCATCGAGCTACTTACATACATACAAACATACATACATTTCGCGAGAGCCATCTTCGAGGTTTCATGAGGTAGGAGCCTTCGGGGCCACTCACTACTCCCCCGTGTCCACCGGCCTTTCTAGGAGTCTGCTGCAGGACTTCAGGGCCAAAATATGTCGTGAGGCAGCTCTCGTCCCGTTCACCATGGCTGTTCGACCTGTTTGCTATTATGCTTTTGGTACGCCACCGCGATCACATCCAGGCTGCGCATCGATCCATCGTGGCATCGAATCAATCGCGGCATACATGTCTTCATGATTCCGTCCATGGCCCCAATTTGCCTCACCTCTTGCCCGTCGAAAGGGCAGACCATTGCGTACCTTCTTTCTTTCAGGGCAGATTCGACGTCCGTCCTCTGTATATGTATGTGTATGTGTGTGTTTCAAATCTTGAAGACTCCGGATTTGCTCTTTATGCCGTCAAAAACACAAGTCCCATCGACAGGGACATACTGCCTCGTGAGGAGCTTAATGGCCTCCTGCGCGACCATGCCTCCTACGATACTGGAAATGTTATGCAATTCGCCGCCATCGGCGCGCTCGGCTTCCATGATGGCCTTGGTAATATTCTCTTGGGTTTCGGGGTCGGATAACGTCAAAGTCACATCGCGGAGCATGTCTGGCGGGAAGATTCGACTGTTGAGAGCAATGAAGACAGGAAACAGGGATTCCCAATCATTTTCGATAGTGGATGTTAAACGAGATGAGAGTTTGGGATCCGGTAGCATCAGGCGGAGTGAAGGCAGAGCTTCTTTAGCAGGGTTCGTCAAAACGCGAACGTGGGAGGCGTTTTTGCAAAAGGCTTCGATCTCCGAGTCTGGCACCTGGGAAGCCGTCCGTGAAAGGGACGCCTCAATTTCTCGAACCAGCTTGGTCACTTCGGCCACATCAGCTCGCGCTTTGGCCTTGTAAATGGTCTGAAGCTTGACGTAATCTGCGCTGGTGGCTTTCATGTCTGGCAGAGTTCCCGGTAGCGGTAGAACGCCATGAGCATCATAGAACTTTTTGATGGCGTTTGCGACCACCCAGAAGTTTGCCGAGTCTGCGGTCAGGTTGGTGCAGGAAGGCATAGACATCATCTCCTTGCACCCACTGCCTATCGGTGGTGGAGCGATACCCTTGAGCACCGCCGCACCAGCTTCGTCAAAATTCTCTTCGCCACCTTCGGGATTGTTTGTTCTTGCGCCCGATTTCACCAACTCTCGAAACTCGGTCTTTTCCTTGAAGGAGGAGGGGTACTTGTCATCGTGATCGAGCCGCCATCGTCGAAGGTAGTGCAGGAGAATGAGTATGTTTGGGATATGGCCGTGATCGTGATCTGAGAGCGATGACAGGTCCCCCAGAGAATCGACTTCAGCGTCTAGTTCAGGCCAGGGTGCCAGCAGACGGAGGTCTTGGGTGCTCTCCGGATCAGGGTGAGTATCCACAATGGGGAATTCGGACGGCAGTTGGATCGAGAAAGAACCAAAGAATCCGGCTGATTGGACATAGATGACGGGTATCGAGTTCTCTAACGCATACGTACATATTCTCTCGAGAGGTTCCTGAGACACTGGAGCGCAGAGGAGGATCAGATTGTACGGCTTGAGGGAGCCTTGCGCAGAGAGCCAATCCATCAAGGGAGCCGAAATTGCGTGACCGGTCACATCGGGGTTTAGTTCTTGTAGCAGCCGTCTCATCTCGTCTGCTCTTGATTTGTGAAGGCCGTCCGACTCCAGGAAGAAGTTGATCCCGAGATCTCTTTCAGTCACCGACGCTGAATCTGCAATCGTGAAGCTGCCCACGCTCGGAAGGATGAGGTTCTTCAGGGCTTCGGCACCAGCAACGCTGCTGTTGGAGCCAAAGCCCTCGTCGCCCACAATTAAGAGGACGTGGGACTCCTCCAGAGCGCGTTGCCCAGAGGCCGCCCATAATCTCAATTGGCGGTCGTATTTCCGTTCTTTGGCCGTGGGTGGTTGCAGGGGAGGCGGGGTGACTTCACGGGGAGCGATCTCCGTCATGATTGCGGTGGTCTGGCTGCGATGAAAGACCTCGACATCCCCAAGAAGCTGGCTGTTGGGTTCTTTACAGTAGTTGTCAGTAATCAAAGACGTGGGTGCGTACTGAACTGAACAGGCACACAGGCACGAACTGCCTGCGCCCTGAGGGGAATTCCTGGCCGATCTTCGGGGAAACTCAGCCGACCGACGTCACCGGAACCGCCCTAGCGCGAAGTGGCTAGTGAGATGTGGCTGTGGTGGCTGTGGTGGCTAGTGTGGCTAACACGTGTTGTTGAGCAGCATACTGTATGTATTATTCTGCCCCCACCACAGCATGTCCCCCCGCTGTGTGTATCTCAACTTGCTCCTTCACTGGTTGCAAGCTTCACTCCAATCTCTTCTGATCATTCAGGGTCCCCCGGTCTCTACTCCAATTGCGGCATCGGCGGCGATGTCTTTGTTGAGATAAGTCATCTGTCGTCGCGTACGTAATCCAGCTAGACGTTTCCGATTTCTGCGTTTTCAAAGAACAACAACTTATCCTTTTTTATGGTTGCAACCTGTGAGTTGACCAGAACCCCCCTCCCCTACCATTTATTCCGCTGATTTCCTGTAGATAGACACCTTAGAACCCTTTCCCTTATACTACGCGATAGACCCTACCGCATTGCCCAGCTCCATAACCCGACAGCTGTTTGCAGCTCCCACCAAAAATACTTCCACCGAACCCACAGCTCCGCCAAGGGAACCATGGCCGCTGAGATTGAAGCCGCCAAAAAGGCAGCCGCCCTTGAAGCTGTGAAGAACCACTTCCCCTCCAATCCGCGCTTCGTGGGAATTGGCTCCGGCACGACCATCGTCTACGTGGTGGAAGCGATCAAAACCTGCGGCGTGGACGTCTCAAGAGTCGGCTTTGTACCAACAGGATACCAGTCCAAACAGCTTATCATAAATGCGGGCTTGGTTCCGATTGAATTCGATGCTCTGCCAGACGATGCCATGATCGATATTAATTTCGACGGGGCAGACGAGGTGGACGACGAGTTGAACTGCATCAAGGGTGGAGGTGCTTGTCTGTATCAGGAGAAACTGGTCGCTATGAGGTCAAAACAATTTGTTTGTGTCGCTGGTATGTCGGTCCTCTCGCCCCTGTCCTGGAGAGGGTAATCTTCCTAATCCGCCGCAGACTATCGCAAGCTCCAGCGCCGCTTAGTTACCAAATGGCCGACCATTCCCATAGAGGTCGAACCAAAGGCCGCCCGGCAGGTCATGAAGAGACTACGAATGCTCGGTAGTCGCAACGCATTAGGCGCAGGTCCGATGATCAGAGAGGGCCACCTCGCGAAAGCCGGCCCGGTCAAGACGGATCAAGACTTCTTCATCGTCGACGCTCCTTTCCCTCATCCACTCCTGATCGCCGACGACCTCACACCCGAGATGCCGGGCGACGGGGAGAATGGATTTTGGGAGGTGGAACAGCTCGCTCGAGCCATCAAGGACATCAATGGGGTGCTTGCCGTGGGCCTTTTCTGTGGTCCTACCGGTCCTGAGGCTCTGGCGGCGGGGGTCATCGGCGGCCAGAGGCCCATCGCCTGTTATTTTGGCATGGCCGACGGCAGCGTGTCGGTGCGAACAGCTCGACATAAGCGGGACTCCATTATCGCCAAATACCCGCCGTTAGTCCCTGTGCATAGCTCTGAGCCCGACGTTGTGGCGCCAGCACCTTAATATAGGCGTGGTCGGTAGCGGAGGCCATGTCGTGAATATTGGTCATCACAACTCATTTTGCTTTCCTCTTGACCTCATTCTCGCCGAGCTCGCGAAGGAAGATCCCGATAGACCCATCCGCGAGTTCGTCTTTGCCATCTTCAAACCCTGGGCTGATTGCCGTAGCCAGATACTTCCCATTCGAACTGAACGAGAGGGCGGCGACACTCGAGGCGAGCTTGGGGTAGATACGGATTCTTCTTTTTGCAACAGCGTCCCAGATCGCCACCACCCCGTCACCGCCTCCGGTCGCAAAGGTGCCATGGATAGGATGGAACGCGATGGCATTGACCGGGTAAACGACATCCACGTCATCGATCGGTTGCCGATGGCATTTGAATGCGTACTTGCGGGCCTGTGAATCGTTGGACGGGTCAAACCACTCCACTGCCACTCGACCTTCGATACTGGACGAGGCGTAACCTTCATCGTTGGGCATGCAGTCGACTGCCCTGGTCATGAACTTCAGACTGCTCTCTCTCCTCTGCCACGGCTCGATGTCGAGTCTGTTCTGTAATGAATTGGCGGAACTCCGGCATTCGCTCGCGAGGGTCTTCAGCTCGTAAATGTGGACTGCTCGGTTGGCCATGGCGACCACCAATTTCGAGGACGAGACGGCCAGAGAGAATGGTTTCGACGGCAGGTTGATCGTCGCGGTTGACCACCCTGCATCGTCACCGGGATGGATGTGCACCGTCGAGTCCCATGCCGCCGAGATGACCAGTGAATGCTCCTTGCTGTAGACGACTGAGCGAACTCCATTGTCGTGTGTGCTCAAGACGGTCTGCGTCCCGGAGGGCACGTCGATTCTGCAAAGAGTATACAGTCAATTTCCCTCATGCTCCACAGTTTAGTCAGTCCCAAGTTCTGTGCGCACCTTCTCACGTCCCAGTCCAAACATGCCGTGTAGATTTCATCGTCACTCCTCCCAAAACACACATCCAGCACGGGTGCGCGGTGCTCGAATTTGGCGACTTGGGCACACGTTTTGCCTTCGGCGAGTTCGTAGACGTAGGCGTGCTTGTCCCACGAGGCCACGGCGAAGCGCCGAGAGTTCGGATGGGGAGAGAATCGAAGAGCTGAAATTGCGTCGGCAGGGAGGTCGGAGACGGGGAATTGACCTGTCGGAGGGAAGGGAATCAGCAAACACATAAATCAACCAGGGACGCAATGAGGCACGCACTTGACATATTGAGGATTACCTATCTGTTCTGTATGTAAATAGCAACTCTTCTGGTGTTTGGCGCTGATGCGACAGACGGTGGATTTTTGTCAGGCGCGAGAGAGAAAGCAAAACAAATCATAGAGTAATTCTGCCGCCCATCACCGCCCTCGGTACCTGCAGCCAGCCTTGCCCCGCACCAAGTCCAGCCTCGTTACCATCATCCATCCTTATTGCCCTCTGCTTTCATCGACTGACTACAAGCACGACAGCTACTGACGGTCGATGAGCTGCTAATACCATAGTACGTCCCGACGGATGCATTGACCAACAGCTCAGATGTTCACACAAAGACCGAGGCCGTTACCCAACGACGATAGATCTGTAGGTCCCCCTGAGAGAAGTCGGTGCGAGAAATGGATCAATCAGTCAAGATCAAGGTGCAATGCAAACGGGGACGAGCCCAAGCTTGACAAATCAATCAACTTTTTCCCACATATTCAAGCGATATTGAACTCGTCCGCGGTTCCCCCCATCATCATCTTCCTGTTCATCCGGATCTTCTCCCTCATTTTCCGCGCCGCTTCGTCGGCATCGCCGGTATGGTCCATGTCGACATCGGCATCGCGTGTCCTCGCCCGTTCGCCGTTCCTCTCTCCATCGCTGCGACCATGCCGCATTCCACCGCCGTCACTGGCGCTGCGTCCCCTTTTCGACCCAGCCTTCTTGTTCCGCCCCACCCCCATCCCGCTCGGCGTTTCTCTCAAGCCGAAACTCTTGCAAAGATGGCCCAGGTGCAGCTCCTTGATATCGAACCACTTTCTCTCGCTGGCGATGTGCGTCGCGTAAGCCCTCACATGGCTTTGGAACGCTTTCTTGCCCAGGTCTTTGTTCTGCGGGGAGGACAAGATGAAGCGCTCGAGCGAGAGCTGAAGGTCCGTGGCGCGAGATTGCCAATCTGCGCCCTTCTCGCTCTTGTGGGTTGTGTTTTTGGTCGGGATAACGCCGCTGAGCGGTGTGAATCCCTTCTTGAGCACCTCCTCGGCGGACATGGAAGTGACATTCGCCACGGTGTCGGATCCCGTCTTGTACGAGCTTTTCAATACCGAGACGTAGCCTTCTTCCTTGCCCGGCAGGAGAAAAATGATGGCCCTGCCATCACGTCCCAGACGAGCGGTGCGTCCTATCCGATGCAAATGGTCTTCAGCGCTGAATGCCGGGTCGTATTCAATCACAAGATCAAGATTGGGTAGGTCGAGGCCGCGAGAGGCCACGTCCGTGGCAATCAATAGAGATGGCGCTGTTGTGCCGGCAAAGCGTTTGACGATGTTGGTGCGCGTGATCTGAGGGAGAGATCCATGCAGTTTGTAAAGTGTAACTTGGTTATGCGAAGATGAGAAGGTAGGAGACGGTAAGACCGAGTCGGAGACGGATGGGTCACTCGTCGAGGTTGGCGACGGTTTCCCAGCTTCAAGATCTTGTGTTTCAGAGTCTCCCTCAGGAGTTTCACGGCTTGGTCCCTTATCCTCTGAAGAATCTCCTCCCTCGAATGCGGTCGTGAATGCCTTGAAGTGGAATTCGACCGAATCCGCACAAGAGACAAAAACAATGGCCTTCATGACTGATCCCTTGCGTGCAAAAGTTCGCTTCAGCAATGCCGTAAGCGTCACAAACCTGAGTTTTGCCGCCGCGATGATATAGGACTGCTTGAGCTGGGCGGGAGCCAGGAATGCGGAATCCCTTGTGACATTGCCATTTGCCGTCGCGTCGCCGGCGCCCTCTCCCTGTCCTGGTTCGTCGCTGTCTCCGGAGTCACCCTTAATCAGGACGGCATCTTTCAGACTGATCTCCCCCAGCTTCTGTACGTTCATCTTCAGCGTCGCCGAACAAAGCACCGTTGTTCGCTTTTCGGGCAGACCCGGCCACTTGCTGCTGCCCCTCGGCCTCTTTTTCTGGTCCAAAGTCTTCACAATCTTCGTGATGTCCTCTTCGAACCCCAGATCCACCAACCGATCCCCCTCATCCAGGACCAGCCAGCGGACGTTACTCACATCGAGCGCCTTCGTATTTTCCAGGTGGTCTACCAATCGACCAGGCGTCGCCACCAGGATGTTCAGACCCTTTCGCATGCGGGCTTTCTCGGATTTCTTCTTTTCGCCACCAATTACATGGCCGGCGACGATATAGTGCGCACAACCAAGCAAGCGCTCAAGAACCACAGAGATTTGTTTGCACAGCTCGCGGGTCGGGGCCAGAATGATGGCGAATAGACCTGAGTCGCGGTGCAACGCCAAGGAATCTTGTGTGTGAGTTTCGTGCTTTTCGGCGACCTGTTCTGACATGGTCATGATTCGCTGCACCAGAGGGAGTAGATACGCCAGCGTCTTCCCGGAGCCGGTCTCCGACTGTATGAATGCGTCGCTGTCGTCCTTCAACATTTGCGAAACCGCTGCCTTCTGAATCGCCGTCGGGTTTTTGAGGTTCATCTTGGTCAAAAGGTGCGTGGCTATGGTAGGGGAAAGCCCAAGAGAGGTAAAGGTGTCGATGCCGTCGATCAAAGGGGCGTTAGAAGGCACCGTCGGCTTCCCTTCTTCCTTGTCCTCCTTGGGCTCCTCCACAGCGGTCGATGGCTTCGGGTTGTAGGTGAAGAGCGAAGAAATGACCTCGCGAGGGCCTGCTATCGGTGGCCTCTGCTCATGACTTCGTTTCTGCGGGCCATGTTGAACTTGTGTTGAGTCGGGCACATGTCCATTTTCACGTCTCCTCTTGGCCGGTCGAGTGACTGGGAATTCACCGGATTGACTCCCGTGCGTATGTGTATTTCTTCGGCCCTCAAAGCGGTCTTGGTCTATAGGGACCGTGTTTGCATCGTGTCTTCTCTGCTGGCTTCCGCCTCTTTCCCCTCTCTGCGCCGACCTCTTCGCTCTCAGTCGGTCTCTCCACGACCCACCTCTGAACTTCTGAGTCTTATTGGCAACGGCAGAGACAAGGTTCTCGTCGACGGAGAAGTTCAAAAACATGCCATCGTCGGCCATGTTTTCATCGGTGCACGTCTGGAGAACGCAGACATTGCAGACCGACAGACCTCGAATCTTTATTTTTTCCGTGGCTAACCAAGGGCGGAGAAACACCACCTCCGATTGGCTAAATTTTGTTTGGCCTCGTTCGGCGTCGGTCAAAGCAAGATGCGGAGCTCGAGTCGCTTCGTCGCTTCACTTCTACGCTGCACATTGTATCATGAGCATCTTGACTCGCCTCCAAGCGACGGCGGTGAGCCCAAGAGTGTCAAAATGAGGCTGCTGTCTCTGCTACCTCGGAACCAAACTTCTTTTCATCGACCTCACATCAACACCTCCCCCGCTCGAGCTGGCAGCTATGGATAGACTCGTGTTGAGGTCTGCTGCGTTTCGAACTGGGATAGCGACGAGATCACCATGGCAGCGACGAACATCCCCCTTGGTGTCTCTGCAATTCTCACACAGAGTACGATGGACCTCCACCTCCGGTCCACCTGCCTCCCCTTTCCCTGTCTTCCGACACGTGAACCAACTCCGCGCCGTGCGCAGGAAGCTCCTCCTGCAAGGAAGGACGGTGGGCTTCGTCCCAACGATGGGGGCCCTCCATGAGGGCCACCTCTCCCTCGTACGCCACGCCCTCCAAGAAAATACCGACGTCTTCATTTCTATCTTCGTCAATCCTACCCAGTTTGCCGCGCACGAGGATCTCGATTCCTACCCGGTCACTTGGAACGAGGACATGCAAAAGCTGCAACGGCTGCAGGAGGAACACATGGCGACTGTTGGCCAGTCGCAGAGACCCGGGGCGATACGAGGGGTCTTCGCGCCCACCGTCAAGACCATGTATCCTACGCTCCCGCCTACTTCAGACATCGCCGGCCCTGGCTCCTTTGTCACAATCACACCCCTTGGGTCGCAACTCGAGGGAGCGTCGCGGCCGATATTCTTCCGGGGCGTCGCGACAGTCTGCACCAAGTTGTTCAATATTGTCCAAGCTGACCGCGTCTATTTTGGCCAGAAGGATATTCAGCAATCTGTCCTCATCAAACGTATGGTCAAGGACTTCCACATTCCTACCGAAGTTCGCGTCGTGCCCACAGAGAGAGAACCGGACGGACTGGCCATGAGTAGCCGTAATGTCTATCTTGGTGCTCGTCGAAGAGAGGATGCTACGGTCCTGTCCAGGGCTCTTTTTGCAGTGCGTGACCTTTATAACGAGGGTTTATTGGATGTCAGACGCCTGCGTCGAGCCGCGTTCAACGTTTTCGAGGAGGATGCCGCACGAGTCAGAAGTGATGGCCGAGTGGGGCCCAGCGGTCGGCTTGAGATCGACTATATTGCGATGAGCCATCCAGACACAATGGGAACCATTATGGACGACGAGAAACTCAATCCACGCATCGGCGCCATCGTCAGCGCCGCCATGATAGTCTCCCCGGTCGACAAGCCAAAAACCCAAGAGGAGCTGAACCAGCGGAGCGTCAGACTTATCGACAATGTGATCCTCGAACCCCGTGTAAACAGGAAAGAGCGAAAGCACCTCAGACAGCACGCTGCGAATCCGGGGAAGTTTCGTAAAGTCCCACAACTGAGCATTCGGAAGGTCGTTCAGGGGACATCGGAGGAACCGAAGCCAGAGGGACAGGCCCATGCTTTGGAAGCAATAAAAGTCGAAGAGTCGAAGCAATAAAGCACAGAGTGGGGGAATTCGTGTATCGAGGATGCGCTTGGCAGGGCAAAATAGCCCTTGTCAGTAGATATCCCACAATGAGATTTTGCCATCTTTGCCGCCAGCGCCTAGCCAATGTGTGCGTCGGGCGTTTTCTTCCCGTTGTTGCTTTATCATGTCAAGAGCACTCATGGGCTGTGAGATATCCTTTGTCGTAGAAATGCTCGATAGGGCTGCATTCCCATCAAGACTAGCTGACGAAGGAGGAACACCGTCCACAACACCCGCATCAGGAGCCACGGTAGGATCAATGGATGCGAAAGCCGTGGAATAGCAACCCACTTTGTGCCACTTCAACACTGCCAATTCTTTCATCGTCTTGCACGAATACACGCGCACGCGCCCGTCCCAGCCCGCAGTGGCGAAGATCTTGCCGTCGGACCGGACGCTGAGGCCCTGCTGGCCGGAATGCTTCGTGTTGAGGGACTTTTCGCTTTTCAGATCTTTTGACCCGTCGTCAGCGTCGACGAGGGAAGGGATGCAGAATTTGGAGATTAGAGAATCGGCGCTGGACGAGAGGAAATGCGTCTTGCAGGGCAGCATGGCGAGTGACAGGATGGGTTGCGTGTGTGCTTTGCAGCTGGCGACTTTCTGCCACCGACCGGATCCGTCTGGGTTACTGAGATCTCCTGCGTGAGTGAGCACCGTAATTCGTCCGTCCTCATAGCCCGCGACAAGGACGAGTTGTGATGCTGTCTCGGTTGTCTGGTGGAAGAGACAGACGGCCATCACCATTCCCGTGGGGTTGTTCTTGTCTGACCTGATCTGCGATATCCGTCTCTCTGATGGAAGTTGGAAGATGTCAATGCCCCCTGAGTCGAGGCCGTTCGGCGAGGCAATGAGTTGAGCGGCAACTGCTCCGCTTGCAGGTCGCCGTGGATCCTGATCGCACATGGAGAAGGCGCAGAAATTGAGGGCATTGACCGACATGGAATGGAGTAGCCACGGATGCGGATGGTCTGATGCTGCTGCTGCTGTTGAGCTATCCGAGTCGGCTGGCAACTTCGTACGTAGACCGACAAGGTCTTCGTGTCGAAGTTGCCAGACGCGGAGTTTATGGTCCCTTCCATGGCTTTTGATGCCACGGGCTATCGTCTCAGTTGGGTCTTCTCGTCGTGGAGAACATCAAGACTCAAGATTTGATATTTCAACTCACCTGACAAGTCTGGCCGTCGTCCAATGTTTGATTTGTAGGACTCCTGCCTCGTGCGCCTTCCACACCGCCACAGGTCGTTTGGACGAGAGACTCCATATAACCATCCAGCCATCGCTGTCTGCGGACGCAAGAAGTGCGTTGTTGGCGTAGAAGTGAAGGGCATGGATCGCGGCTTCGTGACCACGCAGTATGTACGCAGGGACTGGGGGTCCAGGCTCCATGGTGTGTGTGATGTCGTTTCGTTCAGTTTGGCATGTCTGGACACTTTCGAGATACAGAGCTTAGTTTGATATGGGCTGCATGGTGATAGGGCACGAAGGTTGCCACATTGAACGCCAAAGAGAAGGTGCGGTGTTGTGGAAGCACAACTTGATGCCAAAGGACGGAGCACTCAAATTGACATGGTCTGACGAAAGATGTGTTCCTTGGCAACATTGCGAGACCCTGGGGTATCAAGTCGAGAGTTGCCTTCATTACCAATGGAAGCTATATTCAGTTTGGAGTTGGAGCTCCTCAGTACTGCTTGCACAGAGAGCCCTGGATTATCAGTGGGTCTTTGCAGACTGCTCGGAATGTTTACACATTGTATGATCTTGTCAGACTTTCGTAAAATGCGTACCGCCTGAGCGCGGAATTCCTACTGTCTCTGATGCTTGAGAACCCTCAACAATCGCAAAAGCCAACAAATGCGAAGCTGCTGCATTTTGCGGTCAAACAGTACAATTGCAACAACAACAAGCTATCTCTCAAGAGCTGCTAATACCTCTGTGATAAATGAATTCCAACTAATAATCTTCATCCTGAGTGGTCAACTTCGCCAGGAGACACCCACCCGTGACTTATTCTAGTTTAGGGTGGACGGTCTGACCAGTCATACACAACCAATCTCTATATATGATCATTGGCCAGTCCCTCTCTCATACCAAAAACGGAAATCTGGCCTTTTTCCCAACACCAACACCAAAATCCCTTCTTCTTCTACCACAAAAAATCACCAAAATGTCACCCAAAAAAAATCATATGTTGGTTTGGAATTTGCTTGCTCTATAAGAATCATTAGAAGTCTTGAATTTTCAGCGGATAAGAGTTGGACTTACGCAGGAATCGAACCTGCGATCTTCTCATTGGCTAGATGTAAAATCTACGAGTGAGACGCTGTACCACTTAGCCAAGCAAGCTGCGTGTGTGTGCACAATTCGACGAAAAAATGGTGGTTGCAGATTATAAACACAAAAATAAATTGGCGGAACAGACGGGGTAAATGTTGGAGAAGAGCATTCTGATTACAAACGATGATTCCCATCCCGAGAACGAGAAAGGCTGGGTGTTTGGACCTCTGGACGGCCAATAAGCACACGTTGTTTACAAGCAGAATTCGGGCGAAATCGCTGCGGAGTTCGGGTATACTACGGAGTGTGCCGCGTTCGCTTGGAAACCATGTGGCTTTCAGCTGCAAAGGCGTTTCAGGAATCATGATGCGCGCTGAAGGGAGTGGGCGAAGCCCAAGACTTCAGCGCATCTACGGGTGTTATTGGCAGCTAGACGTGACCCAGCACCCGCTATCAACAATACAGAATCCACAGAGCAATCACCTGTCTTCACGTAAAAGGGAGTCTCAAAAGTTTGGAGTCCACCAAAACAATCACTCGGGACGGTCAGGCCCCTGGTCTCTGCATTCCTACAGGCCGCGTGGAGAAAAACCGTTCCTGGGATGTCGATGCGATGTGACCCGGCCGTCTGGTTGAGGCTGCCACGTTTTTTGCTAAAGATCACGCTACGAAGACGGGTGGAAGTGATGAACGAACCTTGCCGGGGGTGATTTCATGCATGAGGCGATTTGTTCTGGAAGCGAAGGCCATGGGGCCGTGAAATAATCTTGCATGCAGGGACTGAGTCGACTTGAAGCGACAGAGTTTGAGCTGTGCAGGGGCTGTGGTGAAACTCCATCCGAGAGGGGGTGGGCGAGACTCACACGAGCACAGATTGCGGCAGAAGAGGGAAGCAAGGGCACATTTCTTCTGACCAGGGACGCCTTGACGTGTGGGCGCCTGAGGAATCGATTCTATCCCCAAATTGAGCAGCTTAAGGCTGGCGGGATAGGCCACGTACCTTATATTTTTGGGCGTCAGACTAGTTGTTTTGTGCAGCGTGCGTTGCAAAGTTTCAGGAGTGGCGAGGACAAGACATTCAACCACGCTGCGTCTCAGCTCAGCCAGCGGGAGACTGAGCCACATCACTCGCATGAAAACTCACTATGTCGCACTATTGCCACGTGGAAGCAGACGTCACCAGCCACAGTTAGTCTCGATCGGGCCAGCAATCACGTCGAAGCGAGCTCACTTTCGGCTGGCCTGAAGGATCCGGCAGTGCCAAGGGAGGTGCCTGTTCGGGCACCCCGAGGGAAGGGTCAGCCGGAGGGGTCGCCCGGAAAGGAAGATATACGCAGACGAGGTGGCCGAATTAGGCAACTAGAAAGCCACAAGCACATGAATCGAGACTCTAGGCCTTGGGGACCTTCGTAACCTGCTCAGCAAAAGGCCAATGGAGGGCACCACAGGGGTTGTCGGGTTGGGAGGGAGGGGGAGGCGGGAGAGGGGAAGGGGAGTGGTCGGATGAGGGCAAGTTCGTCGAAGGCAAGTGAACATCCCCGGGCCGCCAAGTGCATGCTGAGGGCAAAAAGTTTCTTTGGGGGACAGAGACTACGAGTTACCATGGGTTGGAGGCAGAGACGAGGACGAATCCGGATAACGCTTTATGTGTTATGGAGTACCCAAGAACAAGCTGGAAGCAAGGCAAGGCGCCTGCAGATTGGTCGCAAAAACCGATCTCCGGAACCCTGAGGAAGCTGCAGCGACCGGAAGCGACGCAGAAACTCATAGGCTGATGAGTCTTGACCTCGGAGTCTTTGGCCGGGGTTGTGGGATGAAAACAGTAAAGGAAGCGAATGAAGCCCGAAAGGCAGGGGTGTATTCGCCGAGTTGGGCCTCGACAGAGGAGGGCGACCCAAACAGGTACCACGCGGTCATCCCAAATCAGATTCATCAGACCTCAGGCAACGCAGTGGTCGAGAACGGTCTGAGGGATTGAACGAGCACATACCCATTTTTGCGAGCGACAAGGGACAAGCATTTTGATAGATTGGGCGCATTGACTACTGGGTAAGGGGGAGATGAGCGAGATCTCGGTGGGAGGAGGTACAGTAACAAGTCGGAGGAAGTGGAGGAGGAGGTGGAGGTGGAGAGGTTAGCGAAGGGATGATGTTATCGATGAAGGGTGATGATGGTGATGATATTTGCTTGACTGACATCGTATGGGGCTAACCAAGGGTACCTGAAAAGGGAGAAGTATACCTTGGAGGACTCGTATTACTCGGAGTTGTCAATCACTTCCCATCACCTCTTAGTTGAAGCCAAACCAGGGAACCAACAGAAATACAAATCATCCATGGTGGTCACCCAGAAACACCGATCTGCCCTCAGGTTTGTCAAATTTCAAACTCACTCTGGTGACTGTTGCCCAGATGGTGACGACGTGATGTCTGTTCAGCTGTCAACAAACACCAGGCTGGGGCAGCTGGATGTTCCCCCTGGGCTGCTGTGGTCCAGCATCCAGCATCTGCCCCTGTAGCGTGAAGGATTTCAGGACAGTGGCCGCCCATAAGGCCTGAAACTACCACTCAACCTACCTAGAAAGATCACTGAGGGGGGCAGTAGGCTCCCCCTCGTGGGCTTTAGGTACCCAGGTGGGCTCTAGGCTCTGGGCTCTGCGCGCTACTACTTTCAGGGCACTAACCCAAAGGCTCCGCGGCCTTCTTCGAAGAGTCTCCACCAGATGTGGTCGGCCTCCCCCGGCAGCCTCGAAGCCTTAGCCCACTAACCCATTAGTCCGTCCGGCCAACTGAGCCCTAGAAGCCACACCCAGCCCAGCCCTGGACGGACCCCTCGCTCCACCCCCTGGTCGACCTTCCTAAGCTATCGAGGGACAGGCCCAGGGTGTCAGTGGTGATCCCTGCTGATGCCGCAGCTCCTACCCAATCATGTGGCCGGTCGCCGTCGCCTTCTCCGTATCTTCCAGGGCGGAGTCTCAGTTAAGCTGATCCGGCATCCTAGTAATTATTTGCTGCATGGGCGTCTGCTAAGGTTTCTGGCTTCTCTTTTTGCGAAACGAAACCAAAAAAAAGGCGAGAAAAAAAGCAAAAAGGAAGAATATGTAAAGCCACAACCTAAACTGTCAGCGTGCCAGACTCCCGGAATCAGGCTAGCGAAATGACCCCCCAGCACCACCACCAGCTGCACCACCGACACCATTACCACCACCAGCAACGGCCACGGCAGCACCAAGCAGCATCTCCATTCATTCAGCAAGCAAACGTCTCGTCGCATCTTGATCCCTTCGCGCCTTCCATCAAACGTCTGGACCCGCGCCTCTTCTTTCATTAATGCCCCCCCATGTCCACTCCCCCCACTACCACCACCACTCCCACTGCCATTACTGTCACTCCTATAGAATCCTCGTGGCCATAGTCCAGTTTCTTAAAAGTCCACTCGTTGACCTCTCCCAACCTTCACGTTTCACTCCACACAAGCTGCTGGCCTCTCAAGGTATGTCCCATCTCATTTATCAAGAGTGACGAGGAAGTGAGAGAGAGATGCGCAACTCGCACTGGCTGGTCTTGCATGGCGTCATTGGTCGCAAAAGAGCACGGACAAGAAGCGTGCTGCTGGGGGAAGAAAGGGTGTTGGTATACAGCCTGCGCCTCTACCAGAAAGCGGTACAGTGGCAGGTGATAACCATCGTCCTCAACATCTCATTCTCGGCGTTTTTCAGTTGCCCTTGTTGTGGATGTTTCACATACTGACACTGCCGACCATACAGACTCCTCAACGTCCCAATCCACAGACCATCTCCAACAACCAAGACACAAAACAAATCACCGCAATACAACTCAACGCCGTGCAGGAGAGCAAGCGCCCAGAATCTTGATACCAGTTGTTTTCAACAGGCACATCTCTTCCCGCTATCGCCATCGACATCCCCACTTGATGACCGCCCTGAAAGCTGTTCAAGCTGGCGATTAACTACCGTTCCTCCCATCTGCCCTCTGCGGCTTCCGGCGTCTTGGAACCTGCAAATATCAGCTGTTTCACCGGCATCTCCTATCCCAGGGTGAACCACAGTGCCCTGTCATTGCAGACAACGCAACTGTCTCCAGGGCAGGTCCCCGGAAAAACCTTTTCCTCCGCTTACACGCTACTGACTCCGCCTTACGCGACCACAGATGTTACGGTTCATCACCAGTATTCCATGACCCCTGACTCGTCGACCAAATCGACGCCCTCCTCCCAGACCCTCCAGAACAGTCCCCGCTCCATGACGGAGCCCGAGGCTCCTCCACAACCCAAGTCGGACAACGTCCCCTCGGCGAAACAGAAGCGCGTGAGGACCGGATGCTTGACCTGTCGCGAACGACACCTCAAGTGCGATGAAGCCTTACCCAACTGTCAGAATTGCCTCAAATCCAACCGCAAATGCAAGCGCGGCGTGCGTCTCAACTTCATCGACGTCCAGTGCCAGAACCCCCCGCACTTGGTCCCGCGCACGCGCGACTGGAAGATCTCCTTCCATGATGACTCGCGTGACATCGCCTCTGAGTATGAAGGCGGCCGGGAGAGGTATCAACCCCCAGAACCAGAGCCCAAACGGCGGAAACTGGACGTGACGGGGATGACCTACGACTATAGTCAGATAGCCGCTCCTGCCATGTCTCACCAGCAGCTCCCAGCTCACCAGTCCTACCCTCACTCTTATGCCGAGTCGGCCCAAGCCATGTATTCCAACCCTACCACGCAAGCCTATGACGATGGTTCCAACGCCCTCGGGGCTTACTCAGACGCAGCTCGAGCGATGAGACAATCATATCACCAACAGACGATGCTTACCCCTATTGATCAAGAACAAGGTTCTTCTCGCCTAGAGGATCGGAACGAGGTTCTGTACATGCAGGTATATGTGGAAGAGGTGGGTTTGTGGATGGACTCGATGGATGCGGAGAAGCACTTCTCTCGGCTGATACCCTTCCAAGCACTCAAAGAACCTATGTTGAAATATGCCTTGCTGGCTTGCGGGGTCCGACACCTCACCTTGGTTAACTCGGCCTACCCAGAAGAGCATGCATTGAATTACTACAACAACGCGACGCAGTTACTCCTGAAAGCGCTACAGAATCCCGATCGAGACAGCGTGCTGTGCGCCACTACAGCCACCATCCTCAATGTCTACGAAGTCATGTCTGAGAAAGCTTTGCAGCGGATGAACCATATCGCCGGTGCCCGTGCCCTCATCAAGGAGTGTCGATGGGATGCCACCTCAACGGGCATCGGGGCAGCCTGCTTCTGGTTGAATGTCGGACTAGAACTGTTTAGCTGCTTGCATTTTAATTGGGCCGTGGCTTGGGACCCGGACACTTGGGGGATCGACATTGCCATGACCCCTCAGCTTGTTCCCGGACATGAGGAAGACTGGGCACACAGGATGCTGTGGATTCTATCGAAGATCACCAATTTCCGGTCCGAGACCCAGCGCCGATACCACGACAGCAATGTCCACACAGAACAGATGCGCTTGCACCAGCGAAACAAGCAGTGGCTGGGTTTGAAGTTCTTCTGTGACCGGTGGCATGAGTGTGTGCCGCCCACAATGCATGCTCTCGCATACGTTCCGCCTCAGATGACGTCCTCTAAAAGTGCATTTCCTGAGATCTGGTTCATCAAGAGGACTACCATCGTCGCGAGACTCTTCTATCATACGGCCATGGCGCTGCTTGGTTCAGTCCACCCGTTGGCCAGCATGCACCCTCAGAAAGCAGAGGAGATGCAGGAAATGAGGCTCCATCACTCGAGGCTGATCTGCGGCATTGTCGCCCACGTCAAGGACCGGGGAGTAGCTTCAGCCTCGATCCGCTGTCTGGCGGTGGCTGGCGAGAACCTGACCACCAGACGGGAACAGGAAGAAGTGCTGCAGATTTTTGACCGCATCAAAAAGGAAACGGGCTGGCGCGTCGACTCGATTCACGATGAGCTTCGGGAGAAATGGGGTTGGACCAGCGTTGGTCAAGACTACGACACCATGAGCTCAGCGTCAACGTACTATGCTCCCTCGAGACCTTCCGCGGCTTCGAACACCCCGAATGCAACGCCGCCTCGTCCCAAATACCCCAGCGGTATCGTGAACCCGCTGTACCAAAATGCCGATTTCTCAGCTCAGAACCCGCCGTATCAAGGGAACTACGTGCCTCCCGCACCTGGACATGTTATGCATAACAACACACAGATGTATGGGTTCTCCGGTATTACAGCCATTTGATCTTCTTGGGATTGCATCTGCAGGGCGTTGTGGCGCTACAGAACCTTGCATCAAATGCTCTCATTCGTTTACATGACAACATAAATCGTGGGCGTTAGGCAGGTTTGATTTCATCTCATCCATTCCGAGCACAGAGACAGAGTTGGCGGAGTTACTCGATCCTTGCGACTGTGCATCAAAGACTTGAATTCGGGGGTTGGGAATTTGATGGCCACACGACATAGATACGATCGGGAACGGGCCATGCCATGGGACTTGAACAGAACCCACTGGTCCGTTAGGGGGGAGCAAAAGTGGGATTCGATGGGCGTTTGTTTCCCTGGGGGAAGTACAAGGCGCGGTGCTCTGCAAGACCAGACGACACGGGCAAGCTTAGTTAATAATGATTGTTGTATAGGGTTTCGGTGAATTTGTATATAGGTATCCGAGTGTGAGTCCTCGGCTTGAGTGATTTCCACACCCAGCTAGCCAATGCGCAGAGTAATATCCATGTCACCAAATATCAAACGCGATTTCTACCATTGGGACATTCGTGAGGTTGCTGAGGCTCGTATTGCCTAAGACCTCCTTCGCTTGCGCTCGTAACCTTATTCGACGTCGGCTATGCTGATTTGCCAACAAGAGCTCAGCGATTCAGCCGCACGTGTCCCCCTCGGATGGCAGGCTTTCAGAACACGAGCCCCCCTCGGCAGCTTAAAGCATGTGGCATGTGGCATGCGAGCCTCGACCGGCCGTCGTGGAGCTGCTCAGCTCGCGACGACATCGACATGGCAGTCCTCCCTGGCACGTTTCTGCCGTGCCTGGTGACGACGCTCTTGGTCCTCGCCACCCAGTCGCTCGGAGTCAGCATCCAGTCCGATATCATTTCCAAGTGCAACAACGCGACTGGCCCCGACGACCACTGCAGCATTGCGGGTGAACGGCGACTTCTATGGACTGGGGTCCGAATCGGCATCTATTCGTCGTGGTTCGCGTCGTGGGTCAGCAACAGCTCCCTGCTCGACGCCCGAGAGATCTGCCGGTCCCTCGACAGCAACGCCAGTTTCCTGTTCGCCATCGCCGTCGTTGTCGCCACGTACTCCACCTTGGGCAATATTCGCATCATCGACGCCCTGATCCTGCTGCTGCTGTCATTCGGGTATCTGCTCAGCGTGATGACCCTATGGGGTAACCGGACGGTGCCCACGAAACGCAACCACTTTGGCGGCTGGGGCACGCATTTCCGCCTCGTCCTTGTCAACGCCATCTGCGCCTATGGCATCTGGTTCTGGAGCGTCGGCATGACCGACAAGCTCCCCCAGTGCAACACCCGAGAACAATGCGCCGGGCTGAAGCTGTGGATCCTCGTCGAGGTGCCCATCGCGAACGCCGGCATCCGGAATTTGGTCTTGGCTTTTTGGTGCATCTTGTATTCCACCATGTTTCTCACGGCCGTGGTCGCCTGCATGGAGCTCGTGGGCGAAGTGAGCGATGACGCCAACTGGAAGGATTACCGGGAGCGGTTCAGTTGGAGATTGCGAGAGAAGATCGCCAGGGTAGAACCGTGGCCTTTGAGTCTGGGTTTTGCCATGTTTCTCTGCATTGTCGTTTCCGTAGTATCTCTCGTTGCCATAACCATCAAAAGGCCAAAGGGAACTCGGGTTTCAATCGGAGTTTTGACGTTCGTCTGGCTCGTCTTTGCCATCGCATCGATAGAGATGACTCTCCAGGCCAATCATGTAAGGAGGGACCGCGTCCAGACGTACATCGCCACTGCCGGTCAGTTCATCCCGCTTGTCATCGGCGGCTGTACCCTGCTTAGGGCTTTGTGGAAAGCTGGCCTGCTGGGGTTGTGTCCAACTTGCTCTTGATATTTCTGTTCCCGGACGTCAAGCCAGAGCGTCCTAACACAGGCCCACGTAATGGGACGATGTATTCGGCGCCGAATGAGTGGACTTGGTGGTGGCTCTCCACCACCACGTTTTTACCCTGGCTGTGTGTGTTCAAGTGTTGGAGACATGCCGGCCGATGGGGTCCAATGTCGCAAAAAACGCGACGAGTCGACATCGGGAACTGAGAGCTTTTCGAGCTACACCTCGGAGTCCTATGGTTCCGGTTCGTAGCCGCGATCGGATCGAAGTAGATACTGAGCCACGGTCGTGGACTGGAGATGATCAGTGGAGATATATCAAGTACCTCGCATAGGCACTGGTGGCAACTAATAATCTACGGGCTCCTTTTAACTAGACGACTCACTAAGTTGTCAATCCCTTGGACAGGAAACTATACCGAAGCTTTAATTGAGTCAGGTATGCCGACAAATGCCAAGGGAAAAATAGTTGTTCGTCAGACGGAAAGGCAGACAAGACATACTCACGCATGCTCTGGAGTTGCAGGCTCCCAACACGCACTCCCTACTATTGGGGCTCTGAGACTCGATATGCTTGCAGGGCACAACTTGACGCTTCCCTGACTGCCCAAGCCAGCAGTAATAGTAATGGAGCAGCAGCAAGACCAGACTCAGGATGAGAAGCCCAACCCGCCGCCCGCCCAGGCAACCCTCCATGAGGTGCGGACTGCCGAAAACAGTGCTGCCTACCTGCTGCCCAAGCTGCAGTCTATGAAAGAGGCCAAACCGCAATTGGCGCTTTTGGATGTCGGGGCCGGCTCCGGCACCATCTCCGTGAGTTTCGCAAAGCTCATCCCCGGCGGCCACGTTACCGGCATCGACCTCAATCCTAACATCCTGCCACGGGCAAGGGCCGTCGCCGAAATGGCTGGGGTCAAGAACATCGACTTCCAGCAGGGCAGCGTCTACCAGCTCCCTTTTGCCGATGAGACATTCGACGTCACCTTCTGCCATCAGGTGCTAATTCACATTGGCAACCCGTGGGATGCGCTGCGTGAAATGCTCCGAGTCACCAAGCGAGGCGGAGTGGTCGCCGCCCGCGAAGGTGACTATGAGAGCGAGTGCGTTTGGCCCGAACTTCCCGAGCTGGCCAAGTTCCACAAGCTCATGGCGGGTCTGATGAGGTCTGGGGGTGGCACGCCCAATGCAGGCCGACAGCTGCTTTCTTGGGCCCTCAAGGCCGGTGTCGAACCAAGCCAGGTGACGCTCAGCTATAGTCCATTGTCATACGACACACCAAGCAGGAGGCAGACCTGCTGTAAGCTCCCATCCCTTCTTCTCTGCCCTCTCGTGGCTACGAAGATGACCTCTAACCACCGTGTCTCTCTCTAGCCCGGGGCTTGTGTGAACAGCTACGAGGCGGTCCTATGCGCGAGAAAGCCATCAAATTCGGTCTAGCGACCGAGGGTGATTTCGAAGGAATGACCAAAGCTTGGGAAGAGTGGGCGAAGAGAGATGATGCAAGCTTGGCCATGCTCAATGGAGAAATCCTCGTACAAAAGTAACGTTCATTGTATCGGCAATACGACTATCTCCTTCCTCGTCACCTGCACGGCCCTCCGCACGATTTTCTAGAGAAGCAGCGCATCAGTACAGTTTCATATCTTTCTGGAAGTTATGTGCCCCCTCGGGTGCTTAGCAGCCTTGCTCAGCCTTGCGCATGAGGCTGTCGTTAGCCGGGCTTTCCGAACGTGTTCACCGCCTAGCGGTTGCAGGAAGGTCGGGTTGAAACACGTGGAGACATGAAACGACGGCGGATTTTCCTGCATTGGCTTGTCAATAAGCATTCCAACAAACGAGACTAGGGCAGCCCAGGCCAAGCGTACCCGGAGTATTTATCCTGCATAGCATTGACGTCTAGACTTGACAGGTTTCAATTGGCCTTTGGGTAGGACCTTGGTCGAGGATACAACTAAGGCCGCCTTCAAGTTGTTTAGGGGCACCGGACACTGTACGAGCGGGCAATTTACTCGATCGCGCCTTCGTCCTACATTAACGAGATCGACGCTGCTTTGTCGCCCTCTAAACTCTCCTTCGTCAACGTTTGGACGAAGACTCAAGGGCAAAGGGTGTGCGACCCGTCTAGCTCTCGGAAAACCCCCTGGGTATCACGGGGTCAGAACGACCTTTAAGTTGAGGCGGCCCCCATGTATCATGCGGGCAGCAAAGTACAAATTTCTCGCCTGCACAACAAAAAATTCCACCGGAAGTCTCGAAATGGATGTCAAACGTGTCCGACACGGATTGTAGCAAGTTCTACGCCCTGACAAACAAGGCATTCTTGGATCTCGTAGAGTGATTCACGGAATGTATCACTCCATCCGCGTGAGGCTTAGCATAGGGCGATATAAGACGACCAGCATGCTTGAATTGCCTAAGTCGGGAAATTTCTTATGCATTTCAGCAGAGCGTCACCTTTGAGCAGATCCCAAAAATCTAGTCAAAGCCGAGCCTATCAAAAGTGTCAGTTTGCGTCGATGAGGCAGAGTCAGGCGTCCAGATGAACGAAGAACCCAGCGGAACCCCGTTCAATATTATACGCTTCACAATCACTGTTCAGCAAACCTTTTGTCGCGTTGGTTACACGTGGCAGAGTCGGATGAAGTGGCCGATGATGGTGGCTGGGTCGGTGTTGTCCTGATGGGATATGGCATCCATCTGGCACTAACGCTCTGGCTCATGCTGTGGATTTGTTGCTGGTACTCTTGCAGATACACCACGCCATCCACATTTCAGGATCCAGCACATCCAACATTGCCCTTTGTCGAGTCTCGCTTCCAATACCCCTTTCCAGAACTGTTGATATGATGATGAAGCATGAGGTGTGTTCAGATCAGGTCGATTGCAGATGGCAAAGTTAGCACCCTGTTGCAACACCGCTTCCTCTTTCCCCCTTATCAGCAAAATATTCTGCGATTCGCTCGTCAGATGCAGTCATTTGTGTCTCTGCGTCTTCTGATCAGTCTGGACGCTGTATGAAGCGCAAGGACGTATCTCCGTCCGGGAATCTCGGTCCCATACAGACTAAGTTAAGTCGACGAGGACATGAGAAGGTTGAGAAAGGGTGGCAAACCCTCGCAGGGCATCCCTTAGGCGATAACGCACGCGGAGGGACTCGAATATTCTCTATCGCCATCAAGTAAAGCACAAAAAAGAGTGGTGCCTGCTCATTCTCGGATGTTCCAGCCAACGGTCGATGCATAACTATTCTGGACTCTCAAACCCCTGGACTTCTTGAGTGGTGCCGGTAGCCGGAAAACGACCGCCGTGGAAAACAAATTGGCATAGCTAGTCATTTAACTAACCATAACCGAGTCTCCTTTGGCTACTGCAGTCACTTTCCGCAAGGCTCTTGAATATTGGCCCAAAGGTTGATTGGGAAGTTCCTTCGATTACCTCCACTCTACTCCACGTGCCGTTGACACCGAATGGCTGGCATGTTAGACTGTTCATGGTCTTTGATAAGCCTGGTCGACCCAATTACCAGAGTCAGCCTATCCTGAGATTTCATCTGGTTAGAGTTTAGGCACTTTTGTCTACAAACCAAATTATCAATGGAATGGCTGTGCCTCGGGGCCTCGATAGGTGCTTCGACAATGACCGATTGGGAAGGAGAGAAATATCTTGACCTTTGCGGCTAGATACCCGACAATGTCGATATCTTTCGACACGACGAATCCCCCCGGGCGATTTAAAGGGTCTAGAGCAAATATTCTTCAGCGTCCTCGTTCACCTCGTCGTTCCGAAGGGCCTGTTCTCCAACGAAAAGCCTGCCAATACCAACACTCAACATGGGTAAGAAAGTGCTATGTGGCTACGGTCTCGACGTAGATGCCGTGAGCGCGTGGATGATGCCACGAGAGGGTGGGTGTTGCACGGACAGAACCAACATGTCTCGCGGCGTGTTTGGTGCCACGGTCGGCCTCGATCGAGTCTTGAAGCTTTTCGACAAGTACAATATCAAGGCGACTTTCTTTACTCCGTGCCACACACTGGAATCGTTTCCGACACAACTGGCGAAAGTGCGTGACGCCGGTCATGAGATGTAAGGCTACCAATACGCCTCTTTTTCACTTCTGTTCTGAAAATGACCTGACAAACTGCCAAGTGGGATGCATGGCTACACGCATGAGTTTGTCTCGGATCTCTCCGAGGAACAAGAGCGCGATATTTTGACCAAATGCATCGATGTCATTACGAAGTTTACTGGTAAGAAGCCTCGTGGCTGGACAGCTCCAGCTTGGACACCATCGGCGAAGACGGTGGAGATCCTCGAGGAGGCCGGCATCCTCTACGACCATTCCTTCATGCATCACGACTGTCAACCATATTGGCTCCCACACAAGAACAGCGTGACGGAAATCAACCTCAAGATGAAGGCCGAGCACTGGATGAAACCCATGACGGCGCTCCAGCCTTCCAAGATCGTTGAAATCCCTGCAAACTGGCACCTGGACGACTGGCCGCCTCTGAACGTGGGACAGATTGTTGGGCAGGGTTTTGTCGACCCGGATGTTGTGCTGAAGCTGTGGAAGCGGCAGTTTGACTTCTACTATCGCGAATATGACTCGTTCATCTTTCCCATCACTTGCCACCCCCAAGTGACGGGCAAAGCGCAGGTGATCCTGATGCAGGAGGAGATGATCGAGTACATCAACAGCCACGAGGGTGTGCAATGGGTGCCGCTCGAGGAAATGGCCAGGCAATTCAAGGAAGGCGAGTTGTCGGGTGCCACGGTATTTGGCGGCGTCGACCTGTGAGAACATGGGCATAGCGTCTTCAGTTCCACCACCAATGTACCTGCTCGTCACATTCTTGCTTTTCGAATAAGATCCATCAGTGACAGTCTCTCCAAGATGGTCGGATATCTGCCCCGGATACTATACCACATGCGGCTGGTCATGGAGCACCCATCTTGGCAATTTCTTACTCAAATACGAGAGTATCCATTCTTCCATGTGTTTATCCCGACTTCAACCCTCATGTATCCTACGAAACAAGCCGTAGATATGCCTTGCGAAGGTTCAAGACACTTTCCATCTATTTCCTGCGTTCTAGGGCTCTTATCATAGTGGCTTGGGACCTACTAGGCTACTGATATAGGGCCTGAGCAGACAAGCCGGCGACTCCCCGGGCGGGACAATCTCAAACAACGACCTGACGGCCGGCAATCTCAGAGCAGCAAGCGGCACTCTGTCCCAGCCGCGGTTCTCCGACTAAGTGCAACGGCTACTGATTTGGAGCCAGATAAACGCAGATATGAGGTGATGTTTGCACGTCAAATTGAACAACCAAGGTACCAACGTTTTGTCCGACTGACTCGGCCTGAGCTTCATCCCGAGGGTTGACGAACACCATTCGTCTCATAGGCTCGACCAAATTACACCGATCCAAGCCCGACTGGGCTAAATGCTTTGGACATCTCAGCAGACAGGTCTGCCTCCCCAGCGAGTGGAGCCTGGACCGGGGACGCAGCTGCGGTTGAAGATCCTTTCACTGCACGCCTGTTCATATGCAGGATCTACCATTTCCGGAAACCATGGATAACAGTACTTTCGCAGAAAACCGATCAGGAAGGAGAGATAAGCGTGGCCACCTTTCCGATTTCCCGGCCACAGGACCTTGGCGAAATGGCCGTTTGGGGCAAGAGAGGCTCCGTTCGCTGGTCGATCCGCTACAATGGGGATGCCTCAGCAAGCCACAGGCAGGGGGGAAGCCTGGGACAGAGGCCTCCCGGAGCACGGGCTCGAACGTCTATACGCCAAGCTTCACAAGACCTACCTGGTCTCGACTGCTCCCGTGCCAGGCTTCGATACTTTTCTGCTAAACCGGGTCTATGGTTCGCCTCATGCAGGGTCACTAAGATGACAGGCGCTGGACTACCGGGTTCGCCTCGGACGTGAGGTGTCCAAACTCCTGGATAAGGGATCAACGTGAATCAATTTGGGCGGGTCATATAAAAAGCAGCCTGTTCTCTGCACGATCGTCCCGTTCTGTTGGTTCTTCCTCTGCATAACTCAGGTCTTCCTTCCCAACAATCCGACAAGCACCATGGCTTACGGTCTGGGTATTCCCAAGTTCAGGCTTAACAGCCCATACTGGTGAGAAGCCTTCCCTAATATGACCACACACCGAGACATATTTCTGACGTCCGCGCAGGCAGAACTTCATTGGCGGCATCCTCATCGGCCTGACCGGAGGACTGTATGCTGCTCTCAACCTCTTGGGTGCGGGAGGTGGCAAACCGAACTCGTTCCAAGTCGTCCAGATCGCCAATGCCACTCTCTGCGCCGTCTACGCTGTCTCAGCCTGGTTTGGAGGGACTATATTGAATACCATTGGACCTGCTTTGACCGCTTTCGTACGTGGGCCATCATTTTCCAGCGGATGTCCAGGGGGGAATATACTGACCGACTCTACGTGTACAGTTTGGTGTCATCGGATACATCCTCTACGTCGGAAGCTTGTGGTACTTTGACCAGCATGGAAAAGAGACTTTCCCGATTATCGCAGCCGTCTGCGTAAGTCCCCGTCTCCTGTTTGGCACGATTTTGTCACCAGCATCGCGATGGTCGGTACAACGAAAGCTAACTAATTCTCACAGATTGGTGTAAGAAAATCGAATCATGGGTGCTTGCTCATGGCTGCGAGTTTACTAAGTGTCGCTCCAGATCTCTGCCGGTCTCATCTACGTGACCTCCGGATACCTCTCCATGTCCTACTCTGAGGAGAACGAGCGTGGAAAGTTCGTGGCAACATCTATCAACCTTCAGGCTACTGGCGCTGCCATCGGTGGACTGATTCCTCTGATCATCAATCACGACAAGGTACGTTCAGACCATGCACATTCAATCTCTTTCCGCAGATCCTGATCCAGTCACAGGCCACCAGCGCCGGCGTACCCCCAGCGGTCTACATCGTATTCATCGTGATGGATTTCGTCGGTTGTGCGTTAGCATTCCTGCTGCGACCTCCGGAGAAGGTGGTGCGGGAGGACGGCACAAACATCGCCGTAGTCAAGGCCCGTCCGTTCTGGGAAGAGTTCAAGGGTAATCTGGAAGCCTTCAAAGATTGGAGAATGCTCGTTATGGTATGTTGAACACTGAAGGGTTTGTCTTTCGGTGGTGACCTGATTGACTGACTGGGATGCAGATTCCTGCTTTTGCCGTCAGCGAATGCTTCCTCGTCTACGGCGGTAGTGCCAACGCCTTCCGCAACAGCCTTCGAGCCCGAAGTCTGCTGGGATTTTGCTCCGTGACGCTGCAAATCATCTGTGGGTGGGCTTTGACGTTGCTGCTTGATAACGAAAAACGTGAGTTGGACAGCAGTCGTTTCGCTACTCGAATCGAGTCCAGAGGAAGAGGATATTGGATGCTAATGAGTTGGAATCTTTAGTCCGTCGCCGAACCCGAGCCCAGATCGGTCTCGCCATCACTGGCATCCCGGTGATGGGGGCGTACATCTGGGAGATGGTCCGCACCCGCAATTACGACAGGCACAACCCTCCCTCGCCTCCGTTGGACTGGAACGATCCCGACTTTGGTGCCATCTTCGTGCTGTTTATGTTGAACTGGGTCTCGTGTTCGCTATTCCAATACATGATTCTGTACTTCTTGGGTTGCTTCACGAACAATCCTCGCGTGGCTGCCAACAATGCTGTGAGTTTTCTCCCTTTCTTCCTTTTTTTTTGGGCCGAGCCGGTCAGTGTTAAGAGGAAAGAAGTGGGCTAACACGGTGAAATTCTTTTTTCTCACCAGGGTGTGTTCCGAGGATTCATGGCCGCGGGTGAAGCCATCGACTTCGGCGTGGACAGCATGGGCGTGCCGTTCCTGAAAGAATCCGGGGCCCTCTTCGCCTTCTACACGGCCGGCGTCATCGCCATGGGCTACCTGGCGCTCTTCCACATCGACGAGACCAAGTACTTCACCGAGGAGGAGGTGACGATCCCCAAGCACGTGCGGGAAGAGCACGACCACACCATCGTGATCGAGGGCGTGTCCAAAGGCACGTCTGAGACGGACGAGGAGGCCGCAGCTGCCATCAAGGGACCCACCGGCGTCGCCGAGGAGATCAAGGCGTGACGAGGCCACGAGAGAAGAAGCTGTAAGCCCGCGGTGGGGCCCAGTTAGGTTAGGCCGGATTGATAGACACCACGTGGCATAGACGGACAGACTCATGGCATGAAGACGATCGGGGTACATAATCCAACTGGGGGGGAGGGGTGGATCTATGTAGTGTGGGCGCGCGCGCTCCACTTATAATAGCTAGGTCCATCAATCCCGGTAGTCTTTTTGTTATTGCCGTGGAAGAAGCCTCGTTGGGACACATGGTCGTCGGCAGATATCCCCAACCAAGGTTCAGACAGACCTGACCTGACCAATCACGACAGACACACACGCGCTAAGACGACAGCAAGAGAAGTACCTCGTGGCAGCAACGCGCCAGCGAGCCAGCCAGTACAAGCGTGGCAGAAGCAGGCGCAAACGTGACGTTTCCAGGGCGGGAAAGCAAACCCACTCACCGCACTGCACGGAACCCCCTTCCACATTATTATGTCCCTGTGTACATATGTAAATCTATATCCAATCAGCACCAGCATGCGCATGCACATAAGAAAAGTCGACAATTTGCTGTGCCCGATTGGGATCTCTGTTCCTCCTGGGGCAGTGCACGGTGGGGTTACCCACAGGCCGGTGCGCAGGACGACAGCCTACTTACTTTTACTTTACTGTACTGTACTGGACTGCACTCAGGAGCAGAGTTTACAGAACGAGGCGAGAGAGAGAGAAAAGGTAACGTGTATACACATACGCCTGGAAGCCTCCGGCCGGGTAATGCAGCCTCTGTCCCCGTATTATTGGACACACAGCTCCGAGAATACAATGTATATATATAGATGTATTGTCTCGGTGTAATTGCCTGCATACTCATCCCTCCCTCCCCTCCTTGGCCCTGCTCGCCCGGGAGGCTATCGTAATATGAACATCTACCATGCAAAACCAAGTTTTCCCATTCGGGCAACAAGATCAGTCAGTCGTTTCGTCTTACCTTGCTTCCTCACGTGCGCACCGGCACGGACCTTGATGGGTATGTATGCATGTACTTACTACAGAGTATGCATGTATTATGTGATTCTACTTTGGGGGAGAGCGGGGCTGCATCCAATCAAACGAAAAGGGAATGCACACTGTCAAATAATAGTGGGTCCATCTCTCGCTAGACATACTGTATACGTTCCACGGAGTACGGCGCTACGTAGAGACGGACTTGCACAGTACTCATGGAACCGAAAGGGTGTGCGTGGATGGGTGGCAACTGCAAGGGCTTAATCATGATGTAGGTACGTATATACATACAAACGTCCCGAGCCGAGTAATATTGATGGACATATACAAGTCGGTATAATATCAGAGGCACACCTCGAGTGTATTGAACCCCTGACGATATTCAGCCTTGTCTACATAGCACAGGAGTTGTCATTGGCGTGGCGCCGGTGGGCCAGGAATCAACGATAGGTGAATGCTCCACTCTCCCTCTCTATCTCTGTCTCTCTCACCGCTTGGAAGACCGCTCGATTAGCCACATCACATGCCAGAAAGGGGTAGTATGGTGTTCGTGCTACATCACCAAAGCTCGGCTGCAGCCAGCTAAAATCTGACATGACAAATGGGCGACCACCCATCCAGCCTTGCTATCATTCATCCATCCTCGTTGATCAGCCTCCTCACACAAACAGACAGGCTGTCAGGGCGAGCAACTCCACCAATCGGGAAGTATGTTCTCCTATTGGCGGATTCCCGCCTACACACACTAGGCCATGATCACATTTGAGTGATTTCCATACCACCCAATCAACCAGGAAAAATGATTGTATTTACAGCGAGAACACTGGTTCCAGCCAGCACCATGGCCGCCACAACCACTACCACCGGGGACAGCATCGCACTCAGTGAAATGATTTCGGAGCCTGTTTCCCGTCCTTAGAATGCCCCGCTTGTTTGTCGTTCTTGACCAGTGGAGGCCTCTCCGCGGACCCTTCACCCTCTCGCGTGTCGGGGTCACACTCTGGGTTGTTGTGCATTGACCATGTGTCTTGGGCGCTCATTGTGTGCTCTCTAGTTTTGAACTGCCAGAAAAAGGTTCCGAAATTGCCTGGATTTTAACAACCCCCCTCATTTAGTGATCGAACACGCCTGGAAGTCTTTGGAACTCACCGTTCTCGGAAATCATGGCGATGTAGCCCTCCCCGGGTCTCGAAGCACTTGCTGCCATGGCGAGGTTGTAAGCTGAGGGAATGATACGGTGTCCTGTGGTGGTGTGGCTGTTGGACGGGGATGGGAAAGGAGATTGCTTGCGAGGGCTTCAAGCCTCCTTATATAGATAGCTACAAGGTGAGCACCAAGTGCAGTCAAGGAGAAAAGTGACAAGATATGCTTCTCCCGGCACCTGGTCGCCCGACTACAGCGCACCCTGCGCCATTACCTCAACGAAGCATGGTTGCGAGGCTTTTCCCCCTATGCCGCACCATACAGGGCGCGCTGTGACCAGGCAAGCATTCGAGAGTGCGATGCGTTCAACCAACCCCCATCTAGAGCTGCGTAGCACGAGGGTATCGCCCCCTGAGGGATCAAAAACATGAAATCAACGTTGGGCCATGGGAACCTTCGTATCGAAATGACCGCTTGCAGACCATGCGAGGCAGCAGTGGATGTTCTGTTAACCAACAACTGTAAGGTAAAGTGACGGGTGAGTGGCAGAGATATCAAAGGGGACCAGGGTATGACGAGGGTGGGCTACTGAGTGGCGGCAGCAGCAGCGGTCAAATCAAAGAGAGGGCGAGATCAAACGAGGGACGTACCGGTATCGGTGCGAACTTGAAATGACATGAGGCAGTAATATACAATACTTCTATGGGGCCCCCTTCCACATCTGCAATCATCCCTACCCTGGCAAGCCTGGGTTAACCTCTAACCAGACAGTGCCGTTATAAACGTCAGACGCTGCTTCGGTAGTTCCGGTAAATACATGTTCATGTATCATCTGAACGTACTGGAAATAAATTCCGCTATCTTTAAATCCGGATACTCACGGTGTTTCGTCCAGTAGCAATGTTACACAGACGGGCCTTCCAGGTTTCCAATCCCATCTTCGAGAGGCCCCCGCCCATCCACCCACCAGGTTACCGCGGGTGTTTCTTGAGGATATACGTGGCTTGCTGGATTTGCAGAGTCAGATCCAGGATGGAGCAGCGGCGAGGCAGACTACTCGATGCCTTCGCGTGTTGTTTGTTGTTTGTTCTTTGTTTAATAGTCTGCCATCATTGCTTCTGATACGGAGGGTTGGTGAAATGATCCCGGCGACGGCAGAGGAGCAAGACCTGGCTTCGACCCGGGATCCTCGTTGGCTTCCGAAGTATTCGGGCTGCTCAGTTCCTGCTGCGGTGGCACTTGGTGAACTACGTGTCCACAGTCTGTACACTCGCCTCTCTGACCCTTAGGAACGGGTGGAGTTCTGCGTCTCGTCATTCTCTGCTTCCCTCTCCACTTCTTTTTGTCGTTCCAGCACGTTGTCATGAAAGTGCCCGGGTGCAGACGTCAAGCGTGCATCACAAAAAGAAAAGCAGTAGGGATATCACGCTCGGCGAGCAGTGGCATGGATATCAAAGGGGTGGAGCAGTGCTATTGCAGACTATAGCGCCCATCGTCCATCATCGGCATCTGGGAACATGGCCTTCTGCCCCATCAGGAGTCAAACTTCACGACTTACCAAAGGGCGGTGGCACTTTCGAACCATGGACTGCGAGAAGTTCGCATAATCCAAAGAGGGAGCCGGGGAATGGACGGGGTCTAGCATCCGATTGGTGTGACGGAGGGACTGAGTCCTCCTCCCCTCCTCCCGAAAAAGCTGCAACGAGGACCGAGTCAACATCTTCCGTGTCTGTCCGTGTAGTGTGCTTGTTTCATTTTGTAGATGTGGTTGGGGATCCGACCAATGGCTCCGGCAGCGGGAGCCGCAGGTTTGATGCCCTCCGTCCAAGAGTCTTCCCCCTTTGGCCCCTTGTGGTTGTGCAAGATATAATCGACGATGCAAGCGTCAGCCGACAGACTAAAATCTGGCTGCCCTTGCGCTTCGGACACGAAGTCGCGGCGGCGGGATTAACGGTGAGGCTAACAGTCCGGCATCGATACAGAGGGATGTGTAAGAGGTGTGGGCACCGTGGGCTGTACGTAACGCGGTAACGTAACGTGTACCGGTATTACCTCATACAGAGTGTGTGCCTGTAACAAAGGCTAGCCAGTGCAGACCAATAGTTGATGTATGCGGAGTGGTCGGGGCTTTGCACTGCCTCGCTGCTAAAACTAATTCAACTAATATCGCTGCAACATTGCTTCGGTGTGTACCTCGTATTCCCTAGTTGATGCGGCTCAACAGCCGAGCACAAACCACAACCCTCAACCACAAGCACTCTCTGCCCTGGTGCCGTAGCGTGTCAGCCTGACGAGTCGGCCCGCGAGTTTTCCTGTCCTTTTCTTGCGGCAACCCTTGTTGTCCTGCCTTTGCTGCCCAACCAACCAAGTCATGGCGCAGCCCATAAACGCCCACCCCGCGCACGCGCTGCTCTCTCGCGCACACTCCCCCGACGCGGCCTCGCGGATTTTCACCGAGAAAGTCAAGAACAAGCCCCTGCTGTTGCAGCCCACGGCGGCTGCCGACCGGGATCGACGCGCCCTCCGTCGCCGCGTCCGTCTCCGCAAAACGGAATACTACCTGCGCAAACGCAGGCCCAAGCCGCTGAGCGCCAAGGAGAAGAGGGAGCGGGGACTGGTCAAACTGCGCAAAGAGGAGGTCAAGTATGAGATCTACCAGGGTTTGCACGAGTTGTGGAAGGGATACATGCTCGAGATCCTCGGGTACGTCAAGGACGGCGAGATCGTGCCCAGCAGTCTGGCGAGAGTGGTCACGGCCCAAAGCCACGGCTCTCTTCTGGCCAGTGCGGACTTTCATGGCGCAGAACTCGAGGTGGTCGGGTGCTCGGACCCCGGCAAGGTTGGCATCAGAGGGATCGTGGTGAGAGATACAAAGTACACATTTGTGGTGGTGACGGCGAAGGATGAAGTCAAGACGCTACCGAAAAAGAATTCAGTGTTTCGGTACGAGATACCCTTGCCAGAGGATTTCGAGGCCAACGATGGCCCTCATCAACAGCACGACGAAGACGAAGAAGGGCCCCAGGCGACGAGACGACTGGTGTTCGAACTGCACGGGAACCAGTTCGAGTATCGACCAGCCGAGAGAGCAAACCGGAAGTTCAAGTGGAAAGCCACGGATTACTTGTGAAGATCTAACGAGCAATATCTGTCACTTATTGCGCTGGACCGCGTTACATTGCTGCCCACTCAACGCTAAAGGTCCTGACATCTCCCTTCGGACTGGCTCCGCCCAACAGGAAGCCTTTCTTTACGCCAGTACCCAGTCTCCCCCCAGCAACAATGTCCATGAGATCAATCTCTTCATCCCACTCAGCACCCACAGCGAGGAAGTGGGAGTGGAATCGGAGAGGGTCGCCGGGATAAACAGTGTATTGGCACCCGAATCGAAGGCCCGGGGTCATGAAGAAGCCTCCGTCGTGGAGATGCCTGTAAAGAGGGTAAGACGACGGAAGATTCTCTACTGTCAACCCAGGCGATGCCGGAGGAGTTGGAAGAAGCAGTCGAGATGTGGCTGGAGTAACAAAATAGCTGTTCGACGTGGCAGAAGCAGTCGACACTCTGACCGGAGGGTCGTCTTGGAAGAGCGCCTCACTCTCCGGGGCGGGAGCTTCAGCATCTTGCACCGTCTCGTTGTCGTCAAGGCCGACCTGTCCGGGATCAGATGATGGGGTCGAAACTTTGGCATTTTTGCCCAAAGCTCGTCTCCGGGACTGCTGCTTCTCCTGATCCTTGGCGTGCTTGACTTGCTTAGACTGCTTCTCTATCTTTGCCAGATAGTCAGCGCGTCGAGCTAGGTCTCTCGACTGAACGGCTTGGTCGTGAACTCGAGCTTCGTCAACCACGACGCCGACCCCTCGCTCCACTAGTAACTGAGCTTCCTCGGGCATGATCTCAATGGGCACCCCGAGAAACAGATTTTGAGACGGACTCAAGGGTAGCGTGCCAATGGTTATACCACATATATTATGCTCCCTGCGGAGGTAGGTCGCAATTTTAACGTCGAAGAGCAGATATCGGCCCCCAATTAAGGAGATGGGCACCGGGAGATTAGGGCTGTAGTCGAAACCCAGATCCGCTGGAGAGTCCATGGTGAAATATTAAGATCTGCAACAACCCAAGGACATTGAGATTGTCAGCCAAACAGTCCACACTTCACTTTGGTAGAGATTCTGGTGAACGGGGTGAAAAAGCAAGCGATCATATTTCAACAACGATTTTATTTCGCTTCAATCACATAGCCTCCGGAGAAGCTTTCTCAGTGGATTGACAGATTATAAAAAGTGTTCTAATCATGCAAGGATTGGGTGAACAGTGATGGAGGGTATTCAATAACTCACGCAACAGCTTAACCGAAAAATACCACCAAAGTACCGATCGTAGTGCTCGTTAACCGTGGAATCGTGCGGGAAGAACGAATGGAGGGCTTGAAGACCGGCCTTCAAGCGGAATAGGATAGACTACATGATTTGATGGAGTTGTGTGAAGGACGAGGAGGGAAGAGAGAGTGTGAAGAAAAGGAGTTCGACACGTTGGGCTTTGCCGCGAAAATTTATTTCTCCCGTCTGACTGGATTTGGGTGGTGGGCTATCACCCGAAATCTCCCCGTCAGACGAGGGCATTTAATCGTGCCCAGTCATCCGTTATCCCGGTGCCTCCCTGCATTGTTTCTTCCCTGCATCTCTCACCGCATTGAACCCTCGTTCGGTCGGATTAGACGGATCTGCGATCATGGGTGTCCTCGTGCTGCTGTCGTTGCTCTTCTTTGTTCCGTTTCTCTTCTTTCTAGGTACGTGTTGAACTGACTGACCGTCTGCTTCTGCGTACGACTCGTGCTGATCAAAGGGCATGTGCAAACAGCGTTTCTTGCTCTCTCGTCGTGCCTGGGCGAACGGTTCCGTGCACGGGTGTCCGGCTTCACCGTCAATCCTCGCCATGGCTCCTACGACCGCACCTATTTTCGAACCATGACAAACCCGGGTCCTTCATCCTCGGAGCATATCGAGTTGGAGACCATGCTCAATGCGCAGGGACTGTACCCTGATAATCACGACGACGACGACGACGACGACGACGTGTGAAGCTTGTCTATGGGACAGTTTTCAGAACTCCAAGTCCGCCTTCTTCCCCTTTTGCTCCTCTCCCGCAGCCTGTTGGGCACCCATGTCCCCCTCGACGGGCGGGAGATTGAACGGCTTGATGGTGAACTTTCGCCGACTCAACGTGAAAGTCCAATCGTTTTCCGACGTGCCAACCCCGCTCCCGCGATCGTGGAGCATCGGGAGACGGTGTACTTGCAACAAGCCCTGAGGGGGTTCCTCCGTGGTACTAGAGAGACCACGAGAAGGGGTTGTAGCGTCTCCCTCTGCCGAGTGTGGGAACGGGGACAGTTCGAGAACGCCATCGTGAAGCAGCTCGATCCACCGCACCAGCCCCGTCGACCGCGGGTACAGTGACAGTGGCAGCGACGTGATTGCCGTCAGCCGACCCGGGTGTGCCGCGAACAGCGCACGAAGACCGTGCAGGAACTGGAGGACATTCTCCGGGTGACTAGACCAAGGAGGATACAGCGCTGGGGAAAGCAGTGATGGAATGACGACACGATGAACGGTGTCCGGGGCGGAGTTCACCATCGAGGCACTCAGCCGGTCGAGAATAGTTGCGAAGGGTGGACGCTTGGGGTTCGTGTCCAACGGAAAGAAATCCAATTTGGATGAGGCTGGATGAACGAGGCGCTTCGTGAGGTCGAAGGTATGGCAAAATGTGGTTGGTGGTCCTGGGACTGATACTCCGTCGGGACCAGGCTGACTTGTAGTTGATGTCAGACGTTCTGTGAGGAAAAGAAAGAGAAAGCGTTAGTGTTTATGCGAAAAGAGGCGGCCAAAAAAGAAAGAATAGCATTTTGAATTCTAGCTAGGCTGCTGCTACAAGGGACTGAACATGCCCACCCACCTCTTGCACCGAATTGTCCCAGGCTCTCGTATCTCCAGGCGATCTTCATCTTCTCCGTCTCGGCGACGGGTGTTGTGGACTCTCCTCTCTTTTCGCTCTCGCCCACGGCCACCACGCCCGGCAGTTCACGCCCCCACTGCTCCGGCAGCGCCACGACGTGGACGTGGTGGCCCTGGAGCAGGCCCTCGGCGGCGTAGAACCGGAGCAGGGCGCCCGCGTAGTCGGTCGTGCCGCTCTCTTCGATCAGGATGGTGCTGCCGAGCGCGAGGCCCGAGTGTCCGGCCAGCAGGGCGTCTAGGCTGGCGGTGCCCGTCGAGGTGGTCGGTCTGCCGTCGACGGGCGAAGGACGCACGCCGGGCAGCTGGATTACTTGGGGTTTGCTGTAGTTTGGCACAGCAGCAGCAGCAGCAGCAGGGCCGTCAGACCGGGTCGAGCCCGAGAGGCCTACATTGCGCTTGCGGAAGGACATCGAAACGAAGACCTGCACGTCGAGGGTTGAACTGGTTCCAACGTTGAAAGGTGCGGGACAGAAATTAATTGATATTGCGCTGAAATGCCGCAAAGACCCCCGTACGTGATCCACCGTACCCTGATAATTCCCAAGCGCAACAAGTTAATGAATTTGTTGCGGGCAGATTTCATCCTCCTCTCTGCGCCCACCACACACACACACACACACACCCCTACTGACTTTCCTGACCGGTCTCGTCTCTCCCTCACCTCAACGAAGACTCTGTCTATCAGCAACAATGTCGGAGAATATCCTCTTCGAGAACAGCTTCAAGATCACCGACCTCAACGACACCAAATATGACCGGGTCTCGCGCATCAAGGCCTACAGCGAGGGCGAGCAGGAGGTGCTGCTGACCCTCGACGTCAACACCGAACTGTACCCGCTCAACGTCGACGACCGCATGACCGTGGCGCTGGCGCTGTCGCTGAACCTGGACGGCAGCAAGGACGACGGCAAGGGCTGGAGGGAGATCGGACGAGGGGAACAGACCCTGGCTGACGAGTTCGACTATGTCTGCCACGGCAAGATTTACCGGTTCGAGGAGGGCAGCGGTGACAACATGTAAGCTTTGCGCAGGCGCATTCAGGGCTGTGTGATTGTCTGTCTCTCGACTAATCTTCTGTGAAGCAAACTGTACGTCTCCTTCGGCGGCCTGCTGCTCTACATGGACGGCCCGTACGCGCTGCTGAACGCGCTGAGAATCGACTACGTGTACCTGTTGATGAAGAAATGAGCTCGTGGACTACCCTGCGACGTCTGCTTTGGCATATCTCGAGAGAAACAACCAAAAAGTCTATTTAGCGAGGGCGTTGGTTTGGTGGACAGACAGGGAGGAGGCGGTGGCGGTGCTGGTAATGGACCTGACTGCTACTCAGGGCGTGGGAAACTCCAACCGTCGATGGAGTCGGGCGACGATTTCAATGTAGTCGGGCTCGTTCTCGGGCGTCAGGAATCCGTGGCGGACGAGAAACTCCAAGAGCAGGTGGGCGCAGTTCGGCTTGAATCTGCCCTCGGCCATGGCATGCCGGATCTCGGGGACGGTCAAGAGCTGGAAATCGATGGCCTCGTCGTCGCCGGGCTTGGGGATCACGTCGGCCGGCATCTTCAGGTCGTAGATGTACTGGCACTCGGGCTGGCAGAGCCCCGTCTCTCCCCCCGCACGGGCGTCGCGGACGTGGAAATATGTCAGCGTCCCGCACGCCCGGGCTGCCGACCGCACCAGGTCGGCCGGCAACGAGGCCTCCTCCTCGCACTCGCGCACCAGGCAATCGAACGGCTTCTCCCCCGTGCTCAGCCCGCCCGCGACCGTGTTGTCCATCATGCCCGGGTACGTCTGCTTGGTCAGCGCCCGGCGCGGCGCCCAGATCTTCATCTCCCCCGGGGCCGTCTCGACGTAGCCGGTCATGTGCACGCCGTAGGTGACGACGCCGAACAGCGGCGTCGCCGACCGCTCCATGTTCAGCACCAGCCGCCGCTGCGGTCCGTAGATGGGGTACCGCTCGGCGCGCCAGCCATCCAGCACGCCGAACACGCGCCGCTCGCGCACCTCCTGCAGGTACGTCGCCAGGATCGCGCTGCGCGTGTCGACATCCTCGACGGGGACGGGGCGGCCCCGGTCGTCGCGCGGCTGGAACACCAGCCGTCGAGTGTCTCGGTCCAGTCGCCAGTGCTGCGTGAGAGGCATGCGCTCCGCCACCGACGCCGTCATGTAGCCCAGACACGCCGTGCAGCCGTCGAGGTAGAAATGATAGTATCCATTCACCACCGCCTTGAACTTGTCCCGGTCCGAGTCCGAGTCGTAAGGAAAGCTTTTCAGTCAGTCAGTCAGTCAGTCAGTTGGGTTGGTGTGCACCAGCGAGCAAGCCCCTTTTCTGTGGGGTGGAGGGGTTCGTGCGACACTGGTACGCAGGTAGACTCATGGGCATCATAACACACAAACCGGGACGCGGAGTGGTAGGACGTACTTACTTGTCGCATTCATTGACCAGGTCCAGGTTCGACAGGAGGGCCATACTGAACCACCCAGATGATAGCACCCGGCTGCTGCAAGAGATATAGATGTTATTTGGAGAAAGAATGGAGTTGGTTATAGACGAGGTGACTGGTTGGTTTTGTATAATACATATTGTGTACACTACGGCGGCGTCGGCGGTCGACTCTCCGGCACCGGCCATGTCTATCCGCCCACTTGGCGCTCGATATTATCTGATCGAACTTCCCAGGTAATTTACGGAGTACAGGTACTTATACCTACTCGAACTAAGTGTCGGGTCATCTCTCTCTCTCTCTCTCACACACACACACTTACGTATATGTATATGTAGGTAGGTGCTTTCCCGCTTCTGGAGCCATGGGTTACTCTATTCTCCCACGTAGATATAGCCTTCTTATTCCCAGTCACTACCTCCCTACCTCAAGTCACCTTCCACCATCATCGTCCAAAGAAATCCCTTCTTCTGCATCAACTCCTCAAACGCCCCAGACTCGATCACCGCGCCTTTGTCCACCACGATGATCTTGTCTGCGGACTTCATCGTCTCCACCTGGTGCGAGATGTTGACCATGGTCCGACCTCGAGCGTGATCATTTCCTTCCTTCCCGTTGCCTAACGAGCCACCACCACCAGCAACCTTGTCCAACGCGTTTCTTACCAGCTCCGCATTCTCGACGTCCAATGCGCTCGTAGCTTCGTCCAGGAGCAGGCTCTGTGGGTCGCGCAGGAGAGCCCTGGCTAAAGCAATGCGTTGTCTCTGGCCGCCGCTGAAAGCTCGCCCGTGTGGTCCGCACTCGGTGTCGTAGCCACTCGGTAAGGAGATGATGAAGTCGTGAATATTGGCGGTCCGGCAAACAGCTTCGAGTTGTTGATCGGTTACAGTCTCATCGTCTTTGACACCCAAGAGTAGATTGTGTCGTAACGTGCCCTGATAGAGGGTGGTCTCCTGTGACACGAACCCGAGCATCGAGCGGTAGGTGTGGACATCGAGCGAACGGATGTCAGTACCATTGATGAAGATTTCACCAGCGGTGACGTCGTAAAAGCGTTCGAGGAGCGCAATGATGGTCGACTTGCCACAGCCGCTGGGTCCCGTTATACATACCTTTTCTCCAGGTCGAATCTTCAAGTTGAGATCATGGAGGACTGTCACATCGGGTCGAGCTGGGTAGCGGAAAACGACGTTCTTAAACTCGATGGCGAAGTCTGTGGAAGGCAGTGTGCGCGGGTCGATGCCTGGCTGGAAGTTGATGGCTGGTCTTTTCTGCTTCATGTAAAACATACGGTTCATCGCGGCTTGAGATTTCGTAATGCCTGCAGGAAGCATCACATGTCAGCAGAAGTTTCAAGTCAGTTTGCAGGATACTCACTTGCGGTGTATCCTATACAGTACCCAGCAGATTGCCCTCCAAAAATGACGGCACCATAGACCAAGAAGTACGCCGAAACCCCCAGGTCGCCATACGAGACAAGCCTTCCGCCGTACCAAAACACTAAGGACATGGCTTCGCTCCAACTGTCAGCCAGACGCTTCAAGTGATGAGGCAGGGTGCTGATCACTTACCTAGCAAATCGGAGGAGTCCGCGAGAGAGAAAAAGAGCATGGACAACATGGTCCGTCTCAAAGAGCTCACAGCGGCGGTCTTCAATCTGGCCGAATACCGCTCAATAACCTTGGACTCCATTGTCAGGGATGCAACGGTCCGAATCGCTCCAACCGCCTCGGAGCTGAAGCGGGCACTCTCCATGAAGAACTTCGCCGCCCGCTCCTCTGATTCCCGGTCGATCCTCATGCGCAAGTAGCCGGCCAGGAGAAGCAACGGCACGCAACAAAAAACCCCCACCAAGGCCAGCTTCCAGTAGACGGCCAGTGCCAGGATGGCGTTGGAGATCAAATCGACAACAAAGAGGACAAGCAGTCCAAGGTTCAAGCCGATCATCAAGTCCATTTCGTCGCCGTCAAGTCCCAGCAATGCGGTCAAGCCTCCGGACGAATTTCCGCCCTCCTCAAAGAAGGTAATGTCTTGAACGAGCAAGCCTCTCAAGTACTCCACGCGGTATTTCAGAGAACTTTGGGCGCCCGCTATCGCAAACAAAAACCAAGTGACGGCGAACGTGATCAAATGCGCCAACCCCAGCATGAAGAACATAAGCGCCCAGAAGTCGGCCCGGGAGAGCAGCTTCGAACCCTGATATTGAAAGATGGTGACAAGTCTGGAGAAAAGAAAGGCTTGGATGGGTATGAGAGCACCGGCGGCAGCGCCCCCCATTAGACCACCCACGAATATAGGTATGATCCTTTTTTGGTCGGAGAGTATCATGAGCAGGCATTTGATCAGAGAAAAGCGGCGACTGACGGATGTTGCCTCAATGGTAGCTCCCACCGCGGCTTGTCTTGTTTGAGGGCCCTTCGCGGAGCCCGATCTCTGGGTCGCGGCTGTAGCTTTTTTGACTCTCTCCTGTATTGCCTCGTTCAACGCCCTAGTATTCTCCTTACCCCTGATCAAGCTCTTTGCGCGGAGAAGATGAGCATATGGCCCGTCTGCAGCTGCAAGAGAGGCATGATTCCCTTGCTCTCTGACGTGGCCGTCCTCCATAACGACGATATTGTCCGCATGCTCGATCGTGGACAACTGGTGCGTGATCATCACCGTTGTTCTGCCCTGAGCAGCTCTTGCCAGTGCTTGTTGTACAACCCTCTGAGAGTCCCGATCTAGGCTGCTGGTGGCCTCGTCCAGTAAAAGGATTTTTGGTTTCGAAATGATGCTTCTGGCGATTGCAATCCTTTGCTTTTGGCCACCACTCAGGAGATCAGAATGTTCGCCGACTTTGGTGTTGTACCCTTCGGGGAGTGCTTGTATGAACTCGTGTGCGTCTGCCGTGATGCAAGCCTCGATGACCAATCGACGCTGGTCTCTTTCGTCCAGTCCGTTGACATGTGTCTCACCCAATCCATTCAGAACATTTCCGTAGATGGTATCGTTGAACAGCATGGGCTCCTGGATACATGACATTGAATCAGCCTTGACCCATCCGTTGCGAGGACCCCCTGATTTACCTGTTGCACCAACCCAATCTGCCCTCTCAACCAATCGAGGCTGAGCTCTTGTATATTTGTGCCATCCAGATAAATCGAGCCTTCATTAGGATCATACCACCGCTCCAAGAGCCCCACGACGGTACTCTTGCCACATCCACTGTGACCGACAATTGCAGTCAGCTTGTTGGCAGGAATTTCTATGCTCAAGTCGTTCAGAACGCGAATGGTTCGTCTTGTCGGGTAGGAGAACGAGACGTTTCTCAGACTCAACTGCCCGGTGATTGTCTCGGGTATGATCTGGCGAGACTGACCTGTTCCCGCATCTCCGAAGGAAGATTCGTCCAATACCTTCAGAACCTGCTGCGCCGCTGCTGCAGCCTTGATGAAATTTGGTAGAGAAGGAGCAACTAGTCCCATCGACGAACTCCCTATAACAATAGCCATCAACACCCTATGTTCAGGTCAGTTCTCACCTGCATCACACACAATGTTGAGAATTAAGACTAACGTTATAAGAGCGCCTCCGTTCTCTATCTCATCACGGTTGAGCAGTCGTACTCCGTAGTATAGCGCCAGTGCGTAGCCGCTGTGCACCGCAAACCACATATTCCCGAAGATTGAAGCCTCGATTGGTCCTCTCTTGATGCCAAAGATCTTGTTTCTCTCGATGACTTGCTTGTATTGTGCCGTGACCTTGTCTGCCGCACCAAGGGCCGTGATGGTGAGAACACTGCTCAGCCATTCTTCAACCATACCGGATGCTTTCACGTAAGTCGTACGCATTTGCGCCTCGATTCTTGCATCCAGAAGCGAGAGAAGTCCAGTTGTCAGCACCATGTATGGAACGATCGCGGCAATCACAAGTGTCAGTCTCCAAGATTTGATGAATGCAATGGCAAAGGCTGTGACCAACATTGAGATCGATTGAAAGGCTGTGGCAACCTTTTCAGCAAGTCCGACCTCAATCAGATTGGTGTCTGTCGACAAACTCGAGCCTATAGAACCCGCCGTGTGGTGATCAAAGTAAGAGATGGGTCGATGTAGAACGGTCTGGAGATACCGGAGACGGATCCTGCGAGTTATACGAGAAGCAGAGATGGAATGCATGACAGTGCCACAGTAGCCCATCTTCATAGCGGTTGTCAGGAAACCAACGGTAGGGACAGAAGCTTCAGCTGAAAGGGAAAACGTACCGCAAACTTTCCGACAAAAAGATACACCAACCAGAGCGTATTCTGGTTGACCTTGTGCCGAAAGTCGGCAGGCTGGATTCCACCTGTCCCCCAGCCGTTGAAGTCTTGGACAAAGTCTCCAAGAATGATTGTCATCAAGGGCAATGCTGAGCCTGCCGCCGCAGCTGCAGCTGCACCGCATATTCGCAAGACGATGTCAACAGAGTTGGCATAGGTTAGGAGACGCCAGTAGGCTTTCCATGCTGACAGCTCAGTCTTCAAGGTCTCATGGCTATCTTCGACAGGTTCGGGAACCTCAATTTTCTCGTCGCCATTCATGTTTTAGTCAGTTGACGTGCTGTTTAGTTTCCATCTTGATGCTTGTAGCGCTCGTTGAGCTTCGCTTTTCGAGTGTCAGGAATTCTGGGTGCTAAGTCCCCGCTGGAGAGAGGAGGAAGAGATTTGGTGCCGTCCACTATTTGTATCACACCCATTTTTGACTCAACCCCAGGCAGCACAGTTAAACAGTTGCAGTGATCACACATGGAGCAGCTGTGAGTCGAGCCTCTCACGAGACTTGGAGGTGGTATGATTGTCTACCTCAATCAGGCCATTGGGGGAAGCCCAGAGCCAAGCCAACATGGGGCGCAGTTGGCATCGCATACGAGGTCTCGGTCAGGGCTCGACGAAGACAATGGCCTGCTTGGCCCTGCTGCCAACGCTTGGGTTGACTGATTCTCAGCGAATGGGACAAAGGAGAAGGTTAGTGATTGTACGTGCGGGCTTGGAGACACGCGATGCATGAGAGAATTCGAGGGCCGAACTGTATTGAGTCGATTACAAGTGAACAGATTGGAGAGAGCATTGTAGGCAGGAATGACCCCAGAAAGCGGAAGAGACAATGATGAGAATGAAGATAACGGGCGATAGATGTATCTAGGAAGAGGTAGAATCAAGTAGAAGTTCAGCGAGTTACATCCAGTGTGCGAGCGACATGATGCCACGAACGAAGCTGGTTTTGAGGTTGGCTTGGGCTGACCACTGGACAGCTGCCAATGAATTTGCCGTAGTGTGTGAAACAGGGCGTCGACGAGGTGGTTGCGTGCATCACGGTGAGACGCAGGATTCTTTGTTATGTACATACAGTATATAAAAGTCCCGCAGGCTCTCGGCTTGGCAGCGTTTTCCCCCATCAACACCATCCAACTGCTGCTCACTTCTTCTTCCTCAGATCTTTCCTCTGTTCAGCCTCTGCTTCGCTTAAGAATAGCCCTTGTTCTACTCGCTACCTACCGCGCTGCAACCATGTTTGGAGTATTCATTCCCACCCGTCCCATCATAACCGAGATGGCGACCGTCTCACCCAACCAGTTTGCCGTCTCCTTCCCAGCCTCACCACCGTTCCACAACGTCGGCGTCTTCCTGCACCCCAATAATCTTCTCCCACCAGGTACGGCTGCTGGAGTCTACATGCAACTGCCGGGGGAGCAGGGATTCAAGTTCCTGGGGGCCATCGGCAACGAGAAGCCCTCAGCCTTGTTCCGCGTCAACCTGCCGGACGCCATTGCCAACAACCCGTCTGCCGGGCAGATCAATCTCGGTATCTCCGTGGAGCCAGCAGACAACATCCAAGCACAGATGCTGCAGCTTCAACAGCAGTCACCGTCGGCGTCGAATTCCACTGCTGTGGCAAAGAGACCCCCCGATACGAGGGTGTTGGCCCAGCGAATCATCAGGAACGCCTTCAATTTCTTGGCCAGCTTTGCCGGCAACACGGCCAACGGGATCGAAGTTGTGCCGCTGAAGAGCTTTCAAGATTGGTGGACCAAGTTCGAAAGACGGGTACAGAACGATCCAGGGTTTTTGGAGAGAGACGGATTTTAGAGGATGAGGTCCTTCCAGAATCGGAACCGCGACTACGGACGTCCACAGAACGACAAGGTCCAGATCAATCTTGCCAATTTTACATTCGGACTGTTTGAGAACTTGACCGTGTAACGCCTCGCTCTGAGAGATAGCAGGCCAGAAGCTACCTGATGTATGTTTGAGGAGCTCTACCCGCGCCGCTTGAAAATACCAACACCGACACCGCCACAATCTAGAGATTTACAGACAGCAGGGGGCCCACTGCTTCACCACTGCATCGACAGGATCTCATCCTTGCTCCAGTACTTGCGCATGTTCTCCGCGCCCAACATTCTCACCTCGTCATCCAGGTGTGCCCACAACACTTCCCCAAATGAATCCATGATTTCCTTCAACTCCGGCAATCTCAGCTCCTTCTCGCCGCTCCGACACGCGTCCAGATACTGCTCCAACTTCTCCAGCCCTACGTGGATCTGCTCGTGTTGGGTGATGAGGTGATCATGCGGCCCGAAGGCCGGCATGCGTTCTGCCAGTTCCGGAAAGACGTGTTGTTCTTCGATCGTGTGGTGGATTGTCAGAGCGTGGCAGAGGTGCAGGCCCTGGGAAATGAAGCCGCGGAGAGACATGCCGGCCGGTCGAGACCCGGACGTGCAGGTCTTGTACAGCATATTCCAGGTGTAGCGGAAATGGTTGTGCTGGCGAAGGTGGTGTTAGTGCAAGTCCTCGAAGAAGCCATTCAGAGCGAAAGGGGATTTCTCCTCAGACAATACCAAGACACAAGGACGGGCAAACGCAAAATTCAAGTCACAAAGACAGACAACGAGGGTTGCACATACATATGCTTCCATCACGTCAGCCATCCTGTTATAGATGCGAAAATCCTGGGCAGAGAGTTTCGGCAGCTCAGGCTCCGACGTGGTCTCGTCGGCATTGTTGTTCTTTGAAGAAGCATCTGTCGAAGGTGTCACTTTCTGCTCGGCCATGCAACTCTGGGGAAGAGGGTCTGACGAAGCCATGGTGCTGGGAACCGACGAGACCAGCCTTGCCTGGCCGATTCGTTGATGTCGCGGCTCTGCCAGAAAAGATGAAGTTCGAGATATCGTCGATGCCGGCGTCGATGTTGAGAGGGCCGGGGAATTCAGCGCGCTGCCTTGATTTCCGGTCTGATACAGCCTTGCCCCGGCAATCCAGGCGGGGACCTTTACCCTAAGGGCTTGGAAATTCGTCGTCGTCGCGGGAGTGACTCGCAATAGAGCGGGTGTCGATAGAGCGATGGCAATCGCCAGCATCAAGATCCCAATACCGAGGAGTGGCAGTGACGATCCCCAACGTCTCATACGCCTCGTCCTGTTCTGTCGTCGTGTTAAAAAAGCACGAGGAGACAAAGAAAGGGAAGAGAGACAAAAAGAGAGGAAGATAAATACCCACCCACTAGCCAGACACCGAGAATATATAAATGCCAGGATGTTGATCTACCTATCTAGGTATCTAGGTTCCCTGATACGTCGCTCACACGTCGTAATTATTATGATGTATGTACCGAGTACCTAACAAGCGGCACAAGATTCAATTATTACACCGAACCGAAAAACGCGGAAGTGTTTGTTCCAGGTTTGTCCCGAGCCCCCGAGTCTCCGAAGAAAGAAAGAAAAAATTATCAGGGCCTGCGGAACCAATCACCCGTCCCCCGTTGGGGAATTACGACGAGCCCGCGTCATGTGACTGCCCGGGCTCTCGGTCGAGATATCTATTACCCACCACCTATGTAACCTACATAGGGTAGTATGTGTGTAACTATGTGTGAACTTATGTACTTATGTATTTACTTGTACGAGATACACACACCGACTGAGTTATGGTATTATTTAGGCAGGAGTATAGATTGTCAATACCTGACTGATACAATGGTTCGACCGAGGGAGGGCAATAATGAGGCGTGAGACTAACAAAGCTAGAGAGAGTGGAGAGCGAGGAGAACAGGAATGGCTCAACATCATCATGATCACATCAAGACTGTGAGAGACTTGGGGCTGGCTTTCATGTTCATACTTCTTCATTATCCATTTTACATCCAGCGAGGACTGCTTACATACACATAGGTAGCTAGCTAGCTAGCCAGCAGAACTTTGCGAGATTTTAAACCCGGCAGCGCCAGCCCCGTGCACAGTAAAGTAGCCCTAAGCTGTGTGTGTGTATTTTGATAGAGTGTGGGAAAGACATGAAAGCCATGGGGGGTCCAGAATGAAGAAACCCGAAGCAAAAAAACCAGGACCATTTCTTTTTATCGGTTTGGACATTCTTTCAACTTCCATGCCTGCCTAACTTTGCGGGGTAAGATGTTGAGTGTTTCGTTCTCTCATGACTTCTCTTCCTTTTTTTGGGGGGTTGTTTGGCTTCTTTACATTTTTCTTCTCCTTGTCGGAGATACCTTGAAGCCTGTTTAACCGAAGAGAGCACCACCAAGTCGGACTCTGACGGACTTGACCTGGGTGTAGTTGGCCAGCGCATACTTGCCGAGCTCACGGCCAATACCGGACTCCTTGAAGCCGCCGAAGGGCACCTGGTAGCTGATCATGTTGTAGTTGTTGACCCAGACGGTGCCGGCCTTCAAGGCGTTGGCAACCCGGATAGCAGTGTTGAGGTTGGAGGTGTGCAGGGCAGCGGCGAGACCGTAGGTGGTCTCGTTGCCGAGTCGGATGACCTCCTCCTCGGTGTCGAACTTGCTGATGGAGCAGACGGGTCCAAAGATCTCTTCTTGCATGATCTTCATATCCTCAGAGACGTTGGAGAAGATGGTGGGTTGGATGAAGTAGCCCTCGGTACCGTGGCGCTCGCCACCGGTCTCAACCTTGGCACCGGCCTCCTTGCCAGACTGGATGTAGTTCATGATGCGGTCGAATTGGAGCTTGCTGACCTGAGGGCCCTGGAAGGTGTCGGCCTTGAATGGGTCGCCCACGACGTTCTTGGCGGTCCGCTCCTTGAAGGCCTGGATAAACTTGTCGTAGACGCCCGACTGGACGTAGATACGAGAGCCGGCACAGCAGCACTGGCCGTGGTTGAAGAAGATACCGAAGTTGACCCACGAGATGGCGTCCTCAATGTTGGCGTCGTTGAAGACGATGTTGGGGGACTTGCCACCGAGTTCGAGGGTGACCTTCTTCAAGTTGGACTTGGCGGCAGCTTGCAGGATGGTGCGGCCGACAACGGTCGAGCCAGTGAAAGCAACCTTGTCAATGTCCATGTGGGAGGCAATGGCCGCACCAGCGGTCTTGCCGAAACCAGAGAGGATGTTGACGACACCGGCGGGGATGCCAGCCTTCTCGCAGAGAGTGGCGGCAAACAAGCCAGAGAGAGGGGTCTGCTCAGCAGTCTTCAAGACGACAGTGTTACCGGTGGCCAAAGCAGGACCAATCTTCCAGGACCACATGAGAAGAGGGAAGTTCCATGGGATGATCTGGCCGCAGACACCCACAGCCTCGTGTCTCGTATAGTTGAATGTCTCTGGGTCTGTGTCGATGGTCTTGCCGTGGATCTTGTCTGCCCATCCACCGTAGTATCTCAAGCAGCCAGACGACAACTGGACGTCGACCTTGGCCATCGACAGGGCCTTGCCATTGTCCAAAGATTCAATCGCAGCGAGGGTATCCGAATACTCGTCGAAGAGGTCGGCGAGTTTGGACAGCATCTGACCTCGGACACTGGGGAGGGTCTGAGCCCAGACGCCATTGAACGCTTTGCGGGCGGCCTTGACGGCGATATCGACATCTGAAGAGAGCACAGTGTCAGTAAGCTGAACGACCACGACGCACACGCAGTGGGACCTGGGATAAACTCACCCTCGGGACCGGCCTCGTGGACGGCGATGATGGGCTTCTCGTTGGTGGGGTTGATAGTCTCGAAGGTCTTGCCCTCAACGCCCTTCACCCATTTGCCATCGATGTACAAGCCCAGGGGTTGCTCGTAGGTGATGCTGGGGGTCTCGATCTTTGCGGTCAAAGACATGGTGGGCAGAGTGATGTGAAATTCGGGTTGTACAGAACAAAAACTGGGATGGGTATCACAACGGAAGAGAAAAAGTCGCAGACTTTTCGTAATAGACAAGAAAGAAGAGAGGAGGAGCAGACCAGCACCGAGGGCGAGAAGAGTTCTTTATTTGAAATACTCATGCGCGGGGAAGTGCCAACGCCATCGAAAGCAACCCATATCCACTGCACAAAACTTCATCCATCCTTCGCTTTCCTATGGACCGAGCCAGTCAACACGAGAATGGGGTCCAGTGATCCACTGATCCAGAGGTCGAGCGGGCAGAATGCTACGAGGAGGACGCACGAATTCCGTCACTCAGGTTTGAGGGGCGATTGGCAGCCGCATCCAACTGCGGGGTTGAGAGGGTTGGTCAGACACCGGTGTGAGACGCTCAGTGGATCAAAGGAGATCAGAACAGCCAGACACGGAAGTCTCCAGGGTCAAGGAGGGCTTGATGCTCTGCAAGATGGAGTGAGGAGATTGGACGCACTGCGGATACTAGAGCTGTGGCAATGTCTCGAAAGAGGGGTATCGATTCGACTGGTTCTGGTTCTGGTCCTCGTCCTGACCCTCGTCCTCCTTGTCTATCCGATCGTTGACATGGCCCTTTCTGTGTGTGTCTGTCCGGTGAACCGTCTCTCGGGTTCTGGATGGTCCAAAGGATCACCGGACGAAGGTCGTGTGTCTGGGGTGAGATGCATTGGCGGCCTTGCTGGCCTGGATGTCCTAGTCAGATCTTGCTTTGCTCCGAGGCTAGTTCGAGTCGTTACCACGACTACTGATCGGAAAAGAGATGAGAAGGCCACATAGCTTCGGGATGACCACAGCTATGTGTGTACGTGGCTAGTCCGGCTCTCTGGAGAGGCCGAGACGGTTGAGCTGAGAAATGTGCCATATCAAAATTCACCGGATCAACAATGTCTAGATCGCGCCAGACGTCGGAGCAAGGAACGATCTGATGTGTGTAGGTACATCATGGCGGGAGGAGTCAAGAACAACACGACCATAGGCCTCTGGGTGGATCGAAAAAAGCTCTCTCCAGGCATCAGAGCTTCGGAGAAAGGGTATACGGACGAGATGCATGTTGCTGCGAGTCGGCTACATGGAGCAAACCCCTGGACATCTGTTTGTCTTTCCGTACGAGAACAGTGTTGGACGGAGAGATATTGCTCCGCCAAGTTATGTCCAGCAGCATCAAGATTGTTGACTGATTACCTATCTCCTCCTCTGTGAGCTCAAACGTGAGCATTGACACGACACACGAAAATGCAATTCTAGGATACGAAGAGCTGTGGTTGCTCGCGCGGCTCGCCTCCCCCTCGCCTTTCCCCCTTTGCGCTTTCCCCTCCCCCTCCGATCTAATTCCTTTTAGGGAATGCCGTAGAGAGGGAGAGAGATGGAGGGGCACGACAGGGCCCGTCTCCGTTGGCGCGGGGCTGGTGTGGCGTTCCCAGTACTCGTAGCAACCCATCATTTGTAAGTCATGGGGCCGGTAAGAGCTAGATGAGACCTGCTGGAGGCGAGGACGGAATACTTGCCAATCTGAGTCGACACGAGTTACGAGTGGTCTGTGTGTTCTGGATCGCCCCTCGCCCTTCATTTCCTGACCTGGATAGACTGCGCGCCCTCGGGATGTTTGCCAGATCACAAAATACCCCCTTTCAGCCGTAGGTACATGAATACAGTATGTACGATGGTACACCAAGGATGAGTATTCCGTTGCCATTATTGAAGCTCCTCGGGAAAAAGTCGTTTCCTGAATGGGCAATTTTATGCGCATCCTCTGCACGATTTTCGTTGTGATCGATCAGTCAGGAATCGAGCGATTAGTGAAGACCAGCCCCGAGGTTGGAAGGAGAGTGTAGACGTTCTTATTGTTCTGGGAAAGTTTCCGAAGCTTTTGTCTCGCTTTGCTTACGCAAACGACTAATCCTGTACGAGGTACGCGGTGATTGTCGTCGTGCTGTCTGGGGGTGAAAAGGGAGGGTCGGAAAGGAACAGACACTGCACGTCGGTGCTACAAGTCCCGACAGTAGCTGTGCCGAGGTCGCCCATCACGTGCAGGTGGAGAAATAATAATGCGTGCGTTATAATTTGTACTTCCGAAATTTTTGTCTGGCTGTCGTGGTCAAAAAGTTAGGAGGTTCTCTTGAGCCTGTGGGCGTCGCTTCACACTCACACTTGTTCAGTCGTGCCTTGCTCGGGATTTCGGGTCGTTCATCGTACTCGTGTGTGCAAACCACGATGCTACGGAGCGCTAAGCAATCGGAAGTGACACTTGAGGGAAGTAATTCTGCAGAGGACCTTCCACCCGGAGTTGGCGATGTGAGATTACACACTGGCAAGATATGCGAAGTCCCAGGTTCGATATGGGCAACCAACTTTTTTGCTTTTTTTGGGGGGTGTTTTTAATTCCGATGGCAATTCCATTGTGTGGAGAAGGAATAGCCGAAACAGATGGCTATCTAAAAACAGAAAGATATCCGACCACCAACAAAACGAAAGGATCACTTGGATACAAGATCAATCCTTGTTCTATTGTCTATCAACCACAAATATTTGATCGCTACCGAGAACAATGCCCGTTCACTACCACCTCAGTGGCCCCGTCCACCAACACACTGCGATTTCGTTCCTGCGTCGACGGCGCGACATCCATGGCGGGATTCCGGGTGAAGAAATTCACCGGCTTCAGTCCCACTACCATCTTCTCGCACGGCATCACCGGCCAGTCCTCGACCCGCGGGTTGTGAGTTGATCCAAAGGTGTGCCAAACGACAATGTCTTGGTTTTTGACGTCAGAGGCAGCATTGTCCGCCGCTGACACCTCTTGCTGCCCTTGCCGCTTCGCGATCCAGCTGGCAATCCCTTCGCCGCCGAGGGACTGCATGGTGTGGTCGCCCGCCGCGAACAGCTCTCCGTCGTGATATCTCGTCACCCAGACCGCGTGCGCGCCGAACTCGGATCTCTTCGCGTGGTACGACGATGGGTGCGCGAGGACGAGTTGGCTATAGCATGGGACGAGTTTATAACCGACGGGGCCGTCGGTAACGGGGTTCGTCACGCCCTCGTTGACCATCTTGAAAACGCGGTTGACCGTGTGGTCGAGATCTAGTCCACATTCTTTCTTCACCGTCTCGGCTCTGGTCGTGTATCCAATGCCGAACGGGTTGTGGGCGCTGGGGTCCTGGCTCTCCAGTGGCATGGCGTGTGACTCCTCGACGATCAGAGAATTCTTCCACCCCGCCACGGCAGGGTCGATCCGCAGACAGAACAGGTGCTGATGATACGGTGCCATGACGCCCGGGGCAACTGTCGTGCCGAATGGCACCTTGTCCCCCACGTTGATCGGCACGGTCGACACAATCCCTGTCGCCCGCACTTCATAGTGCAGCGACGCATCCTGGCCGAAGTAGAAGGCGAAGATGTACTCGTAGTTACTCACGGTGATGATGGTCTGCAACACCAAGACCCGCGAGCGGGTGACCACGGCGTTGCCGGTGCGGAAGTTGGTGTGTTTCCACAGAATCCCGTCGTCGATTTCATGACAGCACACCGCGTTGGGGAGCTTGATTGGATCTCCCGAGCTGGTGGCGTGCCAGCCGTCGAAGTACTTGATGTGGCCTAGACAGTCGCACCCCAGCTGCAGGTTGTTGGCGTTGCAGCCGGCGCCGTCATTGCCCAGATCAAAGGCGGCTTTACGGGCATACGGCATTCGCGGGTCGCCGTAGGGAACAAACATCTCGGAGAGCGAGAGGCGATAGAACAGTGAGTGACCGTCATACCGGACGTCGTGCAGAGTGAGTCCTTCCCTGTAGTTGAACCCGACGCGCAAACGCCACTTTTCCCAGCGGATGAGGTTGCCCTCGGTGGTGAATGAGGGACCCTCCGGTTGCAGGACGTGGTACGGCTTGGTGGACGTGCGGTGTTCCGGGACCAGGTCGGGGTGATACTCGATGTCCGCGTCGAAGATCTTCCTCCGGTCGTATGGTTTCGCGGTCATGCTGATGTCGTTGGACGTGCCATTGGGGAGATGGTAGATCTTCAAGACCCGCGCGTCGCCGGACATTTCCACACACAGATCCAGGGGGTACGCATAATGGTTGGCATCCGGGTGGCTGATCAGTTTCATGTAGAAGTAGCACTGGAAATGCACATTTCGCCGTCAGTGTTGCTTCTTCCGTGCCGGCCCGGTCAAGAAGGACGCTCGTTTGGGAACACACTCACCATGGTAATCTTTTGGCTCATATCGTTCATCCCATCTGTCGCATACGTCCAAGGTTCAATCTTGACCACGGCCCCCTCGGGAAGTTGCATTTCCTTGATCGCGGCCTGCACCCTGCTGTCCCCCAGACAGGCGGCCTCGGTCTTCTGCATGTCGTTGGCGTCGACGTGGGGATGCCGCCCGACCAACTGTTCCTTGTGCACGACCTCTCCCGTTTCCACATTGACCTTGAGTTCATAAAAGTGCGCACTGTCCCGCGGTTGACCCAAGAAGACCTGAACCGTGGCGAGGCGAGCGGGCCTCTGTGACGATGGCCCCGAGGAGACGACACCCTTGCCGTGCTCGTGCTCCAAGAAAGCCATCATTTCAGCCTTGGCCGGTTCCGCAAGGGTTATCACCCGAAAATATGCTTCGCCATCTGGGAACGCTGCTCGGACATGCTTCGCGGTCTGGAAAGGATCAATTCACGATCGAAAGACATACACACGATAACATAAAAATGAGCATGCTTACTTGAGAGATCTCCAGAGGAGTGAGAGGGTCCAAAGGGTGGGACGCCAGCACTGCCATTTTCCGCAGAGGCTCTCTCGTTGTACCTTTCCTGTATGCGAGCCAAACGGTTTGTATTCAGGGTCGAAGTCGGCACAGGAGATGATTACTGACGGGTAAAGTACAGGCAAACTGTTGCATGCTGGAAACAAACAAGAAGTGGAAGAAGATGTGGATCCTACGCCTTCTGACGAGACTTGAACTGCAAAGGGGATGTACAACGCAATCCGAAGTTATACCTCCAAAGGTTGGGTTGAGGCTCGTCGCCCGGGGCGTGTTGAAGCCTCGGAGGAATCCGCATGCCGTGAAATAACTTGGCCGAGCAGTGGACGGATATTCGCGATCCCCAGGGGTTTAGCGAGACTGGCCTAGGCATCTGATAGCATACTGCAGATACGCGCCAAACTATTGAGCAAGACAAAATAGGTCTCCACGAACGATATGAGAGGTGATCACAGAAGAAATCATGGATGAAAGGGAAATTGCTGCTACTTCTTCCTGGGGAGAGGCTGTTTCGACTGCAGAGGGGCAGGGAGGACTGAAGAGTCCGAGGTTGCTTCGACAGACGTTCAGTCAGAAGGGAGGACGTCAAAGCTCCATCCGGAAATTTCACCAAACTCAGGGACGAGCAGGTAGATCATCCCTCAATCATGTCGTACAGTGCAGTCATACACGTTCTGCACCTTGGTGTAGGAAGACAACACACAAGTCGATGCGCGTTCGCGTGAGAAAACCAGTGTTAAGCCAGGAAAGTCTTTTCATTGAGATGATCGGCCAAAGGGCGCGATGATTGAAAATTATGTCCAAGTCAGGACGCTTGTTGGAGCGAAACCCATGTCCTTCAACCGGCGCTGATGTACAGCCTTTCTTTCGTGTACAGGGAGGCGAGATTCGTCAGAGGAAGTCTGATAAGAGTGGCTCCATCCAGGCGTAGGCCACCAAAAGGGACTAGAAATCTTTTGTTGGTACATTTTTTTCGTCGCTCTTTCGTCGTGTTGTGTGTGCAAGGCGCCGCAGCGAGTTGTTTATTCCACGCCCGGTCCACTGTCGAATCCTTCGCTACCAGCGCCAAAGGAGCCAACCTTCAAGTTCTTGTCTTGCGCAACCATGATTGCGAGGATCTCGAGGATTTCTTTCGGCACGGTGTTATCGTAGATGCCGATCAGTGATTGCGGTTCGGGGTACACCTTGAGACCCTTGTAGAAGCAGAGCGCGGCGCCGATCGGGTCGGAGCCTGGAAGCAGAGTCAGTCATGCGGTAAGGGGCCACCGAGAATTGTTGTACAGACCGTCACCAGCCATAGCCTCGCCCTGGGCGATTTGTTGCATGAAGAACGCCTCCTTCTCTTCAATGTCTGTAGGGAAGCCCTCTTCAATGGCCTCCTGGACGGTTCGTTTGATCTCTTCCCGTTGCTGTTTCCCTTGAATCTCCGCCTCCTCTTTGGCTATCCGGGCTTGCCTGCGCGATTCCCGCTTCAGGGCTTTTCGGAACTCGGGGTCGTTTCTCCGCTTGTAATCGAAGTAGACGGCATATGCTGAAAAGCGTGTCAGTCGCCAAAAGGTACCGGTAACAAAGTCTTCTCTTCTGGATAGATCCACGCACCGACAAGCCCTGTGACCACTGTCCCGACAGATATTGACACGATCGTCGAGGTCTTCATGACGAGGATACAGAGAGGCCGGGCCCTGAAAAGAAAGATACGGTGGCACTACGACCAAAGATGAGAAGTAAGAATGCAAGAGTTCAAGAAACCGAAATGCAAATGAACTGAAAATGGATTCTAAGAAAGTGGTGTTAATACGAGATTCGGGTGTGGAAATGGTTTCTGCACAAATTGCAATGATACAGCTTTGGGAAATTTCGTAGCTTGGAAATGAGGCGCAAGTCGAGGACTGCGCTATATGACATAATGCTCCGCACTAATTCTACTGCGGGGCATTGAGGCGCATTGGAACAGGCCCAGCCTTGCCCCTGATCTCCTCGGCTGGTAACATATCGCAGCCACATCATTTGAAAAGGACATCGTCATCCTGAAAGCACAGAGGGGCGTCTGAAAGAGTACAAGCTGGCTGATTTCCTGGATTTCTAAGCCCAATGAAAGCTAGAGACCGACAAATGCAGCTCTTCTCCATTCTTTGCACCACGTAACATTGCGGGCGTTGGAGGTGCTTACATGCCGTGGGTACGCATATATCTGAAAGATTTCCATGTACCGGGCTGTTACTATACACCACGTTGATCCTCAAAATACCAGGACCCCATGAAGTATCTCCCAGTAGCTTCATCCCCGCTTTTCGTGTCCAGACTAGTGCGATTGCTCAGCACATATCCTCAACCTCTATAAATTCTCCTGCCCACGTGTAAAAGGAGAAGACGAAATAGTCGCCCTCGCCCTGGAAAATAGCATCAATGCCATGTAGCAGCGTGATGGCTAGACAAAGCTACCGTTGCTTCGTAGTTCGAGTCTTAGTTGAGAACCCTCAATCGAGACGAGTCCAAGAAGGAGCTGCTATAGGATTCCACACAATTGTATCTGTTGGCCATGGTCAACTCTCCAAATAGTTCAGGTCATTGGTTGAGGCACAATTCCGATCCGTAGAGTAGGTGACAGACAGCCTACCCTGGAAACAGCAATCTGTGCAGTTTCGGGCCAACAGGAAACAAAGCTGCAGGATAGCTCTTCTCTGAAGACAAAAAGCGGGTTTAGAGGCTTAATATCTTTCCAATGTCCCGCAGAAACGTCAGAAGATTTGCGGGCAGCTCTGCAGGGTGTTCCACTGCAGAGGCTAACGTATTGGGTGTTAGGGACATCATTGATCCTCCTCTCCTACCATGACACGCACGGACAATGATGAGTAAAGCGTCTCCCTCTCTCACCCGCTTCTTCAACGTGTTCACATTAAGCAAGGCGTCCGCTGATCCAGCGGCTGCTCGCGGAAACGCCTGGGTGCGCCTTTCGCACACCTCTGGCAGCTTCGAGTTGGGTTGGACGATATGTGAGACAGCCTGCCGATGCTGTATCACCCTCGCTGTCATCTTCAAGTCGTAGCCTGCTGGATTTACCAAGATTGGCCCATGGTGCCAAGATCAATTCTCCCTTTGACCATGCGAGCATAGCAGGGAGAAAGCAACTGATCAAGTAAGGATTAACGAAGACTTGCAGGCCAATCATAAAGCTGCCAACAATGTCTCCAGCCTTTTCCGGAATAGTTCTTGGTCACATCATGACCACTTACTCATCAACCAACTTCGAGCGTTCTTTTGTACCATTATACGGCAGTACCGCTGTGCATTAATCAGCAGCAAGAAGGCCCGCTGATATCGTGCCCGCCCAGGAGGATGGGAGAGGTTGTGCGAGATAGCTGGCAGAGGTCTCCGCATATCGCCGTCTGAAGTCGACATCTGCTGCCAAGCTTGTTCCGACGTGGCCGTTCCTAATCTTGCAGATCATTGCTTCAATGCTTCGAGCCGACGGGTACATATACCGTGATCGTGCCCCTTTCCCACCAGAGCTTGGATCCAAACTGAGATCCCCAGGCAATACCATTGAGAATATATATGCTCGAAACCCACACCTGAGGCAAGGACCCAAGTTGTTCCTAGCAGCAACGAGGGCAAGTCTCTGCTGATTACATATTCTCTTTCCATTTTCCCTGCGGCCCTGCCCAAATGAGGTCTCATGGTCGCGACTCGGAAGATGAAAAAGGTGATCCTCGGAGCCGCACCCCATTGCCCTATAAAGGTGGCTTTCAACGACGGGAAGACGGAACAGACCGAGAACCGCCTACAACAAAGACTGACAGGAAGAAGGGTGGCATGAATCCTGCGAGAGCCACCCAATAACAGGGAATAGAGATTTGAATCTAGTGAAGAAACGGTACAGTCCAGCGGGTATCTGATTGGTTAGCACAAAATAGTCCTGAGTCAAGCGCTACGTAAGCAGGCTTCTGACGGCACCAGCAAGGGCAATTTGACCAATGTAGGCGGGTGAGAAGAACAAAGTGGCTACCCATGCCTGTTCGATTGGACCATTCGAACCGATCTCCTACCAAATGCTCGATTTGCGGGAAACTGGTAGGAATTTGAAGACGATGATTGGCATCCTGGTGGTCAAGGGTACAGCTGCTCGGCTCCACACGTATGCACCAGCAAGACGTAGTACGGAGTACGAAGTACATTTATGAAGATTCCCCCAGAAAGCGCGGACTTCTTCCTCAGAGCTGGACTCAGCGAAGATGGGCAGCTGTACAAATCTCCAGCAAAGGAGCCTGAAACGGCGGGGAACTCACTCTGTAAGATTGCCCTGTCACCCTGCTCTGGGAACAGCCTTCCTCATGTGTGTCTCGTGCTAGAACAGTCGAGGAAGACCTTCCAGTGGCCCAACACGTCAATCGGAGGTTGACGACAACATCAGAAGACTGCAAAACCAGGTCGTCGAGCTCAAATTTGAGTGTAAACTCCTGCAGCAAGCACGGGATGACTCGGTCATTGTCGCTGCGCAGATGATCAAGGAAATCGAACGCTTGGAGGGTGTTCTCAAGGCCCTACTCCAGCAAAAAGAGGCGTCCTTGAAGGACAATGCACCCTGACCGAGAAACGATAGACGAGGCTGGGTCGGCCCGCATCTTTGCCCCAGATGTATGTAACATTGCATCGCACTTGGGCCAGACACAGGCCTAGGGTATCCGGACCTGCCATTCACTTGAGCAGCCCGTTAGGTTGATGCCTGCGCAGGCATGCCACGGGACAGCCACTCCTTCCAAACAAAGCACCCACTATCGGCGGCAGTGTGGAACTCAAAAGCGATTCCTAAAAATGAACTGGGAGGTCCTCTGTCGGGTTGCAATATTGCAGGACGGGGTCAGTCGGCGAAAGCTGGGATCCCGCGGTCGAGGCGCGGTAACATGATACGGGGAGGGGTTTTTAGTGTTAACCAAACTCGTCGAGAGGGCGACAGAGACGAGGCACACAGGTTCGGTGTAACTTGGTGACAGGGAGGTTCGTCTGAGCAGTTTTGCAAAGCGAAGAATATCGCCCGCACCACCCCATCTATTCTGATGCGGCTGGGCCTTCCAATTGAAGTACCTCGACGCGGAGTTGTATGTTAGACGAGCCTTTGATCAATAGGCTTGGTTCTTCCCGATCTTGATTCCCTAGGGAGGAGGTACTGGCTAGTGTGAGAGAAATTCTGCTCTTGGGCACAATACAGAATTTGACAGTCAGTGACCCATGTTTTTAACTTATAACTTCTTGAATGTATTGAGATGCGGAGATTCACTGCGACGTCTCAGCAGTGTCTGAAGACATCTTGGAACGCCACAAGAACTCAGGCCCCGCTCTGGCCGCCGGTGTGGATAAACCGACGTCGTTGAGTTCTTTCCAGCATCGCATCGATGAACGATGGCGACTGTCTGGCTTCGATACAGTTGGCAAAAGAAAAGGTGCTTGATAGCTTTCGTTTCATCAGAGCGTGACAATAACTGGAATCCAACTCGGAATAACAGGCAATGCGTATCTCTACCTTTGAGGTGATGTGCATCCAGGCATAATATCATAATAGCAGCCGACGACATGGACATTTTCGTGCCTTCCGCGACCAACATGCTCACTGCCCGGGCAGGTTGGTCGTACGAACCCTGTGGCGAATAGCACAATGTTTCTTTTGCAACCGGTTCTCGATTTCCCAATCGAACGTAAGCCGGGGACTTCAATCCAAGACTGGTGGTATCCAGGGTACGTAGAAGCGGTGTCGCAGAAAACTTACACCGCTCAACCTTGTGGCGTTTTTGGAATACTTGACCTTTGTGCTGATGTGACACAGGCTTCTAGAGGTAACGCACATACATAGCTCCGATGCTTGTACTTCCTCGTGGCTTGAGTCCGGGACGGCTTCTGTCTCCATCAACCCTGTCTACTGATGATGAAGATGGCTGGGAGGGAAGCTATAGAAGCCACAGCGTCATAGCACGCAGGCTTCCGGAACAGTTGCATCCATGAGCTGCAGGGTAAGCGGAGTAAATGAGACAACAACCAATTTGGTATCATTTGAGGTCCAGAAGATCCGACTTCATCCCAAGCCAGGTCGAGGGATGGGTATGCCATGCAGGAACGAAGGACCGACAGGGAACAGACAGCACCTTACACAAGGGGAGTTCTACCTACCTTTGGCAACAATTCAGGCTCACTAGCTCAGCTCAAGCAAAAGCCTGACCCTCGCTGGACCCTACTAGACTTCAGGGGCGGAAAATCTGTGCTGCAGCTGCAGCGTCACTCTCAAGTACTTTGCCTCTTCCTTAGAAGCTGTGGTAGAATCGTATTGATACTTGTGCAGTGCAGAATTTCCATCGACCATCATGCAAAGCAAACCCATCCAGCGGTATCTCAAACATCGGTTGCGTTGTTTTGATAGGGCACACAACAGATGATCTTCTGCTGGGTTCTTGTCTGCGGTACCTCGCACCGGCCTCGTCATTCCGAGGCTGAAGCTGGGGTGGAAAACCAGAAGATTTTCGGCTGGAAACGTCGAAAAATCAGAAAGGCTGTTGGGGATGCGGCCGTCTGCCGATTGGCTCTCTCAAGGGGGACCGTTTAGCGTGGGCGCTTAGATGCAGAAGCGTGCTGGGCCGCCTGAAGCCCTAATGGCATTGCCCAGCAAACCCCCGTTTGAGGCCCGTGAGGCCGTACCGGCCGCCTATCGATCCGGTCTCTTTAACTTTGGGGGTGGACCGGGTCCAGGCTTTGATCGTCCTCTCGAGACGGGTGACGAAGGTGACAGATGTCTTCGAGACAGCACGAGAAGTCTGGCAGGACGCCGATGGAAACATCCCCTCTGCCTCGAATTGTAAGTCGTCACTGTGAAAACAGGAAACCTTCACAGCGCCACCACAGAAAGAGCAGCATGCAGACACATGCTCGCCACATTCCTCCACACTCGTTGCCCCGTCGTCTTGATTCTGGATCGCCCCGTGGCTTTCGGCGCGTCTCCATGTCGGATCGTCATCAATTTTCCGGCGCATGGGTCAAGGTCTTTTCTCCTTCTCCGCATATCAATCGTTGCACATTGGGACTCTAAGAACTTCATTGTCATTGTAAAGTGGAATGAGTCGCATCATACAGGGATACGCGGATCGGCATGGACAAACATAGGTGGCACTTGCGTCGCTCGCCCGTTTGTTGCGGGAGCCACGGGCACCACTGCAGGTCATAGTCCTTGTCTTGTCCCGGGCCTTGTTGGGAGTTAGAACTCCCGCTGGGGCCACTAGGTCTTGGAGACGGCGGGAGCTCGTCGCAGCTATCGATATGGCTCAAGAATGGGGGGTAGGCTCTAAAGTTAGATCTCCTTGCAGCTTGCGGAGGGCATCGTCAGGGTCGATTAGCCGAACTGAGAGGGTCGTCCACGAATGCAGGCTTACAACATTCTGCTTTTCCTGAAGCAACATCTTTTCCATTTGGTCCAGGGAAAGAAATCCTGTGCTGGGATCATGTCAGGTTCGTGTCATTCTGTGAAAGGTGCAACGGATCGAAAAACGGTCAACTTGTCCCGGCACGACAAGACGGGTTGTACCACTTCGGTGTGCTCAAGGGCTATTTGCTTAGGGTGGGGGTGCTTCGACATCGACCTGGACCTGCTGTATCAAGGTCAGCAACCGAGAGACAGTCCACGTAGCGATATATAGGACCTTCCAATGCACACAGTTGTCTAACCGCTGAGGCAATTTGTGAGGAGATTGCTGGGCAGGCGGTGCGAATTGGCGTTCGGGGGCAGACTGCAATGGACGGCAGCAACGGGGGCCTCGCTAGCCCTTGGCTGCTGGACCGCAGTGGAGATGGAATGGTCAGAGTGATGAAAGTTAGACAGGCACACAGGGAACAGTGCGGTCGAGTCTTGAGTGTGCTGAATAGTGTGATTGGAACAAGATGCATGGGTCGGTCGCAGTCGGGCGTGTGATGGCGACCAGGTGGCAGCCAATCGTGCTGCTGTAAGCGCCGAAGCCTGACCCGAGGAGCATCTCTTCCCATCCACCTCTCATCCCACCCCTCCATCAAATCCAATCCTCTCTCATTCTTCATCCCAGATCAACCTGCATGCGAGCTAGAGGGCAGGATTTGCCATGATTCGACCACGCCGGCCAATTTATGCAGGCTCACATGCTGTGTGCTGCGGGGCCGCAATCAAGCGCCCGCCGGCCAGTAAAGCTTCACCAGTGTGTTTCCATCATGTCGTTGGTACCTCGACAGCCATGACCGCCGTCTTCTCGAATGGTTCCGGTTGTTGTCGATTGCCTATACCTTCTTTGCTGCGCCTCTTCCTGCCCCTTCAAGTGGAACTTGTCGATCCCTTTGGCGTATGATCCCACAACTTGGGAGAGATTTCTGTTTCAGCAGTTCATTTCCTTGGGAACCACCTCTCGTGTGCTCTCTGGTCAACGGCCTCTGGTACCTACGGCCGCTGGCAATACTTCCCGAATCTTAATTCTTCTCCTGATCTAACCACGATATCTCCCGATCTGTCTGGTGTCCTATAAGCTCGTCTGCAGGAACGAGAGCCCTCCGCGGTTACGTTGGCGCCCGCCGACCGCACGTCCTCAGGCTTCCACAAGTCATTCGCGAAGGGGGAACAAGAGAAGGGGGACATATCCTGCCGCTAGCCACTCCCCAGGTTCCACGGCCGATGGTTCAGTCAGAATCCCAATAACCGATACTCTGGAAATACCCAGGTGAATCTTCGCTGAGGCCATGTCATAGTCCGGGACTGTATAGCGAAAAAGGTACCCAGACGACGCATCGTCCTACATATTACTGTTGATATCGGTGCTGACTCCCGCAGTCGCAGGCCCTCTCTCGTGCGGGCTCGATTCAACATGTCTGCAGGACCGGGTTTATCCAGGCAGAGGTCGATCTCGGGCAAAGCAAAGGGAGTGATACTTCCACCTGTCCCCAGGACGAGGTTGCCGGGGGACGACGCCGCCGCCTTCGAACCATGCGCATCGACCGCCGCCCTTCTCCTCTTCGCCTACGGTTCGACAGTCATATGTGTGCACCATGATACATTAGCTGTTGAACGTCGGTTCGAAAAGCACTCGAAGGATATTCAGTTGATATCTGCCGACAATATCAGCGAGACGGGAGCGGGAAGGCTGGTAATCACCTACGATGTGGGACGGACGGCCATCGTTTGGGATCTGTTCACTGGCGAGCAGCTCTCCCGCTTTGTCTCATATGAATCTTTGACAGTGGCGCATTGGATGAGAAACGGGAATGTCGCCTTTGGTAAGCCGAGTTGTCCCTACAGCCTCATCGTCGCTCCTGCTGAAACCGTGTAAGGCAATGCAAAGGGCGAGGTGATATTGTTCGAGCCTGCAACGACTGAACATATCTCGGCGCGGACGATCTTCGATCCCATCACCGCGATAGCGCCGTCTTCAGATTGCAAAACCTATGCCATCGGGTGGGTAACTTTCCAGTCTTGGAACGCAATTATGCTCATTTTCGGCAGATATAAGAACGGCTCCATATTGTTGGCAGCACTACAACCCTCATTCACAATTCTCCACACTCTGACAACATCCCGCGCGCCCTCACCAATCGCTTCCCTGACATGGCACGCTTCGTCCTCGAAACAGAAGTCCGACATGCTTGCCACCCAAACTGCTGATGGAGACCTGAGAGTCTGGAGCGTATCCAAGCCACCCACGTCCGAAGCCCCTCGGGTTATTCGCGTCTTAAAGCGTACTGACACCTATCTTCCGGGTCGAAATTGGATTTCGTGGTCAAAAAATGGCCGGATTGTTCAATTTAGCGAAGGCAAGACGTGGGCTTGGGACGTTCGGACCAAGCATGTCACCTACGAACCTATCCCAACGGTGGACGGAGTCAGAGCCATTGCTTGTTACGGGCCCACGGGCACCCTGTTCACGTTGGGACCAGACTATACGGTGCAACAATACGATGTCGAGCGGGCGGTTTTGGTTGCCAATGTGCGACATTTGCCACTCACTGTCCCGCCAACCCCACCAGAGGATACAAGAGGGCCGATTTGGACGACATCTGAAAGCGAAGAGGAGCTGGCATCCCCACTTGTCCGCGCTCGACGGGAACTACGTGCTTCCGAGGCAGCGAAGCATGAACGCAACAATATTCCCAGCCCTCAATCAGCCCTTAGTTCGCAAAAGGGCGCCCTGAAGAACGGAGCCAACGACATCATCTCTCCTGCTGGGAAAACTGACTATACCACTACATCGTTTGATACTGGCATTCAGTCGCAGTCAACAATCAATCAACAACCTATGCCGGCCTTTAATCAACCCTACCAGCCCCAGTCCCCTGTAACCGCGAGGACAGCCAGGAAAGGTTCTCGGCTGAGGCAAGAAGTAATTATGAGCCCTGAAGATACACCGGTCGCAGAACTATTTCCTTATACCAGGGCTCGGTTGCACGATGTGCCGTACCGACCTCCTAGATCGCTCGATGAATGCCACATGACTCCCGACGATTTGCGGAGGCAAATGCTAAGTGTGGTTTTTGGTTGGGAAGAAGATATCCAAGACCTCATTCGCGACGAGTTGAGCCGCCATCCCAGCGATAGCCAGACCGCCATTTTCCTGGCCAAGTGGCTAGACGAAGATCCTGACTATCTGGCCGAGATCATGGGTTCTACAGGAACAGTTACCAGCCTCGACTGGATGCTGCTGACCTTGGGTACGATCAGCAACCAGGTGGGGGCGAAGAAAATCACCCAAGTCTTTATTGAGAAGTTGCTGTCCAAGGGTGATTCCCACGCCGCAGCTACCCTCCTGCTTGCGCTTGGCGACAGGAGCGATGCGATCGAAGTCTATGTGTCAAGGAATCAATACATGGAGGCAGTCCTGCTGACGTGTCTTGTCGCACCAGATGACTGGCAGAGGCAATCATATCTGGTGCGCCGATGGGGTGAACACGTCGTCGAGAACTCGCAGCAATCGCTAGCCATCCGATGCTTCTCGTGCACAGGGGTCGAACCCTCCGATCCCTGGACGTCACCCAATGCTCAAATGGCCACGAGAACCATCGTAGAGCCTGTCATGAGCCCGCAAACGACCCATCTGCAGCAGCTGGAGCCGATGGAGTATCCTGCGATCTTCCAGAAGACTTTGGAGAGACGACGGACACTCGATGCACCAACACCGGTGGCCATGCCTCCGCCGCATATCTTGACGGCCATCCATCAACCACCCACGCCATTCAGGACTGCTGCTGCTCAAGGAACGAGGATCACGCCTCAAACTTCGGCCCTGAAACTCATCACATCCTTCGGGCCCCAACCGACCAACAACTTTAAATTCCCTGGACTCAAGCATGAAGACCGCACACCTACCGTCGCTGCCGCCGTAACGCCTATCGCGGAATCCGCCATTGATAGATCTGCTCTTTCACCGGGTGGTCTAGGCTCTTACCGACTAAATAACATTCGCAGCATCAACAGCGCTCTGTCGGCCAAGACCGCGACGCCCGGCGGTTTCCAGCCAAGTCGGTTGACTGTCATTGGGGAAACGCCTGTCGACGTTGAGGCACCACAATTTTCGACTGGTTTGCCGCAGAGGTCTGTGTCCGTACCCGCCGAACTGACATCTTCCAAGACGGCCGATCACGAGGAACAAGCCCCTGTAGCCAGCGACCAACAGCAAGGGAAGCAAGCGTTGACATTGTTGACATCCGCACGATATGAGCCCTTGGCCACCCCAGTGAGGGAAACACCCCAGACGGCTGTTGGACCACAGACCGTCATCAAATTTCCCGGGCCTGATGCCCAATTCAAAACCGAGGTAGGTCATGATGAACGGCACTTGGATACTCCGCGGACAAGAACCGGGTCAAAGAGTCGAAAGCCTGACGGGCTTTCCATCCAAACTCTTCATGTCTCGAATCAAGAATATCTGCCTTCTGCCAGCTATGGCGACCAAATCAGCAGACCTGCCACCACGGGTTCATATTCAAACACACACCTCGATATCTCCGGCAACCTAACAAGCCCGCCCACTACTGACCTCAGCTATCGGAGCACCAAGAGCCCCATCGTTACCGGCCGAAGCATCGATCAGTATATCAGCAGTCTTGAACAAGCTCAATATTATACAAAGCATTCTCGAGCTCGCGGTTACAGCAGCACCAGCAAGCAGTCCAGGGATGAGCAATCGGACCGAAAAAAGACCAGAGGTAATAATATGGACGACAGCAGCGAGAGAGACACCCGACGAACTATCCCTGCAGCTAAACGTTCGCCCTCTTCTCCAGTCCCGATGTCACCTGAGGATCTTCGCATGTACAGTACCAGTGTTGAAAGCTTCGACTCGATGTACAGTTCCAACTTTTCCGGCATCGATCGGTCCGAAACTCCTGGCAGCATGTCCAAACTCAGTCGTCGCGGCTCTCAGTCGACTGCAAAAGGTGGGAAATCTCGTAAGAGATCGCACTCTCGACACGCCGCCGCGAAGAGCAAGACAGGCAGCCGCGGCGCCAGTCGGCAGCCAAGCCCAGACCCTGCCATCTTCTCCCCCAGAGGTCGAAGCTCCTCTCGCAAAGAGAACATGGGGCACCGTTCTCCATCGTCACCACGACCAATGATCCCTTCCGAGGAAGACCGACAAAGCCGCTTCGACCAGGATTCGGCGCTGAGGCTAGTTTCCAAAGACCGACATCGCCTGCACCGAAGTACCAGTCGTCAGCCACATCGTGATACAAGTGCAAAGAGAGATAGATCACCCGATCGACGAAGAGTGCGGGCCAGATCTCGAAGTCGTCAAGCTGACGAGGCCACTACACTGAGTCGAAAAGCAAGTCGTAGTGAGCATCACCATCGACGTCGCCGCCCAAGTGACGCAGTCTATGACCGCAGCGCCCACCCTGATGACCCTGAAGACATCAGCACAGCACTCGCAGCGCAGGACGTAGTGCCCAGATCTGCCAGTCAGCCTCAATTCGCGGTGGAGGAAGGAGAACAGCCAGCAGCCCGCAGGCAGCCTCTGACCCGTCGTCCTTCTGCACCCAGCGTCCCTCTTGCAAGCGAGCTCGCTGCACACAACAAATCGGCTTCGACGAGCATTTTATCACCCCCTATTACGAGGTCTCACACTTATGATGGGGCGGTCCCTGCGTCTCCGTTCCAAGAGAGTGGCGTAGGGAGAGAACTATCCGGTCTTGGGCTTGTCAAAGAAAGGCCCGGAACGCCCAGGGCGATGCACGTCGATCCCCCCATCCCTGAAGGTCAAGAAGCCCAAGTAGTTCCCAGCACGGTGGGTACAGAGCTCTTGACCAGCGACGTCTATCGACCGCCCACGCGCGAAGACCTCAGCAGGCCAGGTTCCGCCCGGGCACCCACTTCGCTAGAATTCCTGTCACAGATCCCTAAGCATCCGGCGTACGACCGACGCATCGCGGGCAGTAGATCAAGCAGCAAGGGACCCGAAGCTCGCGCAAGCTCGCGAAGTCGAGGCACATCTCGCGATCGCACTGCGCGTGTATCTCCACGCGAAGTGCCTACGGCTATGATGCCCAGTCCCCCCATAGGCGTGACTGAAACAGCGACCGCTGCAGTCTATGCGTCCTCGCCGCCACAACAACCGCCTATTCTTCCAGAGCTACAACACCTCGCTGAACCCCCTCCGCCCCCGCCACCTCCGCTCCTGCCGAAAATATCTACCTACACCGGAGGCAGTCCGAATCTCGCCAATTTACGTGGCTTTGAACAGACGGATGCCGCAGCTGTGCCTCTGCCTATGTCTGCCTTCCCTCCTCACACTACATTCCAAGATGTGACGGGGAATTCTGGCAACACGTTGCCTCTGTCAGCCGGGCCATTATCTTCAAGCACCGGCCACCGGCGAGGACGTTCTGGGAATGACAATCAAAGCGGAAGCTCAGGGGGCCAGCTGTTGAACAAATTGAGAAGCTTTACAGGTAGAGCGAGATCTCCGAGTCGAGGCCGGAGAGGCGGTGACGACAATCAAGCCATGAGTCCCAGAATGGTTGGCGAAAATGTGCAGCCGGCACCATACGAGAGCATCCCGAGTGCTATGATGGGAAGTGTTGGATCTTGAAACGAGTTCCATTGTCTCACGCAGAACGAATTGTACAGTTGAAAGAGGGCGAGTAGTCGGGAGCTAACTGCCTTGGATTGAACAAGTCGGAGAGCAGCGAAGAAGAGGAGTTAACTACGAAGGAGTCTGAGAGCGGTGTTTCGACCTGTTTCCTCCTGTTCTAAAAGGCGCGAGAAAAGAGATTGTTACCAGTGGCTCACGCGGGCTCCAAAAGCAAGTGCCGCTCTTTAGCGATGTATTCAGTTCCTGACGATCCTTGCTATGAGCGATTGCTCTTTGGGGAAGAGAGAGTTGGTGTTGGACTGGAGTTGGAGCATCTATGGTAGCGTTGACTGATTAAGTAATGTAGTGATGGATGGAAACAGGACACAGTGGCAACGAGCCAGCGCATTTTCTCATACGGCAGTGATTCTGGTGGTGGGACGGGGCGGGTGTGGATGGACGGGAGATAGGACATTGATTTGGATCGAATAGCTTGACAATGAGATGGTCTCTATTACCGTCCACTGCATGCACAGGACCGAGCGGTCGTCGTCTCTCTGTTAACCTGTTTGTCTTGCCCATCCTGCATTTCCTGGATGTTGGAGAGTATGTCGAATATCTCCCAGATCCAGGAAAGGCCACCGAAGGTAAAGATATGTGCTGGTCCTGGTCCTGAGCCTTTCCTTCCTCCACTGCTCGAGACAATAGTGAGGAAAATATACGTCCATGTTCGTGTACAGGAGACGAGAATTCCTCCATCCTCCATCCTCTATATATGTTATCGATAACCCGGTTGGTCTGTAGCTCGTGGTCTCGGGAGATCGATCGTCGGTCCCAACGGACGGCGTTATTCGGTCCAGACGAGGGTCGATGTCGCTCGGCGCTGTCGTGATACACACATTGGCAAAGGAATGACTTCAGGGAGTGGAGACAAGACAGTGAGTGGTTTTTGCAATTTTCCTGGTGCTGCCACGAGAGAAAGCAACGAGAGAATTTCGCGTTGAGGTGCTGTGCCATGCTTTGTTTGCTTGCTTGCTTGGACCATGAAAGATAAAGAGAGAAGGAATCGTTGCTGCGGTTTCTTTGCATCCGACTTTGGCTCTGCGAACCTTAGCTCATTTGGATGGTGTTGGACCGACCCGAGCAAATCCCTACCTAACGTTTCGTACCGATATAATAAAGCTTGTGCGTTATCGACGCTCACGAACCTGGTTGGAGTGATCCGTTTATGCCGCTCGCCTGATGTTGAAGTCGTCGAGATGGCTGGTTCGAAAGCTGGGGTCGGGATGTGGTCTGCCAGATCGTGGGACTGAAAGAGAGCACTCATGTGCGGTGGTGAGGCTATGCCTCGCGTCTCGAGGGGTCACTTTGTTCGTAAAACCCCTGTTAATAGGTTGGTTGTTGGGCTTCCTGGTCAAACGAGGAGCTGCGGTGTCGACATACTTGCGTCTCGAACGTCTCGCACCCGACGTAGCCTTACTGTCAATTGCTGCCGCCGTCCCCGCTATTCAACTCAGCTCCCCTCCCCTCTTCATGGCGTTGTGAACCGGTCTGCTTTTGACTATTGTGGTTTTGTCGTCAGGAGGTCACTCGGGTCTGGGGGTTGTTCATTTCTGGCCGATTGTCTTGTTCCGGGGGAAGGGCGGAGGCACCACCACACTCATACCAGCTCCTGCCAAAGACTCCTTAACAAAAAGAAAGGTACCCTCTTGGATCCCAACCTCTTGTTTCGTTCCGGGTTTTGTTGTCCCTGTGCCCCTCCACCCCCCGTTCCAACATCTGCAGCATTGTTCCTCAGACTCCCCCACCACTCCTCCCCACGGCGACGCTTAGATCTCGATCCTTCCTGCTGGCCAGGTATCGCTGCTTTTCCTTCTCGGCCTGGATCCAGTTCCGCCGGCCCTCCTCCTCCAGGAGGCGGGTGCGGTCGCGCGACTGCGACTCGAGGCGCCGCAGCCACAGGTAGGACGCCACGGGTATGAAGATGACAGCGGCGAGGAAGAACTTCTTGGAGCGGCTGTTTTTTTCCAATCACAGAGAGACACACGGATCAGCAAGCACCACCTAGCCCCCACGGAGAAACTTTCGTGAGGTTTGTCGGAAAGGACAGTGAGAGGAGAAAAAGAGAAGACAAGTGAAGAGAAAGGAAGGGAAGCTGGCCACAGCTGCCTGCGACCCACGACCGTAACTTACGTGAGGTAAGGACCTGGACGGTAGCCCGGGATGGAGCTTTGCGGGTGCGAGTTGGGTGGTGTAGATGCCTGTTGCTGTGGCATAATGGCGAGCTGGTGATGGAATTGTCGGGGTCCGCAAAAGGGTTGACTTCGAGTATGTAGATTAATACATCATTGATCTCTCTCCGCACACCAGCTGGAAACCGAGTTGCAAGCTTCTTGCTTGTTAAGCAGATAAAGAATAGTTGATGGAGCTACCTTCGGCGGACGAAGCGATTGGCGGCCATGAGCGGTTGGTGGGGGGCGTGATAAGCGGAGAAGGAAGCCTAGTGACCGACTTTGCGGGGGAATCGGAGGCACCTACTGTAGGTGGGAGGCAACTTGGGTGACAGACCGTCGTGACCGTCTTGATCTTCATGGTACTCGTGGTATCCACCGTACAGCTGGCTACTTGGTGTCGATGGACTTTATATGATGGATCAACATCTCATTGTGACCCAATATGTCTCTCCGTGAGGCCAGTCGCTGCTTGCAACCGCAATCCCAAGGCCCGGATGCTATTGAGAAGAAGGCACACTAGGCCTTCGGCGTTGGGTCCTTTCCTTCACATAACGCCTTCTTGGATATCGTAGGCAGTGTATCATATCACTATATTTTCATCGCCAGAAATGCATCAGAACCAAAGTCACTCATGGACAAGCAGGTGTGGCCCTGTAGTAAACCCCGAATCGACTTTGACCTTCATGTCCCGCTGCTCTCCCCGTTGGTCTCGCTTACACCCTCTCTGCTCTCATCACTGCTGCCATTGCCGCCGTCCTCGTCATTGTCGTTGCCGCCTTCTTGACTCTCTGCGGCGTTGCTTTCCGTGTCATCGTTCCGATCGGCAACGGGTTCACCGTTGGCTTTGGCTAATCGCTCCTCTTCCCTCAGCATCCGCAGCCTTTCAGTTTCTTTGCGCATAGCCTCCAAGTTCCATGCACCGTCGCCCTCATCTTCATCGTCGTCTTCGTCCTCACTGTCTTCGTCTTCCGAGTCTTTCCAGTTTCCGCTTTCGAACATGGCTCTGCCCGTTGCGTCTTTCGCTTTCAGGGCCTCTGCTTCGGCAGCCTTCTTGTCCATCCGCTCCTTCTTCCACTTCGCGAATGACTCCGGTGTCACGGGCGTCAGGGTTCCGGTCAATTTGTGTCGTTCAGACTCGAGGAAATCTTCCAGGGTTAGTGTGTTCATCGGTGACTTGTCCATCAATGCCTTCTCGGCACGCCTCTGTTCCTTGGTTTTCAGTACGAACCTGGCACACCATGTTAGAAGCGTCTCAATACAGCAAAAGAATGGGAATCTTCATACCCAGGCGGTAAGCTGTGCTTGTACATGCACTTATCACCTCCGTTGGGACAAGTCCAAAACCAGCCATATTTCCCATCTTCCACCGCTTGGATGAAGTATTTGCACACTTTGTCCGTCGTGGTCCGGGGATTGCCATGTTTACTGAGCACCACCTTTCGTAACTTCTCTTCATCCCAATCCTCCATGTTGTCTTTTTCTTTCTCCTCTTTCTCCTGTTCCCGGGTGTCTTGATACAAGTCCCGTTTGGCCACTTTCTTTCCCACTTCAAGATCATGGCTAAATTTGCATTTCTTTCCCTTGTCGCAGTGACCCTGCTTGAAAAATTGACACAGCACTGTCTTGGGGTCGACACCAAAGGGGACCTTCTGGACTTGGACAGGTTTGAAGAGTTCAGCGGCCTCAGCTTTGGCCTTTTCGGCCGCCTCCTTCTCCTTCTTTCTCTGTTCTTTCTCGGCTTCTTTTCGCTTCTCTTCGGGGGACTTGTTTGACTTTGCCTGAGCCTGAAGTTGTGCAATCTGTCTCTTTGCAGTGCCACCTTTCTTATTTTTCATGCCAAAAGTCTTGTCTTCGACGGAGGCTTTGGACTTTTTCGGCGGCTCGCCGCCCTTGGCCTTGGGCGCCATATTGATTGTTGTCGAAGAGGGATCAAGAGTAGTCGGAGCCTATGGCAAATTTGTAGAGGGCGGTAGGTTTTTTCCTGAAGGCTGAGATTACGCTTCGCTGAAACGGTCAGGTACTGTATGTGTCGACAGCGAGGCGAAGGAGGAGAAAATGAAACCCACTGTAAGAGGTCAAACTGGTAGAAGAATGACAGGGGCGCCAAAGGATGTGGGTTGGGTAAGGATTGCAGGTTGGGTCGCTGGAGAGAATGGGGATGAGTGGGCTGCGGATGTTTTCAGCAGGTGGCCAACTGCATGTTTGTGGTGTTTGAGTGGTTGAGTGTGGGGGAGAGAAGTCGAAGTCGCCGACGTCAGTGGAAAACAACAAAGTCGCACGAGACAAGCTGCAGAGCTCCAAACAATACAGCTGTCCACCCTGTCCACGGAGCTTGTTCGTGAAAGGTACTGTCACCCTTCTCGATGAGCCTCTCACTACCATCCTCCGACCGTCACTAATCTGGTGCTACTACAGACGTAGTGAAGTTGCACGCCCTCGTCATGGCTTCCGACGACTCTCCTCCCTCCAGGTATCCCCCGTCAATGGGGCCTGGTGCGCGACCTGTCAATAAGCCTGGGGAGTCAGATTCGAGATCAAAGTTGCTCGAAGTCATACAGGCAAGGTCCAAATACCAGGTCTCCGTCGAGCCGGATACCCTGTCACTGAGCTACGAACTCAATAATACTCCCCGTCTCTATCGACTTTCTTTTGACAATATGCCTCTGCATGGTCTTTCAAGATGGTGGATATATGGTGGCTCTATGAGGGCGCGAAGAGCGGGTGTCCTCGCTATCGACCTCATACGTGGCTCCGAAAACGTGGTACAAAGGCCCGTCACCCAGCAGGAAGCGGAAGCTCTGGCGTATTGGACTTCGCGAAGACTCCTCTATGGCTCCCTCGCCACCTTCGCTGCCTCGACGTTTGGATTCTACATGGCTCACAGAGGTCGTGCCAAGATGAAGTTCCCTTTCGTCTCTGCAAAGCCGTTGGAGCGGTACAACAAGTTCCCTCTGCAACAGATGCCTCTTATAACCGGCCAGCTGGCCCAAACGGCCTGGCAGGTCACGAGATATGTCATTTGGATGGAGCTGTGTTTCCTGGTTGGTACACCTGTCATTGGTGCTTTGGGTAGTTTCAGCGCGGCGACGGGAATGGCTACCGATCCGCGGACTCAAGGCCTTATCCAAGCAATGCGCGAAAGAGGCCGTGGCGACATGAACCGGACACTGTCAAATTTGCCGGTGGAGTGGCCTCAGCAGCCTCAAGGCCAAGATGGTAACCGAGATGCGCAATCCGATCCCCAGTCATATTACCAAGATGGTGACGGCGGCGGCTCCCCAGACGGTTCCGCCGCCGATCGCAACCACGGTGGTGACGCCTTTTACCAGAGTGCAGCGAGTGATACCGGCACTTTGGATGATTCTAGGATAAGTGACCGCGAAAGGAAACAGCAGCAAGGATATTCAACTCCGCAGCCATCAAGGCAGACGCAGCAGGACACGTCCTCCACCTCTTCAGCAGACGCGGACCCCTTCTTTTTCGACGACGCCTCACCCACAGCCGGAAATGACCCAGACATGGCCACGTCTACGCCTTACAAGCGACCATCAGGCGGAAGTGCCTGGGAGCGCATACGAAGGGGTAGTGCTCCTCCTGCAGCTACTTCTGACTCTGATTTCCGCCGCCAACGACTCGAAACCGAACGAGCTCGCGAAGCCCGCGCAAACCCGATGGCAGAACGGGACTCGGAAAGCAACGAAAGCGTCTATGACGGCAGAGACACGAGACCTGGGAGGGATGGACGTGCCAGAGAACAGGCGCAACGGGAGTTTGACCAGATGCTGGAGAGGGAACGGAGACAGAGCGGGAGCGAGGAGTACGACAGAGGAATGGCGGCCGTCGAGTCGGCAGAGGACAGACGGGCCGCCGAAGGAATGAGTGCGTGGGAGAGAAGACGAAGAGGAGATTGACATCACCGAATTACTTGTCAGCATACTACTGACTGCAAAGAGAACGAAGAGACTGGCGGGCCAGGCTGGCATCTCGTTCATTCATATGCAATGGGATTTCTCATGTGGGCAGGTTCTTTGCATGTACGATAAATCATTCTGGATCAAAGGAAATGTCTCGAGGACACGCAATTCACTCCCTCTCTTCGCGTTCGGGAAAAGTGCCGGGAAAAAAGTTACCAAAATGCTCCTGTAGTTCAGATAAGTAATAGTTCGACACGACGAGCTCTGTTCCTTCAACATGCACATGCACATGCCACTGCCTCAGCATTCTCTCAGACCACACGCTGTTTGTTTTTGTACCACTACCCGTAGCAGATCCGTGCTGACGGGCTCTGATCAGACAGACAGCACGGACCGGGCGGGGGCTTCGAAGGTGAAATAATCTATGTAACTCCTTCTCCAGGCGCTCCGCTTGCATTGTCGTTGTACGATTGATTGCCAACTTGACGGACGGCGATGGCTAGTGGCGTCTGGCGTCTGGACGGAGGGGAAGAGGAGAGCCGGTGTGGTGTAGTATAATATAGTTTACTTCTGGGATATAACAAGACCACCGCCCAGGTCGACTCGGGAGGGCGTCTCTTTGGTTGTTAAAGACTTCTGCGGACGTGGATGTGGTATATCATAGGTATACCGAGTGCCTACACACCACGAGGCGAGGTGGGATATGGTGGCGTACACTGTAGTAGTCGCATGATATCGATTTGAGCTGTCGATATCACACTATGGTGACAGAGGCGGAGGCAGGCACTTGAAGAGCTATTTTTGCCGGAGCCCCTGTTGTCCGTCGTCGTCTTGTTCTCTGCAATTGACGTGTGCTCAAAGATCCCCAGGCCTCCAACTGGTGGGTAGTAGCCTCGCGTCGCTGAAGATTCGACCCTTTCGCAAGGGGTCGGTAGCCCAGAGTTCTCTATCGAGCGAGGGAAGAGAGGAGGGGTCAATGGCTTGGTGCATTGGACCTAGAGAGACCTCCGATCTCTGTAACCCGTGCCGTCTTCCAATGGCCAGGTGTGCGGAAGGAAGTTGTGGTTACTGCGTCGACTCGGTGGATTCACACGCGCGGACGATTCCTCGCCTCCCACTTCTCGTACACCTTCGACCCCTTCCTCAGCCCGCCCACCGTCTCCCAGACGGTGACGAAGACGATCAGGCCCATGGCCGTGCTCAGCAGCTGCACGGCGTCAAAGTGCTCCTCGTCGACCAGGGGCAGGAGCACCAGGATGACGGCGACGACTAGCCGCATTCCGACCCGGGGCGTCTTGGGCATGATCAGCTCGCACGAGTCCTGGACGCGGAACAGCATCGCCAGGATCCACAGGCAGAGCATGCCCACACCCAGGCCGCCGCCCATCAGCCAGCGCTCGCCGGAATCGAGCTCCTCCTGGCCCGCGCTGACCGCGCAGATGTGCCCGCCAACCAACAGCGACGCGGCCAGCGGCATGTGCAGGCTGAAAAACGCAAACGCGGTCGTGACGGACCGCCGGATCGGGTGCACGCTGTCCAAACTCCCGTCCCCATTGACGTACAGCCAGTTGAGGCAGAAGGCGATGATCAGCGTCCACACCGCTTTCAGCAGACCCATATTCAGGCCGATCGCGGCGGGGTCGCCGACCACGATGCTGTACAGGTACTCGCCCAGGACGATGATGTAGAAGGCCGCGAGCCGGTCGATCTCGTGGCTGATGTCCACGGCGGTGCTGTACTCGAGTTTTAGCCGTCGCTTGATCCACGTGCCGAACGTGATGACCCAGGTGACTTCCTGGTAGACGATGCCCACGACGGCGACGGCGATCTTGGCCCGCAGACTGACGTTCTCAAAGAACAGAGGGATCCAGATGAGGAGGCCCACCACGATGAAGCCGGCCATAACTCGGGCCTGGGTGCGGTGCTGGAAGCTGGCGAACGAGGAAACCACATAGACGCACGCGACGGTGAAGCGTGCCGTTATAAAGGCGCCCACCACGGTCCTCATGGCGCCGATGTCGTCGGCCACGAGGCGGGCGTTGTTGCCGTACAGCACCATCAGGGCCATGACCCAGAGGATGACGCCACGCTGGACCAGGTCGTCGTTGTAGTACGAGTTCATGATCTCGCGCAGGTCGCTCCAGATGTGCCAGGCCGGCGCGAAGATCAGCAGGTACTTGACCAGCCCGGCGCCGGACGGATGCTCGGCCAGGTCCTCGGCGAAGTTAGCCACCAGCGCGACGTACAGCAGGTCGAGGAACAGCTCGAAACGCCCGGCCTGGCGCTCCTCTTCGGATTCCCGTTCGAGGGTGCCGTTGTGGAACCACTGCAGCGCCTTGGGCCGTTTGATCAGATACCGGGACGCGGTCGCCTTGTCATCTTCTGATCCATGTCGAGGCTCAGAAGGAGAAGGGGGCGAGCAGGACATTGGGTCCGCTGCCGTTGTTGTCGACGGTGAAGGAAGCTTCTCTCCTAAATCAGCGTTGGAATTGGGGATGTTGGTGGGTAGGTGTAGATGTAAGAAGCATGTGGTGATCAGAGGATCTCCCGCTCTCTCCGTGAGAGCACTAACTCATAGATTCCGACTGAGAGCCGGCACGATGTGAATTTATAGCATTGTTGTGGTTATTCATGCGAAAGGGATGGAAAGAATAGAACGAAGTTCGGGCTGCACTGTAGATCAGTGGCTGGTCCGCAAACGTGCCTGTTCCAACTCCTCCAGCAGAAGCAAATGCTCACTGTACGTAAAACGCCCAAAGTCTAAATCAAGCCCGTCATCCGGAGAAGCCAATCGAGGTTTGAATTGTCTCTTGAGGCAGTGAGTGAGTGAAGTGATGGGTGGTGATTGAATGAATGAATGAAATAAGAGTGGTATATATATATGGAGAGGTACTTCTTCTGTATATAGGAACTGGTGCCTTTTATTTTGACTGTTTGCACCGTGTCCTCGCCTGAGCTCGCCGTCAGATAGTGAGTGCTGCCTGTTCTCACCTCATCGCCACGAAATGGGTGCGAAGGTACAGTTTGGCCTTCTGCTGTCGACAACCAAATCAGTGTAAACGGAAGAGATGATGCTCATCGGCGCCAGGTTTTTCCATCGACCATGTCTGCTTGGTGACAGAAGGTCGTGCTTTGTTTGATCTTGTAATATCTGCTACAGATCAGCCAGCTGATGTGCTGGTGGTTAGCGGAGTATCTACGCAGCGCCGGATCAATCTTGTTCCGTCCTCCTTCGGTCCTCACCTTCGGGACTACAATATATATATGTTATCGAGGGTGGTATTGCAGAGGAGCAGATTGGCACTTGGCTGGAACGCTCGACCAGCTGATGGCCAAGAGTATCTCATAATCGCCTAGCCGCTTAGATGGTCTCCCGTTGTGTGGTGGGCACAGTTTAAGAGCATACTACGCGGGCTTAGCACGGCTTTCTGTTTCCGTCGCCCGTTGCATGTGGTGTACAAGTAGTAAATAAGTTGTTATGCGGGAGTGCTCGGTAACATGTACTGCGCCAGAGCAGATTCGGCACCTGGTGCCACTACTTATGTACCAGGGCCGGTTAGGTAAGCGCCAATGAGCCACGACGACACCCGAAGGTTGACGGCGACTCTGACGGCGACAATCATAATAAACGGTTGCCGCCGACTGAGAGGGGTGGCCGGAACGAAGATGCCTTACGCTGCCTGACTCATCGGCCCACCTCGCTGCCTGTGACTGCTACCCGCATTAGTAGTATCATGGGAGTGTACCTTCACCGCAATAGTCGTGTCCGCAGTTTGGGGTCGCCCAAGAAGGGGAGGCCTAGACTGAGATGCGGTGTGAAGATGCGTCCACTGTATCTCTTATCACGTCCCTTTGATCCCGAGACATTCGGGCCGCATCAGTGGCTCATCTTACGTGGGATGGTACTCGATACATACTGGGGATATCGATCAATTCTCTGGATACTGACGGGCTAGCAGTGGCTTGATTGCATGATGATTGAGGAGATCTCCTGTCCATCCGTTGTCGCCTCTCCCAGGTCTCCATACCAATAAAAGTTCCTCCTTGCAATTCCTTCGGTACCATTTGTAGTTGGGAAAAAGAAAGACTTGTGCTATTGTCGCCCGATTGGACAGCAGAACCACCCCTAGTTTCCATTGCCTAGTAGTTGAACCGCGCTCGGGCCTTGAATCGACAGATGGGAAATCTAAGCGGCTGAGGTGACAACACAAGAACGCTCGCTCACATATTGACAGGGTCGGGAGGAATTTTGTAGAGTTGGATGTATGCAGCATTGACTCGAGGACCGGGCATTAACGACCAAGGATGGGCTGCGTCTGGATGCCATGGGGATCCGCTTGCTTCGACGCCGCGCATGGGGATTCCGTCAGAGGGGTCGACCATTAAAATCATGCCGCCTCCTTGCCTTTGCCCTTGCCTTTAGCGTCACCTTCGGCTTCATCATCTTCAAGGTCCGGCATGTCGTCGTCGTCATCATCCTCTTCGTCATTGTCTTCGCCGCCCTCGGCTCCGGCTCCCTCGCCTTCGCCTCCCAAGCCAGCACCGCCGCCGAGCTTGGAGAAATCGATACCACCAAAGCCGCCGTCCTCTCCGAGTCCACCGCCAAATTGGTTCATGTAGTCGTCCTCCGGCGCTTCGTTCTGCTCATCCTCATCGACCCACTAAAACGGCCAGGTCAGTAAACGAGAAGTGAGTTGTGACTCGAAAGGGTCCAGATCGTACCTTGTCAAAGTCTGTGCGCAGATAGTGTACTTTTGCGGGGTCCTTGAGTAGGCGTGGCCAATACTCCTCCTTGAGTTCTTTCTTCCTGAGAATCATCTGGATGTTGGCCGCAGTGTGATGCGTCTTCGAGTTCTCGACGTCGATCTCAGAGAAAAACTCCATCTCAAGATGGTATGTAGTCTTCTTGGTCTCTGATGTGCCCGTGAAGGTGAGCCCGGTGGGTTTGAGGTCGAGTTTAAGAGACTTGGGCGGGACATCAGGCACGCTGATCGTCAGGTAGATGTAGTTCTTTTCTGGCTCAGTGGCGGATGAGCGCTGCGCCCATAGAACTGCGAACAACTTGAGTCAGTCATTTGCTGAGGTCAAATGAGGGTTTTTTACTGGGTGAGTGAAAGTCTTTGCTGGTATGGAAATCTTTGCGGCAGAGGGAGAGTGTACCTTCTGGAGTAACCTGGTTCGACATGGCTGAGGGTGACGAGTTTGGAGGGGCTTGTGGTGTCAGAGGATAGGAAAGTAGTAGTGATGGATAAGAAGAAGAGCGTGGTGAGAATGTAGGGGCACGATCAGATGGTGAGAACAATGGAAGAGGGAAAACTCTGCTTGCTTGTTTGGTGCACTCGGTCTGCTGCAAGAGGTTCAACTATTTGTGTGTGGGCGATCAGTCTAAGGTGAAAGGGACGAGGCTGTTCGAAGTGCAACGAATAACATCGAAAGCGCCCCCGGGCTGCTTGGGCTGAGCAGGCAGTGGGTGCTCGGTGCTCAGTGCCTGTTCCGCCGCCCACTCAGCATGACTTTCACGAGCAAGACCCTCTTAAGGTACCGCATCCGCACCACTAGTGAATGCCTGTCACTGAAATATTACAAGTTATGTTATGCTCTTCCCCCACTCGATACCCCCCAGTATGCTAGGCAGCCGTGGCATCGTGCCAAAGGCCCTCACTCTTCCCTCGATACCTTGGGAACGCAGTGTCTGACTGGGGGCTACCCACCACCAACAACCTTCGTCCACTGGTATCTGCAGGTGCCAAAGAGTTTGCGACAACTGCTCCTTTTAGTTGATCTCCCGTTCATCAGCCCTACAACTTACTTTGGACAGCAAGCAATTGGACATTCCGCTTATCATTGCCCTGCCGCCGTGTGATCGAGTAATCGCAGACAACCACGCTCGCGCGATCTACCGCAAGCCTGCCACCAGCGGCTACTGGCTCGGATCCGAGCATGGCCCTATAATTGATCACTCGAGGCTCCTGCGATTCGAACACAGACAGACACCAAGCTATTACACAATCAGAGTCTTTACGGGCATACCGCCGTAATGCAATCTTTCAAGGCAGTCTTCTTTAAGCCGGATCCCCAGGAACAAGTACGTCCGCAGTTTCCACATAGACTACGACAGGCTAACTCTACCCCAGAAACGAAAATGCGATAGCATCATCCGTAAAAACGTGCGTGCCTTGGACCGGGACATTACCAACCTGAAGATCACGGAACAGAAAACGAGGACATTGATATTGAATGCCGCAAAGAGGGGACAGAAAAACCCGTCCCAGGCGAAACAGGGCGCCGACGAAGCACGAATATTTGCTAGGGAATTGATCAAAGTGCGGAAGCAGTCCGGAAGACTACACACCAGCAAGGCGCAGTTGCAAAGCGTGCAGATGCAAGTGAACGAGGCGTTTTCGGTCCGGAAGATCGAAGGCAGTCTGAAGGCCAGCACTCGGATCATGAAAGATGTCAACACGTTGATCAGGTTACCAGAGTTGACCGGCACCATGCAAGAGCTGAGCCAGGAATTGATGAAGGCAGGCATCATCGAAGAGATGGTCGGTGATGCTCTGCCCAATGACGAGCTGCTAGAGGGAGAGGACGAGGAAGCAGAGACAGAAGTCGACAAGGTCCTGGGCGAGGTCTTGAAAGGAAGGCTGGGAACTCCCGAGCAGCAAGTTCCACAACTCCCAGTGGAAGCGGAGGAAGAGGAACCGGAAGAGGACCGAGAAGCAGAACTGGAGCAAATGCGAGGGAGACTCGAGGCGTTGAAGAGCTGAGCCGGTCATGCCGGCTGGGCGCGTCCGTTGCAGGGACCGAAGTCGATACTACCATGTTTTGAGATGATGATACATGAATGGCGTTCAAAGGGATCAGGTAGAGTATGCCGTCTTTCAAAACACCATCGGACCCCAGGATAACTGGCACCCAAACACTCTGGCGACCACAGGTCCCCCGGAGTCGAGCACGTGATACTGATATGCGAAGGCCGTATGCGAGGGCGCTGGATCAGGCTTAGTGCGGTCTTGGCGGAATCCGAATCTCTCCTGTGTGCCTGTTGCGTTGCCTGCGCCTCACCTTAACCTAGCCGCATTCATCATTTGGCGTGACTCTCCTTCATTCATCCTTCTTCTGCCTTACCCATCTTCTTCACCTTCACCTTCACCTTCACCATCGTCACTGCTATCAGACGATATCACATCCATCCAAGCGCATATTTGATTCTCCCCACGCGTGCCTTTATCGCCATTTTCTTGACCACAAGTCTATCTCTCCTTCAACCTTTTCAAATCTCCAACCCCCAACAGACCACCGCGATCAGTTGATCATTTGTCCCGCAACTGAATCAGACTTGACAGCTCTCCCCTGTCACTCTTCACACGACAGATCGTTCCCTCCTTCCACCTTTGGAAATTCCCTTCTTGAACTGTCTGCTTCTATTCGTTCAAGATGTCTGGCAGGCTAGATCAATCTCTCGATTCCATCATTGATAGCCAGAAGAAGGCGAAGCGCGAGGCTCGCCGTCGCAAGGTCGGAAAGTCAACTGGTCCAACCGCTCCAGTCGGCGGTGTCAAGAAGGCCACAAGACCGGTCAAATCTGCCATCAAACCGTCAACCGGCGCTGCATCTCAATCCCGCTCAAGCAAGATCGTTGTCAGTGGATTGGTAGGTTTCTGACTTGACTGCCTCATGTTCCCGTGGCGCGCCGCTAATCTTTTGGGTAGCCATTCGACGTCAACGAAGCCCAGATCAAGGTATGTTGATAAAGAGGCTTTCGACCTTGGATTCCATCGCCGCTTGCCACCGCCTGTTATTCTTTGGCTCTTTATGCGACCGTGTCCGATAAGAGGAAGATAATTGCAACGAGAGGACTGAGGAAGATGTCAAGACGCGAGAGACCATACTCAAGGACCGTATTGCCACGCTGAAAACGCTGGCTGTATTTGGGGCTGGCAACATTCTCACCACCTTGGACTCGCACCTTTGATTCCGCGATACAATCCGGTGAAAATGCAGTTCGCCACGATCTTGCAAGTACCCTCCGGCTAGCCACCGTGTGGGAAAGCGAAGCAGATCTGCCCAGAGAACCTCTCAACATGCTGAGACGCGTTTGAGACCCTCTCACCTTGTTTGTCTGGGGCATCAGCGAGGTTGCACCCAAAATTTCCAAAGCATAATAGAGCAGCGCAGCACAGCACAGCACAGCACGATCTGTCACGTCGAACTATTGTCCCTCTAATGCCTGGTTCCCGACGCTCTCCACAGCATACACGAACACATACTCCCCGACGCCATGTGTCAAGACCTCGCACCAAGCTGTCACCTGGCTCTGTACCCGGATCAGGATATCTTCTCGATGGTCCTCACGGGCTGCGTTATGGACAACCCACAATTCACCAACTCTCCCCATACCGCCCGACCTTTTGTGCGACGGAAAACTGGACGTGTCATCAAGCTTGTAGCCGACCTTTTCTACAGCTAGTATCACAATGTATACGAATTCCAAGCACCTCTTCGATCGAACACATTCATGGGACGACAGCGACGATATATGATTCGAACTGCTGGCCTGCTGCTGCTCTCAACTCTTTTGCACTCGCTGATGCTCCAGCGCAAGGATATGTACCTGGACTATACTCTACTGTGGAAACATCTCTTGCTGCATTCTTACCTGGGGGACGAACGATGCGGAAGAAATGCTATTCCCACTTCTCTCCAGCAGTTTTACTGATCACTCGAGGCCGAATAGGAATACTTCGGCAAGTCCGTAGGCAACGTCAAGAAAGTGTCCTTGCAGTACAATCAAAATGGTCAGAGCCGTGGTATTGCCGACATTGTCTTCTCGAAGCCCGACTCTGCCGCAAAAGCTGCTAAAGACCTAAACGGAATGCTGGTTGACAAGCGACCCATGAAGGCAAGCACGGCTACTATTCGCACCGTACATGGACCTCTCCTGACCTCGACTAGATTGAAGTTGTGATGGATGCTAGCCGTGTCCCAGAACCGGCTCCAGCCAAATCACTTGCGGACCGTGTTGCGTACGCAAATCCACCGAAACGCTCGGGAAAGTCAGAACCACTGACAAAAACCAGCGCCAACCCCAAAGTTCAACCAAAATCCGCGACGGCAACGAAGAAGGTGACCGGAAAAGATGGCACCAAGGGAAGATCGGCCGGCAAACCCGGAAAGCCAAAGCGCGGACGGAATCCTCGAGCCAAACCCAAGACCGCTGAAGAGCTCGACGCCGAGATGACTGACTACTGGGGAGGCAACAACCCAACCGCCGTGGGACCGACCGCCGAAGCCGCAGCCACCAACGGTGCTGCTCCCGCAGCTAACACCGGCGACGACATGGGCATGGAAGAGATTTCAGTGAGCGATGTCGAGTTCATCTTCTGAATCCGTTCAAAACTGACACCCGTATCAGTGAATGCCCGTGCTTGGATATCGTGAAGGAAGACAGTATCCCAGGAGTGGAGCCCGCACCCACACAACTTCCTACGACCATCGACTTCCAAGCTTTCTCTTTTCACCGCATGACTGTACTGAATAACCATCTAGCATTTTTGCCCACCCTTGCACCACCCACAAATCCCACTTCATTCAAATAAAAACTGTGTTGCTATCTTTGCTGCAAGGGGGGAGGGCATTGGGTGAGAGCATGGGTTGGGGATGATCTGGCGGGATCGACAGCAATGGCCGAGGGTGGGCACTGGGAGGATCAAATTGGCACGGGATGGGGTGCATCAGCGATAGAATGTGCAATCGGACCCATAAGCTTGATAATTCCGCAGGCAGGACCTGATCAGAAATATGTGCCAAAAAAAAGATTCAAGCTTGAATAGCAAAAGTCACGTTCCCGTCCCGGCTGATTTTCAGAAAAATTCATCAATTAGCATATTCATTCGTTACCTGCATTTTCACTCTTGCTCTTTTCTGTAGACAGTTCGATCATGATCAGTCGTTAACCTTTTTGTCATCATCATCAATCAGCTCGCTCCTATCCCATGAACCGTTGGCTGTTGCCGACGACTTGAACGCTATGCACCTCTTCAAAGATGTTGTACCCACTTCCAGCTCTACCCCTGGAGCCCATTTCTTTTGTTCTCCCAGAGAAGAGTCGCGACTGTTCTTGCCATGGAGTGAATCGTGACTGCGGCGGGTGGCAGACTGGATAGGTAGGATAAAGGTAATAAATAGTCAAAACAGGTAGGTGCATTGACGGTAAGGTCTTGATTGATTGTATTGCAGCTGGCTGGCTGGAGAGTTGATTGAGGTTGGATCAGATAAATTCGAAATCATCGTCCGCGTCGATCAAAACGACCGAGCTGGAGCTCGAGCTCGAGGTGTCAATGCGATGGGGATGGGGACGCTGGGGGAGAGGGCGAGTCTGCTGCTGCTCCGTCTCGGTGGCCGGGTCGTCGTGGGCTCCCCGTGGGAGATCAGGGAGGACGAACCCGTGCGGGAAGTTCTGGGCTTTGGCTTTGCCTTTTCCACTGTCCCTAGTGGCCGTATCGGTCCCGGCGTCGTGTGGAATGGTCTCGATGTCCTCCTGGTGGGCTTCGTGGGTGCTGGTCTGGGTATAACAATGCGCTTGACCTTGGTCGGATTGATGGTCAGCTCCGTCCTGGTTGACGCTCCCTTCGAAGACCTTCGAGTCTGTTGGCGATGCCCCCGCCGGCTCGTCGTCCCAGTTGAATCCGTCGCTATCGGAACCCCCTCCCCCGAACTCGTCTTCATCACCATCAGCAATAGCAGTAGCGTCCTCGTCCTCGTCGTCGAGGTCCTCGTCATCCAGCATGTCCGTATCCCCCTCTTCGTCCGTTCCGGAAGGAACTTGGTCCACGTGGACGACATTGTGGTCTATAACGGCAGGGTTATCCAAGAGGTCTGCGCACGCAGTCTCTCGTTTGACCGTCGTGGTGCTGGCACTCGACACACTCTTCACCGTCCGGGTCCCATCCGTCGCAAGCTTACTAGCCTTGCCTACGGTGCTGATCGCCTGGGAACTGCTGATCTCGTCGAAGTCACTGCCAGCAGTCTCCGCTTGATCGAACCCCCGTTTGATCCGTCCCGGGCCAAAGCTTTCAACCCCTGTCTGTATCGGATCGAGATTCGGGACGGGCACTCCTTCATACACCCCTCCCGTGCCGTCGTCGTTGCCACCAGGTACCCAGAGTGGCAGATAGCGGAATTCGTTGTCTGTGAGACACAGAAGGTTGTCATAAAGGTCCGTGGGAAGTAGACCGGTCTGGTGGAAGAGGTGAGGTGGGAAGAGGATCCTTGAACAGATTGTTTCGATGGCCGTGCTGACATTGGTGAGCAATGCCGCAGGATCGATAGGGTAACGGAAGCTGGGGGGCAACGGCCTGGATGCTTCATGGTCAGTATTGGTGTTGGAAAAGGCTTGTTTGATGCGATTGGGGGTTCGAGGAGCCAACTCATCCTCGTAGGTGGGATTCATTTCTTCATGCCTGCCGGTATATGGGTTGAAGAATGTGTCTGAAGCCGAAGAGGAAGACGTGTCTGCTGCTCCTACTGGAGCTATCGGAGGTGAGTCGGCCTGAAGCGTTGCTGGTACTGTTTCCTTTGGACGTATAGGAATCTCTTTCCGCTTCCCATAGGAGCCGTAGGCTGGGATATTGTTCATGTCTTGCAGTGCGCCTCCTGTCCTCATTGGATTGGGTCTCAATGGAAAGACAGGTGGCTCGGTGCCCGGTGCTGGCCCGGGCGGAGCACACCTCCATGAAGGAGTCGCGTGCATTGAGACATTGGGGGACAGTCTTGCATTATCTGTATCGCGGAAAGCGTGGTCGGCATCGGCTGCTTCGTTGGTCTTGCGACGCTTAGGAGATCGCTTTCCCTCGACGACCTCTCCATAGTGAAACATCTGGTTGATGAGATTGATCTTGCGCTCGAAGGTGGACCGTGCCACTCGAGCAACTCCATTGAAAGAGTGATCGTGATGGAGCTCCTGAAGATGCTTGTGGTACTTCGTCTCCATTTTCCAGCCAATCGTGCCGTCGTTGGACGTGCTGTGGGTGCCCTCGTCAAACTGCGTATACTGCAACGCTATCCAGAATGTCTTGGTGAAGTGCCTCATCTGTTGATTGAGAGTCCGATAGACGGTGCTGTAGTCTTCACCAGAAGCCGACCGAAACGAAAGAGTGGACTTGGGGTCCGGCTCCAGATCCCTGAGGTTTCCTTGATCCTGGCATAGAACGTAATAGATTCTAGAACTGATGTACTCCCTCACAGTGGTCTTGGTCGACTTCAGCACCTCCATTGCTTTCTGGGTTTTTCCGACGGCATTTTCAAGGATCGCATAAGCTGCGTTATCGTGCAGAAAGTCCATGTCTTGACACATACTGCAGACGATCTCGCGAATTCGCTTGACGAACGACGAAGCAGCGTGATCAATTCGATTGCGTTCATCATCGTCGAGAAGCTCGAGTTTTCGGCCGTGTACGCTTTGACGGCGGCGGGTCAAAATCTCGGGGTTGAACTCGCCGCAGACCTCAACAAGTGCCCTCTCGCCCACGAGGATGGAGAATGAGTCTTTGATGAGGTCCGGTGATTTAATGCCCAGACCTATACGATATGCCACTTCCGGGTTGTTTTGGATGAAGTTGCTATTATTACCCGCGTAAAGCCAAGTCATGATCCATCCTGAGATACGCTCGTGAGTAGCGCAGCCAAAATATCGAGCGACGGCGAAAAAAGTCCAGACTTTGGGGGCAGAGTCCAGCTTCGGATCGTTCCCTTGAATGGCCTGGAGCACTCGTTCGAGGGCGGACCAGTGCCGCAGCGGCGAGTATTCTGGGGAAATCTGTTGTTTTGGTGCTGGAGGCGCTGGCTTTTCGCTCGAAGACTCACTCTTTGATCTCGGCTTTGTCGTGTTGGCAGAGGTCGAGGTTGAATTTTCAGGCTCCTGCGGTGCCACCGGCTTGAGCATCTCCTCGATGTGAGGCTGTACGCCGAATTCGTCGTGGCCCAGTACGGCGAGAGGAGACAGACCATACTTGTTCATTGCCAGATACCATGTAAGCACACCGCGTGTACAGGTCTGGTCAGTGATGAGAATGACGGCTTCTTCATCTTCATGCGGCGGGCGGAGATCGATGTAGTACTTGAACTTGCCTCCATGCGCAGCCTCCGCTCTGCTTAAGACACCCAGCTTCCTCAGCTTTCTTTCGGCACGATATAACTTTGTTGGATTCGAAAGCTCTTTGGCAAACCTGGACTCTTGCCCCATGAGCCTAAGATTTGTGCTTTGGACAACATGGACACGATCAAAATGTTGTTTGATATACTGATAGTCCTTGTCATTTTGCTCCGGCATCTGTGGGGGAAAGCCAAAATAGATGGCAGTGTCGCCCATCTGGTCGTTCAGGGGGGTGAACTCATTGTTCAAACTCAAGACCAGAGGAACTGATGGCTCACACCACGACGACGATGACGACGACGACGGCAAAGATGGCTGACAGTGAGAGAACCCTTTCTGGATTTGGGGTTGAGTGTCTGGTTCGTGCTTTACTTGGGCCTGATCCTGAAGAGATAGTTGGACAGCTCGGATGAAATCTTGTTCCTCAATTGTCTGCAAGGTGTCTGTGGCTGGGTTGCCAGAGGTTGCAGTGGCGGTGTTCATGGAAGAAGGCTGCGTCGAGAACGGGACATGAGGTCCTGAAGGGTTTTCGACAGCATCATGACCTCCATTAGTCGTTGCTGCGTTAGATGAAGGCAGAACCATTGTTTCTTGAGTTAAAGCAGCATGTACGGAATACAGTTGTGGCACTGAGATTGATATGCGGACGCTACAACATGTGAGCCCAGTTGTGGAATCGAAGAGTCTTGTAAGGTTGTTCACAAGGCCGTCGTATAGTGCTCATCGACCAACGTCCTCGTGTAGGTATTATGAAGTGAACTCTTCAGGTATCAACAGAGTCAGTGCACGGTGAGGACGAGAAAGGCAGGAAAGGCGATGGCTGGTGGTACAGGCTTCGTCATACAGCTGCTGAGAGCCTTGTATACGTCAATATGTGAAGTTGTGAGGCCGCCAGAAGGATGTGAATAGCACAGAGAGGACCAAGAATGAAGAATGAAGCTGGAGGAGAAAGAGAAGATGAGGCTGTAGAGGGGGTAGAAGAGAGAAAACCCCGGGTCTGCGTCGAGTTGTTGGTGTCTGCCTGGTGAGCCTCTCGTCAAGATCTCCAGCTCACATGTGGTTCACCTATTCGGTGCCTACATACCCATCCCGGTGCCTGTATTACTTGGTTATTGGCTCTTATGCTGTGGATGCAGTACCCAGTGGGACTCTGGGGGCACCATGGGCGTTAGAAGGCATCCGAAGGTGGGGGGGAGAGGTCATCCGCCTGCCCCGTCAAGCCACCTCAGCCCACCACACCAGCCTAGCCATACTCAATCCTCCCTCCACTGGGCAGCCCCGTGGCCTATTGCCCCGTCAAGTCCTGGATTCGAGGTCAACACGACAAACGGAGGTGGTGGGTTGGCAGTGTGGTGCCCGAGCAGATACAGCATTGGCCATAGCCACGAATGCAATGCTCCATACCTTGCCTAGAAATACACGCTGTAGCCCGCCAGCAAAACAAGAGCCTTCAGAAGAACCCCCGGGCAAGTTGCGCCTTGGTCCAGACCTGCACAGTGAACCAATCTTTGTTCAACCGACACACTTGCTCCAGGCTGGCAACCCACAGCCGAATCCGACAAACAAATATATCAGGAAGATGACCACGACCACCAGCAGCACCATCACCCGCACATTCTTCCACCACATCTGCCGCCGTAGCCCTCTGCTGCGCACTCGGAAATCCCGTGCACTCCCTCCCAAACGATCCGTCTTGTCTACCAACAGGTCAATTCTCTCGCCCCTCTCCAGCACCCGCTCGATGTTTTCTGTCATGATATCTCTGACGTTGTCGATCTCCTTGCGTGCGTTCGTCAATGCATCGCTCGGCGGGGCGGTATTGTATTGCTGAATCATGGCCTTGAGGGTAGAGTTGAAGGCTGCGGTGCCATACGCGGGCAAGGATGAGAAATCGGTTGACTCGGGCTTGTATTGTGCGAGAAACTTCTTCTTGAGCTCCAGCAAGAATGCGAAGGGCACCCGCCGACCCATCTCCGTCTGAGCAACGACCAGGTAGGTGAGAGCCGCATGGCTGGAGAGCTGCTCGTCCGAGCCATTGGACGTAGAAGATGGCGAGTCCGCGATATAGTGGACAAACAGACGGTCGTGGGTGTAGGTGAGCTTTGCCGGTGTGGAATGTGAGATCTTGGGGAGGATGACAGAGGCGAGCGACGAGGCCGAAGACGACGACGTGCCCGGGGATGTATGCTCGGTGAGGATAGTAGTTCCATGAGCAATGCATGCACTATCGGTCAAAGATGAGAAGAGCTGCTCTTGAAGTGGGCAACACGGTGGTACTTACTAGAGCAATTGGTTTGACTGACCCGAACTCGAAGCCATGGCGGAGCGCAACAGGCACACCTCGGGGGTCACTGAGTGAGTGGAATAACTTCTGGCGCAGTAACGGTGAGGATCCCCTGTACGTAGCACAATCAACTATACGTGAGCCTGGAATTGAAATGGGAAGTGGGAAGTGGGCGAGATAGTCCGAAGGATGAGTCGAGGTGGACGACGTGCAGAGAGGATCGAGGCCGCAGTTAACATCGTTGGCCTCACTAGCCAGTTGCGTCATCGGTGCTACGACGCTAGTCTCTCCACTTCCGCCTTGGGAATACATAGTATGTATAATATCATCTGGCAATTCAACTCGTTGAAACATAATCCGTTTGTCGTACCTCGACCGACTGTTAGATCTGTAAAAGCTGTTCACATCTGATCCTTTCCAATTGCCTGAGATATCAGGGTTATCAATACAAACAACCAATACCATGCCCCCTCCGTAATCGACACCTTTTATCTAGAACCACCCCAGACAGTAAGAGGCCCCCCTTTCTTCCTCAAGCGCTGGATGGTTATTCTCTAGCATCTCGTTCTTCCACCCCCCCGTCCTCCGCCTCTGTTGTCGTCTGTCTTGTTCGGCCCGGCTCTCCCGATCTGGTGACCGAGCGCGCCCGGGGCGTTGCAGCCTCTGCATCAGTATTTGCCGTCAGGGGCCGACCAACCTCTTTCTCTCTGATCCTTCCCTTGAGGCCACTCGTAATTGCTCCCTCTCCACGGTTCCCGCTGGCGACATCATCGCGTCTCATATGGTCTCTCATCTCATGAATTACCTCTCTGAAGCTCTCTTCGAGGGCATTCATGCGAGCCATCAAAATCTTCGTGAACATCTCCTGCTGTTCTTTCTGCTCTTTTTCATGACGTGACTCGATTTTGCCTTTCACCATGTGTACCGCAAATGAGCTGGGAAGAGCTCCAACGTAGCCTCCGCCGATTGCTCTGTTGTCGCCAATATCCGACACTAGATCCATTTCGAGTGACGGTTTGCGCCGCACTTGAGTTGGCTGATTCTTGAGCGACACCAGACCTGCTAAATTGGGCGTCGACCGGAAACCTTGCTCGTCTTTGGTGGGAAGAATCGGTCGCATTCGAGTCGGGCCTGCTGCGCGCTTTGGCGTTCGATGGCCCGCGCCGCTCGAACCGCGCTTTGAGACGGGCGTGCGAGCCCCGGAGCCAGGCGCTGAAATATGTGTCTTGAATGGTGGAGGTTTGCTCCCTTCAGTTGATGAGGTCTGGTCCGTGCTGGAATCCGTCATGGGCTTGAATATCATGGTCGCAGCAGAGACGTTGCGGGAATGATGATGGGCATGGTCCTTGACAGGGCGTCGTGATGGCGAATCAGCCACTGAGCCGGGCTTTTCGAGCTTCGCCTGGGAACTGGCCGCCACAGGTTCACCTACTTCAATAGTAGAGCGAGTGAGAGGTTGCTTAGTTGTGAAGTAGTCACGATGCTCTGGGACGGCAGTGGCCGTATTGTGTTGCTCCGGCTCTATATCACTTGGCGACCGGTGCTCAAATGTGGTTGTATCCTCGTCATCACCATCATCGTTTGTCCGCATCTCATCATCTCCATCTGCATCAGTGTTGTGCGATGGCTGTTCCAACGGGGAAGGTGTGGTCGTGATGGGATGTGTCTCGCCTGGAGATAAGAAGCCTGCATTGGTTGTGAAGTCCTCTGGATCGGATACAACTGACATTGTTTGGCGAGAAAAGTCGCGCAGTCGGCTGTACCGGCGTGGTCGGCGCGGTATCGTTTCCTTAGCCTCGAGTCTATCAACGAGATGTATATCTTGCTCCTGCGGCGGTTCTGCTACATCGTCGCCCATTTTATTCATCCACGTGCTCACCACATTACTCGCCTTGCGCCTGTCCCGGCTCTGGTCAGCCTTTCTAATGGTGCTGTCAAATGGGTGTCTGAACACTTCTTCTAGAGCCCTGTCCTGTCGGAACGTGGCAATGGAGGGCGCTCGATTGAATCGGGTAAACTTTGTCGTTCTTCTCACGCGCCCCCGGTGTTCGACGAGATCGATGCTGTCGTAGACGGTGGATTGCATCATGGTCTTTTCGTACAATAAGATCGAAAACAGTAGGGGTAGATGCGTGATTTTGATAATGGTTCGGTTGATCTTGACGTATTGACGGAAAGGGACGAAGTACCTGAGAGGGACCAATAGCCATGATAGTATGTTTGTTGGCGCCACGTAAGAGAAGAGCGCATCAGATTTGACATGGGAGATGGTATTGACCGCGAACAAAAATTGATGCTCTTCACTCGCGTTCCGGACAATGGCCATGAAGGAATTGGTTAACACAGTGATCAGGATGGTGACTATGAGGAAATGACAAATGAATAGGAACAAAGTTAGAATCGTCTTCCCCAGAACGTTATAGCCTTCCCATCGATCCCAAGCGGCTGGCGTGAAACCCATGAGCATTTGGAGCAGAGCATAAGCCACGGAACTGGGGGTATCAATACCATCATTCCCAAACGACAAGGTGAGAGCAACGAAGAACCCACTGCAGCTGATCAGGATCAACAGTGAGACTGCGATAAGATCCGCCGCCATGTACCGGAAAGCGATCAGTAAAGGTGAGAAGTAGCGGTAATGATCCAGCACAGAGAACAATCGCGGGAAGAGCAGAATGGCGTCGGCTGCAAGGACGTCGTAGGCCATGTGGGCTACCGTGTGCTTCCGGACATCTGGCATGAGAATCCCATAGAGACGCAGTGCCAAATGAATGACCAAGATGAGGAGGATTCCTAAGTCGAAAGTGTTCCAGAAGCTGGCAATGTAGAGACTGAAGCCTTGTTCATTGAATCCAACAACCTCGTCAAGCATATAGCCGGCAGCCCAGAACCAGAAAATTACCTCAAGCGTGGTGATTTCGATAGAGCGCTGCACAAGCACAGCGACGAACAAGCTGAGAAGAACAGCAAAGGACAAGGTAGATAAGATGTTGCGGTATCGAGGAACGCGCAACCGCGACAACTTGAACAGAGAGGCATCCCGGGGATCATACAGCGTGACGGCTCTCCTCGGTATGCGAGGATCGTTGTTGACGGGTGCGGGCTTCGTAGGCAACCCACCATCATTTGTACCGTAACTTCTCGGTCGACTCGCTGTAGGCAACGGTCTATGCAGACTGTCGGCCGCAGAGTGGAACACAATTGTACCGGCCCAGATCGCCTCGAGCTGCTTCACTACCATGGGATGGGAGAGAAACTTTTTAGCCTGGGCGCGGATGGCAATCTCGAAGCACGAGATCCTTGCTGGCCGTTGAGCCGGCTTTTTGGAGTTCGCTGTGTTTCGCCGGTCGTTCTCTGTATGAGGCGCTGCATCCAATTGACCTTGGAGAGGATCAAAGTCATAGGACAATGCGTCAATAAGCTCTCTAGTCGAAAAGTCCTTCAGCAGTTTAATGGCAACCAGCTCACAGACCATTGCACGGGTCTGGTTTGTTCCACTATTGCCCGAAGACATTGCGGCCTCTTTGCTATACTGAAGACAGTTTGCCATGAGAGCATATTGTGTGGCAGCATTCAGATGATGGCTCCGGATTTCTTGTTCGATGGGCTTGACCAGGAACTGCGAAACCTGGGGAGCTCGAAGTTGCTCCCAGGTCAAGACCGTGTCACATCGAGAGCTCACCAGCAAACGAACGGCGTGTGTGAGGGCGAAGACGGGGATGGCATCGAGACGGGCAGCAGAGAATATGGGAAGGAGGGGGGCCGAGTCGTCAGGCCCGTCTTCATCTTCGTCTTCGTCCACGACGCCTTCCGCATTTTCAGTGGGTTGCTCCTCTTCATCTTCTTCATCTTCCTCATCTTCAGAGTCGTCTCCGTGATCCTCCGTGTCCTCATGGTGATACCCCCGGGAGAAAAGGTCACGGTCAGTTTCGGGAGACCGCCTCCAACCGCGCCGAGTCGGGTTGCGCGAATTCTCGGGTGATCGTGTCGTTCGAGTGTATGTTGAGGAGAAGGGCGACCGGTCTCGCCGCCTCTGACTTCGGGGAGCGCGTGTTAGGGAGAAAGAAATCATGATCGGCGTGATAGGCGGTGGTCGATCAAGGAATTATATGTAGCTGAATAAGAATTCGGAACGCGTAAACAAACGGTTGCGACGCCGGACTGAAAGAACAGGAAAAGCATCTCAACGTTACACGGGCATTTTGAACGGCAACAGAAACCCGCAACGTGCTTGGGATGAATGAAAAGGCAAAGGAGGGATGAGTAAAGGCCCTGTCAGTGAGTCTGATATGTCAATGCGGGATGTTCTCGTTTGCACGAGCGGAGGGTGCGCCCTGCTAATGGTGCTGCCAATCCCGCTTGGGTCTGGCAAAAACCCTGAACCTTACCACTAGCAGCAGTCTTGGGTGGTCCATTGCTGCTGCAAGCAACAATTGCATCGAGGCACACGGAACGCCATCTGCATGTGCAGAATGCGGAGGTGGAATTTGATGGGCGACTATCTGTGAGACGAGAGGTCAGTTGGACACGGCATGGGCGCAGTTAGGACAGGCGAATGTTTGGTGACATCAGGGAGGTGGTTGCAGATAAGGCTCTTGGGGATAGAGTTGTGCAACCATGGCTTGTGATTGGGGGTCGCCTGCAAGAATCCGAGGGGAGGCCTGCGGGCGACCTGCACGCTTACTGCCGCTTATGCAGAGGCACGGGGGGGTCGCAGCGTGGGGAAGCACATCGATCCTCGATCGATTTGAGGCCAAGAACAAAAACCCATAAGCATGTGGTCCTGGTTATCAAGGTCTGAGCTGGTAACGAAGAGATTGCCTTTTAGGTTGCTTTCCACTTCCAGATCCGAAACCTCCTCCGTCAAATTATTATTATGGCCGACTCACCATCTCCTTATGGGGGGCAACCAGGAGGCAAAGGGTCCTGGGTGATGATGTACTCGGTACTTGTAGGAAGGGATGAAAAATTTAGCAGGGGCCCTCATCAGCCCTTATTGGCCCTCGAAGTCCCGAGGCGGGCACCTGCAGCATGTAGCGGAAGGTACGGCGTGCTGCGCCACCTGATTGGACGGCATGGAAAAAAATTGCTTGGCATCAAAAAAGGACTTTCTCAGCACCGTCCACTGTCTCAATTTCATCTGGGACTGCAATAACATGCAATTTGCTCTTCTCTCATTAACTACAGACAACGTGTTGACACTGGATCATAAATAATTGCATCACCACCGCCCGCCCCATGCTTCAGATGTGCCCTTGATTGTTGCCCTGCTGCACTGACAGCAGTCCTCTTCATCCACCATGAGTCGGTCAGTTTCATTGACCACCGATGGTCATCGCCCAATGTCCAGTGACAGTAATCTACCTCAGAGCCCCACGGTGGCTGCTTCTGTTGGATTCAGCAGTACCGATGGACCTATCTCCCCGACATATCAGATCGACAGAGACCATCTAGGTGCTCTTAATCCCATGGCTACACCCCAACCCTTCAATGGTGACCAGCCAAAAGTTTACCTTGAGCTCCGGGATGGCCAAGTGTTCGAGGGCCTGAGCTTCGGTGCCAACAAAAGCATCTCCGGAGAACTGGTCTTTCAGACTGGCATGGTCGGCTACCCAGAGTCCATCACTGATCCATCTTACCGCGGTCAGATTCTCGTCATCACTTTTCCGTTGGTCGGTAACTACGGCGTGCCCTCCAGAGAGACCATGGACGAGTTGCTGGGTGATCTTCCCAAGCACTTTGAGTCCGACCAGATCCATATTGGAGGGCTTGTTGTTGCCTCTTACGCGGGCGAGAGTTACTCTCACCACCTGGCGACTTCTTCTTTGGGTGCCTGGCTGAAAGAACAAGGTGTTCCGGCAATGTGTGGCGTTGACACCAGAGCTCTGACAAAGATCATCCGAGAAGAAGGCAGCATGCTCGGCCGCATGCTTCAAACACGACCTTCTTCAAAATCCAAACTCTCCAATGGTGTTAAATCGGATGCAATGCCAAATGGAGACGTAGTGATCGGCCCACAAAACTGGCAAGATCAGGTTGAAGGAGTGGAATGGCATGACCAGAACAAGAGAAACCTGGTGGCGGAGGTCTCCGTGAAAGAGCCTCGAGTCTTCTCGCCCCCCACAACCAGAGCTCTGCTTCATCCTTCTGGACGGCCTGTTCGCGTAGTGGTAGTAGATGTTGGTCTCAAGTACAACCAACTTCGATGTCTACTCTCGAGAGGAGTTGAGGTTCTGGTGGTGCCGTGGGATTATAACTTCCCGGCTCTTGCTGGCAAAGATTACGATGGATTGTTCATCTCCAACGGCCCTGGAGATCCCGCCATGCTCTCGACAACAATCGAACACATTTCAGAGGCTTTGAAGGAAGCCCGAACTCCCATTTTCGGCATCTGTCTTGGTCATCAGTTACTGGCACGGGCAGCTGGTGCGGAGACATTGAAAATGAAGTTTGGCAATCGTGGTCACAACATCCCCTGCACAAACCTGTTATCCGGACGGTGCTACATCACTTCACAGAATCATGGTTTTGCCGTTGATTCCATGACCCTCCCTGAGGGGTGGGAGGAATTGTTTGTGAATGCAAACGATGGCAGCAACGAAGGCATTCGCCATGTCTCTCGACCGTACTTCAGCGTACAGTTTCACCCTGAGTCCACGCCTGGACCCCGGGACACCGAATTCCTATTCGACGTCTTCATTGATGCGATCATGAAGAGCATCGAATCCGTGGATGCGCTACTTCAGCCTGTATCGTTCCCTGGTGGTACAATCGAGGAGAACGAACGAGCACATCCACGCGTCACGGTGAAGAAAGTCCTCGTTCTTGGAAGTGGTGGCCTCAGCATTGGTCAGGCGGGAGAATTCGATTATTCCGGAAGTCAAGCAATCAAAGCTCTCAAGCAGGAAGGAATTTATACCGTTTTGATCAATCCGAACATCGCAACTATTCAAACCTCCAAGGGTCTTGCTGACAAGGTCTATTTTCTACCCGTCAACGCGGACTTCGTTCGAAAAGTCATCAAGTATGAGAGACCGGACGGTATTTACTGTACGTTTGGCGGCCAGACTGCTCTCCAAGTTGGTATCCAGCTCAAAGATGAGTTTGCAGCCCTCGGAGTACAGGTTTTGGGAACTCCAATCGACACGATCATTACGACAGAGGACCGTGAGCTTTTCGCCCGAAGCATGGAGTCGATCGGAGAAAAGTGCGCCAAGTCAGCATCCGCTTCGAGTCTGGAAGAGGCAATGCGAGTGGTCCAAGATATTGGATTTCCTGTCATTGTGAGAGCCGCTTACGCGTTAGGCGGACTGGGCAGCGGATTTGCAGAAGATCCACATCAGCTGCGCGAGCTATGTACAAAAGCATTCGCTGCAAGTCCGCAAGTTCTCATTGAGAGGAGCATGAAAGGCTGGAAAGAAATCGAATACGAGGTCGTGCGAGATGCCCGAGACAATTGTATAACGGTCTGCAACATGGAAAATTTTGATCCTTTGGGAATTCATACTGGGGACTCGATCGTCGTCGCTCCTTCGCAGACTCTATCGGACGAAGATTACAACATGCTACGTACCACTGCCATCAATGTTATTCGCCATCTGGGTGTCGTGGGGGAGTGCAATATCCAGTACGCTCTCAACCCATTCTCCAAGGAGTATTGTATTATAGAGGTGAACGCCAGATTGTCTCGCTCCTCTGCTCTGGCCTCGAAAGCGACAGGATACCCATTGGCATTTGTTGCCGCCAAACTTGGATTGGGAATTCCACTGAACGAAATCTCCAATTCGGTCACCAAAAAGACTTGTGCCTGCTTCGAACCTTCGCTCGATTACGTTGTCGTCAAAATTCCCCGATGGGACTTGAAAAAGTTTACCAGAGTGTCTACACAGCTTGGCTCTTCGATGAAAAGTGTTGGCGAGGTCATGGCCATTGGCAGGACGTTCGAAGAAGCCATTCAAAAAGCCATCCGCTCTGTCGATTCCCAAAATCTCGGCTTTTCGGATATCTCGAACCCTCTCATGTCAGTCGACGACGAATTGCAGACTCCTTCTGATCAAAGAATGTTCGCCATCGCCAATGCCATGCACGCGGGGTACTCTGTGGACAAAGTCTGGGAAATGACCAAGATTGACAAGTGGTTCCTCTCTCGATTGAAGGGTCTGAGCGATTTCGCCAAACTCATGTCCAGATTCACAGCGACGAGTATCCCTCCAGTGTTGTTCCGGCAGGCTAAACAGCTTGGATTCTCAGACAGACAGCTGGCTCGATACTGGAACTCCAACGAGCTGGCGGTGAGGCGTCTGAGGGCCGAGGCAGGCATACACCCCTTTGTCAAGCAGATCGATACCGTCGCCGCCGAGTTTCCCGCTTACACGAATTATCTTTACCTTACGTACAACGGCACAGAGCACGACATTACATTCAACGACCACGGAGTAATGGTCCTCGGGTCTGGCGTCTATCGAATCGGTTCCTCCGTGGAATTTGATTGGTGTTCGGTGAGAGCCATCCGGACTCTTCGAGAGCAAGGTTACAAGACGGTAATGGTAAACGAAAATCCTGAAACGGTGACCACTGATTTCGACGAGGCCGATAGACTCTACTTCGAAACTATCAGTCTCGAAGTTGTGCTTGATATCTACCAGCTGGAATCTGCCAGTGGTGTCATTATCTCGATGGGTGGACAGAAACCCAACAATATCGCATTGCCCCTGCATAGGCTGAATGTGAAGATACTGGGAACATCTCCAGAAATGATTGACTCGGCCGAAAATCGGTACAAGTTCTCCCGGATGCTGGATAGAATCAAGGTGGACCAACCATCATGGAAAGAGCTTACAAGCATCGAGGATGCACTTCAGTTCTGTGAAAAGGTGAAGTATCCTGTCCTAGTACGACCGTCCTATGTTCTATCTGGAGCAGCGATGAACACCGTATATTCCAAAGACGATCTCGCCAACTACCTCAACCAAGCTGTTGCTGTATCAAGGGAACACCCCGTTGTGATTACGAAGTATATCGAGAACGCGAAAGAGATCGAGATGGATGCTGTTGCAAAAGACGGCGTCATGACAGGGCACTTCATCTCTGAACACGTCGAAAATGCCGGTGTCCACTCGGGAGACGCCACCCTCATATGTCCTCCGCAGGATCTCGAGCCGGAGACTATTGCTCGAATTGAGGAAGCGACTCGCAAGATTGCGAATGCTCTCAATGTCACTGGTCCATTCAATATCCAGTTCATTGCCAAAGACAACGAGATCAAAGTCATCGAGTGCAACGTGCGAGCCTCGAGGTCATTTCCCTTTATCTCGAAAGTCATGGGGGTGGATCTCATCGAGATGGCAACCAACGTTATCATGGACAAGCCGGTGACACCTTATCCGCCTATCAACCTACCTCCAGACTATGTTGGCGTCAAGGCGCCTCAATTTTCGTTCTCTCGTTTGTCGGGAGCTGACCCCGTGCTGGGCGTTGAGATGGCGTCGACTGGAGAAGTTGCCTGCTTTGGTCGAGATCGATACGAAGCTTACCTCAAGGCAACCATCTCAACTGGCTTCAAGTTACCTGAGAAGAACATCCTCCTCTCCATCGGGTCTTTCAAAGACAAGATGGAAATGCTTCCTTCAGTCCAGAAATTGCACCAGATGGGATATAATATTTTTGCAACCTCTGGCACCGCTGACTTCCTCGAGGAGCACGGCGTCAAAGTCAAATACCTGGAGGTCCTTGCTGGAGACGACAAAGATCAAAAATCGGAGTATTCACTGACGCAGCACCTCGCCAGTAACATGATCGACCTCTACATCAATCTGCCCTCCAACAACAGATTTAGGAGGCCTGCCAACTACATGAGCAAAGGATACCGTACCCGAAGAATGGCTGTCGACTACCAGACTCCTTTGATCACGAACGTTAAGGTTGCCAAGATCCTCATCGAAGGACTAGCTAGGCACTACGACCTGAACATCCGGAATATTGACTTCCAGACGAGTCATCGAACAGTCGTTCTTCCTGGACTGGTCAATGTCGCTGCATTTGTTCCTGGTATCGCTCAGAGAGGGTCTCCGGACTTCTCCCTCGTTACCAAGGCGTCCATTGCGGCAGGCTTTAGCATGGTTCGGGTTATGCCCGTGGGCATCGATAGTGCCGTCACCGATGCTCGCTCTTTGAAAATCGCCCAACACAATGCTCAAAGCGGAGCATTTTGTGACTTCAACTTGTCGGTGGCGGCCACGGATTCCAATTCCGAGCAAATCGTCCACGTCAAGGAAGAGGTTGGGTCGCTCTTCATCCCCTTCAACCATCTCTCATCTGGCAATATCAACAAAGTCGCAACTGTGACAGCACATTTCGCAACATGGCCGTCGTACAAGCCCATTGTGACTGATGCTAAAACCACCGATCTAGCATCAATCCTCTTGCTGGCTAGTCTACACGATCGAAAAGTCCACGTGCACAACATTACGTCTAGGGACGACATCAGCCTGATTGCTCTTTCGAAGGAGAAAGGCTTGAAGGTCACATGTGACGTGTCAATTTACAGTCTCTTTTTGTCTCAATCAGATTACCCCAATTGCTCTGCCCTCCCTACCGCTGCCGACCAGCGAGCTTTGTGGGACCATCTGCCAACAATTGACGTGTTCTCGATTGGTAGTCTACCATATCAGATCGCCGGCGAAGATGCAGTTCCCACAGTGGGCATTGCTGATGCTCTTCCACTACTATTGACGGCGGTCTCAGAAGGAAGGATGACTGTAGAGGATGTCACCAGTCGTTTGCATGACAATCCGACGGCCATCTTTGAGCTCCATGAACAGCCTTCGACGTCCGTCGAGATTGACATTGATCGCCCCTATGTGCTTCAAGTTGGCGAGGTGTGGTCGCCATTCGTCGGAAGGACTTTACGGGGTGCAGTCTCGAGGGTGGTCTTCCAGGGCAAGACTGCTTGTCTCGATGGAGAATTGCTTCTTGATGGGCCTCGAGGTTCCGACATGTCTTCACACCTTCTCTATCCTGTGTCGACAATGGGACCCTCTGGGTCTCCAGTCATCCCGGCACAAATGGAGAATCCAAGCGACAGACGGACCTCCGCCTTCGACACCACGATAAATAGACGTGTTTCAGTGAGCACGCGGAGCAGGCCGATTGTTCGTGCTCGTCCTATGGACGAAGTCCTAGAGACGACCAGTCCGATCCTTCCGACTGCAGCATTGTACCAGCCCCAACCTCCCTCCACAATCTCGCCTTCCCTCCTCTCTCTTCTCGCTTCGTCTCCATTCAAGAACCGCCACGTACTCTCTGTCAATCAATACACCCGGCAAGATCTACACATCCTGTTCACAGTTGCCCAGGAAATGCGTCTGGGTGTCCAACGCCAAGGTGTCCTGCCCATTCTACAATCCCGCGTTCTTTGCACAATGTTCTATGAGCCCAGCACTCGGACATCAGGGTCTTTCGACGCTGCAATGCAGCGGCTTGGAGGTCGCACGATCGCTATCAACACCGATCACTCAAGCACCAAAAAGGGAGAGACCCTGCAAGACAGTATCCGGACGTTAGGCTGCTACGGCGACGCGGTCGTACTCCGCCATCCAGACGAAGAGTCGGCTGCCATTGCAGCTAAATTTTCTCCTGTGCCTATCATCAACGGGGGGAATGGGAGTCGCGAACATCCCACCCAAGCCTTCCTCGACCTCTTCACGATACGCGAAGAGTTGGGTACTGTTACCGGTCTCACGGTCACGTTCACGGGTGATCTCAAGTACGGACGCACCGTCCACTCCCTGGTCAAGCTCCTCCAGTACTACGAAGTGCGCATCAACCTCGTGTCACCCAAAGCGCTTGCTCTGCCGTCTGAAGTGCGTGATCTACTCGTATCTTCGGGCCAACTGGGCATCGAATCCGACTCGCTTACGCCCGAAATCGTCGCTAAGAGTGATGTTTTGTACTGCACGCGCGTGCAAAAAGAGAGATTCCCGTCCCTGGATGAATATGAGAGATTGAAGGACAGTCTGATCGTCGACAACTCTGTCTTGAAATACGCCAAGCAGAGCATGATTGTCATGCACCCATTGCCGAGGAACCGGGAGATCAGCGAGGAGGTCGACTTTGACCAGCGCGCTGCCTATTTTAGGCAGATGCGGTATGGACTGTATACGAGGATGGCGCTGTTAGCGCTCGTACTGGCGCACTAGAATGAGGACGCTGTGCAGAAGCAGTTGTGGCCGAGTTTACAGACATCTTCGCAACTTTTCCTCTCCCTCTCCCTCACGCTCGCTGGCACGGTATCTGGACGAGGATTTGCAGAGCCAAAAGCGCGAACATCAACTGACCAAAAACCAAGGAGAGAATGGAAATGAAAGGAACGGCACATTTAGGCACTTAAGAGCCTGCTTGAACGAGACATCGGAGGAAAGGGGGTCAACACTTACACACCATCTCCCACCAAATCAACGAAGGGAGAAAAAGGACTGAAAATGAAGATTCGAGGATGAAAACCCCAGACCGTCCGCCTATGTGGCGAAGACTGGGAAAGAAATTTGAAAAAATGGAAAATGGACGGCATAACTACCCACAAAAAGTCGCGAAACAGGGAACTCGGGTTCATAGAAATTTTGTAGATCCAGATTGAAATTTGATAGACTCAGCGGATGATCTCCCCGCCACCGGGGACGTACTGTAGTACACCTTGAGAGTATGTATGTATGTATGTACATGAAGTGATGAACGTTATGTAGGTATGTATGGATGTATGTATTATGTGTTATTATGTGTGTACAACTATATGTATATGTACATGTATATGAGACGTTGTTAATAGCGTATGTAAACATGGTTGTGGAAGTTTGTCTAGGTTCATTGTGTATCTCAATATGTTTGTTCTCTCATTCTAATTTGTGTTACGAAGATTGTGTATATAGATATGTGTGGACGAAGACAGCCTCGTCTTGACGCGGCTGTGAGTTGATCCATACGTACATACGAGCAGACTACACACTCACCACCACCTTCTTCTCCTCCTCCTCCACTGGACCTTGCACCCTAGAAGCACGTGCCTGACACCTCTACATGGGTGGCTATTTGTTAGCAGCTGGAACAATTAATGTGGAAAATCATCCAACCAGCTCCATGACCTAGGTGTCGCCTGTCGCATCGCCTCAGTGACGCGTTCCCCAACTACTCTCAAGTCCTCGTCCATGTCATTGACCTTCGACTCTGGTTTTCGCTGCGAGTTCATCGTCTTGCGCCACTTGATCACCGCTTCCTCCCCTTTTCCCCCTCAACGAAGCTCTCTCCCATAGCGCATGTAGCGGCAAAAGCTGGTCGGTGGTCACAGTAAGCCTTGTATGGACACGCCGGGCGTAAAGCAACGGCCAATAACATACCTCCAGTACCACGTAGTGTCTCGGGCGAGAGGCCAGCAGCCTTGGCCAGTGGGAGAGTAAGTAGCTGGCTCGATAGCCTCTTTGCCCTGAGGCTGCGCCTCGTCAAACAGGGTAAAGATTGAACGTGTGGCTGGATCACAGTGGCCATGTTCGAACAGTCATCGCGAACCCTGAATCTTCCTTCCGAACAAGGGGCTGGAAAGGGACAATTTCCGCAGCATGCGTCTCGCTCCAAGATTGCCGCCCCTGATCCTGGCAGTATCCGTTGCATAATGACCTCGAGTCCAGCTGGGATTGGCTCCCCAATATCCCGAGACAAAAAGCGAATTGACAGATTGCGATTGCGATATGTCACTGTGTGGTAGTAACAAGATCCTGCATCCCATGAATATATGAATGACCCTGACGTCCTCGAAACGATTCTCCTGGTGCATCTTTCATCGCCTCAAACAGAACTATTTCCGGAACACCAGTTCGAGCAAAAACCCCAACATACCATTCTTACTCGAAACGATCCGGGCATCAAACACCATCACTGCCTCCACAATGTCTTCTCCCGTGAGGCAGGCCTCTTTTCTGCCAACGGGGAGGCTTTGTGAGATATTTTTCGAGCGACTGGACCTCGGCAGGCCCTTCTTGCAGCTTCCACCTATGTCTTTTCCATAGCGTTCTCGTAAGGGAACAGCAACTGTGCTCATTGGTGCCAGGACAGCTATGAAGCTTGTGGATCCAAGAACAGGGGAAATGTGTTTCACACGCAGCTCATAGCGATTTCGAGTGCGGGATATGCCCTACGCCAGCCGAGTGGGAAACCTGGGAAGGGTAGAGAACAGGCAGTTTTGAGACCAGGGGTCGTCTGGACTCGTATGGAATGCAATGATAAGGCCACAATCGACCTAGTCTGAATTTAATTCTTTAGTAAGAATTTTCGGAGGCGCCTTGTACCGGGCAGGTGCAAGACTCAAGATAATTAGAGTGCAATTGAACTTGTATCTCGCCCGTTTCGGGTTTGTTGGCCTCTGAAACACAGACCTTCACCATGTTAACTGTGCAAAAACGATAATTAAACCCAGCTTGAGGTATGGATTTCATCGTCGAATGATAACCCAGTCAATAGGGTTGATGAAGCTCAAAGTCGGGCGCCAGACGGTGGCTATAGTGCCAGCAAGTTGCACCCGAGTCGTCCTGACGCCCCAGGCATTTAGGTGGCTTCCTATCCGGCGTCTGGCCGATATCGAGCGTCTCCGTCTCCTTGAAAGATTGAACTGAAAGAGCTCAAGACGATTCAGTGGCCGGACAATCAACTGGATACACGCAGCTCCATTGCTTTCAAGGAAACACCACACCGAGAATACCCACCACAGCACCGGCAGTTGGCTGCAAGGAGGCTTGCAGATGGCATTGCAGCGATTAATGTTAGCTCAATGTGTCGGGGAGCCCGTCCTGGCAGAGAGAAGAGCTGTATTCATAGGTCACACACTTTCTGCATGCAGAGCATCCATCTATCACTCATCATGGGCAGGGTGACGTTTATCGAAAGTTCGCGGTATGGGATATTGTTCCCAAGCATGCTGGACGAACCCTGCTTCCACCAGCAACGACCATCCCTTATCTGCTTCTGGCGCCCTGGATTGAGGCTGAATTCTCAGTCCCGGAAGCGAGAGACTTAACCTAACAACAACAAAGACGCTGCTGTCCGGGGGTTTTGGGGGCTCGTGGCGGTCTGGATTGTTCTGTCTGATAGAGCAGCGGAAGAATCGATATTAGCCTGAGTAAACAGTACACAAAGCGCATGGAGCCATTGGACAGTCTGTTACGACCCCTGCTATACTTGATGTGTGCTGAGCATGCAGCGAAGGCCCCATGGTCGGTGGGGTTTTGCAGGCTGAGTCACGACAGGAATAATCAGTCATGCCGTGCCAGAAATCAAATGCCTACCCAGTTAGGAAGGCCCCTCCAGGGGCCAGAACATGTATCCCTCTGCGCCCTTGATCCGTCATTGCAGATATGGCAGGCTCATGTCAAACAAGACAGCGCTATGCTGCGAATTCCCGTGACTTGTAGAACTCGAAGTCTGCATCCCGCGTCTGTCCTACTAACCATTTCAAGGAATTTGGGACTTCCTCTTTCTTTGCAATTTGCGGTCGTGTCCGAACGTCGTCAATGAGAAAGTGACCTCATACCGTGGACGTCCGTTGCCAGGAGTTCTCCAGTGCCGTCACTGCAGATTGCCCCTGCACCGTGGTTTTTTGTCGGCGTCAGAAGTAAAACCGCTCACGATCGAGGTTTGTTCGTTTTTTTGTCGTTTTGGTCATGGCTGGTCGTTGAGCGGTTTTCAACGCTGTTGTAGCAGCCACGGAACGATCCGTACGCCCAGCACCGATCAATCTCCGTGAGAGGCATAATTCGGATCAGATTCGGAGTCGGCGCGGCAGGAAGCGAGCAGGAAGGCCAGCTGAGTTCCGCCTCAGAAAACCGATCTCCGATGAAAAGGAACCGCCCCGCAACTCGATCGTCGATCTTAAAAACTAGTTGTATTGAAGGAGGACTAGCTGCGACAAGAGGTGAATCAAGGTATTGGGTGTCGTGCCATTTTCTTTTGTCCTATTTGAGTGCAGGTGTCCAGGTCATGTGCCATTTGATGGTGATGCCTCCAGATAGAGAGCTCAAGGTTCGACGTTCGCCGATTGAGGCCGACGAAAGTGAAAATCGTCGATCAAAAGGATTACCATCGCTGGCCCACTGAGCCATTAAGGGATTTCCGTTTTTTTTTGAGTTCTCTATATGATGGGTCCAGGTACTTGTACCGAGAAGGCGTCCATTCAAGGTCGTACCGGATGGAAAAGGGCTCAGTGGAGGTGGTGTCGACCCGCTATGGAGAGGCCAGATGGGTTTCTAGAAGGTTGCCGGAAATGGTCTGCACTGGAGTTCGTGACATGGAGAAGTAACATTGGAATCCTTCGACAGGACTCATCTTGCGGAAGTCGCAGACACCTAGCAGATACTAGGGGCAATTGTATGACGATCCGGTCTCTTAGCGAGGCCTTCTGGAACGTTTCTTTGGTGTGGTAGGATCCAATGTTTGTCTAGCTGCCGTGCCCGTATCATGTATGTACTGGGTGGGTGTCCCTTGTCCTGGGACGAGATAAGGTCAGCAACACTGGCAAATACTCATCTGAAACCTTGGCTTGAGCACCTTCTGGAAGGATGCCGAATAAGGCATGCGTAACGAGGGTGGTTAGGGCACTTATCCATATAGAGTAGTATCGTTTCGTGTCAGGGATTAAGTAAGGACTGGGATGCAGAAGTAATCTGGATTACTGCTGCAAGGTCAATCACTGGTCATGCATCGACCGGTGCATGACTGCGGGGGCCTGACTGGCTAGTCTGGCTAAGAAAAGATTCCCTATCTAGCGTACGCCATCTGGGAGGTCTATGGCCCCGTTCATTGCTCAGGTCATCAAAGGGGCAGAGACAACGTCGGTGACAGCAGTACTCTGGTACTCATGGCGGTGTATATACAGTTGTCACCTCACCTCTGGGGTTCCAGGATGGTTTAACCGGAATAGGTGGTCTGAGATTGTGAGCACCTTCCCAAAACAATTATCCATCCATGAGGAATAGCTCAGCTATACCAAGTACACGTATGAATGTACACGCACCGTGGTAGAGTTGCGTTACACAGAGGGCACCCCATAAGCCGAGGGACAGAAAGACAGACTCAACCTGCCGGCGCCAGCCACTGTAGACTTTTTCCGTCTGACCATCCGTTACAATGATGAGGCATGGTGCAATAGATCAAATTGTCAAAAATACGCAGTTGACGCCGGATAAACCAATGGTGACTCGTGGGAAAGCAAAAAGGAACAGGCGGGAATTCGGCAGGAGGAAGTTTTCTCCCAGATGCGGCTACGTCATTGTCCCGCTAGTTTAACTGGGGTGCACTTGGTGGCTTGGTCACGTTACTTTGGAGAGGCACGTGAGATGCCTACGCGCTCCTCATACTCGGTACTCGTCTCTCAGTGCTTCGGTTCTGCCTCCTCTCACTTGGTCCTTGAACCCACAGGCCTCTTCGCATTCTGGCTATAGAACCATTTTCATGCCATCTATCGTCATCGTCCTCTCTCCCCGCCAACACAACTCCTCGCTTCCGAGAACCACTCCTCCGTACTGCACCAAAGTGACACCCGGGGTACATGGTGCGTATCGCTTGATCTTTGGGCCGGACAAAGTTTTGCACGCACAAAAGAGACAGACACAAGACAACTGGACAGGTGGACAGGTGGACAGGCGGACAAGCGGACAGAGGCCCCAAGAGAATCGCGTCCTGCATGTTGCGCTGTCAATCATGGCGCCGCATTACGACGCCCTGCAGGCTTACCTCACGACTTCCTTTCCCGTCATCCATCCTCTCAGCCAGTTCCGCTAGCGCATCTCTGGTCACCAACCCGCCAGTTCCGAGATTATTGCGCTTCTCTTCCCGCCCCTTCGCGGATGACACCGCGAGTGGGTGAAGCTGGAGACGCACTAGCCCGTGCGTCGCCGGGGAAAGGTAATTAATTACCCTTGTCATTCATCCTGAATTTCGCCGGCATTGCACTTCCATCCCCTCTGGACCAGAAAGATATATTGCTCTATCCCATCACACTCTACCACCCCCTTCTTTCCTTCTAACAACCAGAGGTCGAGTTCCATCCCCAGCCCAACAAGTATTGAATACTTAGGACGTTGACATCCACCCACCCCACCTCCACTATGCTCGCTTCCACATCCACCAACCCGGCCATCCAGGCCTATAAGGTCTACCACCTCTCCCAGACCAAGCTTGACCGGGAGTGCCGTCGACAAACCCCGGATCTCCATCGCATCGTCCTGCATGCCTCCATCGTCGACAATGTTCGTCGATGGTCGCGTGACTTGGCCACCCCTTCTGAGGCGGTGGTGATCGAGTCCGAGTCCGATACAGACAGCGATCCCTTCGAAGACTCGGCCTCCGATGAGGAAGAATACGAGGACGCCATGTCTGCCGACCAGGTTGCCATCTTTGACTGCGAGGTTGACGACGACATGACGATTGAACAACAGTCCCACACCAACGGCAAAGTCTACGCCGTACAGACTGGTGTCGTTCAGCATGTGGAGGCCAAGGACGCCCAGTCCAACTCGGCGCCTGCCAGCCCCCGGAGACGAGCTCCTCCTCCACCGTCGGCTGCTAGCACGGCCTACGAACCCAACGACCAGAGCTGGAAGCAGAACCGACCGGTCACAGTGCGGGAAACGGCCATTGAAGTCGACGGTGACGACTAGATGGACCGGATCCAAGCTACGATACGCCCTTTACGAGAACTTGATACCCCCTGCTTAGAGCATCGATTTAGCCGCAAGGCTACGATTTTTATGAATTCGACTCTCCCCTCGCTGCAACCCCACCAGGCCACTGTCACTCTGCCACCACCAAGTGACACGAATGGATCTCCAGTTGAGCTTGACGCTACGGAGGTCCATCGACGAGATTCAGCGACGAGGACGAGTCGATCGACGAAGATGTTGAGGAAGATCCACCGGAGAACGACCAGGTCGTCGACTCCCGGGAAGAAGGAAGGCTTCAGGGCAGCAAAGGGACCCGGCATGAGCATCGCCCTCGGATGGAACATCAGTCTTCCCTCATTACCAAACCTCCAGTAGTCGTGGCTTTTGATAAGTCAGCCTGGGGCAAGGGGCTGGGGAGGATTGAGTATCCATCCGGGCCACTGCGAGCACTCTGCCGTCTGGGACCTTGTTGTGGATCGGGGACATCGAGATATGGGAGTCATGTCAATGTACATTAATTTTTGCCGCTATATCCACTTCTCCCCTGTCAATGAGAGAGCTGAGATTGGAGTTTGTACTTTTAATCATGTGGAGAAAAGCAAGAGAATGAATCGATTACGCAAACTATACATCAATGATTTCAAGTCCTAAGCCCTAACGTCCCTATCAACGTCGTCGACACAAGCCATGAGGATATGCGGTTTTTACTCGCCGTCATTACCTCATATGGATCAAACATTTCCATTTTCGTCATGTGGCCCCCAGCTTCTCCTCGTCTTGGTGCGTTGCCCACCGGGATGCAGTTCCCGGGCGGATCGACGATCCGCTGGTCGGGAAGAGTCAATCATCCCATATGTGTGTATGTAAGTAAGTAAGTATCCTGACCCAACTCCAAAGAAATATCGAGAACCATCCCACATGCCCACCCCCTCTTCCTTCCTCCCTTCGGTTCCAGTCCCAGTGCCAGTCTCAATCTCAGCCTCCACCTCCTCGTTTACTTACATGTGAGTGACCCGATAAGGATCGTCCGATGGACGACGGTTTTGGGAATGTGCATGTATTCGCGCACTTCTTACCGCCCTAGAGTTTCCAGACTGGGTGGTGTCACGAGCGCCGAAAGCGGACGGGGTAGGTTGGCAGGCATGTTTCCCACGGTCGACGGTTGCGCTCACTAGCCCGGGGTCGGCCCGGGGCTTGAGGGAGGGCTCAGACTGTCGATGGGCAGATGGATGGGTGGATGGATGGATTCAAGGGTCCGGGACAGACATACTGTAGACATGGAATGCTACAACTCACTAACTAGGAACTGGTCCATGCACTCCCTAAGTAGCACGCCTAGGTCGGTGATTTGCCCTTCTTCCTCTGTCCTCTCACTAGCGTGGAGTATAGGAGACAAGACGAGAAGAGGAGAGTGGTGAGTGGATATGTATGTATCCAGGCAGGGCACGAGGTAACCAACATCGATGTGCCGACAATGTCTTCTTCACCGACATGGAACGCTTGAGTGCACCCGGCTGCATGGTACAGGGATACGTAGGTTCCCTAGAAGGTAGGTATCCTGGTCAGTTCAGTACCTACCTGACTGACCGCCCGCCCGGAGAGAGAGGCGGTCAAGGAGAGAGACGGTGCAGCGTTGGCAAGCTCGAAGCATGTGTGATCGATCATACACCAATTGAACAACCAACCAAGCAACCAAACCACACATTCTATGGGGCGTTGATACCGACCATCCCTGTATGTAGTATACGGTAGACAAATTCCACCATGTTCTCTGACCTTTTGTATTCCCTGACTTTCTCAACAATGCATTGCTGCTGGCGTGACCCACTCCCATAACGGTCGAGGCTACCGAAACTCAGGGGCTCGTAGTGTAGGCAATGTCCCCTCGAGCACACCCACTCACATTGCACTCAAAGCAGACTTCTTGAAACCGTCATGGTGTACACGTCTTTAAGAGTCTATTGGCAAAAAAAATCTACTACTGCTTATTTGTGCAGCGCTTTACTGGAGATCTTCACACCCTGCGGATGCCTGACACTTGACCAGACGCTCGGCGAGACTTTGACCGGCAGCTTTCTACCCTTCAACCTCTGATCGATGAGCCAGAGACCCACCACAAACTCCTCCCGGTTGAGCGTCTTTGCACCGGGCTGCGCCACCAGATCCCAGATCTCCTCCAACACATCTTTGGGCAGGCGGCTTCGTTCCCAAATATCTCGGACCACAACGTTGACGACCAGGTCACTTGCAGGAGTGCCATCCTTTCTCAACTCCGAGTCCGGGTTGTCCAGGTCATAGTCGAGAAGTAGCCCTCTATTTGCTGCCCAGACACCTTCATACCGCTTCCTTTCCCGTTCCGTTATTTTGTCTCTCCACCGCCTTCGATCCCCTTCATGGTGCATGTTAGGATGTCGCCTCCAATGCCTGCGGCCACGCTTTTCTTCGGCTTGTTCATCGCGGTCCGGCGAGTTATTCCGCAATGTCTGCCTCATAGGTCGCATAGGAAGTGGCTTTAATTTTGGTGTTTGCGAGACTGTCTCACTCCTCATGCCAGGAAGGTGCATCAACTGTCGAGCGCCTGAAAAAGCGCCCACCGATTTCGAGCGCCGACGAGGTATAGGGGGCGGAACCTTCTTCGAAGCAGGAGATGCCCCACGAGAGCCGGTGTGAGTGGCTGCAATAGATCCTGCAACCATGGCGTCCGCCAGAGAACTTGCAGTCATTCCTGTTCGGGTATCCTGAACGGGGGCTTGTTCTTGTGCAACGACAGCTGCACGATTGGCGCGCAATGGAACCGGCGCTGCGAGAGGTTGGGGGGTATGTTCGATCTTTGATCGTCCAGTGTCGCTCTCTGAATCGGTCTGTGGAGGTGTTACTCGGAGGCGTGGCCATAATGAGCCAGTGGTCGATTGAGGAGAGGCAGTCAGATTCCGGAGCACCGGGGCGCTGGGGCTGCTCTCTTCAGAGGTTGATAGAACTCTTTTTCTTGCTTCTAGACTAGCAGCATTCCTAGAGGCTGTGGCGGCCGCCGTAGCCCCTGACAGAGAGGGACTCGGCGCCGATGAGGGCTGAGCAGAATAAAGAGGTAAATTCAGAAGGTAGCCTAGCTCGCTTCTATGCTTGTCGCCCGTGCCAGTCTGCACCTGAACGGGGGCTATTGTTGTCATCGAAGCCTTCGCCCCAGCGAGAGCAGCCGCGCTCTGTTGGATTGATGAGACGGCCTCGCTGCTGCTACTTGTGCTCATGCCCCGGCCTCGAACTTGAGATGGATCCCGCCTCGCCAGATACGCACTCGCCAGGTCTCTTTTCAATTCCGGCCGGCGGACAGGGCTTGTTTTCGCAGAAGCAGCAACGGCAGCAACGGCAGAGGTAGATCGAGGAGGATGAGGCCGAAGCCCAAGCTTTGGAGGAGATAATGAGGAGTGGTCGGTGACTGCGACTGGCAGCTTTTCTGTGGTCAACGCCCGACCCCGAGGATTGACGGCTGATTCTTGTGAAGGGGCTTCATTTTGCCGCTGTTGCTGCTTCCTGATAGAGGCAGTGGTCGCCGCAAGCAGGGCTCCTGCAGATGCAGATGGATTATGTGATGCGGAGACGGGGATGCTGGGCGATTTTACCGCAGGCGCTCCAAATGCTAAGGTGGCACCCTGGAGGGCGGGTGAGGGCAGGGGAGAGGGTTTGGCCGTGGCAGCATTGTGTTGCTGGATGAAGGAGGGCTTTGGCGCCACAGGAGGACGCCGTGCCTTCTTCTCACTCATGAATCCATTGACAGTGGGTCAGGTAGAGGATGCCGAAGCATCGGACGACTCAAGCGAATGGGATAGACAGAGCAACTCTCATGAGCTTAGTAAGGGATTCATCACATCTCAATAACTCCAACTGGATAGCAAGGTTTGAAGCCCGTTGCCGAACGAATGATCAAGGCTGAAGACAACAGGAAGCGTAAGTATAGACAGCAACAGGAGAAAGAAAGGGAAGCTGAAGGTTGGCTTGTAAGCCTCGATTTCCGCCTGTCGCCGTGCACGTGATCTCGCGTCTTGGCGCGTCAGGGTTGAGTTTCACTATGACTTCACTTCACTTCACTTCTAGGCAACGAGGTCACAGCCACTTCATCAAGTTGGCGTTCGCAGCCTGCCGAATGATGCAGCTACGGACTCATCGAGAATGCGAGCACCCCGGTAGTGTCACTCTATCTCACCTCAAACTAGCCGGCCGGCCGTCAAGATGTCTGACGACGAGAGCATGCCGGATGAATCCAGACATGAAACTGGCCCAAGCCGTGCAGACTTTGAGAAACAGCTAGACGAGGAGTACCCCAACCGGCCTCGCAATCACGGCAAGACTCTTCCCTTTCACACTCTTTTCGAGGATCTCTTCAATCCTCTGATTGATAACAGGCAAAAGAAGCCAACAGCAGCCGCCGTCAACCGCAGAAAAGTAGGTCCAGATGGCCCGTCTAATCTGTCTCCGTCGGAAAGGCGGCGGGCAATCATACAACGATACATTGCTCGTTGGCGCAAGGAGGTCGGCCCTGACTTCTTCCCGGCCTTTCGGCTCATCATCCCCGACAAGGATCGTGAACGTGGAGTATATGGGCTAAAAGAGAAGATCATCGCCAAACTACTTATCAAAATCATGAAGATCGACAAGAACTCAGAGGACGGGTATAGTCTTCTCAACTGGAAGCAGCCTGGTCAGACGGCTGCATCGCGAATGGCAGGAGATTTTGCGGGTCGCTGCTATGAGGCCTTGTCGAAACGACCGATGAGGGTCGAAGTTGGAGACATGACTGTTGCTGAAGTCAATGAGCTTTTGGATAAGTTGTCAGGCGCGCCAAGAGAGGAGAACCAGCTCCCAATCTTGGCCGAGTTCTACAAGCGCATGAATGCGGAAGAGCTGATGTGGTTGATTCGCGTCATCCTGAAACAGATGAAAGTGGGTGCTACCGAAAAGACCTTTTTCCACCTCTGGCACCCGGACGCAGAGAGTCTCTTTAATGTTTCTAGCAACTTACGAAGAGTATGCTGGGAACTGTACAACCCCGAAGTGCGTCTCCAAGACGATGAGGCTGGAGTTACGCTGATGCAGTGTTTCCAACCTATGCTAGCCCAATTCAAGCAAGAATCTCTGAACAAAGTCGTGGAGGCGCTCAAGCCAACCCCCGAAGACCCTGAATTTTGGATCGAGGAGAAACTAGACGGCGAACGCATGCAGATTCATATGGTCACCGACGACAACCATTCAGGCGGGAGACGCTTCCGATTCTGGTCAAGAAAAGCCAAAGACTACACCTATCTGTACGGCGACGGGTTTTATGACCCCAGCGGGGCACTCACTCCGCACATTAAAGAATGCTTCGCCGATGGGGTAGAAAATATAATCCTCGATGGCGAGATGATAACGTGGGACCCTAACGAAAAAGCACCTGTGCCTTTCGGAACACTGAAAACTGCCGCACTGGCGGAACAACGCAATCCTTTCGCCCAAGGCCACCGACCTGTTTTCCGGATCTTCGACATACTTTTGCTGAACGATCAGCCTCTGACTCGCTACACTCTGCGAGATCGCCGCAAAGCGCTGGCTGCCAGCGTAAGAAGTCAGCCGGAACGCTTCGAAATCCATGAATACACGGTCGCAACAAAAGTGGACGATGTTGAAGACCTCCTACGGAAAGTCGTAGCCGAAGCTTCTGAAGGGTTGGTACTCAAGAACCCCAGATCCATGTATCGCCTGGACGACCGCTCTGGCGACTGGCAGAAGGTAAAGCCAGAGTATATGGATGGATTCGGCGAGGAGCTTGACTGTCTTATCATTGGCGGCTTTTATGGCTCCGGTAGACGTGGCGGAAACCTGTCCAGCTTCTTGTGCGGTCTACGTGCCTCAAGCAAGGCTCTGCAAAGAGCGACCCTGTCTCAGAGCCAGAGCCAAAGTCAAAGCCAACGACGACACCAAAAGCCCCTCCCTCAAAGCAAGAGCCAGAGCCAGAGTCAGGATCAATCCTCGCAACGTCAGCACACCCAATGTCAGACTCAAGGTGACCCAGGAGCTGAATCGCTCGAAGGAGGCCCGATCGAAAATTTCATTTCCTTCTTCAAAGTTGGTGGTGGCATGACAGCCAACGATTACGCCACGATCCGCCACTCCACAGATGGGAAATGGCATCCATGGGATTCCCGTCGGCCGTCGGCAAGAGACTACATTGACTTGGGCAACTTGAGCTTGCTTAAGGAGAGACCAGATGTGTGGATCAAACCTTCGGACTCACTCGTTGTGCAGGTCAAAGCTGCACAGGTTACTGCCAGCGAAGATTACGGCTTCGGGAAGACACTACGATTTCCTCGGTTCATGAGACTAAGAAGGGACAAGGACTGGAAGACTGCCCTGTCTGTCGATGAGTTTGAAGATTTACAAGTCAAGGTCGAGGATCAGGAGAAAGAAAAAGCGATGAAAGTCGACCAGCAACGCAGGGAGAAACGCAAGGGGCGCGCTGGCGGATATGCGAGTCGGAAGAAAGCGCTCACCGTGGCCGGGTACCATGCCAGAGACGTTAACAGTGTCAAGTTGCCGGAGGGACCTAAGGGAACCGTCTTTGAAGGATTGACATTTTATATCATGACGGAATCCTCTCTATCGGGGAATCGAAAGAAGACCAAACTCGAGTTGGAAGCCTTGGTCAAGGCCAATGGAGGCAAAATTGTTCAGACAGCGACTCCGACGTCTGAGCACCAAGAAACCGTGGTATGCATTGCTTCCCGCAGAACCGTCAAAGTCGCGTCCCTGGAGAAGCGCGGTGAAAAGGAACTCGTCAAGCCGATGTGGATCTTTGACTGCATTGACCAAGCGAAGCGGGACTTCGCTAGAGGATATGCAGAAGAGATGATCCTCCCTTTGGAGCCAGAGCGCCACCTCTATTTCGTGCCGGACAGCATGAGAGAGCTTTACGAGGACAATGTGGATGAGTTCGGGGACAGTTTTGCGAGAGACGTCGGGGAGGACGAGCTTAAAGAGATCATGACTAAGATGGGCACTGTGGACATTGAAGACGAGGAATGGAATAGAATTCCAGACCTCTTCGGCGACGACTTCCTCAATATGAAGGGTTTCATGTTCCACGGCTTGGTATTTTTCTTTGATCAGCCCGTTCCCGCGGCGCAGAATGGAACAGCGCCGTCATCGAGCTTGGCCTCGAACACTGCATCGACCACCACGACAGCCATTTCTTCTGCCCAAGCTCTTGCCCAGTTCGCGAGTGCCCGCATCCTTCCATCCACGTACACCACCCTTTCATCCATCCCCCGGGATCTTCGATCGACAGTCACGCACATCATTTCCAGCCCTGCGTCAGACCTCGGAGACTTGAGGCGACAGGTCTCGAAATGGGACACGAGGAAGATCCCACGGATCGTGACCTCTGAGTGGATTGATATCTGCTGGAAAGAAGGAACCAGGGTTGACGAGGAGGCGTACATCGCCAGATGAATGACCAAACTACCCAACCAGAAACTCAGGGCCAAAAAGCATCGAAAGCTTTGGGAAGCTGTCCTTGCGAGACACGGGGCGGACTCGATGGAGACCAAGCGACAGACCATCTCGACCGGTCGAATAACGTCCGTCTCGACCTCGAGCAAAGGAATTCTTTTCCTCCCGAGCACCAGCGCATGATACGCATTTAGCTCAGCAAAGGGGACGTCCTTCCACCGTTGAATAGAGCATTCGATACAACCCAACCCACCCCAACGCAACAACAATACATTGACTGCTTTGTAGCGTTTGCCTTGGACACAAGCTACGAGACAGCCTCGAGATCGGCGAATGGCACGGTCACACTACCAAGAACATGAATCAAGACCGGTCGGCGCTGGACGTGGTCCAATTCAGTTCGATGGCCTCAGGGACTACTGGATGGAGACAGGGCCTCTGGGGAACTTGGAAGCATATACGCATAGAAGAACATGGTGCGGTCCTAGGCACCTCAGGGAAAATTGGGAAACAGTCCTTTCTTCTCTTACTCCGTCTTCCGCAGTCAGGGGCCAGGGGCACCTCCAAGATCTAGGGCATCCATACCGTGCAAAGAAGGACAAAAGCGTAGGGCATCTTCAGGCACGTATTCCGTATAAGTACACATATCGTGACAACGCTCAGAGTTCTTTTTCTTGAGACTACTTCCTTCCGTCCTGGATCCCTCACAAGCTCCAAGTCGTATCGAAGTAAAACAATCCACATTGTATAAAAGAAGAAACATCAATGCCCGTCGTGTTGTACAGTTTCTTTTGCCAAAGCCCCTGCAGGGCTTGGACCGGACTCGCTTCGTGTCGTGCATTCATCCAATAGCCAGAATTCGTCGCTCGCCGTCGTCATTCGTAAAAGATAAAAGTGGTCCTCGGTGGACCGGGTTCTGTGTCCCTTGTTTGCCAGTTCTAAGCGCAAGACAGCCGTCACTTTGGTAAAACAGCACGTCTCTGACCCATCCACCTGCAACATGTCACAAATCCTCGATTGACCAACTCCTCCACCTTTCCCTCGCGTCTATCCTTCTTCGCTTTCCTTTGGCAACCTTCCCAATTGCATCATCTGCTTCCTTTTCCCTACATTTCGGTGCCTCATCGACAGGGGGTAACCATAGCTTTGCATGGCCCACCGCATCTTCGCTCAACTTGCCATTCTTGCGCATGTTCATCTCACACACAAAAACTCGCAGGAAATCCCGATTCTCTCGTGGCTCACGTGACCGCGGTTGACCTTCCTCTAAGCCGTTCTCGGGATCGGCCCACAGCGTCTGCGCAGCACGGAACTTGTTGCTCGGCGTACCGTCCGGCTCAAGCCACGTTGGGGGGCTAGAAGCGTGCGCAGTGCGAATGGTCGAAGGAATACATGTTGCAAGCTGGACGACGGGAGGAAGTTGGGAGACGACACTCCTGGAAGCCACAAATGGGGCGCTTTCGTTGGTGGCAAGGGAGAGGGCTCTCTGGGTTCGATATTTCTTCTTGATCTTGATTTTTGGTCGGGCGTCCGGGCCTGATGAAGGTGTAGTAGGTTTTTCATCGACCCAGAAATGCAGTTGAGCGGGAGAGTCAGGAGGGACAAAGGTATGCGGATTCAGATACCTTCTGAGGGCAGCTGAAGGGGGTTCGTCTGACGGTGGAGGACGTCGGTCATCGGTAAGAGAAGGTCTGAATTCAAAGACAGATCTCGTTAGAAACTCGTCTGGTTGCATCAGCGGCGGGTGGCTCGCCAGATCGGTGACGGTTAGGGCGGCAGATTTGAGTGCCTTCAGGGATGCCGTGAGACTCGATTTGAACGAGCTCTGCTTTCTGTCGGAGACGATCGGCCTTCGTCTCATCCTTGTCGGCGGTGACATGACAAGTTCCGGTGTCGACGTTCCACTAAAATCCTCGTCCTCGTCCTTGGGCAGGAGGGGATGCTCGTTGCTGCAATCCTCCGAACTGGCCATCTGCCGCAACCGGTGATCAGAAGGAGACCTGATAGTCGCGGGAGAAAGACTGCTGAAGTCGTCCGGTGACGAGAGAGAAGGCATCGACTCGGTAGAGAGCGATCTGGAGGATAGAAGCCCTGGGTCAAGACTATCACTCCCCACGATCATTTGACCCTCAACGAGGCCGTCAATGTTGCCAAACAGTCCTTCGAATTGTGGGGTTGTCCAACTGCTGGAGGGGCTCGCATCAGTGCTCGGCGGAACATCATCCCTCAAGAGTTTACTGAAATCTGCGACGTAGTCACAGTTCGGCAAGCGCTGGCTTGGTCTTTGCTTGGGCTTCCGTCGGACAGGGATAGTGGTCGATGTCAAAATCTCTTGGGCTGAGTGTTTCCGTCGCGGGATTTCCAGGGACTGAGACGGAGAATCGGACGCTGGTGGTCTGAGATGTCTTGGAGACTGCGAAGACGAACTGGCCGGCTGTCGAGTTGTGGTGGGAGTCGGTCTCTCCGTTGTCCGCAGAGGGATCTTGACAGGGTTAGAGGAGGGTCGCAGGGGGGAATCAGCAGGCTCTTCAGAAAGACCCTGGGTGAGAGCTGAACGGGCAGGAGGTGGTCGAGGTGTGCCATCTCGGGGCTGCCTTCGAGACGATAACCTATCCTTCTCTTTCTCGTTGAAGTCCATCTGCTGTTGCCTCTGCGCCAGCGGGTTGTGGGCAAAAGCCCTGGGGACCATCATCATGGCGACGCCCACAGGTTGGTCTGGTGGGAGGAGAGACCTAGGCAGCCGATATTTATTGATTAGGAATATCAGCGGACGAGGGAATCGGATCCGGGGGGCATGCCGGAGCAGCCTAGTCGGATAAGGCTGAATTAGGGGTTTAGGGAGAGAGGTACGAGGAGCTGGGAGTGAAGCACTGAGGTAACAGGAATAGAGAGAATGATAGATGAGAGCGAGATGCAACTGATGGCATGATGATGCAGCCCTGTACGGAGCACAGTCTGGGGACTTTGGGGGCAGATGGTTTCAGCGAATGAATACTCCGTGGGTAGGATGAGTTGGTGTTTGGGCTGTTGATGGCACCTAGATGGTGCTGAGAAAGAAGTCAAGGTCGTGTGCTGGCTGAAGATAAGAGACGAACGGCCATATCAAGCGAGGGCGATTGGTTGGAAATGTGCAGCCCTTCCGGAACTAGCCTGCAGCCGTAAGCGTAGCCAGCAGTACGCGAGGACTTCCCCCAAGGCGCCCGGGAGTACTGTGCAGCTGGGATTGGGACTGGGAGCCTTTGGGTCGTGGGATGATGATGTTCGGGGGGTGATGATGACGAAGGGGGTCCAAGAAGGAGCCACTAATGCCACATGAGCCACTCACAGGCACCAGGGGCAATTTAAGGGGTGGTTAAGGGTGCTTCCGGCTGGTGAAGTCTGGAATTAGCGGCAGAACGCCTGCAACGGAAAACCACGCGGTCTCTGGCACCTCTATTCCGGGTGTGCCATGGCCTAGTGAGCCCATCTGGGTGCCATCCCACCTGACGCCCTGGCATCAGCAATGCGTGGCACTTCAAGCTTCCTTCTCCTCCGATTCAGGTCAACCAGGGTCCTCTTCCACACCTGCCTTTCCAGGCAACAACATCCCAAAGTCACTCATTATTGCTTCTTATGCTATGTTATTATTCATCCACAACTTTTCGTCGGGTTCGAGAAAGAAGGACAAAGCCGTCGCTAAGTTTTGCCCACTGGTCCCATCCGTCGCTCTGTCGCTCTATCCATTACTTGATAGATTTTACGAGAGAGAAAAGAAAGAAACACAGAGAATTTCTCAGTCCACTGTCGCTCGCCTTTCTTTCGATCAAGTAACAATATCCACATTTGCTCCCTTTCCGATGCGCTGAAGCCCGACGAATGTGACTTCATGGCCTCTAGCAAGGCCCGGAACAATGGATCCGTGTCGAACACAGACGATTGGCTTCAGGAATTCTCTTGGCTAATACTTGCTTCTTGTGGCCGCGGCCCAGGGCACACTGAGCACAAGGCACCACCCACAGGTACCTCAGGCACCGCAGTGGCTGCAGGGGAGGAAGGAAGATCTGATTTTTGAGGGATGTTCTCGGAGACGTCCGTCTCATGAACCCACAATGACTATACAGACTGTGCCCATGATCTCATTTTACCTTGTACGAAGAATCCACAAGGATATGTACGTTACAACCACCTGCTCCGTTTCATGTCTCACTCTCTCGGTATTTCCGACGAACATGCCAGATCGTGCCAGAGTATATACAGGACAGATCCTCGCCGACCTACTTGCCAGCATCTCGGATCCACTTCGCTGCCCTGGCTTTGACCTCCTCAACCAGCCGTTCATCTCCTTCCTTCTCCTCGAACTCCATCCATCGTTTGAAGAAGTATTTGGCCTGCTTGGGTTTCAATTTGCCGCCAAATATTCGCTCAAACAGCCCTCGCACTTGCTCTTTGTTCTCCTCTCCTAGCTTGAGCTCCAAGTCGAGAAGCACGTTGAATAGATCCACCCTCTTCGGGAAGGAACTGATCAACCCTTCGAAGATGGTGCGTCCCCGCTCTGCTAGCCCGTGGGAAGATTTGAACTCAAGCTGTGCGAATTTCAAGGTAACGTCAAAGTGCGTGAATCGCGGTAGTGTCTGAAGCGCTCGCGGGAGGAGAGCCCGGCCTTTCTCTGCGTCGCCCACCGTGTCGAATAAGAAATGCGCATAATTAACCCACATCTTGGGGTCCTGCGTGAATTTCTTCAACATGCGTTGGAACATGTCGTCTGCCTTGTCCTGTTTGCCAGATTGAATGTAGATGCTGGTCAACCGTGAGTAGATCTCTTGCGGGTCGTTGTACTCGCACGCCCGTTGGAACATGGCCTCAATACTTTCGTCGTCTCCATAGGCATTTTCTAAGTTGAGCAGTGCCACCCAGACGTTGAGCTTTTCTTCTTCTTGACCCAGGCCGATGGCTTTCAGTGCCCGTTCACCGATCTGGCGTGCTTGGTCGACGTCCCCTAGGTCAAGGTGGAAGGCCATGTACTGGAGCCAGAGGAGCGAGGAATCCGGTTCACCAAGGAGTAGCCGCTCGAAGTCGTCCACCGACTGAGGTCCGTTTACGTCCAGGTCTGCCGTTCGGTCGACTTGGATTTGTGCTCGCTTCTTTCGCTTCTTGGGTGCTTTGGCTGAATCTTCGGCTTCTGAATCAGACGCTTCAGTCGCTCGCTTGTTCCGTGTGTTTTCGGAAATGCCGTACCAGTCAAACCCTCCCACGGAGAGACCTTTGTTGCTGGTCGGCTTCGTGGCGTCAAGTAAGACCGTGCTGCCTCTTTGGTCGTCTTCAGATTCCTCGAACTCATCTTCAAGCCTATCGTCAGCGTCCTCTGCGTCTCCTTCCGAATCTTGCTCGTCCTCATCTTGGGGTGACACTTCTTCATCGTCTCCGGAGACGTCTCCTTCCTGGCCGAGAATCACGCCACCTTCCTCGGCTTCACCCTCAGATTGAGAATCACTTTCACCGTCTTCTGTAACATCACCAAAGTATGAGGCTTTCATGCCAAAATTGATGCGGCGTTTCGCAGTATCGATCTTCAGGACCTTGGCCTTGACTCTGTCCCCCTCGCTGAACAACTTGCCGACATCTCCGACCCGTTGTTCAGCGATCTCGCTTCGATGACAGAGTCCACGCACGTTCTCGGAATTGTCCACGAGAATGAAAACCCCGAAGGATTCGACTTTGACGACCTTGGCAGTCACGATGTCTCCGACCTTCAAGTCGTTGAAGGTAAGGGACGCTTTGTAGTCAGGTTTCAGTGCAGACTCCTTCAAGCTAATTTGGACATGACCGGATTCCTTGTCGACCATTATGACCCTCCCTTTCACAAGCTGATCACGCTGAAAGTGATCCTTCCACTCCTTGAGATAGCTGTCCGACAGGTTACTAACCCGGACAAATGCTGTGATCCCATGGCCCAGTGTCACAAAAACACCTTTATCGGCCACGTTGCTGATGAAACCACGAACGATGTCATTGACAGCCAACTGTTCGAGTGAAGTGATTTCTCGGTCGGTAACCGCCATTGACGAGCTGAGGACTTTCGATGGCCGCGTTGACAAGTTAACCTTTTTGTTGGGAGCATCCACTTTGAGCACGCAGACCCGAAGAACATCATTTTTCTGGTACTTTGCTGGGTTCGCTTGAGCGTAGTCGTCTGCCATGTCGATCAACTCGACAACACCCACCACCTGCTCACTAAGCTGGACGACGATGTTGTGGTCCGTAACCTTCGTCACCCGACCAGGTAGCACAAGACCCGCCGAAATATTCGCAAACGTCAAAGAGCTGGCCGTTCCATCTGAGCGTCCAGTCAGGTCCAGATGTCCTTTCTCGGCGTCCACATTGAGCACTCGGACCCGAAGAGCAGAGCCTAGAGGGAAGTTGTGAGACAGATTGGCAGCAAGCGACAGATCGTCGGAGATGTCGAGGGCTCGAATTCTTCCACGAATGGTGGGTGAAATATTGACCCACACACATTCGTCGGAGATGTTGTTGATGAAAGCAAGCCATGGTGATCCGACTGTCATGTCTTTTAATGTCAATCGGGCTTGCTCTGGACCCGAGACTGAGCTTGGTTTGCAGGTGAGTTCAAATACAATGTTCTTCCCTTTCCGATGGGTCAGCGGCAGAAACCTGTGGTTTCTCGTGTCATGTGCTCCAAGCACTCGAACAATGAGTTCTTGTTTCGAAGAGAATTGCCTCAATGGTTTCTTCCGGTCTTTGATGTCCTTCCAATCGTCAAATACCTCCGAAACGTCGATGCGTCCTTGCACATCTTTGGCTATTTCAACATTGATCTGTGTCTCTTTGACGGAGACAATCCTTGCTTTTGTGACCTTCCCGACGGATAAATCTTTGACGGTTTCAAGACTCGCATCTACTGGATTGATGAGCTTTGGAAAATCCTCTGGAGCCTCAGGCCTGCTCGACATGTCTGTATCAGCAGCGAGAGTCTCTCTCATTGTGAGCCAGAAGCGAGGTGTCGCACCCCTATAATCAATGGACAGGACTCTGGCCGTTATAGGTTGTAGTTTAACCATCCCGAAGTCCGGCTCGTTTTCAGCCTCGACAGGTACTTGAGACTTGGTTATCAGCCCGGTTATCCCAGCAGCAAAGCCCACAAAGACACCATCTTCTGTGATATTCTTCACGAAGCCGGTCACAGTTGCATTGGGCTGAAGTTGCTCATAGCCTCGGAGCAAGGTGCTATCTTGCGCGGCTTTGACCAGACTCTGTTTGTTGGAGATTAAGACCAATCTCCTCTTTGCCAGGACCTGCAATATGAGCACGTTTTCTAGTTTCTGGCCAACTCGAACTTTGGTGATTGCGGATTCTCGCTTCTTGAGAGATCCATCGGCGATATGATCAAGAGTCAACCGCGCAATAGCGTCGGATCCTTCTAAGCGCAACAACACGTCGTTTTGAGATTTTTCAAATATGGTGCCATTGGTAAGGGTGCCTGGTTGCAATGTCGCAAGGATGCTTTCGGTCGATGCACTTGGTGCATTGATCTCTCTGCACGATACCGTCAAGCGCTTTTCCGGAGCGTTGATGCTGATCGCGTTTACTGAAACAACCTGACCGACCCGGAAATGCTCCGTGGCGTCTTTGATGTATGCTTCGCTCATCTCAGACACGGGCAGAAATCCTCTGACCGGGCCGTAGAATCGAACGACCGCACCAAGGCGGTCGACCTTAGTCAATGTTCCTACTGTGGAATCACCGGTTTCGATATCTTCGAAGCGTAGCCATGGTTTCTGGTCATTGTTCACCAGAGCTTTCTTAAGTGTAAGACTCAGACGGCGCCGGATCGGATCAGTGGACAAGACTCGAGCAGTAACGGCCTGACCCTCCCTGAACTTCTTCTCTGGATGCTTCAAATCAACATCGGACATGTGTATTTGAGGCACAAGACCGTTCAGGCCCTCTCCTAGGGTGATCAACAGGCCTTGAATTCCGCTTGGACCGACCAGCAATTTTTCAATCGTTCCTTGGACGACCGCACCAAGAGGAACGTCGTCGAATCTCAGGAACGGGCGTTCAATCACGCTCTTCTGAGCGGACAATATGTAGAGGTTGTCCAGGGGATTGTATTCAAGTACTCGAACCTTGTGTTCGGATCCAAGCTTAAACGGGCCGCTGGTTTCGGAAACGGTGTCCAGCTTCTTGTCTGAAAGACGAGATACGTGGGCAAAGCCTATATCATCTTGGTTTAGCTGCAGGTAGACACCTAGCCCTGGCTCAACGCGAATGACTGATGCTTCATCGATGGTGGAAGACAAGGCCAGTTTCCCGCCTTCTCCCTCGGCGGCCTCGCTGGCATCACTCAATTCGACGACGTTGTCTAGCACAGAGAATCCCAGCTTCTTCACGTCCGAAAGGGGGAAATTGAAGATCAATCGACCAGTAATCTTTTTGCCGACCTGGTATTGAGCAAGAAACGTTTGTCGATCCTTAAACGAGCCTGAATGAACAATGTCGGCCGTGACGTCTAACATGCCCATGATCTTTCCTGAAATTCCAGCATCCGTAACATGGCTGATTAAGATCTCTGCTTTTGTACCTGGAAGGAAAGTATCCACAGAGGGAGCAGATTTCATGACTGGCGCTTTGGTGAGGTCTGCCGAAAGCTTTACCACCTTGTTGTTGGAGCTCATTTCGAGAACGTGGCACAGTAGAACGGCGCCAGTTTTGATAGTCGATAAAGAGCTGCCACTGGGCAGCTGCTTTCTGGGGATGAACCCGCGCACATTACCGTCTTCTAGCGCCAGCTCTACCACCAGCCCATGGTCTTCGACACTGCTCACAGAGACTTGGACAACGGCGCCATTGACGAGTTTCGACCGGTCCAAGCCAATGTTGGTCAGCGCTGGCTCAACAGACAGCTCGATTCGTTTTCGAACAGGAGATTTCGATCCTGGCTTCTCCTGCTCTGTAGAGGTCACAGCGACCCGCAGGTATTGATGAACACGGAAATATCCTGGTAAAGCGATGTCCTGCTCTTCGTCTCGGTCGCTTTCACTATCATTGTGCTCTTCATCATCCTGATCGAGAAGGCTTTGTATCTTTTGACTCAGTTGTGGTGAGATTGCCGTCAACGGCACGTAACCCACCAGGTTATTTGGTAGGGCCACAGTCAGCGCCCTTTGGCTTATAGACGTGATCTGGCCGAGTATGAGAGAGCCTGTAGTAATCCTTTTATAGCTGAGGCCACCGATTTGAACCTCTGAGTCTGTCCCGGTCGCTGAGGCTGCTGCCAGTTTCTTGTCTTTGCGCCGTCTTTTTTCTCGTTTCTTCGCTGGCAATTCCTCTCCGGAGTTGTCATCCTCGTCTGTTCCGACGTCTGGCCTTGCGTCCCTATCTCCGAACAGGTCCTGCGAATGCTTATGTTCCGTGTCTGCATCTTCGGCTACTCTTGCTCGAATTTGCTTACGCTCTAGGGGAGTGAGTAAACTCGCACCGCCTCGAGGAAAAGCCGGTTGTTCTTTGGTGAGGATAGAGACTGGCTTCGGTTTGGGGGTCTTGCTCTGTTCTTGTTCCGCAGTCGCTTTGCCGCTCTTTGCATCGGAATTGGACCTGGGCCGTTTATTTGGTTGCTTCGGCGTGGTATCCTCCGATTTCCGCTTTGAAGAGCCCATATCGACTCTTGAGACACAATAATCTCAGTGACATAGGCAGCAGGGGATTGCTGCCGTCCAAAAGGCTTCAATTCGCCCTGAAATGTGATCTTTGCTTGCGGGCTGAGTTGTGTGTGACCACGGAAATTTTTCTGGGACGCCAGAATGCAGTCAGGGAAGAGGTCCGATTCCACCAATCAAAATCTCGGACGCCATAGTGCGGAGAAATTTTCTCCGACCACGTCTCGGCTAACCTTCCCGCATGGTATCAATTTAAGACGCGTCTGACGCTGCCCGCTACGCGTCGCGAGCTTCTCCAGCTCCAGCCTCCGCGGGTCTTTTTCATACCTCCTCCCAATTGCCACCTGACAGCTTCCCTTTCTCAATCTTATTCTTCTGTGCCTACCGAAGCTCTAGAACAAAGCAATGTTCTTCTCAATTTGACGGCAACAAGAACTCAAGATCGTCACTGGACCTGCACCTCGAAGCTACCTCTATGGACCATACACCAGAGAGGCCCGTCCGGTCAGAGAATGTCACGTTCGCCATTGCACCCAACAACATCCGGAGTCCACGTCGAAGTAGTAGGATCAAGAAGAATCCCTCCATCACTCCGAAGCGTTTCACTCGATTCTTCACGCCAAGAATCCAGAATGTAAAGCGTTCCACTCGAACCTCGAGGAAAGCCTTGCGAGAACTTTCTGCCGTTAACCTCAACAGTCGATTAGGAGGTAGTCATTCTCTGGGAGTCACTGTCGGCGAACATGAAAACCCTCCGTCGAAAAAGAGAAAGCTCTCCTTCACGTCGATATCCTCTATCCCGTCCTCACCAATCAAAATTAACTGTGGATTTCCCAGCAGCACGGCGGGAGATGGGGCGTCGGCAGATGTGAAGGTCGACGATGCTGCCTTTTACTCGGAGACGGATGACGAGGATGAAGAAGCATCGCTGCGATATCCTCCACGGATAGTTCGCTATCAATCCTCGAGCACCTCTGCAGGGTTGTTGTCACGACAACTTGGGAGAAGAAAAGAGATAGCTTTTGGTAATGAAAGCAGTCTATGGCAGCATGAAACTTCAAGATTCTACAGTCTGCCAGAAGACCTCTTCACCAGTCCCTCGTTCGATGTTCAACCTCGAGCGCTACCATTCTGCGTTACCAGTTTCAACCACCAACAATCTGTCGCGATCGGAAATGAGGATGGTCTGGTCGAAATATACCAAGCTTCGGAACGGTCTCCCGATAGTGCTCGGAGCTTACGACTTCAGTCTTGCATGTATCCTCATGACAATGCCATAATGGATATGGAATTTTCACGTGATGATCGACTTCTCGCAACAGCGTCAGGAGACCAAACTTGTCGAATAATTGATGTGGACACCCTAACCTCCACCCATACATTGATTGGCCATATGGGGTCCATAAAACGCGTGCAATGGCAGCCTGGTTCGGGAGACCAAGTGCTTGCGACCTGCTCCCGAGACGGTAGTGTTGGGCTGTGGGATCTCCGTTGTGGCCAACCGGTGGGAACATTGGAACTCATGCCCCTGCAACGGGCACCTCGCTTTCTTGAGACCAGCCGACAAGTCAACACTCAAGTCACGATACGGGATGCCCACACCTCTTGGGACAAGCTCAAACTCGTGAATGGCAAGCGCCAAGTTGCTGGGTTATCTTCCAGGGTTGATTTTGCGGTCACCACCTGTGCATTCATCAGTGACACTCGTCCACATATGCTTGCGACTGCTTCGGAGCACAACGCCATTATCAAACTGTGGGACATGCGTGCATCATACAAACAACGATCCGGCAGACCTAATCCGGTGTCTGCTACCCTTGAACCGGAGAGCCATGAAACTATTCGTCCCTTCGGCGTGACTGCCATGACTACGAACACTGACGGTTCCAGGCTGTATACTCTCTGTCGGGATAATACCATCTACGCCTATTCAACTGCTCATCTCGTGCTCGGTGGATGTCCAGAGATGTCACCGACGTCGAGTCACCCTTTTCGAACCTCTCGCAAGGCGGGGCAGGGACTGGGTCCCTTGTATGGCTTCCGTGATCCTCTCCTGCGCTTGGGGTCTTTCTACGACAAGCTCGCTCTCCGCCGCAAGACAAGCGAGAATACGGAACTCCTGGCGGCCGGCTCAGGCGAGGATTGTGCAGTCATATTCCCAACCGACGAGCGTCATCTGACAAAAGCTGCACGTCGTCGTCCTCCACCTGTCTCCCTCCTCGATGCCTCATCGCGCTCGACGCGACCTTCCCTGCCTCAGCGGACCTTATCAAGTAACTTGCTCTCCAATTCCTTACTGGCGCCAGCTCCCCTGCACGAGGTCAGCACGGAAGGCCAATGTCCCATCTACTATACGGGCACGCCGCTCATTAACGGCCATAGAAAGGAAGTCACCGCAGTTGCCTGGGTCCATCAGAACGGCCAACTCGTCACCGTTGCTGACGACTACACAGCAAGATGCTGGTACGAGGACGATCCAGACAAGGCGCGGGCGCTAAGGCTGAACACGGAGCGGGACGGGCGGAGAAGCCAGAGTGGGTGGGCAGCGGTCCGACAGGGATTTGATGACGACGAGGACGATGACTGACGCAGCCACGATGACAATCCAGCAATCGAAGAATCAACCGACGGCTTGTAGACGGAGTCAAGGCTGCAGAAAAGCCAACGTATGTGAGAAGCAGCAGATCCTCACTGCATCTGTCTGTGTTCGAGTCTGGAGCTGTTAGCGTTTGTACTCGCGTGTGAGCGTGGCCCCCGGGCTCTCTTTGGGATGGGATCGGAAGCTCTAGGATAGGATACATAGTTTTCGTTTTGGGAAGTCCACTATCTGTCAGTCCCTTACTTACTCATTCGCTCAGCGGGTCAGTTGCATACAAGCGGCGAATCCTCTCACATTAGAAATAACCTCTGCCTTGTTGTGTATAGTGCCGTAGTGTCGAGCAAGCAGTCATGCACTCATACCCTCCCTCCTCCGTGGTCGTGGTAGAGCTTTACGTGCAAGGCACCGAGTACGGCAGTTCGTTTGAAGACAGAAAGACAGCAGGATAGAGGCAAGTCTTGTTCTATCGACATTCAGATAAATCGAGCACTGTTACTCTGATCGTTGGTTCCTCGGGGATCCCCTCTGCTGTCTGGGTCATACGATTTGGGCGTCGTGTCCCAATATGCCTCCGTTGGAGAACAAGACCTGCTTATAATCCATGTGCCGGCCCTCTACCATACAACGCCCGTAAATTTACAATTGCTTTTGAAAAGGTGTCGATGAATCCTAACACAAAATGCCATACCCAATCCTCGTAACTCATTACCTTGCGACTCTCACTTTTTTCCTTCCAACTACCACCCGGTACTTCGGTCAGGTCATGTTAACCCGTTAGGGAGATGCTCATCAAGGGAGAGCCTGATCATCGCTGCCGTACCGTGCCACCACAGGTACATTCCCTAATTAGTCGCTTCAACTCAGCATTTTCCTGAAGGAGCTTATAATTCTCTTCCTCCACCCGTATCAATTCCATCTTATATTGCTCCACGGTTTCGGCGCCGAAAACACGCGAGGAAGTAAGCTTCTGGACTCCGTCGCCAGCGCTTGCTCCCATAATGTTGCCTGTGCCTGTGACAGGGTCAGGGGCGGTACCGATGCGTTTCTTGCTTGACAGCAGTACAGCAGGCGCATTGGGACCCGGGCTAGCACTGGCGGTGGAGCGGTTCGTGGTACTGACACTGGACCCTGACGTGGGCGGCCTTTTAACAGAGCCAAAAGATAGCACTGACGACGACGTAAGGGGCCTGTTCTCGTCGGTTCGAGGCTGAACATTGTTCACCTGTTCGGGATTTTGTTCGGACAAGATACCTGATAGGCCAGGCCGTGGGGTTTTGTGCCGGCGGCTCAGGCTGCGGCCGAGGCTGGGAAAAAGGCGAGGCCCTTCTCTCTCCCTGATGCTGCCAGTCAACGCTGGGGCTTCCCGAATTGTTCCAGTTGATCGAGTCAAGCCCGAGAGCAATTTGGTCGGGGATAGACCACCCTTCTTCTTTGCTTCATGTTCGATGCGGAGAGAGTCCAAAATAGTTGATGCCGCAGGTTCCATTTCACATATCTCAGCGATGATCTTTCTGGCTTTCTCCAGAGTTCGTATGGCAACGGTGAAATTCGAAGGCACATGCGGAAGCATAGTGTCGATGTAAAGGCCATATCTGGAGATACGCTGAGCTGGCTCCATAAGCAAGGAAGGGGCCTGCTGAATTGATGTAGTGCCTTCTCTCAGGAATTGATCGAGATTTGAGGAGATTTGGGAGTGCAAGTCGAGATATTCGCGGTAGGGCATGGGAAATTTCGGAAAGTGGTTTAAAAGCACTTTGGCAAAACTGTAGATGCCCATAGGATCTTTGGCATTGGCAAGGAGTTGCGGATTCGCTTGTGCAGAATCCAGGAAGGTCAATGCGGCATCCTCAGAACAGTGAAGAGCCGTCTCGATATCGTCGAGGAAAGCCAGATTCAAGTCCTTGATCTGATCTAGCAGAGAAGGAAACTGGAGCATGGCATTTACAGCCTTCTGGTTGCGCGAACTCGAGAATTTAGAGCTCAGGGACTTCGGAGTACGACCCTGATTAGTGACCAATTCGATCAAGGATTGAAGACGGGTGATGTATCTATCTTCAGTATCCACAAACTCGCACATCTTGAAGCGTAACGATTCCAGTTGCTGCACCGAGTGCGTTGGGTCCAGTGTCGAGCTCGCCTTTCGTGTTGCTGGTGTAGATATGGACGGAGAGCGTTTTGCATGATTACTGGGTATCCTTTTGGACTGGGTGAAGGCGTGATTGACGCGACTAATACCCTGAGTGCCAGTTTCGGAGGGTAGGAAGGAGGGTCGGGTCTTCCTGATCGAAGCCGGAGGTCTGGTGGGTGTCTGGGGACTCGCAGGTCTTTCTTTGGAAAACGGGCGGAGAGCCTCGACTACCTCTTCGGTGTTTATGACTTTGCACATCCGGCATGTAACCTGAGCAGCATGTGTCTGCCCCCATTTCAGAGCAATCCCGTGATGCAGGTTCTCCTCAGCAATAGCATTCTTGACTTCCGTTGGCACTTCGGAGAAGTAGCGACAAAGCGCAAAGGCAATCCCCCGGGACACATCATCTCGTTGTTTGTCTTCTGGTAGCTTGTGGACGGCAGAGTAGTAGTTGCTGTTCGGGGCGACTGAGAATGCACCATAGCTCTTGAACCCGGCCGCGGAGAGAATGGTGGTTCGAATCCGCGAAGTCGAGGCCAGAGAGCCCACAGCTTGGACAGGGTAGTAGAAGACGAGGATTCGAGGTAGATACGGAGGATCCTCTGCATAGTAGATCGTGGGTGTTTCTCCCGGACTGAAGATGGCCGACAAGGCGGTGAGGTTGCCCGATTTCGACATGATGGATGACTTGGGGTCAAGAGAAGGAAAGGCTATGCGGGTCGGTCAGGCAAACGGAGGGGAGGAAGCACGGGCGACCATTATCGAGACCAACGGCACCATGGATGAGATGGAGGTCGGGGGACTGATACACAAAAATGCTAGAATTTTGTTATCATGCGGGGTAAAAACGCGTTAGAAAGACAATTGGGCGTGTGGGTGTGGGTGTATGAAGCGTGCGATAGAACTGAGTTCAATGCAATCCGTGAAGCTCAGCGCGAAGCTCTGGAGAGCGCGCCTGCTGTATTATTTTCTTGCTTCATTGGGAATAGTGGCGCCGCCTGAAGATTTCCCGGCCATATAATTTTCCGTCCCGGCATTGCCAAGTCCGCGCAGATCGAAACACCACGTGGACACGGCTCTGTGACACGCCGATTTACCGTGTATTACTGATACTCGGAGCATTCGGAGGGAAAGTGATGCCGCTTTACTTCTGCGTATAGCATCCGGTTATGTTTAGCTTGTCATGGTAGCAGTTAACTACCGCATCAGTGATTACGGAATACGGCACCAATAACACCAGTGGGTGCCAGTGGCTCACTCATGTGGCTTACTCCGTATTTTATCTGAATTACCGGTGCTTGTTTGGATGTCTCGGTCTGGCGCTTGCAGATTCCTGGTGAGGTACTTACACGGTACGCGATGACCATTCACGCTCTTGCAATGCTGGGAACGAAGCTTCATACCAAAGTCTCCTGCCCGCTATTATTGTCTGAACTACGACATCTACGGAGCCCAAAGCAGCCTAGCGTCTCCGGTTGCGGGCCGCTGCCCCTCCTTTACTCTTCCCCCCTCATGCCAGCCTTGAAGCACTCAAGTTGCTGGCAGGAAGCTTCTCCCGCTTGCCCGTCAAGCTGACACGAAACTTCCGCTCATATTTCCGATCCATAATCGTCAGCATCAAGTCCCCGACAAAGAGTGGGATGTGTTTGTACACTCGCCGTTATGCTCCTCGGGTTCGGATCCTTAGTCGTGTCGTCATTGTCAGCAATGCCGGGCTCCCCTCCACATTTGGCTCCGTCTGGCTGAGAATGGTTCGCCAGGAGACCCGTTTGTGATTCACGAATCACCTACCATCCTGCCTCGTTCCTGATCATGAAATCTCTGCGGTTACCTAACATCCCTGTCTGCCCCCCCCCCCTCCGCAGGTCTTGGAAGTGGCATGTGTGTTGTTGACTGATCATGCGTGTTACTCGCATCCATAACGTCAAGGGCTTGGATCCTCGAATCCTCGCCACGGCTCCGGCGCGTTGCCTGACTCCACAGCCGCTTGATGACATCTCCTCACAGGTTCGCCAGCAGGAGAAAAGGCTCAGTGGTTCGGTGGAGTGAGAATAGACATGCTCCTATTGGTAAGTTCACGACTTGCCCTGCCTGGCCAATGGTCCAACCATTCCCGGGGTAAAAGTGGAACCTTGATCCAGCATACGTCGAGTAGTTGTGTCCCGTGGATCAACGGTCATGAATCTCTTTTCCATCTCTACTTACTTTGACTGTGTATATTTGTGGTCGTCCCCCCTGTCAGAATCTACCTGTAACTTGTACTTCACCACCAAGCCTTCTCATATTAACCAGTCGTGACCATGGCCACCCACACTTCAGCCGGTGTGCCAATCCTCGACATTAGGAGCGACAAGTCCGACCAGTCGCTGCTTGAAACCCTCAAGGGGTCTCTCAATCCTCCCAAGGGGCAGCCACGCACGTTCCCGACCTTGCTGCTCTATGACGGTACAGAGGTTCTCGTTGTTTGAGGCACACACTAAACAGTTGTAGAAAAGGGACTAAAGCTGTTTGAGGAGATCACCTATGTGGATGAATATTACCTCACCAATGCGGAAATAGACACTCTTACAAGACATGCCAGCAAGATTGTCGAACGAATTCCAGCCGGCGCTCGTCTTGTTGAACTGGGCAGCGGGTGAGTTGCCCTACGATGTTCAGTTCATCCCAGCTGACGTGGGATGGCTTGTAGGAATCTCCGCAAGATCAACATCCTTCTCAAAGCGTTTGAAGAGGCCAAGAAGAAAGTCGAGTACTATGCCCTGGATCTATCCCTGTCCGAGCTCAAGCGTACCTTCGCCCAGTTGGACGTCAATGCGTTCCGTCATGTCGCTTTCCGGGCACTGCATGGGACCTATGACGATGCTCTGTCGTGGTTGAAGAACTCGGCGACTGCCGCCCGGACTACTTGTGTCATGACCATGGGCTCTTCCTTGGGTAACTTCACTCGCGAGGAGGCCGCTCAGTTCCTTGCTTCCTTCAAGCAAGTTTTGGCGCCTTCGGATTTCGTGTTGGTGGGAATCGACGCGTGCCAGCAGCCTGACCGTGTCTTCCGAGCCTACAACGACTCCCTGAATGTGACTGAGCGCTTTTACCGCAACGGTCTTACCCATGCCAATAATATCCTGGGCTACGAGGCTTTCAAGCAGGATGAGTGGCAGATCGAAGGTCTGTATGATGAAAAGCTGAACAAACACCAAGCTTCATACGTGGCCTTGAAGACGATCAACAACAAAGACTTTTCCTTCGAGAAGGGTGAGAAGGTCCATCTAGAGGACGCCTTTAAGTACTCCGAGGCGGAATGTGATGCTCTCTGGCATACCTCTGGGCTAATTCCTCAGATGTCTTACGGCAACAAGACAAATGATTATTGTGAGTCTATTGTGCAGCACGCTTGACTTTATACTGACTCTGCTGCTCAGTCATCCATCTTTTGTCACCGTCCACTATCAACTTCCCCACAAAGCCAGCAGAGTTTGCTGCGAGCCCTGTCCCTTCCCTGGACGATTGGCGACAACTATGGGCGGCTTGGGATACAGTGACCCGGTCCATGGTTCCGAAGGCCGAGCTGCTCAACAAGCCGATCAAGCTACGAAACGACTTGATCTTTTACCTGGGTCACATTCCTACGTTTGCAGGTATGTGAAGCTGCTGACCACAGCTTCGAATGAAACTGACGTTCTACATAGACATTCACTTTATGAAGGCCACGAAAGAGAAGGCGACAGATCCGGCATACTATGTGTCCATATTTGAGCGAGGAATTGATCCAGGTATGTCCGCCAACCAGCCATTTGACCAAGATCCAAGACTGAAGGCGCATCAGATGTGGACAATCCGGAAGTCTGCCATGACCACAGTGAGATCCCGGACTCTTGGCCGCCCTTGGAGGAAATCTTGAACTATTCGCAACGCGTTCGAGAACGTATCAGCGAGAGCATTTACTCCGGTCGGGCTTACACTGACCGCAAGCTCAGCCGTGGCTTGTGGCTTGCGTATGAGCATGAGGCCATGCATTTGGAAACCTTCCTCTACATGTTGCTCCAGAGCGAGCGCGTCCTACCGCCACCTGGACGAGATCGGCCAGACTTCAAAGCCTTGGCCGGCGAGGCTCGCGCGAATCGTACCCCGAACAAATGGCACCATATCCCTGCGAGCAAGGTCAAGATTGGATTGGACGACCCAGAGAACAACGAGGGGCCTGACAGATACTTCGGCTGGGATAACGAGAGGCCATCCCGCACAGTCGCCGTCCACGATTTTGAGGCTCAGAGCCGTCCCATCAGCAATGGCGAGTACGCTCGCTTCTTGGAAGTTACCCACAAAGAGTCTTTACCAGCTTCGTGGACAACCTCCCAGGCAGCTACGGGTCCCAATGGGACCAACGGTACAAACGGCACCAACGGTGTGAATGGCCATTCCCAGGGCGAGCAAGAGATGGCCAGCCGCTCCTTTGTCGAGGGCAAGGCTGTCCGAACCGTCTACGGCCTCGTCCCTCTCGAATATGCCATGGACTGGCCGGTGATGGCTTCGTACGATGAATTGGCGGCTTATGCCGAATGGTCCAATGGGCGCATTCCCACGCTTGAAGAGGCTCGGAGCCTTTACCAGTACGTCGAGAACCAAGACAGCGTCTTGCAGAAGGTTACCAGCAAGTTAATTTCAGCCGTCAATGGGTAAGTCTACACGACTCACGGAATATAAGTGAATATATAAGGCTGACTATCACAGCCACCTGTCCAACGACGGCGTCCAGGAGACACCTCCATCAGGCCGTCAGTCGAACGGTGTTGTCAACGGTAGGGCAGAAAGTTCCTCACTGGACCCCAATGAGCTTTTCGTCGAGCTGGGCGATCGTAACGTTGCCTTCCGCCACTGGCATCCAACGCCCGTGACCGGCAACGGCGACCGATTGCGTGGACAAAGCGATCTTGGAGGCCTGTGGGAATGGACTAGCACACCGTTGGCGCCACACAAAGGGTTCAAGGCCATGGATCTCTATCCCGGGTATACGGCCGACTTCTTCGATACCAAGCACAATGTTTGTCTCGGCGGCAGCTGGGCTACTGTGCCGCGAATCGCGTTGAGGAAGACCTTTGTCAACTGGTATCAGAGAAACTACCCCTATGTTTGGTGTACGGCCAGATTGGTCAGGGATGTGACGGCCTGAATGGCGGCGGAATCCGGATTGGAATGCAGTCGCCCGATTTTTCAGTTTGCTTTCCTCACTCCTTCCCTTGGACGATTGGAGCATCAGACGCTGTTCTTTACTCTAGCCACCTGAAAGCAAACTTTGATTTGAGGGCCATCATCTATCTACTGTCGCTTTTCTAGGCTCTGACGAGGCCAAAGGTCGCTCCTTCTCTGGATGGCTATAGCAAATTTGATGTATTAGGCAATGACCCAAGGTCAACACCACCAGGCACTGCCGCTCACTCATTCTGCTCGGTGTGATACACATATTTATCTACTGGCAATGGAACAAAACTTCTCAGCTCATCATGCCCTCTCTGTTGTCTAGTCCTTCCCAGCCTCATCTCGCCACCCTTCTTCTCTGCGGGATCACACAGCTGACCATCTCCACCGAGTTGCAGTTGCCCGAAATGCCAGTGACGACGTGGACCTCATGTACCGTACCTCCATCACCCATTTACCTGGTCGATCTCATTATGCCCTCTTCCTTTGTTCTGGACAACAGTGTCATGGAACATCACGCAGGCATCGCCTGTCTGTTGATACCTTTGTTGAATACCCACTCACGACCTGGTGTCCAGACACTTCATCCTCTGCAAACCCCCAGCTCAAACTATTCATACCCCATCATTCGTAGGGAAGCGAGACATTCATTATACGTTGCTGCTGCACATGCAGACAGGTCTTCACCGGATACCTCGTGATCCTCCTGCGTTCGATGCCTCACCTCGTTCCTTTTCTGCCGAACTGCACAACAAACCTTTCCGAGCATCCTCGTCCGTACACGTTCATCAACGCTTCACGTATTTCGAGGCTCGTTACCCTGTCTGAAATAGTTCCATCTCCCCAGCACCCTCAACGCAGCCCAAGAGCAGAAGAAGTCCCCCACAGCAGCACGCACAGATATATCTATCACACAGCAGCAAGCGATCTGTGACTATGGATCCAGCTGCACCAAACAGCCCATTCAAATGGGAAGCAGCATCTGGGCTCGGTAAGCAAAATGAATCTGGAAATAACCCTTGTGCCCCAAGCCTTGCCATCCTATCAAGACACAAGCGGAGACCACAAGCTAAATGCATGTCACATGTCACGCACCTGTTAGAGCACAGCTGTTATCTCTGTTCCATGAAGATGAGCAACCCTAAGGCGCGACAAACATGCTATGGCGTCCACAGTATCCCTTGCTTTCGCTACCACCAGACCATGCACGCAATCGGCACAAGCCACAACTGCTTCTCCTGCATACAGGCCGATGAATTGCATGAGAATAGGCACAGGAAGGTAAGTGGTGCAGATATCACAAGCTAATAGACCCTGCTCCTTTATGATTTCAACCATGAGTGGTGGACGTTTGTGTGTGATGGAAGGCCCTGTGACAATCAACTGACATTTGCACTTTGATGTACAAAAAAGATTGCAGAGCTTCTTGCCGAGTACAGGATTGCAAATGGCCTGGGTGCAGACACAGCTAGAACGAGGCCACTGCTGGGAGATCTGCCTGTGAACGTCTCTCACGACCAGCAAGCTGTCCAGCCATTTGACGTTGGCAATGATGACTTTGAAGACGAGCAAGATGAACATGACGCCGACGCCTTGACTGTGACTACAGACACCACCACCAGCACGACGGGCGAAAGTGGCCGACGGCTCATACCTGCCCCGAGATTGACCAAGGCTGAAGCTCGAGCGATCAAAAAGGCCGCCAAAGTCGCAAAGTCGCAATCCAAGGCGGCCAAGAACCAACAGAGGCACACTATCAATGTGCGGACTGCAGATGTCTCATTTGTTGCAGAGGTCTTGCATGGCACCAATGCCGGAACAGCAGGACAGCCCGCTGCGACACACCCATTGGCGAGCGACAAGACCATCGAGGAGGTCATTGCAAGAAACATGGGGTTCATCTCGGGCATTCAGGCCCACAAGAAGATGCTACTCTCCAGCATCGCACAGAGGAGAAAGAGTGAGCGTGAAAGGCGCAAGAGCTCGATTGCCGGTGCATTCAATCAGGCTGCCGGCGGGAAGAAGAGGAGATTTAGCGAAGGCATGCATGAATGCGATGCCGACGACGACGAGATGGAGGATTTGCTTGTTGCTGTGTTGGTCAAGCTTGGAGTTGATGGAGGACACGCTCGGTCGAGTAGTTGTCCTGCGAACGCTGCTGCTGCTGCCGCCGCCGTCAACGGGGTCAGCGCGAAGAAAAATGGCGCCGGAGCAGGGATCAATAGAGCGTCTGTCTCTTCTCCACAACAGATCCCCGGCATCGTCACGGCTCTGAAGGCTCTCATGCGAGATGACCTGGAAAGGTTCGAAAATGAGCAACGGGAGACGTGTGTCCGAGCGGGTGGGTTCTGGAGATATGTCGGACGGCCTGTGTTTGAGCGCATGACCAAGATTGCAGAAGAACTGGATTGGAAGACAGGGGTAAAGCTCAAGGAGGTCAACAGGGAAATGGAGGGCTGAGTGATGGCAAGAAAGATGCAAGGAGATATTCAGGACTGGTGGAAGCACGAGTGGAACGATCTGAGATGACATGGACGACATGTTGCGAGTTGTCGGGGACGTGGTTGATTTGCTTTTGCAGTCTCCTTTGACTTTGTTTTGATGCTTGCCAAGGTATGTCCGGGAGGCTGCCAGACGGTGCACCATAGTGTTTGAATACAGAAAAAGGCGACATTTTGCAGGTCAAGATATGTCCATGATGATGTTTCTTTTGTCCATTCATGATCCCCCCATCTTTCATTGTAGCAGCTGTCTCCATCCAACTCGATGCCGCATAGCCATATGCCATCCACAGTCAGCCCTGAGAGAGCATATCCTCGGGTGTGAACCTTCCCGTTCAGTCCGCCACCAATAGATGTGGCAACCGTCAGTGCCTTGGGGTTGGATGAAGGAATTCCTTCGTCTCGGTGCTTCTGGATCGCGGCGTCTTGTCGTAGAGCCAGCTGTATGCAGTGGACATCGTCGGGGCCGCCGTGCCACTCGCCAACCAGTTCGGAGAGCCTTGATATCTGCGTCGTTGGGGGGTGGCTGTTGTCTCTTCACGGATGCTGGAAGGTGTGTTCGTCTATACCTCGCCATCGTTGAGCTCGCTCACTCGCTCACCAAGGGCTGTCAGTGAAATTGTGATGATGCCATCTTCATCATCATCTTCTTCTTCTCCGCCGACCCTTTCCTTTTCTCATCCACCTTCCTTGTCCACAGCGACTTTCCCGCTTTGCTGCTCCTCAAATCCCAGCATCCGCCCAACCCACCCCCGAGGCTTCGGCACGGGGCATTCCCTGGCCGACCGGGCCTCTCGTTCCAACACCTCCGCCTCGGCCTGCAGTTCCCGGAACAGGGCTGCTTCCTCGTCCAGATCCTTCGGGGCGGTCAGGCTCCTCTTCGTAACAATCTGTGGCGCTGTGCGAGGTTGTTGCGGCTGTTGCGGCTGTTGTTGTCGTTGTTCTCCTTCTTTCGTAGCCCGCGACACGCACTGATCTTGTGTTATTTTGCTGCTAGAGGAGAGCCTGTCGACGCCTGGTCTTGTTATTGAGCCTTGTGGTCGTCGGACTACTCGGGTTGGATTTCCCTCTTCATCCAGCTCGATCCGTCCAGCGTCCGCCGCGTAGCCGGTGCGCGGCCGCGGGCAGGGGAAGACGTGCGGGATGCCCACGACTATGAAGGAGGCGAGCAGGGTGCCGGCGAAGAGGGTCGATGTTGCGGTGGAACGCGGGTGTAGATGGGGTGGCATCTTTTCTCTTTCTTTCCTCTCTCTTTTTCTTCTCTTTTTTTAGTTTCTCAATGGGACAGGTTATTGCTGGTTGCAATGGTGCGGGAGCAGAGCTGTGGTGTGATGTGAATCTTTCATTGGCTGGTCGCCATGGGGAGGGTCAGATTTCCGTGGATGAGGATCTTGGGAGATCTGGAGAATGGTTCAAGTGCTAGCTCAGGTCTTGGAATAATTGGCCTGAGAAGGTGAAGTAGTTGCTCTGCACGATCTGATCATATATCGACTGACAGAAAGCTTCAAGCACAGCACAAGCAACAAGCCACTGCAAGCTTCCCTTTTTTGCGGAGATCATCTCAATGTCTGAATGCTCCGCCGTACGTGCTGCCGGCAGCTCTGCCGAGGATCTCCCGAGATGATCGCCGTTGCATATTCCGTATCGTGGCCGAAAAAGTCAAGTATAATACTAGTTGGGCAGCGTGGGTGGGTGATCGCATGCACACCGTCTGTGAACCACCATCAGTGACCCCGGATTCCACAACTACATTCTCTGCCTGTCTGCCCATCTGCCCATCTGTGTCTCCTGCTCTCCGCATCTCGCTGCTTGCCCCCCCGATCCCGCCTCGCTATCGTCGTCGACTCATTTCCTAATTGACGCCATCCATCCCACCGCCACCCTCTCGCACCAACAGTCACACACACAACACACCTCACCTCTCACCCATGTGCTCGAACACTATACGACTCTCCTCATCTGCTCTGCGGTGATGAGTGACCTCGACAAGTAAGTACGCCTCTTGCTCTTGCTGCTGCTGCTGCACCCACCAGCCCATCGCAGGCATGTACTGACCGCACATGTTTCCATCCAGAGCCATTGCGCAACTGCGCGCGTGCCGTCCCATCCCCGAGCCCCAAGTGCGCGAACTCTGCTACAAGGCGCGCGAGCTGCTCATCGAAGAAGGCAATGTCGTCACTGTCGATGCCCCCGTCACTATCTGCGGCGACATCCACGGCCAGTTCCACGACCTGATGGAGCTCTTCCGTGTGGGCGGCGACGTCCCGGACACAAACTACCTGTTCATGGGCGACTTTGTGGATCGGGGTTTCTACAGCCTCGAGAGTTTCCTCCTGCTCCTGTGTCTGAAGGTCCGCTACCCCGACCGCATCACCCTGATCCGTGGCAACCACGAGTCGCGCCAGATCACCACCGTCTACGGCTTCTACGACGAATGTATTAGGAAATACGGGAGTGCGAACGTCTGGCGGTACTGCTGCGAGGTCTTTGACTATCTGGCCCTGGGGGCCTTGATCCTAGGTGCGACCACCGACGTCCCTCCGCCGGCTGGGGGCCCCATGGCGTCGTCTTCTTCCATGTTGAACGACGGCAATACGCAATCCACCCTGCCATCAGAGATGAGGACCTCGAATCCGAGGTGCTCAACGCCAACGGCGAAATCATATCCAAGACCCTCCGTCGCCAGTTCGCCAGCCTCTCGATGGGCAGCCCACAACAATCACAAACCTTTGGTGACGGCAGTCGAATATCTCCCGCCCCGGACGTCGACCTCCCGTCGTCTCTCGATGCCCCCCAGTCCTCACCCAGCCAGCCACCTCCGTCGCTCTTCCAACCTCCCACATCCTCGACCGGCGCGGTCCTCTGCGTCCACGGTGGTCTCTCCCCCCTGGTCGAAACCGTCGACAAAATCCGCCTCATCGACCGCAAGCAGGAAGTTCCCCACGAAGGCGCCATGTGCGATCTCCTCTGGTCCGACCCGGACGAGATTGAGGGATGGGGGCTCAGTCCGCGTGGCGCGGGATTCCTCTTCGGCGCCGACATCGTGCGGCATTTCAACCACAACAACGACCTGTCCCTGATCGCGCGGGCGCATCAGCTGGTCATGGAGGGCTACAAGGAGATGTTCGATAAGACCATCGTGACCGTGTGGAGCGCACCCAACTACTGCTACCGTTGCGGCAACGTGGCCGCCATCCTCGAGCTGGGCGAGGACGGCTCCAACGGCGGCTGCATCCAGCGCGCCAACGGCGACCAGGGCCGCCGGGAACCCGTAGGCGGCGACGGCAGTGGCGGCGGCACCGGCGTGCTCTGGAACCTCGCCACCCCGGGGAGGAGATATCGGGTCTTTGAGGCCGCGCCGCAGGGCACCCGGGGTATGCCTGCGAAGAAGCCGGTCGGGGAATACTTCTTGTAACAATAACATTACCATTACCACCGCCATGAGGTTCAGGTCCAGGTCTAGGTGTTGGTCGAGGGCTTGGGCTAGGTACCCGTCCGTCAAATGCTATAATGATGATTTGGTACCGCATGAGACGCCGAGATGGATGTCCATTACTATTGATCACCGTCTCGCGTCTTGCGTCTTGTTTCTGTATCTATCTTTCCGTGACTAGGAGGCAAGGCAGCATAGAGGTCTAGTCTATGCCTATACTTCCATCCCCTCCCTCCCATCCATCCATCTATCCCACTCACGTCGCCTTGCGTCCGTCCGTAGGGGGAATCTGATTAGATAGATCGTCCAACAAGGGTGGTTGATTGGTTGATTGGTTGGTGTATTTGTTTGCAATGGAACTCGACAAGTAATCGAATCAAGAACAAGAAGAAGAACAACTCGCGCCCGATGAGTGGTGGGAGCATAATATAATGGTAATACTCGTATCGAGTCGAGGTTCGCTGTATATATTCACCCAGGGACGAATTGGCGGATTGACTAAATCAATCAATTACTCGTGATCGATCATCCAAAGATTTCCCTCCTTCCTTCCACCTGAAGGGCCAGCCACACCCGTTCGTTTCCTCGCTTGCGAATATGTCCAGATGTGTCTAGTAATTATCATTCCGAAATAGTGGGAAGAGAAGCAAAACAAAACAAGATCTTGTTGCAAAATCATTGCTGGGGTATCATATCGTCTCATCTCTTGCCCTTCTTGCCGCAGGCACTCAACCTGCTCTCCTCAACCACCCGCTCCAGCATCTCCTGGGCTTGTTTCTCTCTCTTCCTGAACCCGCCCGCAAATTTTGGATGCAGGATACTCGCCGAGTTGGCGTGGTCCTCTGCAAATTCGGGGCCGCTCCACCCTTTTTGCTGGCACAGCGCGAGGGCTTCCTCGAGCAGGCCCTGTCCGACGCCTTTGTGTCTATACCGACGCTTGACCGTCCATGCACGTATATATCCGTTTACCGGCGCGTTTTTGCGTGATTTGCCGGAGGAACCCTGAGAAGAATCGCGCACGCCGCGGACGACAATCGCTCCAATGATGTCCTCGCCGAATCGGGTCAGGAGAATGTCGTCTTCGGAACCCACGATGCCCTTGTCCGGATTGTCACGGCCTTCGTTCAGCCATTTCCAGGTCCCGACACGCTCGGCCTCGAAAATGTAGCCGCTCGTCAGCCAGCGCACCGTAATCAGCACAGCCATGAGTATGCCCGCCGACGTCGTGCCAATAATTGCCCAGTCCGAGGCCGCACCTTTGTAGAGATTTTGGTAGGCAAGGCCGAGGAGAAGGACGAGCAGCGAGACAGTCAAGGGGTGGAAAATAACAGCTGCAGAGGCAAGTTGGCGTTGTTGGGCAACAGAGTCGGCAATCAAGCGCAGCGCTTCGACCTTGTCGTCTTCAGTGAGGGCAGGTTTGGTGATGAGCTCCGGGAGCGAGTCAAGGGATCCTGCGTGCTTCTCGGCAAGGGCAGAGGCATCACCAACAGCCTGGGAGTTTTGCGCCAGAGGTGACGGAGAAGGAGGAGGCAGACTGCCCGACGAAGCCATGTCGGCCGGTCTCAAAATGTCTGGGGTGTTGGCGAGAGAGGGCGGGGTAGATTCGAGGTCGAGGATGAGATTTGCCCGCAGGGTCGTCAAGAAGGCTGTTCAGAGCGATGTATTAGAAATCTTTATCTTCCTCTTCTCTCCTCTTTCGCCTCCTGTGCACCAGTTCCCCCCCAACAACGACGAGACAAGAAAAGAGTATGTCGTATTCTCACCGGCAGAAGTTTTGAACCCCGGAATGCGGTCGCCAACGGCAAAGGGTGTGGAGCGACCAGTCTCCCACGAGAGAACCGCAGAAGGAGAGAAAAGAACCGCAGACTTGACAGCAAGGAGGGACGCAGAGGTGAACGAGAATGGCGGTGTTGGAGGCGGAGGAGGCGAGAGGTAGAGATGCTCGGGAAGTCGAAGATGATGGTTCCTGCCCATCTGGACTGCAACAAATGCTGGCCGGCCAGAATTGGCATGTTCAACCTGCTTGCATTGGCGCAGAGGCGTGGGTTGCAGCCCGCAGGCACAGACGCCGGCCGAACCAGCGGCAACGGCGAAAGCCAGGCAAGAAGCAAAAGGAAGTCGGTAAGTAGCACGCAGCAGGGAAATAGGCACAATGGGCCCCCGGAAGAAGAAAGGAAGTGGCGCCTAGACAGCGCCTAGACAGCGCCTGGAATGAGGGAGGCTCGGCGAGGTTGGAAGTGGATGTTCGATGGCAGTGAGGGGCAAAGAAAGAAGAAAAATGATATTAGTCTTATGGTCGGGGGCCACGTTCACATATACCTCGAGGAGACTGGCCAGAGTACGAGGTAGACTTTGGAGATACTTTTGTATCCTTTTCCATTTCTGCTTCTGACGCCATCTAGACTGCATCTATCGTGACTCGTGAGCAAGTACCCGACTTCCTCTCCTCCGATTTCCTGCGTAACCATGTGCCCGGAGACCAGCTTATCGTCCAGGGAGTGGGAGTGGGCTCTTGACACGGGCCAAGCACCTCCTGATAGCAGACGCTTAGAAAATGCTGGCTGCCATTGGGCTGCAGGGGCTGCTGTTGGTTGATCTTATCCTGTTCCTGGAACACTGGACCAACTGGCAACCACAGCCACCTGCAGTTTGTCGCCAGCGCAGTGTCTGATAAAGCTAAAGCAAGCCTCGCCTCCAGTCGTCAAACACCCGACAATTCCCAGTGGTGCCCCCGGTGACAGCTGATATGGCCAACATTGGCCTCGTGATCAAGGAGATTTGAAGTTGAGTCAAACAAATGAATGCACGCATCCTCTGGAACCATTCTGCCACATGACCCCGGCATGACATCCTCATCTCTTGTCTATCTCTGGCCCTTGCCGCTTTCTCTCTATCGAACTAATATGATCGACCGAACATGCACCATGCCTCGGCTAGTTTCGAGCAGCTTGGATTTCCGCATTTGGTCACCCCCTTCTCGATGCCCTCAGGTTGATCGAACGGGATGCAGAGACTCTTCGCACCCATGCTTGGAGCTCGTTCATCCTGGGGCACGCCGCTCTGTTCTTCCGCCTTACGAGCACTGTTCTCCTTGATCTGGTCCTCGCACTCCTCAGTCAAGCAGTGAGGCAACAGGATGACGTTCTTGTCGTTCAGGGCCGGAACGAAATCATCCCAGTTGGTCACCTTCTTGACGTGCGACTTGTATTTGGCGTCCGCTCGATCGTACAGGTCTTTCTGAATGGTGTTCAGCAGCTCCGGGACGGCAGTGTTGAGTTCGCTGATGGCAATCTGACTCTTGCTCTCGGCCTTTGGCAGGTCTCGTCGAGATGCCGTGACGTAGTGGCCCTTGCTCTCTCCAGGTCCGAACTCCAGACGAAGAGGGACGCCCTTCAACTCCCAGTCATTGAACTTCCATCCTGGAGAGTATCCCTCCCGGAAATCTGCTTCTACTCGGACATCGACGGCTCTCAGCACCTCCACCAGTCCCTGGATCTCCTTGTACAATGCTTCTCTCTCCTCCTCCGTGGTCTTGGCTGTCACTCCGACCGGCACGATGACGACCTGGACTTCGACGACACGAGGTGGGATGACTAGACCACGGTCATCACCATGGATCATCACCATCACACCAATGACACGAGTCGACAGACCCCAGGAATTCTGCCAGACGTACAGCTGGTTCTTCTTTTCTTCCTCCGTCTTTGCGTTGGGATCTTGCACGGTGATGCCGAACATTTTGCTGAAGTTTTGGCCGAGACAATGCGAGGTGCCTCCTTGGATACCACGACCCGTGGCGGGAATGTACCCTTCTACGGTCGTGGTATACAGTCCTCCGGCGAATTTCTCCTTGTCGGTCTTCCTTCCTTTGATGACAGGGACGGCGAGAAGCTCTTCATAGATCTGGGCGTACAGATCGAGGATTTCCAGGACTTCCTTTCCCGCATCCTGTTCGGTCAGATGTGCCGTATGGCCCTCTTGCCAGTGAAACTCCCGCGTACGCAAGAATGGCTGCGGATGCTTGAACTCCCATCGGACAACAGAGTTCCACTGGTTGAGTTTGAGGGGCAAGTCACGGTAACTTTGAATCCATTTGGCGTAGTAGGGGTACATGACAGTCTCAGAAGTTGGACGAATGGCGATTTTCTTCTCCAGCTTGGTACTGCCTCCGTGCGTGACCCATGCCACCTCGGCTGCAAAGCCCTCGATATGAGCCTTCTCACGGTTCAACACGTCCTCGGAGACAAAAAGAGGGAAGGAGCAGTTTTTGACCCCCATCTTCTTGATCCTGAGGTCAAACCAGGCTCTAACCTCATCCCACACGAATTGTGACGCAGGCTTGAGGATGTAGCAGCCAGAGATATCGTAGTAGTCGAGCATGTCTCCCTTTAGCAAGACCTGCTGATACCACTCCGAAAAGTCGACGTCTTTGGACACGTCAATCCCAATCAGCGCTGCACCTTCCATCTTTTTTTTCTTTCCCCCTGTTTTCTGAGGAAGTTTCGCTTCCGCCTTGCCAATTGGTTTCTCGGGTGCAGCTTTGGACGCCATCTTCTGTCCAGCTTCAGTCTTGGGCTCTTTCTCGCGGGTTGGAAGTTCGGTTTTGGAGGGGTTTCGAGAGTGGGACATTGTCCTTGAAGACGGCCGCGAGATGTTAAAGGGAGACGACCACGGGAGTGACTCAGGATCAACGGAGTCACAAGCACTCACTGCCTCCCGACTGAACAAATTTGTATACGAGGGAGTCGAGTGCTGTCAGGTTTGTGACTGCTGTGTGACTCCGTCGCACACGAGCAGAGGCCAGACCCGCATTCTAAACCCCGCCAACGTCTAAAATTGTTTGTAGGTCACGTGTTAACGTGCAAACATATGTTCTTGGCATGTTTGACGCCAATTGCAGCCTTCGGAGGAGCGTCCCTTCTCCTTTGGTAGCACATCAACGACCTCCTATCCCTCCCCGTCTCGTTCACATCAAACATTGGACACACGGATGACTTTGAGATTGTACAGCCCGCCAAGGCAAGGATGGCCATCATGGGGACTCGTGGATCGGCGATATGCCTGAACATCGCCGAAAAACCTTGTGCTAACACTGGTCGGAGGCGAGATCGCAGTCGAGAGCAGTGGCAAGAGGCCCTCTTTCATCATCCCCTGTGCTTTGGCATCTTGCCTTTCCTCGAAGAGCAATGTGCGCACCAACAGAACCACTACAGGATCCTCGGGTCGCATCATGATCGCAGCGGACCAGGGTCTCCTACCTGTTGGTGGAACATACGGTAAGCCAAGGGCCCTAATTTATCAACAAAGTGCCTCGACAGACAGATTTTGGAGTGAAACCTCCACCTCTACGTCTCCCTCTTGTGTGATTGTCATCGCAATGTTCCTGTGAGAGGCTCTATCTCAGGAACGTGGACTCGGTACGCCGACGGTGACTGCGAGCACCACAGAAACGCAAATTTCTTCGCGCCAAGGAATCAAAGAGCGACAGCCCTGTTGTGTAAGTCTAGCACGCTTTGAACCTGGATTCGATATTGGCGAGGAAACGTATCGGGACCTACACCGCGGACGAGCCTGGAGGCAGAGGCGCATGCCAAGCGGGTTCAATGGGCCAAGATATGCCAAGGAGGGCGGAGACCTTCCCTTGCTCGTTCGCGGGCCATTCACGCGTCTCCCTCGAAGAACGTGCTCGTTCCGCCGTATATCAAATTCACAGATACGCCCGCTCCGAGTTGCACCCAAGCTTTCTGTGAGGTGGGAGGAGGGCGCGAGAGCGGCTTGCACTTGCTTCTTTGCATCTGGCGGTGGGTTATCGGTCTCTTGGCCTGTATTTCATCTCCTCTCCCAAGAACGCGAGACGAGACTTCGGAAAGGAAATGGCCAACCCAGGCCCTCGGACGTTCTACAATGTGGGTTTCGCTTCACCCGAAGCATCTAGTGCTCCGATCTGATGATCGCTGGGCTCTCCCAGTGGCGTGGGATGGTGAGGAGAAGGAAATCTCTGTCCATCATACCCTACGGTTAAGAGCGCCGGCCCTGCAGCTACATGGAACAATACCTAGCACTGGTCAACATAAAAGCTCTGTTCTGCCGCCCGTTCCTTTCTCTCATCGGACCTCGAGCAATCACAATATCTCTGCCCAAGTGGCATCTGCTCAATCTTCACCAAGATGCCACGACTCAGTCAGTACGATTATGTCTTTGCCCTTGGCACTTTGTTTGCCATGCTCGATGCCTACAATAACGGCGCCAGTAAGTAGCTCGTTCATGTTCCCGCAGCTCCTATGGATGCTAACGGCTTTGCCAGACGATGTAGCAAACAGCTGGGCCACCAGCGTCTCTTCAAGATCTATCACGTACCAACAAGCCATGGTACTCGGAGCTGTGTTTGAGATGCTTGGGGCCATCACAGTTGGTGCCCGAACTGCATCCACCATCAAGAACAAGATCATTCCCCTCGAGGCCTTCCAAGACAACGCCGGCGTCCAGATGCTCGCATTCACTTGTGCACTTGCTGGGGCATCTTCATGGGTCATGTGGTGCACACGACATTCTGCCCATGTCTCATCGTCCTACTCGCTGATCTCGGCCGTCGCCGGTGTGGGCGTCGCCGTCGCTGGAGCCTCTCAAGTCGAATGGGGTTGGAATGGTGGTCAAGGCCTCGGTGCGATATTCGGCGGTTTAGGACTGGCTCCTCTCATTTCCGGGGGTTTTGCTGCGACAATATTCATGCTCATCAAACTGGTTGTGCACATGCGGAAGAATCCCGTGCCATGGGCTGTCTTCACCTCGCCATTTTTCTTCCTCATAGCTGGCACTATCTGCACTCTATCCGTGGTCTACAAGGGCTCTCCGAACCTCGGTCTAAACAAAAAGCCCTCGTGGTACATTGCTTCCGTCACCCTGGGCGTTGGCGGTGGCCTTTTCATTCTGTCCGGCATCTTCTTCGTCCCCTGGCTCCACGCAAAGGTTATTAAGAAGGATCACACTGTCAGAATCTGGCATCTGCCCATGGGTCCGCTGCTCTGGAAGCGACCGTACCCATCTGACACCATAGAGAGAGCGAATGTTCCGGACTACGCCGTCGTTCAAAAGCACGACGACGACGACGATGAAGCCTCGACTCATTCGCCAGCAGACTCTTTGAGTCAGGATGTTGACAAGGTTGAGGCTGACGTCAAACGCCACTCCGCCGGTGCAGGAGAGAAGAGACTCGCAGAAGTCGAGGCTCAGGCCACGCAATTGACCTACAAGGAACGACTTGCCGAAGCCCAAGAGAGGTTCCACGCACGTCTCCGGAAGAAGCGTGGCCCTCTTGGCTGGGCCATGCGCACTCTGCACCACAATCCTATCGGTGAGGGCGAGATCTACGAGCTCCGCAACATCAAAACCTTCCTAATCCGTGTCCCGGCCATGCTCGTCGTCGCCGTGCTGTACGGCGTGAACTACGACATCCACTCGGCCCAGACCGGTATCGCGGGCACGCCCGAGGGTCGGCGCATGGAGCGCGTGTATTCTCACGCAACCAAATACCCCAACGAAGTCGAGCACACGTACTCGTTCGTGCAGGTCATCACGGCGTGCACGGCGTCCTTCGCCCACGGCGCCAACGACATCGGCAACGCGGTCGGGCCCTGGGCCGTCATCTACTCAGCCTGGTCGACGGGAGATGCCGCCAAGTCCAAGGCCGAAGTGCCCGTGTGGCAGCTCGCCGTACTGTCGGCCACGCTCTCGGTGGGGCTCATCACGTACGGATACAACATCATGAAGGTCATGGGCAACAAGATCACCTACCACTCGCCGTCGCGCGGCTCTTCGATGGAGATGGGCGCCGCCATCACCGTGCTCTTGTTCTCGCAGTACTCGCTCCCCGTCTCCACCTCGATGTGCATCACCGGCGCCACCGTCGGCGTGGGCCTGTGCAACGGCACCTGGAAGGCCGTCAACTGGCAGCGGGTCGGGCTCTTGCTCTTCTCCTGGATCATGACCATCCCGATCGCCGGCACGCTGGCGGGTTGCATCATGGGCGTCATGCTCAATGCTCCCCACTTCTTGTAGACGACGATCCCGCATCCGGTTTTTCTCTCCTGATCAATGACGACCCATTCGGCTTTCTCACACGGCATTACACTACCGAGCGCAGCCTATATCACGATAAATGAATTTAGTTTAGAGTCGGCGGAGGAACACCAACGTATAGCTTCTCGTCATAGCGCTGGAAGTCTGCAATGCAGTTTGTAACCTCAGCGCGAGACGGCTTATCGCGTCAAACAAAACAATCGTCGTTCATTTCGTTTCTTGTGGTCCAACCAACTACGTCTGGATAGCCTGACTCAAATTTCATATAGAGCAAGTCTTCCCTTTTGTTCTGGACAATCCATCGAACTTTCATCTCGTCGTAGCTTTCCTCATATATTATTTTGCGACCCAGCCCGTTTTGCTCCGGTGAGTATAGTGCTGCTAGTTTCCATCCTTAATTGCCATGCCTCCCTTTGGAAGGCGGAAGGGCTTTTTCAACGACAACTTCGAAATGATCCTGGAGTGGCCGATCTGAAGATGATGATTCGGTAGACGAATGGATCTACTACCCATAAGCGATAGAGAGGAAGCATTCCTTTGCAGTGTGGTGACGGATTGGGAGCTACGCCGGAGGACATGCAGAACTGCTGGCCAGTTGTACTCTCTGGGGGACCTGTGACATCAACGCCTGGATGGTTAAAAAGAAACAGAACAAGCTGAAGTCTGTTGGCAAGGCTGCCCGGAAGGAAGGTTGTACGCCCCCTTCACGCGTCTGCGGTCATGTAGTGAGATCTAGAAGGCCACCAAGCTTAGGGCATAAACTGTAGCAACGATAGACGTCAGAAGTGGTGAAAGGCACACGGATTGTATTGGGAGAAGCGTGCTGCTTGTCAACAAGATGCCGACGCTGGAGGTGAAGGCAGTCCCGACTAAAGCGGCAAGGCCTGGCTACGTGCCAAGATCGGATGGTGGCCCGCAGTTGTAGCCGCCGCTTTGATACGTGGAGTGAGGCGTCACTAGCGAATCTGCTGGACATTTTTCCTGTCGTTCTGTGAGAAACATCTGGTGTCCTCAATCTACTCGGCGCATTCTTCTGACATTTTATCGCGATGGCTGGCATCTTCGAGGGGCCGCGCAGCGGTGGAACATTATTTCTTGGTGGTCAGAAGATCAGTGGCCAGGATATTCGAGATCAGAATGTCCTCGCAACGCAGGCAATTGCAAATGTTGTCAAATCCTCATTTGGCCCTTCTGGCTTGGACAAGATGATGGTTGACGACATTGGGGACGTTACGGTCACCAATGACGGTGCAACAATTCTCAGCCTGCTCGACGTCGAGCACCCCGCCGGCAAGATTCTGGTCGATCTGGCTCAACAGCAAGACAAAGAGGTGGGAGATGGCACTACGTCCGTTGTGCTGCTTGCTGCCGAACTCCTCCGACGGGCGAACGATCTCATGAAGAACCGCATCCATCCTACGGTCATCATCACAGGGTACCGCCTGGCTCTGCGAGAAGCGGTCAAATACATGCAGGAAAACATTAGCACAAAGGTGGAAACCCTTGGAAGAGAAAGCCTGGTCAACATTGCCAAAACGTCCATGTCAAGCAAGATCATTGGTGCGGATGCAGACTTTTTTGGCAACATGGTCGTCGATGCCATGTTGGCAGTCAAGTCGGTCAATGCACAGAAAAGCGAAACCAAGTATCCGGTCAAAGCGGTCAACATCCTCAAAGCGCACGGCAAGAGTGCAACAGAATCAATATTGGTCAAGGGCTACGCATTGAATTGTACCGTCGCTTCCCAAGCGATGAAGACGAGAATCACCGATGCGAAGATTGCTTGCCTCGACATGAATCTGCAAAAAGAACGAATGAAGCTTGGCGTCCAGATCACTGTCGAAGACCCTCAACAACTGGAAAAGATCCGAGAGCGAGAAGCCGGCATTGTCCTGGAAAGAGTGGAGATGATTCTCAAAGCAGGAGCAAATGTGGTACTAACTACGAAAGGGATCGACGATCTCGTCCTCAAGTTGTTCGTGGAACGTGGCTGCATGGCAGTTCGGAGATGCAAGAAAGAAGACCTAAGGCGGATAGCGAAGGCGACGGGGGCCACTCTGGTGAGCACTCTATCTGATCTGAACGGAGACGAGCGATACGAGAAAGAACTGCTGGGTTATGCAGAGGAAGTGGTTCAAGAACGCATCTCGGACGATGAGTGCATCCTTGTGAAAGGCACCAAAGCCTTTTCGTCGGCCTCGATTATCCTTCGAGGATCGAACGACTACCAACTTGATGAAATGGAACGATCTGTGCACGACTCCCTGTCGGCGGTCAAACGGACTTTAGAGTCGGGCAGCATCGTACCGGGAGGAGGTGCGGTGGAGACGGCATTACACATTTACCTTGAAGAATTCGCCATGACCGTGTCCTCTCGAGAACAGCTGGCAATTGGAGAATTTTCGCAATCCCTGCTGGTCGTCCCGAAGACCTTGGCCGTCAATGCGGCAAAGGATGCTTCCGAACTTGTTGCTCAGCTACGTGTGCGCCACGCGTTAAGCCAGCGAGTCCAAGATGGGGATGCCAATGAAAGGGAAAAGGACATTGCCAAAAAGCGACAGTACAAGAATTACGGGTTAGATCTGATGCGTGGCAAGGTTGTGGATGTCGTCAAGATGGGTGTTTTGGAGCCGAGCATGAGCAAGGTGAAGCAGCTCAAGAGTGCCGTGGAAGCTTGCATCGCTATCATGAGGATTGACACACTGATCAAGCTCGACCCTCCCGAGCCACAGGGTGGAGACGATGGTCATGGCCATTGAGGGGGGGTTGGACAGTAGACGTACATGACATGATACCACACAAACTGAGAACCTGGATCGACATTGACCACGAGTCAAAGCAGTCAACACGGCTCACAGCGAGCACATTCCCATCTTCACCTCGGCGGAGAAACTCTTTCAACCGTCCAGAGAAGAGCACGACGTTGCACCGTGCCCGGCGGGAATACGGTCGTGGAGTGGGATGGAGTCTGCAGGGTGAGCATGGCGACAGGGAATGCTGCGCTTGGGACCTGTGCGAAGGGTGTTGAAGAATAAAGCCTGTGGGCCATGACTGATGAAGCCGTGACGAGAATAGTAGAGCAGCAAGAAACAAATACCCAGGTGAAAAAAGAGGGGCTCAACGACAGCGCGATTTAACACTGATGCTGGTGCTTTCCATGTGAGGGTACTTAGTATATGGTAAACAAAAAGAATCAATCCCTCCTGCCTCACAGCTTCATGTCTTTAGATATTTTGCTTCCATCTTTCATGTCCGGCAGGGCGCAAGGCTGAAGTCGTGCCAAGGCGAGGCTGAGTCTAGTCTATAAGCAGTTTAATCGAAAGGTCAGCCAAACTTGGGCACTCATCACTCTTTTTGTCGTTTACTGTCTCGGCTCACGCGTCGTTGTTGTGAATAAGCCATGAAAAGAAAGCCTTTGCTAGAGTCTGACACAATCCGGGCTCTGCCAGGAACATGACCAGACGAGGAACCTTGAAGCACGCCGAGTGGCGCCCCCTCCTCATCCCCTTATCTAAGGACCGTACCATTCTCACTCGGCGTCGGTGTCGTCGAGAGTTGTATCACTGACCATAGCCCGACCACAACGGCCCGAGGCCCTAACTTCGTCCCAGCACAACTGCGAAGCCACTAATCAGACGATGGCCTCTGCCATCCTGGACAGATCACCGCGTCTGATTTCGTCTGAGCCACCCATGCAGGGAGTCGAACTGGAACAACATTCCATGGGGGACAAGACATCTCGAATTGAAATCGTGGGACAAAGACGCAATAGCGTTCCCAGGTATACACTTCCTCGGCATGTCAGTAACGCAAATCTTGAAGGTTTGGACTTCTATATCTATACAACCAAGCACCAATTGGGCCACAGTTTGTCAGGTACAAATTCAGTAACGAGGTTCTGCAGGGAGAGTGGTCTAGCGGATGATCCTTCAGACGTTAAACAACAAATGAGCCACTGCAGTAGCCCCTAATGGCCTGTCGATTCAAGGTCATCGCGCTTCCCACACCCAGAGGAATCTTCTTACTCGGTACTGTCCATGATCGGCAAAGGCAAGGGTTGGACAGAGACAATGAAGGAAGCAGCTCCTTTTCTTGAGCATTTCATTCGACCTGCGTCCAAGTCCCAACCAGTTCCGATAACCAGGCCTAATCACCTTGGAATATTTGATGGCCTTCACTCGGTGCAGGACTGGGGTCAAAATGCTTTCAGGTCGGCTTCTGATAACCACCTTGATGCCGAACCGCGAGGATACTCGATGTTAGCGAATGACAGTGAATGAACATCTGTCCTTCCAGCTCGGCACGCTCTCACATGCGCCTGAGGCGCCTCCCCGGGTCTGAGCAGCCTGACCAAGGACGCAGATATTCGCCGGTCTGAGGGCAAGATCTACTTATCGACGTGGACGTGGGGATCCCCATTTTAAGGCAGTGGAAGGCTGCTCAGGAGCTCTCCAAACGAAGCCAGATAGTTTTGATGATGCTAGCAGCTACGTGTTTGGTGCGCTAGCTGAGTCACCATGTGTCAGCAGCCAATGACACGTCTCCGCGAGAAAATACTCTGATATTCGAACCCTTCGACGGCATCTGGCCGTACAAACTTGGACGAACAATTTGGAATTTGCTTTGCACGAGGCTCGGTCCGTGCATACAATCACATTGGAAGGAGTCAACACTGAGTTCACGCCAATGAGAATTTTGGAGAGAGCATATATTCTGATGGTCAGAGGTCCAGCTCCTTTCATACTCTGCTTCGCACCTTTGGGCGACTTTGCCATCCTCTTTCATGTCTAAAGGCGTGGACTCTTTCCAAGATGAATGGCAATCGGGTCGAGGTTACTTGCCCGAGGAACAGACCCCTCCTCAGGGCCTCCGTGACTCCATCGGACCAGCGTTATCGGGCTTGACGAGCAGCAGCAGTCCAGGGACTAGTGGTATCCGCTCCACCTCAATACCGGATTGGAGTATTTCGGCCTCGACCGATCAGTTCCCGCCACCGTTATCTAGCCTTTCGTTCGATCGCGACTCCAATCGGCGGACGGTCACACTTCCAACACCAGTGCGGCATTATAGAAATTCATTCTATCTTGGACCTGCCCCCCGACTGTCGAGATCCATCACGGATACCGCAAATGAGCCTGACACTACTGATTTCCCCCCAACGCAGCACAACAGACTCGATATACCGGGCAATTTGAGACACTTGCCAGATGGAACAGCAACACCTGCGTCGGACAGTTTCGTAAGAAGCCTTGTCGCCAGTGTCGCCGAGATCGTCGAGGCATCGTCGGCCCAGCAAGAGGCCTCGACGTCACGGCCCGAGACCGTCGCTGCACGTCCATTCGTTCCAGTGCCCGTGGATCGAGACGATACGAGTGGGAGTACGCTATTGGCCGAAAGCAAACAAACCAAAGGGAAACACAAAAGAGCAGATGACGAAGATGGTGGTCATGGCCCGTGGCCAAAAAACCCGGCCAACATCAAAAAGAAAAGGAAGCCCCAACCAATTCTGGCCTCCAGAGCTCCGAAGATGAGTCATCGGCCTGGTCGGAAATATGAAATGCAGTGGCGCCTTGGCCAGGCACCGACAGCTGGCATCAAAGACACAAAAGAGCAGTCCAACTTTGAACGCGTGCTGACTGCCATTTCGAGCTATCACCGGGGTAACGCAGGTGATATTTGGAAGAGGGCCATGCTTCGAAATGCCGCCGAGTTCGATGGGAACGGCCTCTGTGAGGCTATCGCCGTCTCGGTCATGCTAGCGGCAGGCTTCATCTCCGCCGGCCAGTCCGAGATTGCCAGCCAAGCCCTGAGTCGAATTCTACCGCTTTCCAGAGTCATGTTGTTGAGCCAACACCCACAGGTGTGCTTTTACCTCACTGAGATCAGCATGGACACTTCGACCAACGTATCTGGAAGTCTACGGGCGTCATTCAAGAATTACCTAGCACCTCTGGCTGTCCACATGCTCGGGGAACGCCATCCCTTATCTATTCTCCTCGGGACGCCGTTGACGGTTGAACAGAAGGTGAGACTCCGACGGGAGGGGCAGCGAGTGGCGCATGAGGAGCACGTCCGGGCTTTTGGGACCTACTCCTATCAAACCCTGCTGCACCTGTGGTACTGGGCTCGACTTACTGCTGCGTCGGGCGACACTGCAGAATCGGTCCGGATGTTTGAGGGTTTGATCCAGATGTGGGAGCAGGTGTACTCGGCCAACTCCGCCGTGGCCATTGCTGCCATTATTGAGCAAGCCCGCGTGATGCTCGCCGCGGGTGACGCCAGCATCAAGGTTGAATGCCTCCTCGCTGACGCCCTGCGGCGGAACGAAGTGCTGAGCTCGGGCCAGGCGCTGCAGCCACAGTTTCTGGACGTGGCCGAGTCGAGGCTGCGCGGGAGCAGCCTCATCTTCTCTCGACTGGCGGCGTTCCGGTGTTTGGGGCGTTTGCACCTCATGAGGAACAGTCTCGGCAACGCCATGTCCTGTTTCCAGCAAGCGCTGGACCTCGCCGAGTCGAATCTCGCCGAAGAATCGTCGGTGAGGAAGATGTGCCAGACGGACCTGGCCGCCGTGAAAATGATCCAACTGGAGCAAGCGATGGGGGGCTTGACACTGACAGACCCGATGAGCCGACTTCCTCCCATCACGAGTATCATTCCCCTGGCCCCAGTGGAGATGACGGGGACGAAGATACCATAATGAAAAGTTCAATACTGGCCACCACCTTAGGTAATGTGCTCCTTTTTTGCGTATATACATATCTTTTGCGTATATACATATCATATGACGAGACTATGACGAGTCTCCTACTACTTTATGCTCCCCAGCCACCATCCCAGCTCAATCCCTAATCTCCCCGGCTGATCGTACATGATCAAATGCCCTGCTCCGTCGATGACCACCACATCCTCATCCTTGGCGCCCAGTTTTTCCTTCAATGTCTGCGCTGTCTCGACGGGAATCCACTTGTCCTCCTGCCCCCAGATGATCCTCACGGGCATGTTCCTGCTCACCTCGTGATATCGGCCCTCGACCTCGTCCGTGCTGCGACTGTTCGCCTGCACCATCTGCCTAACGAACCCCTTTCTGCCGTCTTCGGTCGCGATCCAGGGCCTCTTGAGCATCTCCATGGTCTCCCGGCCCAGCTCCCGATACGCCGCGTCGCGGACATACGCTTCGACCACGCCTTCGAACACGGGGCCCGTCAGCGCGTTAAACACGCCCTCGTTCTGCGCCACCAGCTTGAACAGGGGCTGTCCGAAGGGACCCACGGCCACAACGTCGATCAGACACAGACTCCGGAATTCACACCCATGCAGCAGGTGCGCACGCAGGGCCATCAGACCGCCATGGTCGTGGGCCACCACGTGCGCCGCCTTGCTCCGCTGCTGCTGCCAGCCCAGTTCCCAGGACTTGTACAGCGCGGCAAACACCTCGGACTGCTGCGCCAGATCGGCGTCCAAAGCCACCGCCGCATTGATAGTGGTGGCGTCCTTGCGCGGCGTGCCCAGTGGACTCTCGCCGAAGCCCGGGTTGTCGAAGAGGTAGACGTGAAAATAGTTGGCCAGAGACTGGGCGTAGGTGCTCCACACGCGCGACGACCAGGGTGTGCCGTGCACGAAGACCAGTGGTGGCAAGGCCTCGGAGCCCAGCGACGTCCACCGGATGTGGTAGTCGTAGAGGGCGGTCGAGTGGTGGAATGTCTGGGTGAGTTCGACGGTGGACGGCGGTGATGATTGTGATGAGAGATTCATCTTCAGGCTTTGTTTGATCTTGTTTGGAATCGATTTGCGACAGCTGATGCTCACAAGACAGCGACAAGAAGACAACTTGACAATAATTATCACCTCGAGACCTCCACTTCTGTATTTTACCGGGATGGGTGTGTGTGTGGACGATACGAATCTATGATAAATAGTCCAGGAATCACCGTTCGAAAATATCTATATATATACAGGTATATATTACCATATATGGAGATTAAGTCCGATTTCTGTCCCTCCGTATATAGCTATTACATACGTGGGTACAGTAAGTCGGTACAATACATGTGTAGATGAGTTACATGAGCCAAGCAAGCAAGGGGCTAAGGAGGGGCTTCACGCGTATAACGCTGACAAATATGATAGTACTGTATGTATACAATAGCACCAGTGGGTGGATGAATGGAGAATACATAAGCTAGCAACTAGGTGATAATGATTGATTGATTGATTGAGTGATGTATACATAAAGGCAGAAAATCCTTGGGCTCTATCCTGAGTCCCTCATCTACCACGATATACATAGAGATAATACAACAAGTAATAATACATGTGAATGATGTGATACTTACATACGTACTAGCGTCTTAGCTGTCGGTGCATAGTTGCAACCTCGACGCGAGCATCGTCCCACTTTATGTATTACTTCTTCTCTTTGTTGCTTTTCTCATGCACACTGCAGATATTCTACCAGGTTGTTCAAATGATAACACGACGTCGAAAGAGAGTTATCCAGTCAATATTTGTGACGATGATCGTCGACCTGGACGACAAACGCCCTTTCATCTAAAGAAATGTCCTCTTCATTCGTCATGACCCTGGTACGAATGCGACGCTCGACAGAGCGTCGCATCCGTGATGGGTGGGTGGACTGGCAACAGCGGATGCGCGAGACAGTGCAGAAGAACGGCCATCTGGGACTGATCTGTTTCGGAGGCCCGCCTGTTCATTTCCAAATTGTCAGTCTTTGTCTATCGATTTCCCCTGGACCTCTGCTATGGCAAGCTTGTCCTTCTGATTCTAACCATCCACGCCCACTCTGTGAAAAACAGCTGCACAAGCGCTTCGTGGAGAAATACCAATGGCTGGACGAGCCTATGTTCCAGGAGCTGTTCGCCGTCACCCAGGCGCTGTCGGGCCCTGCGAGCACCAAGATGCTCTATTGCATCAACCTCAACCGCAATGGCTTCTTGTCCGCGCTGTCGGCGTTCCTCTTGTGGTCGTGAGTTTCCCCCATCCTCTTTCTTCCCCGTGCCCGTCACAAGCTCTGGCTGATGGGAATCACCTCTGCTGCACACACACAGACTTCCCGGGGCCATTGGAATGTACGCCCTGTCACTGGGCATATCCAACGTCGGGGACATCCTCCCTGCGCCGGCCTATGCCTTGCTCTCGGGTCTGAACGCCGCCACTGTCGGAGTGATTGCTCTGGCGGCCGTGCAGTTGTCCCAGAAGGCCATCACAGACCAGATCACCCGGATCCTGGTGTTTTTGGGGGCCACGGCGGGCATGCTGTACAACGCCCTCTGGTTCTTCCCGGTCTTGATCTTCCTCGCCGGCCCGGTCACCATTATCTGGGACTTTCGACTGCTGCATCCCCTAGTCAAGAAGGCACTGGGGGTGGCACGTAGGGTGAGACCGCGACACGACGGGGATGAAATTGAGATGAATACTGCAGATCGGCCACCAGGGCATCAACTGCAGTGTAGGTCATGCCGACTTGCTCCTTACTCTTCGATTTAGTCCATCGGCTGACACCATATCATAAGCCACCGGGACGGACCACGGCACTCCGTCTCCCAGGCAAGAGACGGAAGGTTCAGGACCCCCCACTACTTCCGATGATGCCCATGGTGTCTCGAGTAGCAGACAAGATGCAAGAATCATCCCGGCGGGCAGAGACTTGAAGGTTTCTTGGAAATTCGGCACGGTCCTCATAGCAGGGTTCTTCCTCACCTTCATCACCGTCATGGTGCTGCGTGGAGTCGTAAAACATCGACCACTACTGTTCAGTCTCTTTTCCAACATGTACCTCGCGGGAACCATTATCTTTGGTGGTGGTCCTGTGGTGATTCCCCTTCTTCGACAGTGAGTGTGTGTCTAGAGGGTTACGGTCCAAACACAGCTAAGAACATTGCCTCAATTCCAGGTATATCGTCACGGAAGGCTGGGTGTCATCCCGGGATTTCCTTCTGGGGTTGGCCATCATCCAGTCCTTTCCAGGACCGAACTTCAACTGTGAGTCCTAGATAGAACCTGCATTCATCCCAAGGCATCTTGTTGATTCTGTTCAATAGTCGCCGTATATCTCGGCTCACTGACTGCGATCAACGCGTCCATCCCCAGTGCCGCGGGTGCCATCCTAGGCTTCATCGGCATCTTCGCGCCAGGCTTGGTGCTCGTGCACGGCACCATGGGCCTGTGGAGGGCGCTGCGCACTCGCCGATGGGTAAAAGCCGGCCTGCGCGGTGTCAACGCCGCCGCGGTCGGGCTGATCTACACCGCCATCTACCGGCTGTGGGAGATCGGCTACGTCGACGAAGAGTTCACGAGCGGCTCGAGCCTGGGCCGGGATCCCTGGTGGGTGGTTGTCACTGCGACCAGTTATGTCGGTGGATGCTGGTTTGGGGTTCCTGTCCCCGTGGCGATCCTACTGGGAGGTGTCATGGGCCTCGTTCGCTATGGCGTGACATCGAGCTGAGAGTGTCCCAGCCAGTAGAGGTCTGGGTGAAGACGGTGAAGCGGTGCACCATGTCGTAGGAGAAGTCTTTCTGGCTGCCACAGTTGTCGTCCAAGTGGGAGCCGTGAGTATGGTGTCGGCAGGGCATAGTACAGTACGTGGTCAACGGCAACTGTCAGCAATTGTCGACGCCGCTCGTGGGTCGAGAGTCATCAGATGGCCGTCTGCCAGCACGTCCCTTTTCGACACCTTGCGTCGTCGGACAATGAACAAGAGAGTGAAGCGTGAAAAATCCGTTACTTTGGGCAGTTTGGCAGATCAACCCACCTTCATTCGCATGTCTTTGCCTTTCGTTGTCTGGCCCCTTCCTTCCCTCATCTTTTCCAACACCATGGCCGACGACGACGAGAACATCGACCGAGATTTCCTGCCCGGTGGTCTGCCCCAACATGAGCTATGTGACTGGTTCCTCCAGAACAACCATGCCGGGTTCGAAGCGGCCCTGTACAAGCGCCAAAACGAGATCCTCTGGCTGGCTCGCCTCCGCCACGGTCTCGCTTTTGCGTCTGTCCCTCTAGACTCCAACAACGCCGTCCCCTTGATCGAACTCGTCGTCATCAAGGACATGCTCGCCTACGCCCAGGAGATCCAGCACCTCCTCGAGATTGCCCAGCTCTTCCAGATTCGCATTGCTGTGCACAACGAAATCAGCCATGCCCAGGCCGCCCTCCGTCCCGACTTTCGTCGCTCCTTGAGCATGGCCGTAGCCCACGCGGCTCACTTGTTTTCCCAGAACATCCTCGATGCGGTTTGTTACTCCTCCCCCCACTGTCTCGTCCTTATCAATGTGTTCTGACTTCCTCTATCTGTCGGTGAACCCAGCAAATACAAGCGACGATCAACTTGCCCGCGCCGCCTCCGGGCCCTCCGCTGAAGTTCTGCGACAGTCCGAGCTGCAACGCCATCTTTTTGGCCGGGATTCCTGGACATGCCGTCTTGTATCCTGGGGCATGGGTGGTGAGCTGTCAGACGCCACACCACGAGACGATCGATGCCAATCGGGTGGTGGCCTGGGCTTGGCTAGCGGTGAGCAGGGGTTGGATACTGGGGCCCGTGCGGTCTTCTTGAATATGCCTGTCTGGACTTCAAGAGGGCTGGGAAGAGGCTATCTTTTACCCGAGCCAGGAGTCAGGAATCAGTGGGAGAGATACAACACAACCCAATCCAAACAAACAAGCACCGACCACGAGAACAATGGTTTAGCCAGAGATAGAAGAATGTCTATTGCATATTGCAGTGAAAAGAGTCCCTGGCACTAGCTGCCGTCACGTGGCTAAGTCATCGGCTGACTCATCATTTCCCCCGCGCCACCACGTGACCAGCATTATTCTCCGTCTGCTCTACTACTGCATGTACTGTGAATACATCCTTGACTTGGACATACACATTTTCTCATTCCATATTTCACTGAACCCAGCTGCTCCAACCTCTGACAAAAGTGATCGTGTTGCAAAACATGGTCGCCGAAATCATCACCACCATCTCCCCCACCACCAACAAACCCCTCCTGACCCGCCACGGCCTGTCACCGCACGAGATCCTGCGCCTGGGCACCACTGCGCAAGCCGCTTTCAGGTCGTTCCGCGCCTCCCACCCGACCCTTCCCTCCCGGCAGCAGATCGTGTCCACGGCCTTGCAGACGCTGCTGGCCAAACAGGATGTCCTCGCCCGCGAACTCACCGAGCAGATGGGCCGGCCCATCGCCTACACGGCCAAGGAAATTACCACGGCCGTCAAGAGGGCCGAGTACATGAACCGTGTGGCGCCGGACGTGCTCGAGCGCGACGCCACAATCCACGGTGAGGAGGAACACGGGTTCAAGCGGTACATCACGCGCCGCGATCCCGTGGGCGTCGTGCTGGTCATCTTCGCCTGGAACTACCCCTACCTGATCCTGGTGAACAGCCTGATCCCCGCCCTGCTGGCCGGCTGCGCCGTGATCCTCAAGCCGAGCCCTCAGACGCCCACCATCGTCGAACACATCGTCGACATCTTCCAGAGTGCGGGTCTGCCGCCGAACGTCATCCAGTACCTCCACTGTGGGAGTCCTACGGACCTCAAGCCCTTGATCCTCTCCCCGGACGTCAATCACATCTGCTTCACGGGGTCTGTGGCGGCGGGAATCGCCATCCAGACATTGGCGGCGTCCCGGGTGTCTTGTTCCGTGGGACTGGAACTCGGTGGGAAGGACCCCGCGTATATTCGCCCGGACGTCGACGCGGCCTGGGCGGCGGAAGAGATCGTGGACGGCGCCATCTTCAACTCGGGCCAGTCGTGCTGCGCCATCGAACGCGTCTACGTCCACGCTGACATCTACGACTCATTCGTGAAGGAAGTCAAGAAAGTCCTAGAGGGATACAAAGTCGGAGACCCTTTCGACAAATCCACCCACGTCGGGCCCGTCGTTTCTTCCCGGTCGAAGGCGACGATCGAGAAGCAAGTCGCGGACGCCATCGCCGCGGGCGCCGTGGACGAGACGCCGCACAACGCGACATTCAAATCGCCCGCCGGGCCCGCGGAGGGCAATTGGGTGGCACCCGTGCTGCTCACCCACGTGAACCACGGCATGTCGGTCATGCGGGACGAGACGTTCGGACCCGTCATACCGGTGCAGAAAGTGTCGAGCGACGACGAGGCGGTCGCGCTGATGAACGACTCGCAGTTCGGGCTCACGGCGTCCATCTGGACGAAAGACACGCGCCGGGGCGAGGAGCTGTGCGGGCGCGTCGAGGCCGGCACCGTGTTCGTCAACCGCGCCGACTTCCCCAGTCCCGACCTCGCCTGGACGGGCTGGAAAGACAGCGGCAAGGGCGTCACCCTGAGCAGGTTGGGGTTCGAGCAGTTTGTCAAGGTCAAGAGTTTTCATGTCAAGGAATACCCCAAGTGAGGGAGGGAGAGAGTCAGCGATAGGGATGGGGATTTCACGATGATGATGATGATGGATGGATGGATGGATGGATGCTTGGTTATTTGGTGAATGGATTGAGAATGGTTCGTAGGAAGGCAGGGAAAGAGGGGGAATATCACATATAGATGAACAATACCCGATAGAAGCATACGGATAGACAAAAAGGAAGTAAAGTAAAATCAAGTAAGTGCCTGGCGTCGAAGCCAGCCAGCCAGTGAGTGCGTGCCTTCAAGGGACTTGGAGACTAGAAACTATCCACCATCGAGTGAATGAATGAATGAATTGATGAGATGCCACGAATATACCTAGTATATATACATACGTAGAAGCATATACATACATTCATACATACATACACAGCATCACGGCCTCCTCTCCGCAATGACGAGGGGAACTTAAGCATCCCTTCCCATCCCATAATACATGGGATCCAGGACCAAGTTCTTGGTGATAGAGAGAAGATCTTCTTGATCGATCATCGTCGATCAATCCACTAAATCAATCAATCATCTCGTAGAGCCCTTGAATTACTGTAGTTCCTCAAAGGCACCGACCGATAGAATTGACCGACCGACCGACCGACTGATTTACAGAGTCGCTCGAAGTGCAAGAAATGGTGAATATCATACCAAATCACACCACAGCACACGATACCGTCCACAGCAAGCTCAGGAGAGCGAACAAAGAGTAAAAAGTCAACAGTCAAGTAAAAGTTAGGCCTACCATGCCTAGTCCTGAGAACACGTCGCTGATGCTTCCAAAATGTCCCTCCACCTCCCCAACCCTTGTTGCCCTACATATGTGTCTCGAGTCTGATCAAGCTCGACGTGGAAGTGAAGATCAGATCAGGTCAGATCAAATCAAATCAAGTCAGCCAGAATGGATGCTTCGAGCCCCGCAACCCCCCAAAAAGACAAAAGATCGCTCATGCTTTCGTGTGTTTCGTCTCAAAATCCCATCTTCCTCATTTAGAAACCGTTCAAGTTTCAATCGTCGTCAATGTCGACGTCGAGGGCATCCGGGTTGGCAGACGCGTCCTGGTCAGCGGTGTGGTCCGTCTCGTCAACCGTGTTCGGCGGCGCTGCTCGATTCCCACCTTCGGGTCCTGTGCTCGCCGCCACAAAGCCGACCGGCGCCCTCGCCTGTCTTTCCAACGCAGCCATCGCATCCTGCACTTCTCCATCCCTCTGTTCAGCTCCCACCCCCTCTCCCTCACCGGCAGCCGCAGCCGCGGCTTGGCCCCGCGCAACTGCCTGGCTTGCGATGAACGCGACATCTGTGTTGAACTGGGCGGCCACAGATCTCTTGATTCTGAGCATCTCTTTAAAGGTGTCCTCATTTCCGTGGGCCACCTCGAATTTCTCCCACGTCTCCCAGAACCCTCTGTCGACTCGTGGGTCTGCGAATTGAGATGCGTGGCCATAGATCGCTCTTGCGCGATCAATCTCTCCCAGACGACGCTCCATCTCTGCGAACTTCAGACACATGATCTTGGCCTCCTTGTCGGGCAGGGCGGCGATGGCACGTTCGTAGATGGGACGGGTAGATGTCAGTCCAAAGTTCGTGGCTGATTTAGTGATGTAAAACTCAAACATAGATAGACGGTCTTCGTCGCTCACGGCGCGTGTGGCGCGTTCGTAGATTCGCATGGCTGAACGGGCCAACCCTCGCTCTTCCTCGAGACTGCCGTACATCAGATAGATCGGTTTGGCGAATGAAGGAGGACACTGTTCGACGGCTTGCTCGAACAGGTCCCTCAGTCGCTCAATGCCAATCTTGCGGTCGACGGCTTTCGTCAAATACAGATTCCACAACTCGAACGCGACAGGGTAGGTGAACACGTCGAGGCCTCGTTCGTATACTTTGAAGGATTCTTCATAGTAGCCGTGCTCTTCGAGGAGGTTGGCATAGTTGACGACCGTTTGCGGGGTGGCGATTCGCAGTTCGAAGATGCGATCATAGACGGCCCTCGTGTCGTCCAGGGAACCCACCGATTCGACCAGGTCGACGTAGAACGACCAGACTTTCCAAGACTTGTGCACGCGCTGCTGCGGCGAGAGGGTCTCGTCAAAATAGTCGACCGTGCTGCGTTTCGGGGCTTTGGTGGCGGTCGCCATAACTTTCATCGCACCGTCAAAATTCTCGTTCCTCAGCTCCATCTCCGCCCAGCCGATCCACGTGTCTGCAAGCTCGGCCACGGATTTGTAGGGCACCTTGACCGCCTTGTCGAGAATCATGCGTGCCGTGTCCAAATCGCCAGCTTCCTCGTAGAATTTGGCGTAATTCAGCCACAGTTCGTGGAACTTCCCAACAGCCTTTTTCGGTGCGACGGCTGCAATTGCATCGGCGTATGTTTGAACAATCTCTTGCTTGTTATCGTTCCAGAGAGCGACCCGTTTCTCCCATTCGACCACGTTGTTGGGGTTCTGCCGTAACAGGACGTCGTTGACCAGGAATGGTCTCCGATCCATCAAATGTTCAAACCGCATCATTCTCAGATCGAGCTCAAAGTCCTTGTCAGGGTCGACAACTCCCTTGGCTGCACGGGCAGACGCAGCGTCCATCAGGGTGGACAATATAGACTCCTCGAACTCGACATACGCGTCAAAGATCATGGTAAAATCACGCACCGTCATCACGGTGGTAATTCCCTCCTCGAAAACGTCTCTCGCCTTCTCAAAATCTCCACGGGTGATCCAGTAGGTTGCCAGGCCTGCCCACAGTTTGCCGCGTTGGTCGGCAAATCGTTCGATGCCGCTTCGGATAATGGTATCAGGGTCGAAACCGGCCACCGAGCTATTACCGATATGTCGAGCCTTGTCGACCATGAGCTCGACCATCTCGCTCCACAGCTGAAACTCGCTTTTGACGTGTTTTGATACGAACTTGGGGTTGTTCAATATCTGAATGTACCTTTTCACCGCCTCGAGATAATGTCCCGTCTCGATGAGTAGTTCGATGTAGTCTTCCATGTCTTCCGGATGCACCTGGACATAGCGAGCCCATACTCTCACTGCCGTCTCCCCTCCAGCTGAGTTGGCAAAGGATTTGTAGAGCTTCCAGATTCGGTTGTGTTGCGTGACTGGCAAAGCGCGGAGTGCCCGGTCGAAGGTCCTTCGAGTTTTGGTGACATAGGGTTGTCGCAGCAGGAAGGCCAGGTACATCTCCCAGATGACCGGCATCTTGTTCAACAGAATGAGGGCCCGTTCAAACAGGGCGTTGACCTTGTTGAACTCGGTCCGGTATTTGACTGGATTTTTCTTTTTTAGATGTTTGATCCGGAACTCCAAATACATTTTCCACAGCTTGTATGACCGCGGTAACTGTATGCACGCCCTCTCTTGTACGAACGCCTGCTCGTGGATCGTGCCATTGCGCATTTTGAAGTCGATGTAGGTCAGCCATGGTCGGACGCTTCCGGGATTCCGGAGGATGTCCTGCTCGTAGATCGTATCCTCGTTCGCGATGAGGTACAGATCGGGTTTGAGGGACTTCATCGCGACCTTGGAGTCGTTATGCGACCGACGGAGAGTGCCAGGCATGATGGTCGTCTATGCTGAAGAAAGTTCTCCTCGCGATTTCGCTAAATCCAGACGCAGGCCGCCGAAGCAACCGGAGAAAAGTTTCGACGACTCCGACTGGCGGCTTGGCAGGCTGTAGCTCCCATTTCATGCACCTCAGAACCGTACTACGAAAAAATCCCAGAGCACAGCCTTGGAGGACTTACAACCAACCCCGAGCTATCGGTCTAATGTGTGTCGGTGCCAGGAATATGGTACAGGGAGATGGTGGAGGCGTTCTCGGATCGGATACGGCTCGATGTGTCTCGTTAGCGAAGTGACTTCCTTTCTGATCAGCAGAGTAATCTTCAAAACATGAAGGAAGAGTCCAAGGTCCAGGCCATTTCGAGGTCAAGGGCAGCGTCGCGCGAGGACTTTATATTCCTCTGGAAGTCCAATGGATCGCAATCGTCTACGCTCTACAACAACACCTTCGATCGGGCATTGGCGACACCGGCAGAGGACAGAGTACGTCGAGTCTAGTGACGCCCTCTTGTAGCCCACCGAGAAACTCATGCGTGCCTACAATGAAATGCACTACGCCCATACCGCTACCAATACCGACACTTCGTCAGACAACTCGACGCAGTGCTGCACGTATTAACGGTGTGAGCAAGAGCCTATCCTGCAATATTCTGTGGAAAACTACGACTCGGATGAGGAGGCTTCATGCTCTCTAAGGTGCTCAGAATTGCATGCAAGGTAAAGCCTGGGTTTTGCCATCAGTGTTTGTTCGGGTTCTTTGATCTCGAATAGTAGCCATAGAATATCGTTCGAACTGTTCAACTTCGAGTTAATAGGTAGTCGTACGCACCATATCTTTTGTCTGGACGGGCTAAAGTTTTAGCGATGCCTGCTTGGCACCGTCATGCCTCCCCGAGCATCGCAGCTCCGCCAGGTGATAAGCTGCTGCCGCATTGATCTTCGCTACTCCAACTCGCAGTTCGGTGTGCTTAGTTACTCCATATCAGACAGGACGAAAGGCAGCCCTCGGACAAGATGTCTTCCGGCGCAGGGGTAAGACCACTGAGAGGGAAAACCAAGGTGCTACCATGACTTACTACTTGTGTAGAGAGAGGCCGTCTTCCCCACGCGGCAGGCGTTGGGCCAGATGAATGCGAAGTTGAAGGGGGCTCAGACTGGCCACAGCTTATTGAAAAGGAAGAGCGAGGCGTTGACAAAGTAATCCATATTCCTCCTTGACCGGCGTCGTCACCTGCTAATCTTCCAATAGGCGGTTTCGAGGTGTGCATAACAGCACCCCCCTTCCTCTTCGCAATACCTCGAAGCTAAAATGCCACAGATATCCTCAAGAGAATCGACGAAGCGAAACGGAAGATGGGACGAGTCATGCAGATTGCCGCATTCTCGCTCGCTGAAGTGTCCTACGCCGTCGGCGGAGATATTGGCTACCAGATCCAGGAATCCGTCAAGACGGCCCGGTTCAGGATCAAGACCAAGCAAGAGAACGTGTCAGGTGTCTTTCTCCCGCAGTTTGAGGGATACACAAAGGAGGAGATCAACGATTTCGGCTTGACCGGTTTGGGCAAGGGAGGTCAGCAAGTGCAAAGATGTCGAGAGACCTATTCCCGCGCGGTCGAGACACTAGTTGAGCTGGCGAGCTTACAGACGGCATTCATGATTCTCGACGAAGTCATCAAGGTTGTGAACCGAAGAGGTACGTTTGATGGACTCTTATCAGAGGCTACACGGAAGAAGCTGACCACGCACGCAGTCAATGCCATTGAACATGTCATCATTCCCCGAACTGAAAACACCATCAAGTGTAAGCTCACCCGGACACCGTTAGTCTCCAAGGTGCTAACTCTGTCTAGACATCAACTCCGAGCTTGACGAGCTTGACCGAGAAGAATTCTACAGATTGAAGAAAGTGTCGGGCAAGAAACAACGTGATCAAGCCGCCGCGGACGCCGAGCTTCTGCGACAGAGGCAAGCGGGTAAGAACAAGCCAGAACAGGAGGATGGCGCCCAGCCGCAGGATGTGCTCGGCGAGCATGAGGATGAGGATGTTATTTTCTGATTTCCCCCCAGTGTGTGAGAAGACCCTGCGGGATGTTGTATGCTTTTATCCTCAACGCCGGCCAATGCATGCAGGTGTATCAAATACAATAGTTGGCGGCCGCAGTTGCCATACCATATCATAACCCTTTCCTGGCTCGGCCCAATACCACCCCTCAAGCTCGTTGATACGTGACCCTGATTCCCTTACCCTCATCACCCAGTTGCATACCAGCCGTGGCCTCTTTTGCACTGATGGCGCCCGCCTCGGCCTCGTATTCCACGAACGCAATGCCTTTCCGCCCTGGCACCATGCGGACTTCCTTGAACCCTTCGAAGCGGCTGAATATGCGGCTCAGACCATCTGCGTCGTAGCTGTCAGGCAGATCCCGCAAAAACAGGATCTTGTTGGGCGGGAGGTATTCGTCGGGGATGATGGCTGCGGCATTGGTGCCCGATGCCTTGAGGCCGGCGCCCTTGGCCGTCTTCGCAGGCCGTGTGGCCAGTCCTCCTCCTGGTGCGGTGGGCTCCACGGCCGCGGCGGCCGGTCTCTTGAGCGCCTTCTGCTGGGTCGCCTCCATGGCCTGGCGACGCTCCTTCTCGGCAAGGCGGGCCCGCTTCCACTTCTCCAGGCCTTGTTCGCCGTCTTCGCGCAGGACGGTGGCGTCGGACCGCGTGCGCGCATAGTCCAGCTGCATGGGCTTGTCGAACAGCTCGAAGCCGTTGATCTCCTCGATGGCCTTGGCGGCCGAGTCCGGGTTGTCGAAGACCACGAACGCCTGGCCCTTGGCCTTGAGGTTCGACTTGGCCACCAGGTCGATGATGTTGCCGTACTCGGAGAAGATCTCGGTGAGGGCCGTCTTCATCTGCTCGATCTTGATGCGCTCTTCGAGGTTCTTGACGTAGACTCTGGACGGTGGGAGAGAGAAATGTGTCAGTGAATCAGTGCGTAACACACGAAGGGTGGGGGCTAGAGTTGTCAAAAAAGGGCGACAAATGCGCAGAGATGATGGCTGAGAGAAACAACATACGTCGAGCTCGGAGGGTTTTGCGTTCCAGTCGCCATGACTGCGAGCGTTGATGCGAGGTTCAAACCTGTCTGTAGGCTGTCTTGACAGTCATGGACGGGACGCTGGACTCATCAAGATGCGGTCGTTGGATAGTTGCACACCGAGTTGCTGTGAGACTGCGCACAGGAGCGACAAGTGCGGAGATGATTTTCAAGGCGAGGCTGTCGCGCAGCCGCGCACGTGAGTAGCCACCGCTTCTAAAGCAGCAACTTGTCGGCCGGTATCTTGCTGCTTTAAATAGTGGTTCTGTAATACCGACCCAACGGTATCGAGTACGCCCCGTCCAAACCTTACCTGGGGTTTTATGACGTAGCGGTTCAATCCATTGTCTCCGATGCCCAGACACCCACCAGATGTATCAACAGTCATAAAGTTGCGTTGAGCTACCTATCTTCCACCACCATGCACCCAAAATTAGCTCGCTCAGTCACTTGCTTGCTGCTATTTCTGGATGAAGTGGAACCAGGGAACCAGTCTCGCTTCTTTTCGTCACAATGCTATGGTCTTCTTTGGAATGCTATCGACCGATGCACGTTGTCTCAAATGGACGGACGCGACGAGCCATGCTGACGGACCTATCCAAAAGCTGTGCTTCTTATTGGCTAAGACCGGGCTTTCTCCATAATCACGTGTGTAGAAGGAATAAAACGAGTACGGAGAACAATCGATGTGCACTAAAGCGAGCTCATACCATGGTAACAAATCGGAGAATTTACAGATAAGCTTATCGTCTTCTAGCAGCCGGCTAAAGCTCCTAGCTCGACATTCCTCACTAGTTCGTCCACGGGCCAGACACGCCCCATCAAGCACCAAGTCCTCGTCCAAAATCCAATAATACCCACGACAAAGATTCCCTCTCGTGCATACCCGGTCCCCCATCTCGATCGACTCAACAAATCCTCCATCTATTTTTGAACGTCCTTGGCACAGACAGAGAGTGAGGCAAGGGTTGAGGGAATGGGGGATGACGAGTTCTGTTTTTTCCTTTTTTCAAGCGCTCCACTTTTTGCGTTGCAAAACGCCACGCCCATTGGCTGACACCCGGCAAGCCGGCACCCCCTGCGTTTCAGGGTGCCCCGGTCCCCTGGGCGCCCTCGCCCTCGATGCCCACCCTCGCTCGCTTCTCATTTCCGTGGCCCTGGCCCTGGGGTTTGCCCTCGACCTGGCCCAGCTGGCCCTTCCCTGCTGCATGACTAAGAAACCAAAGCTTATCTAATCTTCAGCCTCATTTTCTGTCGACTTTGTACTCTTGACACCAGCTGGTTCACAGCCTGTGTCGTGACCCTTTCGAGACGGCTCGGACGTCATGTAAAAGCAGCTCCTGATCCATTCGCCTGTAATTCGCACGCGCCACGCCCTTCGCGTGCGGGCAGCACGTCTGGGCTGGGAGAGTAGTGGTCGCCGTGTTTGCCTGAGGTGGCAAAATCCGCGCTTGGATGTGGGTCTGGCCCCCCGGACTAGCAGCTAAACTCCACACATGACAATTGACCTGGGCCGGCCAGAGCAGTCAGTCATCCAGTAGGGCCACGCCCTCGGATAATTACGCAGTCTTGTTAGAGTAAACTAAGATGCAACGGCTATGCAGACGAAAGTGACAAGTGAGACGAACGAGTGGCGAACATCACAACTCGACCAGCTGCCAGTTTCACCCAGCGTCCAATTGCGACCACAACGTCATCTCGCACGAGAACAATTCGGGTCGATCCTCACTGTGGCACCTCCGTCCCTCTGATACCTCTTCGTCCTGTCCGTACCGACCGTCTCGAATGTCCCGTCACGGTCTTTACAAGGGGACTCGTCACGCTCTAAAGCTAAACAAACCTTGCTCGCCGCCCATGGCAGGACCATTGAATATCCAGAAGCTGGTGTGGAGACCGGCCCAACGCTGCGACTACTCCGTTTCCAGGCTAGTGGAGGCCACACTCAACCCGGCGGATTGGCTCGCCGGACCCGCATCTCCCTATCGATTGGCTGCCCTAGTTTCCCCACAGGACTTTGAACTTCCGACGAGTGATTGAGTATCTTTGTGCATGCATTCACGCCCATTTCGCCTTCCCTCCGTGGCCGTGCCCTTGTCCTCGGCATCTGGTTTTTCGCTTTTGCGCGCATGTGACAGGAAAGGGGTTGGACACACACACACACACACACACACATGCTCGCCGGATCGCAGATCGATGGGATGGGATTTCTGATTGAGGGCAAGCGGCATGGTCTCCTCACGCTCCTCTCCCACCACTACTACTGACGTAGGAATGTGTCCGAAACAAAAGGACGAACAGGGCGATGCCAGCTGCCAGCTAACTCACTACGAACAAATCAAAGGGAGTCTTCTCGTCTGTCGATTGTGTCTCATCCACTCTTTGACGGCGGGAGGGGGGTTTCTCTGCATGAATTTTGGGTCACTGTGTCCTTTTTTTTTCTCTTCATGGAAACGGCGCGCCAATCGCTATCTTTGGTATCGCAGGGCAGGCCTGGAACCTTGGGGTAAGGATGCAAAGAGCAAGGGGGTAAAAAGTTGCATCATCACCACCCAGGACCAGCGAGCAAGCATCAGCTGCTTGCTTTGCTTGCTTGCTTGCTTGCTTGCTTGCTGGCTGGGTTATTGCTTTTTCCTAACCCCCCTGTCAGTCGAGGGAGGCGACGGAGAGCTCCACTATTCTTCACGACTTGGTCTGTTATCTCCGATTCTCTCCATGCCTTGGTTGTCGGCCACATTCACATTCACTCCCTTGGGGAGCTTTCCTTGCTTTGCCTCAGCTACATGCCGACCTGCAACCAAGGACGCGTAACAGACGTACTTTCGTTCTGTTGTAGATGATGTGGGTAGCCGTCTGCGTGTTGTTGAGCGTCGGGTGTTGATTTTTAATTGTTGAGAGCCGTATTGCAAGTAGGACAAGGCATCGTGGTGCTCTGTTGAGCGTCTGACGCTATGGCCGACCTATCCCTCTCCCTCTGTGTGTGCGTCTGCGCTCCTCTTGCCCAATCATGTGCAGTGCAGTGCAGTGCACTGCGCACCGACGCTCAGAGAGACCCTTTGCATTCATTGCGTTGAGTTCTCGCCCCCAACTCCCAAAAATCCACTTATTATGCCTGACCAGGAATTCCTCTGACTCAAGTCACTATGGCTTGCCCTCGCCCTCGCCCTCGCCCAGTGTGTGGGCCCGTTCCCCGTGGGTAGCTTTTGCTAGGTATCGAGGATTATTACCGAGCTGCTGCTCCCCAAACTAACGACGTAGGTGGCTCCTCGGAGGGACCACATTCCACCAGCGCAAACCAAACCACCCACCAGTTCCCATTTCCATGCATGCAGCGAACGGTCTCGCCACCGCCGTGCACGCTGCACCTCGTGAGATGCGTCACTGGCACTGACACTGACACTGACACACCCACCACCCACCACCTGCGGTCGCTGCCATGACCCATCTCACTCGTGCTGGCCCGTCCCGCCCCCAACTCTCGACGCTCAGACACGAGGAGTCGAATGCAACTCTTCACTCCGACTCTACCTACCTACACACCTGTCTACGTGGGCTCCGGCTTTCACCTGCCAGCTCTGTTGCCTGTCCCGGATGGTCCGGACGTGCCGTTCTCTAGGTATGCCCCTAGGGACTTCCTCTAGGCTCTCATGGGCGTCGAACACCCGTTCCTAGGCCTAATCGTTAGTATTTCTCTCGCCCGGAGCTTCAGACTCGGGCGCATGGTTTAGAGAGGGCCTGTCTAACTGAGCCCCCGGGCGATGAATACTTATGTAGGCGGTGCGAACCACCCCCAGGGCACCCCCGTTAGGCGGCTCCCACTTCACGGCGGGGGCTCTGTCCAGCTAGCTATGGGTATAGGTATAGGTATACTCGTAGCTCACCTGTGTGTGCAATGCTCGCCTGCATCTTGTTTGTGATTCTGTCACCCGGCGCCCTCTCTAGTTGTGAGCTCTTCGATCCGTCGTAGATATGTATAGATTTACACAAGCACGATCTGGCACCCTGCAGTAGTAATTGCAGATGCAGATGATCTCCACGAGCAGGGAAATGCGAGCCTATGAGAAATACTCCCTGGGCCGGTGATCATGGGGAGATGTGCAAGAAAATCAGATCAACATGCATTGCGAAGTATTTCTAGTGGGGAGGAAAAGTGAGCGTCGTGCGATGAAGAGATAATACGGGGGTGCTTGTGGGAGGCAGGTAAGGGGGCGAGTGTGGGAATGGACAGTTTCACAATTCTCGAGCATGGGTTACGAAGACAGTGGTAGTTGTCAAAATATGGGTATAGCAAAAAGTACAGTATCGCGTAGCAATGTCCATCATCTGGCCAGACCATTTTCATCATCCCTGGGGAATATAAAACAACTGGCGGTTTGGTCCAAACAAAGATGATTTGGGCGAACAAAATCGACTTCAAAAACCGTATCCAAAACACCAAACCCGCTGAAAAATCTCTCAAGTATGACTTCTCTCGACGCTGGAATTCATCTCCAGCAACTATTTCGTCTCGGGCATCCCAGCTTCCATCATGGCGTGTCTTTAGTCTAGCGTTCGTTTCGGTGTCGGGTGTCCAAGTGTCGATAAAGATCATCAATGTATTGGAAAGTTCGGTCGCATTTCGGACACTTGTATGGTTGAGGGCTCTGTTTGGGGAGGGGAACAGTGTCGCAGTGGGCGCAAACTAGACCGGGATGCTTCTCCAGCATGTGGTTGTGGAGGTTACCGGGACGAGCAAACTCGGATGGACAATAGGCGCATCGAATGCGAGTGCCTTGCTCACGAAGGTGACGTGTGAGATTGGTCTTTGCGTATTTCCCGGCAAAAAATTTGCCGCAGTCGCAGAAGAGACCGCCAATTTCGTCAATGACCCGTTTCTCCGCCTCCGAACCTGAGAGGCGGTTAGGCCAGTCATGAAGGAAGGGTTTGGAAACTTACGCTGTTTGGGAGTCATCTCACCGTCGTCATAGTAGCCGTGGCCGTGGCTCTGGCTGCATTTGACGCCAGCATGGGTATGCGGCGGTTGGTTGATCGGCATGTTGATAGAGGACATGTTCAAAGCCAGGAATTCGGTTGAATGTAGATGTGGCTTAGACCAGAGTGTTGAAGATGATCGGAGTTATCCAGTTGAACTCGTTATTCGTCGAGGTGTCGGAAGAATATTCGCGGTAGAATAGGTAGAGAAGAGAGGATGGAATGATCAGAGATGATGGCGGCAGCAAGAAACTTGGGAAGGGGGGAAGGAAAAGATGGATGACTGATGGCACGGTGGTAATGAGGAAAGGTTGTTGAGTTCACAGGGAGAGGGGATGGGGATGGTAATACTGGACTGGTGTGGGGAGGAGTTGAGAAGAATGGAAGACCGACCGGCCAAACCAAGCCAGTTTCTTGCGTCAACTGTTGGGCAGCGACAAGGTGCTTCCAATTGCTCACGGCGCTTTTACCCCAGGATAATTACCTTGGCTGACGGCGTACCGAACAAGTATTGTACCAATGCCATACACCAAATGGTCTTACATCTCAACAAGGCTAGCCTCGAGCTCATGATAGAGCAGCAGGCCGACAGTGATTCTGTCTGTGAACCATTTCCTCAAAGGTGATGGCTCCATATCCGTCGTCGAGTATGCATATGACCACGAGTATAGCCAGTAGCAAGAGGCCATATCGGTGGAGACATGAGTCCCTCGAAGCGCCTCGAAGCGTGAGGAATGATTGGCTGACGGGGACTAGCCGTGACGGCCACTCAATCGGTGAAAGCGTCGCCAAGGTCGGTCGGTATTTTTGTTGTTGTTGAGGAGACCCAAGGTTCCGTGGACTGAAGGGAGCCAGAATGGCGAGGGTGACTTGCGGCAAGGACCTGAAGTGTCAGTCAACCATCCCCCCAAACACACATTCGTGCAAAAGCCCTGCGCGCATTTGTGCATTTCTGCATAAGCACCCCAGTACCGAGTGTCAATCCACATAGGGTCGACATAAGCTCGTGGACGAAATGCATAAAAGCGCAACTCGGACAGTTCCAAGTTGGGAATTTGGGAGAAGCGGTGGGAGGTTGCACGGGAAATTCGCAGGTAAACTCGGGGTTGTCGCGGGTTCGAAGCAGACGACCAAAACACCCAGAAGTTTGCCAGGACGAATTCAGAAATCGTAACAGGATGGGCGGGTCGATATTTTATAACTTGTTCAACAACCCCCATAAATTGTTGAGCATCACCAGGGGCCCGAGTAAATCACATTCCCGGTTGAAGCCCAGGCCTTTTGCTCAACCTGCCTCCTTCTGTGTACCCTTTCGTGTTCCATCTACGATGAACAAGCCGATAGACACGACTCGAGCAGGTTTAGCAGGGGCATTGGCTGGGTTCAAGGGCTTTGGTGGCGTCGCTCAAGGCGCTGGGGGCTTGCTGTGGTACTTGTGAGTGGTTAAAGAGCCCTCAGGAGCTGCACGCTTGTAGGGGGTGGCACAGGGGCCGCTCATCTCCTTCTCTCTTGGGGCGTGCCATGTGTGCCATGTGTGCAAAAGGTCCTCTGCCTGTAGTCAGGCTGTGTCACCCAGTGTGTGAATCCTTGATATGCTGAGTCTTCACGCGCAGATACCACTGGGAAAAACCTGCATTTTTTGTCGAGAGCTGCAGGATGTAAAGATTGCATGAAAACTGATATGAGAATTCATGACTTTTGTTGCGGCGCGCCTGGAAGGGACTCAGGACTCAAAATGGGGGTGCTGGTGTCTGCCAGGCAGACTACCAGGCAGAGCCCGGACAAAAGTTCCTAGCAGGAACTTTTGTGTGGCTTGCATTGGCGTCTTTAGGCTGCATGAGTGACTTCCCGCCAACTGGCAGACGATCGATCCTTGCAGGTTTGGGGCGTCTCACTTTCCTTTAGGTGTGGCCACTGCTGGTGCTCATAAAGATGTGTTGGCCCTACCTAGAACTTGTTATTATAAACTTGTTGAACGCCGTCAATGGCTTGGGCAGTGGTGAATGCGAATGCACACGATTTTCTCTTCAACGAATTGTGTATTCGGACCAGCACATACTCGTCCAACTTCGCACTCTTGTGGGACATTGCACCGAACCAAGCATGGGATGGAGGACTGGGCACGTGCTGGGGTACTCTGGATGGCTGAAGCTGAAGTGAGGGGGGGGGAATGAATGGCTCTGGTGACGTGATGAAACGTAATTCATGAATACTGTGGACTGTGCACAATTGTGTTTTGGGTGTTGATCATTTGTGAGGGCCACAGTCTTGTCTCACAGCCTCATACCTGGTGGCCTCACAATATCCCCTCCCCAAAAGGTGCTGCGACCGAGTCTGCCTGTACTCTCGTCCCAGGTTCCATTATCGACGGAAAGTGTTTTCGTGCTTGATAAATATTCTTCAGATGGCTCTGGGACGATAGTAGTGGTCCGCAGTGCTCTGCATACAGAACGGCTGTGCTAGTACAGCTTACAGATTCTAAGCCTACATAATTACCACTACCATAACAATAGAATAATGTTTTTTCCCCTTCAGATCTCCTTTTCCACCGTCCAGTACCCATGCTCCCTAGATGTGCGTCAGTAATAAAAATGTTATCGAGATGCAGAACCCAGCACACAAGGGCCGCGAAGGCCAAATCAACGTGAGGGACAAGTCAAATCGAATGTCCAAGGTGACCTCCATCAGATGAGGCAGATGTCTTCCCGTCTCATCCTCTCCAATGCACTCTCGATGGAGCGGGCGTCGTCAGGGCCAATCCCGCAAACGGCACAAGCCTGGCTGTAATCCAACCCGAAAATTCCAATTCTCTCGTACCTCGTCCCGGCCGTAGGCGACACCACTTTTCTCAGGAGCAGGCCCGCCAGATTTGTAGCCTGCAGTCCATATCGGCTCTGCCACTGGGTGCAGATCGGGAGGAGGAATACGTCCATCGATTCGCAGTGGGGCAACATCGGCGTGTCGAGGTAGATGGTCGGTTCCATCGAGTGTTGTTGCATGGCGTTGGAGGCGTCGTGACTGTCGAGCACCAACGTATATAGTCCGTCCTCTTCGGGGTTTCCGTCCATATCCCGACTCGTCACCCGGAGACAAGCCTCGACCAGATAACCTCGAATCTTCATCTGCGCCGCCGACACCTTGGCCAGTCTGCTGCCAGTGGGCTGCTCAATGTTGGTGCTCAGGATGTCGATGACGACCTTGTCACACTGGGCAGGCCAGTTCCAGATGACCTTGGCCTCGAGTGACGCCCACGACCAGGATGGAGCGCGATAGTCCAGATCCCCAGCCGAAGCATTTCTGAGTGATGGAGTGCCATCAGCTTGCCTCCTGCCCAACACGAACCAGAGCAGACTCTGTGGTAGCATGGCATTGTCCCACAGTCCGGCAAGATATCGTTCTCCGGTCGCTTCGGCCACTTTCTGAGCAATGCCCGAGATCGCGACGAGCTTGTCCTCGCCATATCTCAGTTTGCATTCCATGTACGCCTCAACAATCCGGGTCCAGATTTCATAGACCCAATAGAGGTCGTCGGCTTTCGAGCCCGAGGTCAGCCAATTGGAGATCAGTCGCGGCAGATATTTCGATATCAATGACGATTCGGGCGATCGCTTGTAGGCTGGGTCGAGGATCTTGTCTGCCTGCCTCCAGGCGTGCATTTTCCGGTTGTGAAATTGCTCGGGGATGCCATGAGGATATGCCTCGCAGGCCATTTCACATCGACATTCCCAGAATATCTGCTCTTGTCCGAAATGGATTGTCCGTGGGCTCAGCAGGCGCTCTTGCAGAACCCACCCCCTTTTGTGCAAGGCCGTGTCGGAGAGGCTGTTGCTCCAAAAATCATCGTAACCGATCACGTACGTCTTTTCTCCGTCCTGTAGTTGGGGGTCGGGTAGAGGATATGGCTCCACCATGTAAACTCGCCTCTCGGTAAAACATCCTCGGCCTGGGTCTGCGCTCGTAGCCGCAATATTGCAGAAAGAGTTCGTATAGATATCGCCCATTTTCGTACTCTCCGCAAGCCAGTCATCCCTGGAGTTCTGGATGATGCATAGCGCATCAATCCAAATGTACTTCACTCCCATCCAGATGGCAATCTGCATAGCGTCCTGGAATCTCTTTGGGAGCAAATTGATCGGAGACCACTCTGCTGATAAACGTGCTTGATTTTCTGTGGTCAACGTGACTGCCGTTCCAGCTCCCCAGCAATGGCTCAGCGTAACGTATCTGGGGGGTCGAGTTTTTTTGGCAAACGTCTCCAAACGGAACGTGCCTCCAGAAGCCGGATCGATGTGCAATAAGCGGACAGGAGACCCTGCGCCTGTACGCCAGTCCTGATTACATTGAACGTGCTTCTTCTGACAATTATCAAGCCACTGCTGGACTTGATCTTTACATTTCCCTGAAAACGTGTTTGGTGTTAAAGCGAGTGGCTCCCCTGAGGCAGATACCTCTGGTAAGATGGTTAGCAACAGAACTGGATCGTGGCGGGGGGCGACCATATTTACCATTTTTGGGAATGATTTTAAAAACGCCGCTGCAGTCGAAAACTTGTTGCTTCGCAATCGGGGCCTCTCCTTCTAAGATCTCAGTCGTAAATTCTAACTCGTAATGGTCCTCTAGGTGAGGGAGCGTGCCGTCAGCGTCCAGTGCTCGGAGTTGGTAGAACGTGCGAAATGCATGGGCTTGCTCTCGAAGCTCGGTGCTGCAGTCTCTATAGATCGTCCAGCAGATGTAACACCCCCGCCGGACCGCCTCATAGAAGTCGCCCTCGTGGACGTGGTGAGAACCTGCCCATTCGTTCGGTCCCTCAGGGTGATCAAAGAGTACTGGCTTGGTGCCAGTCCAGCTCCCCGGCGGGTGCGTCTTAATCACCGACAGTATGTTGATACATGCATTGCATAGCATGGTGTCTTGTGAAGGGGGCATCGTGTAGAGGTGTTGTTGTTATTGTGTGTGACCACGACGGGTGAAGAAGGATGATGGGTTGTAGGCTGCTTGTGGAACTTCAGTGTTTAGGATCATGGTAGCTGGGTATATATATTGAAAGGCTCGAGATGAGAATCATTCATGCACCGCCCCGCTCACCACATGTGCCTGAACTGGGACTTTTAGCTGTCAACCAATGACCCAACGCCAGTCATTGCAGTCGATGCGCGCGCGAGGCCATCCTAGCAAGGAGACATCAGGCGATCAACGCCTCTACACGGAGTGGATCGTCGACAGAAGTCGGATTTTCATCTTCAAGAGCGAGGGACTGTTCGGGCAGAGCCTGGCCACCGGGACTGGAGAACGGAGTGGGGGATTACGAGGTCTGGGTGCAAGAATGTGCGAAGTTGTTGTCCCTGACGTTAGACTGGAGCCTTGCGGCGGGCCGGTGTTATTTGCGGCCATCCGATTGGTGCGGTCAAGCAGTGGGCTGAGTCCTAGATCCCGTCCCACCATCCGGCGTCCTCCATCCTCCATCCTCTATGACCCCCAACCGCTCTCAGTGAGGAAGTAGGCCAGCATATATCCCTCGACCTCCTCAACCCCCCTCTCTTTCTCATTTTTGCTTCTCGAATTGAAATAAGAACTTTTGTCCCCAGATATGTTGTGGAGATTTGGTCCTTTGGTGACATTTACAGGTAATGTACTGGGCCACGAGGCGCACCAACTTTCAGGGTTAAGAAGGACTCAAGCCCTTTGAGGTTTGCTCCTTCCTTTTCTTCTTTTATCCGCTCTCCTGGTCATTGTCCGCGCTCTTTCGGCAACACTTATAACTTCTACCTAGATAAATGCCGCTGTCCGACGCCTGCATGGTCGCGTGCCTAGAAGAATTTGTTCTAGCTTGTACGAGAGCCTTCCCACGGGACCGTACTGCACTTTGACATCCGCAAGATTTCTCGGAAGGCTGTCCGCCAACTACACGCCTGACTCTTGCGCCTGATGAAGATGAGGTATGCCTGTCAATGGAACAAAGTCCCAAGGACGCCTACTTAACATTCGAGTCATCCTGAAGGACAGACTGATGGGCGTGTAAGGCCAGGCACCGTTTGATCTTACGTCGCCTGTGGGATCAAAACGTCAGATATCTGGCTGTGGTGGCTGTGGTGTTCAAGACACAGTTCACAAGCTTGCCGGAACCCGCATACACAAGCGCCAACGTCTCAGAGCCCTAATCGACTTGACGTGGATATATTTTTCTGATGCATTCCAAATCAACCATGAACGGGTAAAGTGGCATTCTTTCTCAGGACAACTTGATGGGACAACAGTTACTCCTCCCCAAACGATGATTATGTGAACCAGCAGCACGACATAATCAATCGACGCACTATCAACATTTCTCCCGATGCAACCTCGACCAGATCAACCACACTTTGATCCGTCACGAACATAGAGAGGTGGGTTCTCTGTCATCATTCATGGCTATCGCTTCGCGAAGAATATATCCAAGTGCAGACTCGATGATGCTTGCAGGGACGGAGCCAAGTTCCACATTCAGGGTAATGGCATTAATGCCTCCTGCAAAGAGTCCGCGGATCCAAACTTAATTTGGAGTATTTGTGATTGTTCATGTTGAATTCGGCTCGGGGGTACGGGCATGTAATTGTGCTCATTTGAGATGTTTGTGCTCGACTTTTGACCGACAGTGCCAGATCTTTGACAGTCCAGGGACTTTTGCAACCCACCTTTTACCTTTGTGCACCTCCTTATATTTCAACTTCAGTCTTGGATTGCCTCTTTCCGCTTGGTCGAACAATTGGCTGGTGGGTAGTCAGGACAAGCCTGTTCATGACGGCAGGAAAGTTACATCAGAAATCCAGACCGGAAAAAGCCGTGCTTCAGCCATCACGTAGTTCCCCTTCAAGGCCTGGAGGCTGAAGATACAGTTCACATGTAGAACATCTCTCTACTTGTCATCGAGTTGAGTCACACCCCAGGAGAAGGAAGAGACCCTGCCTGTCTACCGAGTACTAATAATAGGGCGGAATCCACCAACACTTTCTCCTCAGCTGGCCCAGCTGACCTTGGATACGCACCGCGTATCTGTTCGTCGGGATATCACACGACATGATGACCTGCTACACGAATGTGCCATGGCAGCTGCGTCAGCTGCATCGGTTGTTTTCCTCGGTGGTGGCGATGATAGCGATGGGTGGTGGCCGTGGCGGTGCTGATGATGTGGCTGTTGAGAGCAACTCTGGACAAGCGCCACAACGCCACTTGATCTGATACACGTGATCGAAGAAATTCTCGGCACCGGACGAGTTGAAGCGCTGAGAGATTCCGCCTTTTCTCCCGCCATATCCCTCAGTATCACGAAGGCAAGGAAAGTGGCTGGTTTAGCTTGCTAACACTCTCGTTTTGTTGTTCTTTCAATTTTTTTTTTGAATGATGATGGCTGGCGTAACAGCCTAACTATTGAAACAGCTCTCCAAAGGCTCCGAAAATAGCTCCCCTGAGAGGTTTATTCCCATGGCTCAGCAGCTACCGAACCGTCCAGACGCTCATCCAATCCCGACGACTTGTTTCCCGCTTTGCAAGACAAGCGAAGCAAATCTTCTTCTCATGGGACGCTCGGGCTAGAGTAGCCACCCCGAAAATAACCGCGGAAGGAAGCGCTTCACCACTTAGCTTTCTGTCCTCGCCAGATTTGGGACCTTTGGGTGCGTTCACGACTTCTCTCGCAGCCGCATATAGGTCAGCAGTCCCCACTGCACCACGAAAAAGCTGGAGTGGTGTTCGAGCTTCTTTCCCGGGTTGACAAGCTGAATGTCATATCGTCGAAGGAGTTCGGGAATGACCTTGTTCATCTCAAGGAGGGCAAGATGCCGTCCGATGCACACGTGCGAACCGCCACCGAACTGAACATGCTAAGTTAGCTCCTGATTTTGCTGCCCTGATTTGGAATCTAAGGTATTGGAACTCACCTGGAACATGCATCGTTCCATCATCTTTACCTTCTCCTTGTCATTATCAAGCCATCTCTCAGGTCGGTATATCTCGGCATCGTCGCCAAAGATACTCTTATTCCTGTGCAAGACCCAGCCGTTCACGGCGACGGCTGTACCCTCGGGTAACCTGACACCGTCGATCTCGGCACCCCCAGCTGGAACCTTTCTGGTAATGTTCAAGCCGACAGCTGGAGCAATTCTCATGGCTTCTTTCAGACAGGCCTGGAAATAGGGCAGATTCTGTGCCTCGTTGTACGTGACCATTTCCGACAGATTGGCCGACATGACCTCTGTGACCAGCCGGTCGTATACTCTCTTGTTGGACAAGACATACCAGAAGAAGCTTTGCATGGTGCTGGCGGTCGAGTCGCTCCCCGCGAAAATAGCGCCGTGTGCAATTGCAAACACGTCACCAGGACCAAGGGCTTCAGGGTGCTCTTTCTGTGCGACGATCAAGCTATTCAGAAGGTCCTTGTACTCGACCTTCTCTCCGTCCGGAGCCTGGCGTTTTTGCAGTTGTCCTAATGCTGTCTTCGTGATCAGAGCGTTCTTGGTGGACAGGAACGGAATGAGGTTCCACAGTGGATTTCGTCGGAAAAGGTAGTCGAGCCACGGAAGCTGGCCTACGATGCCATTATACCACTGGGAATTGTCGATGGTCTTAATGGCGCGGTCGACGTCGACACCCGCCTCGAGAAAGCCGAACTTCTTGGAGAATGCCACTTCGCCCAGGACCTGGAAACAGTAAGTCGTCAGACCTGCTTCGCCAATGGAATGAACATAGGCCTCAACTCACATCGAACGCAAAGAAATGGAGCCAGTCACCAAAATCGCAAATCTTGTTGTTGTCGGCGTATTCGTCCAACTTGGAGATCAGAAGCTTTTCAGTCTCCTCAATTCGAGGCGTGCATTGCTGCATGGCGGCCAAGCTGTAAGGAGTCGCCGCATATCGTTTCTTGACGCCGTGGACCGATTCTCGAGTCTCAGTGAAGATGTCGGGGTTCTCAGGAGGCGGGAACACCCCATAGAAGTCTGTTTTGTGGAATCCCTTGCCCGTTTTGAACAATTCAATCGCAGCTTCTGGATTCGAAAATGACACCTCGTTGGGCGCGATACGGACGACGGGCCCTGTGAGGAGTCAGCCTTGTCGAGGAGCTGCTCGGAGCGTGTGCTTCTATTACCATATTTCTTGTGCAGCGCAATGTGATGTTGCTCAGTCTGACCTGTCCACGTACTCCAAACTGTACAGTTCACCGTCAGCCCGCAAGGTCTTTTCGTAAGTACCTCTTGTGAAACCCACCTTTCCACGCTCTTGTGCACGAGGCAATGAACGGCCCTGGGAACTGTCGCAACGGTGAGGAGTAGCGTCTCCATAAGGGTCGGACGAACAGGAGCAGGAAAAGGATCACGAAAGGATGGGCGGCCACGAACTGCCATGCAGTCACAACCGCAGACTTGGTCAAGGGTGCCTCGTCGGTGGCTTTGACCTCCATGGTGCTATAGATGTCTGGTGAAGAATAGCAATGGAAGTGTTTCGTTATGGCGAAAAGAATGAATGATTAAGAAGGTGCGAGGCCACGCTCCCAAGAAACACCCATGAGGCCCATACCACTCAGGGCAGTGCTTGAACAAAAACCATCGTGCCATTGCTCCTCCTCCTCCCTCCACGCTGCCACACAATGTTCCAGGACATTGTCGGGTTTCCCCATTCTCACAAAACGACAGAATGCCCCACACGCTAGCCCCACGATCTGTGGCCATCGCGAGTGACCTGATGGGCTTCCACTCGCCCACAGACAACGCCCCCGGGATGAGAGACGGGGCTGGCTGGCTGGTCGGCCCAGGAAGGCAATCCTGCCATGGGAGGGGATCTTGCCGTGGAGGAGTCTTGCACTGGGGCGTTCTGATGGGGTAGGAGTCGACAGATGGTCGTGGCTAAACTCTCTCTGGCACCATCAACTGCCGAGCGGTCTCGCCCTGCTGCCCTATCTTCTTAGACGGGGTGAGATGCCACTGCGTCAGACATCCCCCGTTGTATTCCTCCATGTTCCCTGGTGCGGCTGACTTTGTCTCCTGGTAACGAGCACCCAATATTCAAAGCCGCCTTCTGGCCTTTACACTGGAAAATTGTAGATCCGGTCACACCTTTTTCTTCCCACCAGGAACTGTGTCGAGACCATGGAAGCTGCGGAAGCCTCTCCACATGACGCTAGCGACGCTGCACAGACTCACGTCTGGTACCTCGTACGCAGGCAGTGTGGCTTGCCCCGAATACAGAGTAGTTGCTCGAACAGCCGTGACAGCCTACCCCACATGTGTTGAACTGATGTACGAACATCCGGAGGTGCTGAAGCTCCTATTCTCCGGCGGGATTCCGGAGTCTATGTTGGCGTGTCTTATCGTGTTACATACCACATGTCAGCTGTAGGATCTAGCATTGATCCGTGATCTTGAAGTGTGCCCTTCAACGCAGGCAGCGTCCCTTTCTGTTTCTGCTTGTGCTTAGTCGATATCTTCCAGCATGTCATGCTTCAGTTATGTTGGTAAGGATGTTTCAGGCCTTCAGTCAGCAGAGGCTGTCCTGATCACTGTGATGAGGTGTATCGTGGTGTCGGGTCACAGACGGAGATTATCCAATGCCACAGACATGCCGTCGTCTGTTCTCGAATCCCTCTCTACTTGGGCGGCGCATCGCTGCTTGGTTGTTCCGGAAACATGTAATTCGAGGTTTCCCATTTCCATCTTTGGACCTGAGGGTGGCCCCAAGGCTCGCTGCTTCAACCTGAGAGGCTCCTGCACCGACTGACTAACGGATCAGATCGCGCCCATATCGGGGCCAGGGGCCCTGTTCCGCCACCCGCCCCGCCGCCTATAATTGCCAATCTATCGCCTCGGCCTAGTCTACAGTGCCCATACCTTGGCCTCGATTCTAGTTGACGTTATGGTCCCAAAGCTCCCTTTCTCCAAAAGTTCCGCTTCGCCACGAGGATATTGAGTCAAAGTGCTTCATTGCTCAGGTATGTTGGCGCTTTCGTTGTTTTTTGGCCGGTCAGGTAGATCCAGGTAGACAAGGTTGACCAAGAGCCGACAACCTAGCTTATTGTTGTATTTTTGTATATAAGGTCGGCCACTCTCACTCCGTGACACAGCTATCAGGAAGCCAACATTGGACCAGAGTCTACTGTTCATCGCTACCGCCGCAGATCATCGACTGAGCCTGGCTAATCCGATTCATCTATATCGACTGGCTCAGTAAATAACGTAGTCCCCACGAGCCAGAACAGATATAGAGGTCAGGTGTTTCGGACTTCGAGTGCTGTTGCTCTCTTCCCTTCTCTTCATCTTCTTCGCTATGCTATCAGGCAAGGCACCAACAACTGCGACATTCAGAGTCTCATGTAATACGCCAAATCGCCCATCCCATCTTTATCCCACTTGCTCTGCCCGTTGCCCAACCAGCGGAACCGATTCTTGCTCCGCCAGACAACGTCGAAATGCTCGCCGCCCAGACTCTCCAGACAGTCCTTAAAGTGTAATATGGTCCCGGCGTACGTACCGGTGACGGTGCCACTTTCCTTGCCGTTCTTGTACCAGGACCGGCAATTGTCTGCCCACACCATGGACTTGAGAAACTCCTGGGAATAGGTGTTGAAGTCGGCGACTGCTTCAGCCTTTGGAGTAATGGATCTAAATTGCAAGTCGTCGAGATTAGCTAGTTGTCCGTCCGTCCGTCCCTTTCTTTTCACCCTCGTTCGCCTGCGCAATCACCTGCACCTGCAGATGCTAGTCACAGATACCACGACCAACGTGGTCAATCAGGGGAAAGCATTCAAAAAAAAAGTGTAGTCCCTATCGATAAGAGAAGTGCGAAGACTCACTTGATATCTTGAGTGGCAATCTTCTCCGCCCAGCGGAGGATATAGTCGCAGGTCCAAGAAATCTCGGTGAGGACGGAACCATGTGAGATGGGACAGTTGGGTCCATTGAACATGTAATAGTTGGGCATGGTGTCGACCTGGACGGCGAAAAAGGCTTCCGGGTCGGTCTTCCATCTCTCGTCCAACGTCGCCCCGTTGAGCCCGACGAGTTTCCACGACGGGACGAAACTTGTGTCAAAGCCCGTGGCGCAGACGATCATGTCGAATTCTTCTTCCCCTCCTTCTGCCGTCTCTATCCCCTTGGCCGTGATTCGAGTGATGGGAGACCAGTTGATGCTCGCGTTTGGTTGTTGAAGAGCTTCGAGATATCCATCACCAGGCTAATCGAGATTTCCAGCTTGTTAGTGGGCTTCAATCTCTTTTCAGCGGAACAAACTGGCGGAACATACTGTCAGGCGACGGCAGCCAGGATGGAAGCTGGGGATCAATTTGTCCGCCATTTCAGGGTGATCCTTGAGGATGGCGCCCATCTGAGCTTTACACGCAGCCTCGAGACCTTGCTGGAATGGATGACCCGTCTTCATTCCAAAGAAGAATCCATTCACCCTGGTGGTCGAGGATTTCCCGAAAGGTTAGCCATTGAAGTTTCCTGCAAACCCAAGAAAGTATCCGAGAAAAACTTACGACGCTTCCAACTCCTTCCGCAGAGTAAAATGAGATTCGGGGTTTTCTCTGAATTCTTTTCGTTGCTCTTCGGTATACGAAAAGTTTTTGCCGTCGATGGTCTTGTCGGCGCAGAAGTTGATAGAGATCCAGCTGGGATTTCGGATGTAGGTGACGAGTTTCGACACTTTTGGTTGCATGGCCGGCACGATTTGGATCCCTGAGGACCCATTCCCGATCACGGCCACTTTCTTGCCCTCCCATGAGTAGTCCTTGTCCCTGCCCAGGGAGAAACACTTCTCAGCTTTGACCTCTTTCTAGTTAGAACTCTGTGAACACGTACCAATTGGCGCTGTGGACGAGTTTCCCTTTAAAGTCATGTAGACCAGGAATCGCAGGCCATTTCCATTTGCTTGATTTCCGGTTAGACATCGCCGAATGCTATACAGAGTCTTTTTTGACGTACTTCAGAAACCCGGAGCCATTGACCAGGATATCGGCGGTATCCTCGCGGACGACTCCATTCGCGTCAAATTTGATCTTCCACCGTCCCGCCTCATCATCCCAAATCGTCTCCAAGATTTTGGACTTGAGCGAGACGTATTTGTCCAGGTTGTACTTGGCCACGGTGGCCTTGATGTAGGCGTGAATCTCCGGCTGGGCAGGGTAGAACTGCGACCAGTCCGGGTTCGGCTCAAACAAGAAGGTATAGGCATCTAAGACGAACGATCACCAAAGGTTAGTGTGCGTGCTTTCTTTCATGGGCCAATGCCGTCTTCATAAGGTGAGAGCCTCACGAGCTGGGATATCACTAGTAATTCCGTGGTCAGGTTCTGGTTGCTCTGGCTGACAAGGATCGAGGGGGGAGACACTCTTACCACGCAGCACCGGGATACGTGTTCTCGTACCAGGTCCCCCCGACGTCGGCGTTCTTCTCGTAGATCTGAAGGTCAATGACATCCTCCAGCTTCAACTCGTGCTGGATCTTGTGTGCCAGAGTGAGGCCCGAGAACCCAGCACCGATACAGACGATCTTCAGTTTCCTCCTGGTCAGGACCGGAGTATCCAGCAAAGGGACCCAGTTTGGCCGTTGGCTGACATCGTTGGGTGCTTTTTCCTGGATAGATCCCATTTTCTTTTTGGTAAGATGATGCCCTGTGTCACTTTGTGTGTCGACAAGGAATATCTTCACGGGGATTCATCCGGGCCCTTCGTCCATTGATAAATAATAAAAGAATTGGGCGCCACGAGAGCGGTGTGAAGTAGTCTCTTATCGAGTCTCTCTTCCTGTGGAGACCTTCTCGTGGACCAGTTTCATATTAACGGATGATGGTGGAGCACACTTGGTCGGGGCACCAAGTAGTTCTATGCACTCGGTAGACGGTAGCACTATGGGTGAAACGAAACTGGCAGCTGGTGCCAGAGGTAAAATGGCCATTGTGGTTCCAGCAAGACAGTATTATTCGCTGCTTAACGAAGGATAGGTAAGAGTAGGGTATCAAGTAGGGAGATTCCCAATTCCCAGGTCCCAGACAAGTCAGGGCTCCAGTTCGCCTGTTGGGGGAAGCTCAGGCCCAAAGGGTAGCTAGCTAGCTGTTAGGTTGTCACGGTCTTCGTCGCATAAGATGCCCGATCGACAGCGCACCACCATGCTGTGATGATAGAGCAAAAACGTCCTTTTCCACAGACTCTGGCCAAGACCAGTGGTAGCACCAGGCAAGCTATTGTAGCAAGTCACTCCATTGTGGCTTTTTGCTGTGTTGTCGTCAAGCCTATCGAGTGCTTATACCACATAATGTATACTCTATCCTGTCCCTGAGCTCCTAACAAAATGGGCACAACTACTCCCTACTCAGTACCCGTCCCCTTCCCAGTGACAGCCTTTCCCGCCCACTTTGTCCCTCGTACCTCGCCATCCTTTTCGTGCGCGGCATCCGAATCGCCTCGAACTAGCGGGCCACCATGAAGTCGTCGGAGCCACGAAACAAGAGAGTGACTGACTCGTGTCTCGATTTGTCTCCAGCTGCCGTCGATCATGAACGAAGTTAGAGTAGTCTTGAGGAGTCCCGGGCCGCACTAATCCTTACTCGGACATGTGGACCGGCCCGTCAAATACAATCCTCCGTATCTACTCCCCGCTAAAGTTACTCCGCAAAGGGATCCGTAAAAACCGTTAGAAACGAAGATTCCCAGTTCCAAGGTACAAGGTACTTGGATACCCGCGCGAGGGACCAAATCATCGTCGCGCTGGCTCAGCCATGGCTCGGCTACAGCCCTGAAACACCTGAAAATCGGGGCTCACCCAAGATCGACGATACTTCGTCCGTATTGGGATGCCCATCTGGAGACGTGCACCTCCCTTTTAGTCCTTGCAAAAGTTTGCTCCGGCCCACTTTTGCCCAGGGACTCGAATTCGAGGACCGAATACTGTCCCTGTTGTGCCTGTCCTTCAAGCTTCCCCCTACAGTTCTGATCTGCACAATGTCAGGTAGCCAGGCGTTTGCTCTGGCCCGACCGCACTGTGGATCCCTAGATTTGCCCAACCTGCCAACTATCCACCTCCCGACCTGCACTGAAGCTTCTCCACCGAGTGGTCGACACTTAGGTACCTCGTACTTGGTACCAAGCATGTCGAAAAGTCTAGGTCGAAAAACTCTAGTTCGAGAAAAACTGCAAGATTGCTTGCCAGGTGCTAGGCAATTCGGAAAGGCGTCTTGACTGATCGGCGCAACTAGCTCAACGGCTGGCACGGATATGGGTCCCGGGCATGTTATTTCGCACGACGAACTCCAGAAGGCAGTTACAAATTGGACTTTTGAAAATACCGAGATTACAGTAATAGTACCGAGGACTTTGATCACTCTTTCGAGACCAAGACTTCCTGGACGAAATCCTCAAGCCCAATATCGCTGACTGCCCACTTCGTATTCGGCCCCCTCGCCTTGTGTCTTGTCACCAACTCATTCTCAGTTGAAGAAGCGGAGAACGATCTATACCCAGAACGACCCAGTTTGATTCATACTGTTGTTTTGGTTTTGCAGATCATCCGGTACGCCTCGAACAGTTACTGGCAGTGACCAGGAACCAGGGATCAGGAATCAGGAACCGGGATTGCGCAAGGTCTAGCTCTAGTTCTCTTCTTGTACAGAGTATGGCCTTGTGGGTTCCCATTTGGGCCACAGAACTCCTCGATGTGTACTATGTACTCGGTACATGGCTAGTCTGAAGTGATATGAGACCCAAATGGTCTGGGATCTGGGATCTGGGACCTGGGGATATTCCAAGGAGAGGCAAGTCAAGGAAAGACCCTTTTGTTTTTCAAATACCTCCGCCTTGAGTGACTCTTTGAGCATCTCTTTTCCCTTCATTATTTCACTTCTTATATCGTCGACTCGCAAGCTCGAGTGGCTTTCTTTACTTGTCCCTTCCGTTCACCTTTCGGGCGCTCAGCACGGCCAAACCATCCAATGTCTGCAAGCGGAGCATTTGGACCTGCACCTCCGGGCATTGACCTGTCCGAAACCAAGAATGGCGCCGTTATCAGAGCAGTTGTCAGCCTGATGGTCATCGGGACCCTCGCTGTCATGCTCCGTTTTGTGTCGCAGTTGATGCGGGACAAAGGAAAATTCTCCTGGGATGACTACTTGATCCTCCCAGCATTGGTGAGTTTCCCCGATATTGAGGAACAAGGACAAAATAACAAGGACTAATTCTCGACGAAAAACAAGCTTCTGGCACATGGTACAGCAGTCTGCTCGCTCGTCAGTGAGTGTAAAATCTTTTCCCCTAGCACACGATGTTGATGAAATTGACAAAAATGACCAGGTCTTCCATACGGTGGTGGCAAGCATCTTTGGGCCGTGTCGGGAGAAGACTTTACGACCATTTGGCAGGTATTTATCCATCCAGTTTTCTAACAATCTATGTTGCCCCTGTCGTCTTCAATGCTTTGGACGAACTCGAACTCGAATTCTCCAAGTTTTGACCAGTCTTTAATTCTCCCGAACAGATTCTATTCTCCTACGTGATGATCTACGCAGGCGCCGTCAGCTTCACCAAAGCATCCATCGTCATGTACTACTGGCGTCTCTTTCGCCAGAGATGGTCCACCTATCTCGGTCTCTTTTTGGTCTGGAGCTATTTCGTCGTCATTGTCGTCACCATCAATACCGGTTGTCAGCCATTGGAGTATTTCTGGGTGAGTCAGTCCCTCTCCAGAGTCACTCTCGGCAGAGTGACAGAAAAGAAAAACCGATACGGAGGGGGGGAACTGTACACACGCTGACCCCGGCTTCAAAAAACACTAGACTCAGTATACCACCCCCGGGGCTAAGGGTCACTGTATTGACGTGCCGTTATTCTTCTTCGCCAACGGCATCTGGGCCATGCTTGTCGATGTTTGCATCTTGATCATTCCGATTCGACCTCGTGAGTATTCTCCCACTCTCCTTAAATACGGGCGGTGTTTCACATGCTAAAAATCTTTGCTACAGTTCTGGGATTGCGCATGTCCACAAGGAAGAAGGTCATGGTTGGCGGAGTCCTTGGACTCGGAGGCTTGTAAGAGAGTCTGCAATTACCCCGTTTTCTTTTGAGAAAATCTAACAATAAAACAGTGTCTGCATCGCCTCTATCGTGCGCATCATCTCGATCCATCAGCTCATCCACAACGCCGACCTGACCTGGTCCATGGCCAGCGTCTTCATCTGGTCGTGCTGCGAACCCTTCATCGGCATCCTCTGCGCCTGCATGCCCTGCTACGCGCCGCTGCTACGGCGCTTTTGGAAATCGGCCGGCTCGCAGTCCCGATCAGTACCCACGAGCGGCTTTTCCAGCGGGAACACCAATGGGTCCACCACGGGAAAGTCTGGCCAGGGTATCCCGATCAAAGTCAAACGGGACTGGGACCGCATCGTCAACCCTACCTTTGGGGACGACGAGGTTCAGTTGACCACCTACACGACGGGACCGGGAAGTACCCGCACCAAGGGCAGTGATGAGTCCGGGTCAAAAGGTATCACCGTCAAGACGGACATTCACTGGGAGTCTCACGCCGTTTGAACACGCCGCGTCCCCACGACGCATATGGGAGATATTGACTGCGGAGGCACTGCGAGGGAAAAAGCCTACACATACACTCGTTTGTGGACCGAGCTCGGTCGTGTAAAAGGAAGAAGGGGGGTGGTCGATAAAACAACAACAGTACCTCGACGCAGTCGGGTAGTCGGGCAAGTGCGGATATGAATGGAACCGTCCATCCATCATGGAATTTCCAAGTCTTGTCACACTCATCCGTTTCGCCTGTCTCAGATTGGGAAAGCCACTTGTATTTGAAGAACTCGTCCAGAAGAAACCAGCCGCGAGACGCAAGCCAAAGGAAAAGCAAAAGCAAAACACTCAAGGTCGAATCAGCCGGCCGGCCGGTCCATTGTGAGTATCAAGACATGTATTTTATATATACACCGTAAATGTACCGTGTAGCAAAAGTTTGAATGAAAAACTATGGCTGGCCGGCCGGTCCAAAAGAATATTATATATTAGAAAGACAATCAGTTGGGGGTGCCAACGCCCAACGTAGTTGGTAAGGTGAGCTTGCCTAGCCGAGCCTGAGCCGAGCCAGCCTGGGCAAGAGCGGCGCAAGGTCACTTGGGATGGGAGCGAGACGGGCGTCGAGATTCCGATGATGAAACAGGCATTTCGAGGTCGGAATGTCGACACGAGGATATTCCATTTCCATCTTTGGACCTGAGGGTAGCCCTAAGCCTTGCCGCTTCAACCTGAGATACTCTAGTACGTGACTGAGTACGGTGGAGTGCGGTCCGAGGAAAGGATTAGTCGCGCCTATAGTCTAGGCTAGGGGGCCCGGTTCCCGGCGCCCGCCTATAGGTACTAATTAATCGTCTCGGCATAGCCTATAGTACTTATAATTTATCTATCGATTCTAGTTAACGTTATGTTCACAAAAGTTCCCTTTCTCCAAATTGGGTTAGTCTAGGTTAAGCTTCGCTATTATCCCGCTTCCCTTATATTTCCGTATCCCCATAAGGTTAGCGAGTTCAAGTGCTTTATTCCTCAGGTATATTGGCGCTTATATGCTATTATTTTGACGGTAAGGTAGATTTAGGTAGATAGGGCCAACGAAGAACCGACACCCTAGCTTTTTATTATTTCTTTGATAAGGGCGGCTACCTCCACTCTATAATTGTCACAAAGGCAGCAGAAGAGCACGTGACTCGCAGGGGAGAAGTATCCCTATGCGCCACTGTAGCTCAAGTGGAAGAGCGGAGTAAAGGGACCGCTGGGACGGCCCTAAGCCAATTAGGCTTACCAGGCCTATAGGAGAAAAGGTACGCTTCCCACACACGGAAAGCTTCCTTCTCTCAAGCTTTGAGTCTTGTTGATACGATACGTAAAGGATACTTATTACCACGGATTCTATCTATCGCCGAGTACTGCCTATCTTCAATAAGGCATCCTTAACAATAATATAGCTACTAGATAACTAAGATTGGATTAGATTCTACTATCTATCGCTATCCGGTGGTGAAATTCTGCTCGCCAAAGGTGTCACGGTTGTAGCACCAAATCTCCCGGCCGGTCAAGCAGTACTTGCAGTGTCCACAGGAGTTGCGAAGATCTGAGGTCCCCACCCGGTCTCCAACTTTCAGTGTCGACACGGCGTCGCGCACGGCCTCCACAACACCCACCCCTTCGTGGCCCAGCGCAATGCCCGATGGGATGTAGTGGATGTCGGTGCCGCAGACGCTGGCTTGGGTTATCTTCAAGAGGACTTCGGTCGGCTTCAAGGATTTGAGTAGGTCAACAGAATCTTGCTGAATCTTATCTTCCACTCCATGGTAGATGGTCGCCTTGACTGGCAGATTGGTAGAGGAAAAGGTCTTCGACGTCATGGGTTCCCAAAAAGTTTGAATGTATCTCAAAGGATAGGAAGATCAATGTGATTGTTGGATATATGTGTCGCGAGTGCTGGAAATGTTGGATCGTGTTGGTGTGTTGAATTGCAATGATTGAAAACACTGCTCGAGGCCCACACTGGGCTATATACAAAGCATGGCAGGCCTCAACGATCCAAGCAGTATACTAATCTAATGCATAAGGATGATTAAGGCGGCTACGTAGTGGTGAGTCCCTGGGGAGTGCAGAGCAACTCAACACGGGATAGATGTGGCAAGCCGGGCATTGCCCGACACTGTCTCTCCATGCTCGTTCCACGAACATGTCCTATGAACACGAAAGATCAGTCGAGCCTCTGTTGTCCACACTAAGTATATTGGACAATATGTTTGCCCTGATTGATAATCTCTATAACAGACCATAAAGTGATATCATCGTCTTGCGCATATCGAATGACTCCCGGTGAGAGAGCCAGGCCCAGGGATCATTGTAAACAAACACAACCAGGATTACTCGTCTGAATGGATGACAAAGAAATGCTACCGGCGGGATATAGAACATTGACCATCACCTAAGCCGCGTGTCCAGCGAACCAGGTCGATGTAACCGAAGTGTCGATGGAAACGAAATTGATCTTCTGTAGGTTTCACCACAGCTGGGCCGAAAAGTTGCCGGGGCTTAGAGAAAGAGTAATCCAAGTAAGTGCCATGTAGTATATTTCTGAGTGCATGGAGGATAGCCTGATCGACGTCTGGGGTTAATGCTGCAGAGGAGTGCATAGTCTCTGCTGCAAACCTGGTGCTGTTGAAGCCGCCCTTGGAATCTCCGCACGGCGACATCGGAGCCACGCGGAGAACCCTCGGCTTCAACGCTAATCCTGAAGAGGAACCATGTTAGTCCTAAACAGGAACCATGTTAGGCCTAAACAGGAACTATGTTAGTCCTAAACAGGAAATATTTTAGTCTAAACAGGAGCAATGTTAGTCCTAAACAGAAACATGTTCACTAATATCCGGGTCCCCGTAGCGTCCCAGTTGGTCCCTAGAGGCATGGAGTGATATGCAGGTACCTAGATTATGAATTCCACAGTGACGCAAGCGTTGTATACTATTTTTCATGGAAGTCTCGACTGATATATCTCATCCTATTCTCTTGGCAAACAACTCGCGCAATCGGAGACCAAACATTACCACACACTGTAACTCACGGCCATTGCAGCGACGGAGTTAATTCTACCCTATCGAGAAGATAGAAGAGTGTTACGAAGTAAATGGCTCTCTTCTGGAGGTATGGACAAGGTATGAATGCTCTCCGTAAACAAGCAAAGCATAAAAGACGTGTTGGGTGCTACAGGACCGGTGATCCCTCTCAACAACGCCCAGCAAGCAATACCACTAACCTCCCTTCACCACGGTTCTCGCCACCATGTCGCTATCCGTCTCAGCAACCACAACAACCATAGCACAGGAGCCCAAGCCTCGTGCCATCCTGGGTCTGATGAACTTCGGCCCTGACCCCAACGCCGGAGGCCGCATCACCATTCTTGATGAATTTAACCGATGCCTCGACCACTCCCAGGAGCGCGGCTACAGCGAAGTCGACACCGCTCGCTTATACATGGAAGGTAAACAAGAATTCACGGCCGCGGCGCAATGGAAGAAGCGAGGCCTCGTGCTCGCCACCAAAGTGTACCCTGTACATCCCGGGTTCCACGGCTCCCAAGTCCTCAGGACAAAGGTGTCGGATTCCCTACAAGCACTCCAGACGGACCATGTGGATATTTTCTACCTCCATGCCGCCGAGCGGTCAGTCCCTTTCGCAGAAACGCGGGAGACGGTAAATGAATTATACCAACGCCGCAAGTTCGAACGCTTGGGCGTCAGCAACTACACGGCCTTCGAAGTGGCGGAAATCGTGACTATGTGCAATGAGCGCGGCTGGGTGCGTCGAACCATATATCAGGCAGTGTACAACGCAATCAGTGAGTTGCACGCGAGCCCGAGGGCGACTTATTGTTGTGGGCGGGAGTGAGCAAAGTCGGCGCTAACCTTTATCTCTCCCCTCAGCACGCTCCATCGAAGACGAACTCATCCCCTGTTGCCGACGATACGGCATGGAAATCGTCGTCTACAATCCCCTCGCGGGAGGCATACTGTCTGGAAAATACACCACGGCAGCTTCGATCCCCACAGAAGGACGATACAGTGATAAGAACACCAGGGCAGCTGTGTATCGAGAAAAATACTTCAAAGACACAACGTGACTTTCGTCGAGACCGCTCTGCGGTGGCTGCGTCACACTCCGCCTTGAGGATGGAGAACGACGGAAATGACGGCATTCTGATCGGGGTGAGCAGTTTTTCCCAGCTGGAGAGCAATCTGAATGATCTGGAAAGGGCCCTTTGCCAGAGGACGTCGTCCAAGCTCTAGACGGCGCCTGGATGAAAGTGAAGGCAACCGCGGGCAATTACTGGCACTTAGATTTGAAGTATTCTTATGACCTTGTGGCGGCTCTTCTTGGCAAAGGAGCAGAGCGGGGGGAATAATAGTAGAACTTTGCGTATGTTATCTCTTCACGCTTTGCTGTTGTTCCGGGTAAAGTATTTCAAGACAAGGTGCTCCGTGGTCGCAGGATGCCACTATATTCAGCGGCAAATCCTTACCTCTCCAAAGTCCTTTTCCATTTCGAGACCTGAGCATTCCGCTAGTCGACCTGAACAATGACTAGCCATTCTTACTTGTGGCTGTGCAATCCTGAGCTTCCGTTTGGCGTGTCCTGAGTCGTACCTGAGCAGAGTGAGCACAGCCGTAGTCCTACTTAGTATGTAGGGACCCATAACCTGTGCCCCTGGGCTCCCGGTTGCGGTGTTTCACATATTCGGAAAGGCCGAATCCAGCGCGTGCCTGCCCAGAGCGCTTTCATGGTCCACTTTTCGGGCCACGCCCGCTGTCCTGAGGAGGCAACCCCCAACCCCCAACCCACTCAGGATTGTCCCCCAAGAAAGCGGAATCCGTGGAACAGCGTTTTGGGGTTGCGAGATCAAGATATGTGGAAAATCTATATCGAGTCTGACAGAAGGGTCTCTCCTATACATGGCGAGAGCGGTGGTGCAACAGAGGTCTTTATTTCAGATGACGACAACGAGTAACGGTGTTTCGAGCATTACTAGCGGTAGATCACATGTCTGGGTACTGAAGTAAATGGGTCGAGACTAAGGCAACGATTTGACGCTCTCATGTATGATTGACCGCTACCTCTTCTTCCTTCACTGTCTCAGTACTGTAAGGTCTGCCAAGTCGAAAGCTACACGACATAACCCTTGTTCTGTTTTATGCCTTTGACATTCATGTCTTTCCACATGAGAATCGCCATCAACCCCAGGACCCAAGTTGAGACACCAGCAATCAGCAAGTATCGCCATGTGTCTCCATAGGATTTCTGAATTGCCAAACGGACAGGCGTGCCCCACTCATAAGATAACTGCTGTTGAATGTCGCCATAGATTGTGGTGAGATTCCCTTGGCTCTCAGGAGGAAGATATAAAGCGAGTTTTTCGGGCATCGTGCCTTGCCAGATGGCAGAAGAGATTGTATAACCCACGGCAGTGCCAATGTAGGCAAACAGGTTGAGCAAGGCAATACTGACAGCAAAGTATTGCTGTGCAGAAGCAGCCGCCAAAATGCCAATCTCGACCGTGAGCATCAAGATACCGAATCCAAGATTGACAAAAAGGTTGCTCATGGCAACGTAGCCCACATAATGATCAGGGTGACGGAAATGTATCATTAGACCTGTACCAAGGACCACCAAAGGAAAACCGAAAAAGAGACTGACAGGTTTGTAGCGTCCGGTGTATGAGATGATTGATCCAGCAACAATATTCATGACAATTTGGGAAACCGTGCCTCCTTGTATGAGATAACTTGCCTCAGTCACAGTAAGACCGTTGACCACCTGAAGAAACGAGCTAAAATACCCATTCCAACAAGACACACTCAAAAAGAGCATAAATGCTGTGACGCAAGTGCCGAGGACTGTTCGATCTCGAAGGATTGCCCATGGAGTGAGACGGACCCGAGCAAAAGATCTTTCCCATAGTATAAAAGCTGTGAGTAAAATTACTCCAAAGACGAGGAAACATATAATAAGGGCAGATCCCCAACCCTTAGCTTGCTGAGTGTAAAGATTGAATGGGAGGAGGAAGAAGGCAAATCCCCCAGAGATGCACAAAAGTCCAACAAGGTCAAACTCGTGTGTATAGTACACCGCAGATTGCCATAGTGTACGTTCGTCGTGATTGTGTTTTGGAATGACACCATGCTTCTTAGCTCTCATGTATTGCCACATAAAGAGCCCAAACAGCGGTAGAGTAACTCCTGGAAGGAGAATACTTTCCATTCCGAAGGCCCAGCGCCAACCGGCTCCATTCAAGAATGATGTCGAGATGGGGCCCGCAATCCATGATGTAATGAGGTATGGTGAATTGAGTAAGGCTTGCATAAGACCGCGATGGCGAAGTGAAGACGTATCCGCAATGAAGACGCTGAGGCAGTATCCGACACCGTTGATTCCGACAGTATAAAAGACTTGCGATGCCGCATATGCTTCAACGTTGTTGCAAGCAGCTGACATGATCAGGCCAACAGTACACAGAAATACACATAGTATAAATCCGTGTGGACGTCCAAAAATGTCCAGGATTTTCGCAACACCTAAATTTGTGACACCGCCAACCACTTGACTCAAAACTCCAGTGGTAGGAATAAGTGAATGTTCAGCAAAGGCCGAAGTCGCGTAGGGGAGCAAGGCACCACTGACTCCAGTCACAATGCCTTGGACAAAGTAGACAAGCCAGATTGCTATATAAGCCGTGACCAAAGTAGATTTTGTCCAACTAATTGTTGTGGCCTCCGCCTTCTGCACACCAGCTTGAAAGTTGGTGTCAATGGAGTTGTCGTTAGGTGCATTGCCATGAATTATGTCTAACCCGTCGTGGATTTTGGTGTTCGAATCGTCTTCCGTTTGATGGACATTGCTGATTGCTTTCGTCTCAGTACCACTTGTAAGGTAAATATCTGCAGGGGACTTTTCGGGAGCCATCTGGTGCTTCAGCCTCTATATATGAGGCTGCTTCTGCTGCCGAAGCTTCCTTCTGTCGAAGTCTTGTATTGGCTAACGTTCGCGAAAGTGTTCAATTGCCGATCTCAAAGTTATATAACAATTTCGTTGTTGACTGTTTGCAAAGAGATGATCAAGTAGACGAGGTAGGGATCCCGAGAAGATAAATTCGAGGGTTCTGTGATATCTCACCTGGTACTGCAGCCCAGAAAAGTAGTCGTGGCTACATCGAGCAGGTTTTGTCCGTTAGCGAGATCGTTCACGGGATGGAAAAGAGTCACCCACATATGAGCAAGTTTTTTATCCATTAGCGTGATAACGCACATGGGATGGATATGCAACTATACTCTGTAGGTTGAGCGGGATGGGCTGAAGCTAGAGCGAAAGCAGGACACCTGCCCAGAACGACGCGACACGATCTTGCCTGCCTCGTATATGCAATGGCGTTTCGTTTCCTTCGAAATCGCAAATTCAGGATGAATTGCGAAGACGGATTCTGCCAGAGCACGGACTCAAGGTAGAAAGTTCACCATTTGTGTTCGCCATTGACCACCAAGTCTTCAGTACGTCTGCTGTCACGACCACTTTGGTCCACTGGAGAGCTTCTAGCTACTTCGCTTGCCAAAGGCGATCTCACCGGCGACTTTGCATTCGGAGTAATGCCATGCACCCGGGCAACCCTCTTGTTCAGAGATATGTCATTACTAACGAACACAGGATACTCGATAGAAATATGCTTTGGACATTTCTAAATCGTGTCCAAGACACTTCGAGACGTAGGGTTCACTGGCACGATGCCTTCATTATACATTGATCAAAGCAATCCGCATGAGAAATCACAGTAAATCGCCATCATCGGAAGGGGTTTTGGACATGCAAGCTTCTAATCAGCTCGTGTTTGTCGAATGGTGTACCATGTTGATCTCGTCGACGGCCATCGCGCCTGTAACTCGTTCCGTGGAGTTTCTCCAATGCCCATCGAATACCCATCAAAATCGGCGCGATTTCTTTTCTCTAAATCCTGTTCGCTCCATTCGTTGCCGAAGATCACGCATCGCTCACAGAGTCAGGGGATTTTGACAGACAGAGAACATACTTACGCCGACTTGATCGATTCAAGGCACTGTGGAACCGGCTCCGGTCGCTTTTGTTCGCAAAGGCTGCCACAACTCTGGAATTGGACGGTGTGAATGCGGCCGGTGAACGAGTGAATCAAATACTTTCAGGGTATCATGTATCTTGGACAATTCAAGCACAGCGCAGGCGATTGTTGTCTTCGATCCTCTCATGCCGGCACCGTGCTCTTCATTATTGATTATAGTAGGCTGGAAGTAAAGACCAAGCGTGACTCTTGCCAGCGACATAAAATGCAATATAATTCCGTCAGCTACCGTTTGATACTTGCCGTACGCCACCTGTTCCTATCGCGTAGTGTGTACAGAGTCTCCATAGTGGCTTGTCAGCTCCATCGAGTCACTGCGCGCCAAATGCTTCTGCGACGCATTGCCATCAACGACGGTTATCTTGCCAGTTGAAATGACTCCGCTTCCCCCACGCTTTGCCCGCCAGTGGTGCCAGAACCAGACACCCACCAAGAAGCAGAAAACCCCTGCTATAACCGAGCCGAGGATGATAGCTATTTTTGCGCCGAGAGAGAGGCTTGTGCTACTGTCGCTACTCTTTGAGCCACTGTCTGGGAATGTGAAATTCGTCGAAAATGACGCGCTTGCGTAGGCGACACCGATGGGATCTGAACTTGGTTCAGCGGTTCGATTCGCCGGGTTGAGAACTCTGTAGCGAGATCGAGAAGTCAGTCGCTGCCGACGGGCAATTGGGAAGTGAAAATGCAGGAATAGTCGACTTGCTTGGTCGCTGCCCGGGATTCAATACATACCCATATATCGAGTAGACGAGACCGCCATCGAATACTAGAGCAGGCTGGCTGACAATCTTGGCACTGTTCACATACGCGTCGCCTTCATACGACGTAATGGTCAAGTCAGTGCCCTCCTGCGTCGGGAGAGTGACGGCTTTTGACGGTAGTCTATTAAGCAAGAAAACCCCCTGAGCGACATGGTAGGAGACAATGTCGAGAAATTCGTCCTCTGTCCAATTGCTGATGACGCTTCCAATCATATCCCACGC